CCGTATTTCCAGATGAATGGTAGCGACAAAGGCAAAGTTTCGATGGGGTGTTCAATGGTGGCTCAATAGCCTGGGGAATTGCAAAACGGGTGGGCAGCCAACATCACCCTTTTTGCCTTTTCGCCAGCAGCTTCAGGCGTGTCTCAGACGCACTTACAAGTTGCTGTTTCCGATTGCCATTTTGAACGTTGGCCGCAAGTCTTGTTCTTCCTTTCGTCCTTTCTCCGATGCTCGTGCCTTGTGCTTCTCTGTTGGCGTTATGCTACTGATAACTGTATACCGTACTGCCCTGCACATTTGTTAAACAGTCCATTGGTAGCAGTACGGACGCGACCCTAGACGCGAGTGCCAATGTAGGCTGGTGCGGGCTCTTTCAGCCGCCCCTTGTAGGGGCAGTTACCGCTGCCGAGCAGGCATCCAACTTGTATCGATACCTTCTCCAATACCTACTGCGCCGCTTATTCGAGAGCGGTCCGGCTCCTGCATCGCATCCTTATCAGGCAAACGCCAACGAAGCCCATCTTTCACAAACTCGCCCTGCCTCACCCACCTTGGAGTCTGCTGCTCTTCCTGCGCGGCCGCCTCGTCCCACCAGCCCTTTTCCATTCGGTTAATCATCAATCCAAAGGCTGCTCGTACATTAGTCAGGCTACTACAGAACAGTATACTGCAAGTAGCATAGCACCGCCAATGTGCTGTGCTTGGCACCCTCGACGCTGACGTCTGCAGAGAACAGGCTGGGGAGGAATCCGGGCTTGCCTCCACCCCAGCACCAGCATCACCGCCAGCGCCAATTGGTGCCACTGTTCCGCCCGACCTGTCATCATTTGGTCTCCAGCCCACGCTACAGACACGCCCTGGACCGGATCCACAGAGCTTCGCAGCAGCAGATTGGATTGGATCCCGTGCTCTAGTGCTTGTACCTGGAAAGCGACGGGGTAGCACTGACTTTCACACGCCTCACGCCTGTGCGCACGCCAAAGCCTCAGCTCCTCCCGAGCAAAAGAATCCAAACCTCCTCGTTCACGAGGCTGCTTCCGCGCGCCGAATCTTGCACCGTCTTCTGTCGCCCCGGCCCGGACTTCTGACGCCTTTCATCATTGCCAGCCTGCCAAACAACTGCTTCGCCGGCCTCATCGCCGGCCTCGTCTTCTTCCATCTTCACTCTCAACTCCCCGCAACCTGCTGCAGCTGGTTCTGCTGACCTTTCAATCACCTCTGCCGCATCCGCCGCCGCCATTTTCTGCCGAACGCTCCGCTAAACTTCAACCCCCCAGCTCAACTACTCTATCAGAAGGATACCGACTTTTGTTGCCCCCCTTTCAACCAGCGGCAACTACCAAACTCGAGAGTAGAGAAAGATTAAGTATTTGAACAAGAGCAGACAACATCATCATTGCCGCCACCATTTTCTCAGCAGCTATTTATCGCTGCTTTATGCGTGTGTAATTGGCTGCATGGCAAACCCACCTTTTGGATCCAAATCGCTTCGCCTACCGATTCGCCAAGTCCTTAAAGAACGCCGACAGTCTCGCCAAACACAGAAGCGTGCACAATCGCCCACCATGGGCGGCTGCATGAGCTCGAACAATGACGAGGTAGAGCAGAAAAAGAGGAGCCAGGCCATCGACAAAGAGCTGGACGAGGACTCGAAAAGGTTACGGAAAGAATGCAAGATCCTGCTGCTAGGTATGTTTCGGACACGGCGGTCGACGTGTGGCCGCATCCCAATCCCTCGCCTTTCCATCTTTCTTATTTATTTTTAATCTAGGTTCTGGTGAGAGTGGAAAGTCGACCATTGTCAAGCAGATGAAAATTATCCACCTGAAGGGATACTCAGAAGAGGATCTGTACAACTACAGACCGACCGTTTTCAAAAATCTGGTCGAATGTGCCAAAGCTGTCATAACTGCCATGCAGCAGTTTAACATAGAGCTGGCACATGAAGAAAACAGAGCGCACGCCGACTTTTTAATAGACTACCAAGCAGAATCCGGGCCGCAGGCTCACATCGACCCGAAGGTGGGCCTCGCTGTGCAGGCCATATGGAACGACCCGGCGAAAGAGCAGCTGATGGAACATCAGACGGAGTTTTATTTGATGGATTCTGCAGAATAGTAAGTTACATCATCGCTATGCCGCGCGCAGGTCGCAGTGACGCGCGAAATTGACTGCTGCCCGGATTCTGACCCCAACGTCTCTGTAGTTTCTTCCAGGAAGCAATGCGCATTGCCGCTCCCGATTATTTACCTAACGAGATGGACGTATTGCGCGCCCGTACAAAAACCACCGGCATCTACGAAACGCGCTTCCAAATGGGACAACTTAGCATCCAGTATGTTGAAGCATTGGCTTGGAACATTTTAACAACGGGCCGCTGATCGTTTTTCTTTAGCATGTTTGATGTTGGCGGGCAAAGGAGTGAACGAAAGAAGTGGATACACTGCTTCGAGAACGTTACATCGATCATTTTCTGTGTTGCGCTGAGCGAATACGATCAAGTTCTCCTCGAAGAGAGCAGTCAGGTAGGTCGCGCAACAGAAAGCTAGAGAGCTTCATGGCTCGAATGGGCAATGCAAGCGTGCGAGGGTAATGCTGACTTCGGGTGGTGAACGCAGAACCGCATGATGGAAAGCTTATTACTGTTCGACTCGGTTGTCAACTCACGCTGGTTCATGAGAACAAGCATCATTCTCTTCCTGAACAAGGTGGACATTTTCAAGCAGAAACTGGGCCGCTCGCCTCTATCCAACTTCTTCCCCGATTACACTGGTGGTACCGATGTCAACAAGGCAGCCAAGTATCTGCTATGGAGATTTAATCAAGTCAACAGAGCACACCTTAACCTATATCCACAGTAAGTGAAGCAGGCAGAGAGCGTATCTACTACTTTACGCAGCGGGCTAACAGAATTTGTCCAACACAGTCTAACCCAGGCCACCGATACATCAAATATCCGGCTGGTTTTCGCAGCAGTTAAGGAGACCATATTGAATAACGCGCTAAAGGATTCGGGAATTCTTTAAGCTTATTTGGTGCTCTGAATGTTCATCAATACACCATCAACAACAGCTCGCTTTCCGCTCTGAGAGAAGTGGCGTGGCGTTCGAATATCGCGCGGCTTTCTGGTGCGCTTATTCTCACCGACCAGAATTGATCTGGTTCACGCCATGCAATACTCTCCATCGATGGCACATGCGCGAATATGGAAGACCTCTTAATCACACGCTCTTTCCCCCCTCTAATTTCTTCATATTTTATTGCGGTTCAGCGGAAGTTCCTTTTCAGGGACTGGTTAGGACCCACGGAGATCTAAAGCGCGTTATGACCCGATTGGGCTGCTTTTCTATCATCTATTATAATCACTTAGCATGGCGCGGTCACTCATTCACTCAATCTTTTCCTCTCGCTCTTCTCTCTTTCCTTTCCCTTTTATGTGTGGATTTTTTTTTCTTTCTTTTTTTTGTGTCGGCAACTACGAGTTTATATCTCGCGCGGCGGACTTATAGCGAACGGTTGGCATGGGATAGCCGCCTCTGGTTGGTGTCTTGATATTAGGGTTAAATGATGAAACGGTGTTCACGATAATTCGCTTTGAGGGTGGAGGAGCAGCGGCGAAGTAGAAAAGGAAACTGAAACGACGGCAATTAGACACCACAGGTGACTGAGAAGAAGCGCAAAAAGCGAACTCAACCACAGCTTCAGTGCTAGAGGTTGGACGTGGACACGGCCTAACTCTGGAGACGCGGCTTTGTGGTGATTCTCGTGTCCGGAGTTGAGCAAATGAGAGGTGGCGGATAGGAATGCGTGTTTGGAACGAGCTCGGGAGGATGTTTTCTTTTGTGGAGGTACCGAGACAACAAAAAGAAGAGATGTTTTACTGTTTTACTATTATTACTACTACTATTATTGCAGCTTTGTTTTGAGCTGTTGCGTACCCGCTGGACGCTTGGGATTGGGCGGAGGTTGGTGTTATTGGATAGGTAACTTGATATGTGCCCGAATAAGTATTAATTTGCTGCGCTCTTTGTTTAATAATGTCTTGATACAGATTGATTGCATTTGGATTTCCGCTTTCATGATTGATAATTGCCCCTCAAGCTTGGGGGAGTTTACGTGCCAAGCTGTTGGTGTCTCACAACTCATATTGTAGAAGGAGTTGGGTACCTACTGAAGAAAGGGGGCTGTTGGGCAACTGTCGCCTTTAGATGAATGCAGGGCAATAGGCTAATTCCTCAAAATACTACAGATCTAGAACGTGTGTCGCGCGTTGCTGTGTACGTGGATGGAGTCGAGATGTTTGAGCTTCGCTCCCGTTAGGCATCTTGGCCTCTGTTTCGACCTGACCCCATCCATCCGTGCATACGCATACTTACCCAAGAGCAATTCAACAGTCAAAGATTCTCGACGGCATGGCGGGCATTGAAGGCCCCACACAGCGGCGGCCAACCTGCATGCTCAGGCTGGAGTGGTGTGATTGATGATGATGCAGTAGCCGTCATGTATACCTATTAATGAGCCTTGTGTGTGTGTTATTTCTATTTAGGCCGGAGTGCTTCTGTTATGTTGTTGCCCAACGTCATCGGGAGAGGGGAATATGGCTGGCTATTGTAGCACTCTGTTGCACGCGCTGGAGTGACGGACAGGTACAAGATCAGTTGAGGTTTTAGATACCATTACCAGGTAGGTACTAAGTAGTATCCAAGTGCAAGATGTATAAAAATTAGTACCTCTATATTAGTGATACATGATATTTTATTATTTTCATTATATCGCCTTATGGTGTGACGCGTATTGCAATTATATCTTGTTGAAATTACAGCGATCTCAGAAGGCTTTGCGCAACCAAATCTCGTATCTGCGGCGACTAATTGGCGCGTTTCTCTACCACAGCCGGTGCTACCGTCCTCGACGATCGGATACGAAGCGCGCCGAACAGGGTTTGTGCCGGATGATGGTTGCTGCTGATGATGACGCCGGACCCTCCTATCGACAAGAAACTTGATTGACCGAGCAGCACTGGCATGGCTACCTAATGCAACCGGCGCAGAGGGTCCCTTGATGGAGGGCAGCATCGCCTTACTTCTCTCTTGCTAACCCCTCCCCCTCTATCCGCCGTCAATTGGTACCTAAAGCTCGCTTGGTCCTCTCCTCTTCCCCTCCTTCTTTGGTCGCTCCTCTTCACCTTTTCTCTCTCGCCTTCTTTCTCTTCTGCTTCTTCTTCTTCTGATTCATTTTCCCTCTCTTCTCTCCCAGCCTTCCGAGGACTTTCCCCGTCTACAATTGACCCTTTCCGCTGGCTCCCCAACTGTTTGTCGGGCCTTTTATCGTAACGGACGGTAGCTTTGGGAGCTTCTGATAACCCCACTGTTGCTACCCCGCCATAGCTTTGGACGAGCTGAGCTGATGTAAGTTGCCTGATAACTCTCCTCCCCTCTAGACTCGCAATCTCACTTCCCTCTTGCCCATCTCCTTTTATCACCATCTTTTCTTCTTCTTCTGTTGCGTGTTCCATCTCTTCTGCCCCTTCTTTGGCATTCTTCTTTCCTCTGCAGTATTGTTACAAAGAGCCTAGATTTGCTAATTCGAGTCCCGTCTCTGATCGGCAGCCATTCTCCCAATGGCCACCAAGCAGCCTCTGCCCACGCGCGAGCGTCGCCCCTCCACCGGAGCTCCCCTGGTGGACATCCAGGGAGCTGTTGGTCCTGCGGGCATCTCTCGGCCCAAGCACAGGAGAACTTTTACGGGTTTCGGTGCCGGAGAAATCAAGCACGTCGAAGGTTTGTGATGGCATTTTCCTCTTGTTATTTGCTGCTTGTTTCTTCTGTCGCGATTCAATTGAGCTGCATACGTCCACTGGCTGGGCAGACCATCTCGGCCAATTGATCCCAGCATGTGGATGGCGGCCTTGATCGGGCGCGCATCTGACATCCACTGTAGGGCGGGGGAGGGGAAGCTCGCCCGGTCTGGCGGGGCTCATCGTGCAACTAACACCGGCGTTGGATGATCTGATCTGTTATCCACCAGCACGCCATGTTTAGTCAAAAGAGTGGACAAAAAACAAGGACAGAACGTTTCAATCCATCTGCTAACAATCACTTCTTTCTTCAGCCTCAATCCCCGAACCCCAGCGCGAAGCATGGAGGCGAAACCAAGTCAAGAGCATCACCGACAAGGATGGCTTTGAGAAGGAGGTTGTCCGCCACGTCGAGACCACCCTGGCGCGTAGCATGTTTAACTGCGATGAGACCGCTGCGTACTCGGCCACCAGTCTGGCTTTCCGTGATCGCCTCATCACCGATTGGAACAAGACTCAGCAGCGCCAGACGTTCCGCGACACCAAGCGTGTTTATTACTTGAGTCTGGAGTTCTTGATGGGAAGGACTTTGGACAATGCCATGCTCAACGTAGGATTGAAAAATGTGGCCAAGGGTAAGTATTGTTCACACACTTGCTCCATTGCTTTCCTGCTCTTCATTATGGCATGACTTTGCTAACCAACTGCAACGCAGACGGTCTCTCTGAGCTTGGGTTTAGAATTGAGGACATCATTAGCCAGGAGCATGACGCAGGTCTGGGCAACGGTGGCTTAGGTCGACTTGCTGCTTGCTTCCTCGACAGCTTGGCTACTCTCAACTACCCCGCATGGGGCTACGGTCTTCGCTACAGATACGGTATCTTCAAACAGGAAATCATCGACGGCTACCAGGTCGAAGTGCCCGACTATTGGCTGGACTTTAACCCCTGGGAGTTCCCACGTCACGACATCACGGTCAATGTAAGATAAAAACAGACATGAAAAAGAATGAACGTCTTGACATGAAGCTTACACTCTGGTTGTTAGATCCAATTCTATGGCAAGGTCCGTAAGCACACCAGGGAGGACGGTAAGACCGTCAGCGTCTGGGAGGGTGGTGACATCGTTGATGCTGTTGCCTACGATGTGCCTATTCCTGGCTACGCGACCCCAACAACAAACAACCTGAGGCTCTGGTCTAGCAAGGCGTCTGGAGGCGAGTTTGATTTCCCTAAATTCAACAATGGCGACTACGAAGGCGCAGTCGCAGACCAGCAGCGAGCCGAGTCCATTAGCGCCGTGCTGTATCCCAACGACAACTTGGACCAGGGTAAAGAACTGCGACTGAAGCAGCAATACTTCTGGGTGGCGGCCTCTCTGTATGATATTGTGCGCCGCTTCAAGAAGTCCAAGCGCCCCTGGAAGGAATTCCCCGACCAAGTCGCTATCCAACTCAACGACACTCACCCTACTCTTGCCATTGTCGAGCTGCAGCGTATTCTGGTTGATATTGAGGGCTTGCAATGGGATGAAGCATGGAATATTGTTACTGCCACGGTAAGTTTCTTCTGGCGAAAAAGCTGTGCTCTAGATAAGACATCCGCTAACCCGACTTGCTTGTGTAGTTTGGCTACACTAACCATACTGTGCTCCCGGAAGCCCTCGAGAAGTGGCCTGTGGGATTGTTTCAGCATCTCTTGCCCAGACATCTTCAGATTATCTATGATATTAATCTGTTCTTCCTGCAAAAAGTCGAAAAGGCCTTCCCTAATGACAGAGATTTGCTTAGCCGAGTTTCCATCATTGAGGAGAGCCAGCCAAAGATGGTGAGAATGGCCTTCTTGGCTATTGTTGGTTCCCACAAGGTCAACGGTGTGGCTGAGCTGCACTCGGACTTGATCAAGTCGACTATCTTCAAAGACTTTGTGGAGATCTACGGCCCGGACAAGTTCACCAACGTAACCAACGGTATCACCCCCAGACGTTGGCTGCACCAGGCCAACCCCCGCTTGTCTGAGCTGATTGCCTCCAAGTGCGGTGGTGATAACTTCCTCAAGGACCTGACTGTTCTCAACAAGCTTGAGGCTTTTGCCAAGGATAAAGCTTTCCGCAAAGAGTGGGCTGAGATCAAGTACGCCAACAAGGTCCGCTTGGCCAAGTACATCCAGAGCACACTTGGTTTATCAGTCAACCCCGCAGCCTTATTCGACGTGCAAGTCAAGCGAATTCACGAATACAAGCGTCAGCAGCTCAATATTTTCGGAGTCATCCACCGATACCTGACTCTCAAGGCGCTGAGTCCTGAAGAGAGGAAGAAGCAGCTCCCCCGTGTCACCATCTTTGGTGGCAAGGCTGCTCCCGGCTATTGGATGGCTAAGCAGATTATTCACTTGATCAACGCTGTCGGCGAAGTTGTCAACAAAGATGCAGACATTGGCGATCTCCTCAAAGTTATTTTCCTCGAAGATTACAACGTCAGCAAGGCCGAGATGATCATCCCTGCCTCCGATATCAGCGAGCACATTTCCACTGCAGGCACAGAGTGAGTTGATGCTAGGAGTGGCGTATCCTGTTGAACGATAAGAGTCTAACTGAGATAAAATAGGGCGTCTGGTACAAGCAACATGAAGTTTGTCCTCAACGGAGGTCTTATCATCGGAACATGCGACGGTGCCAATGTAAGAGCCAATCGATCCTGCTGCGCTGCCCCCGGCCCTATTAACTAACGCCTTATGATAGATTGAAATCACTCGTGAAATCAGCGACAGCAACATCTTCTTGTTTGGAAATCTTGCTGAGGACGTGGAAGACCTGCGCCATAACCACAACTTTGGCTCTCACACTATCGACCCCGACTTGGAGAAGGTCTTTGTTGAGATTGAGAAGGGTACCTTTGGCATGCCCAATGACTTTAGTGCCTTGATTGCTGCCGTCAGAGACCACGGTGACTACTACCTGGTATCAGATGACTTCCACAGCTACATTGAGACACACGCTCTCGTTGACGAGGCCTACAAGAACCAGGATGAGTGGGTGACCAAGTGCATCATGTCCGTAGCCCGAATGGGCTTCTTCACCAGCGACCGCTGCATTAACGAGTACGCTGAGGAAATTTGGAATATTGAGCCGCTGGACGTCTCTGAGTAGAATCTCTAATGGGCTGGCGAGGACCTGGAAGTGGCATTTCCTGTTGTAGAAGCCGCCGAGGAAGCTCCTCGAAATTCGAACATACAGAAATCACTTAATGGGGAGGGATGGGAAACGGCTCTCTCTTCCTACATGATGAACGTCCAATATTGAATTGAATTAAAATGATTTTTCACCTGTACATTCGGCGGCATGTGACGATGCTTGCAAACTGCCATTTCATGCATGTGTAAAGTTGAGTGCGGTGATGCAGCGTTCCATGCAGTCCACCGACACATGATAGTGATGCCGGTGTAATGCCAGATAACTTGGATATCTTGGAATTGCTGTTTAGCGGTGACACAATGAAGTGGGCTCTAGTTGGAAAAAAAAATAGGTAAAATTGAGGTGGGAAGAACCCGGAGCAAAATCTCCAGAGTGGCTTTGAAGCCGATTCACGGCCATTATTTCGATGAGCGGAGGTGGCCCGTTCCTGAGTTTAGACAGTCGAATCGGTTGTGAAGCAGAACTGCCGTACCTGGAACTTATTCACATCGCCTTTTTAGCGAGGACTATTGTGTCACATGATGTACATGGTACTTGTCATGATTTGGTCGATGAGGGCTGTTTTTGAAAGAGCTAAGTGGGTTGAGGATAGATTAGCGGTGACGTCATGGATGCATCACTGGGAGTAAAGGTGGTTCAGACTGCAACAGAAGTGCGGTTTTGTGTGATTTTGAGCCTTGCGTGCTATAAATCTGCAGGTTAATGTGCATGTGGGAACAAGGGAGGGGGGAGAAGAGGAGGCTGAGCTTGAGCGAATCGGATGGAGGATGGGAAAAGGCGTCCTTTAGGTTGGGCTGGACTGGGCCGGGCTGGTCTTGACCTCAGCGTGTGGGATGTTTTGGTGGGGAGAAGAGAAGAAGAAGGACGAGAAGAAGCTTGGGAGAATCTTCGTCGAAGACCTAGTTCAACGGTGATTTTGGAAATGCCGATCCAGATTCGGGATGGGATTTTGCTTTTCTTCGATGTTCTTGGCTGTGGCGGTTTTCTTTTCTTACCCGGGCGATGATCAGAGCAGCGAAGCAAGATTCGCAACGCCTCCCATACATAGACGGATACTAGCACTAGGCAATACTACTAACCAGGACTATCAGAACTAAACGTGGTGGTAGTGAGATGGGGGATGGCATTCGCGTGAGAAATATGGGCTTCCCAGCTAAAAGGATCCCTTGTCAGGGTATCATTTAGGCATGGGGGCCAGTATGTAGCATGAAGAGTGCCCAGCGCACGATGTCGTCACCGGGAAAGGGTCTGGGTAACGAGATTGTGCGTGCGTTGCGTGCGTCTGTCCCCCTGAAGCGCTGGCTGCGGAGATGGAGAAAATGGGGGCTGCATGGTGTGTGCGCGATGACGATGGAAGTCCCTGGAAAACGAGGGGATGGTCTGGATAGCTGGATGGCGATGTCGTTTATAGACGGGCCGGTGCCTCTGGTTCTCTGCGCGGTTGTAGCTGTTGATGTTGGAAGCATTTACAGACAGACCAACCTTGCCAGCCTTGTCCTGCGCGTAAGAAGAGCTCTATTTGGGCAGAACCGGTGAATAGCACAGCATTGCATTTGCGCTTTGTGCTCCGAAGAAACGCTCAACCAAAGCATTGGCATTTGCAGATTCCCTGGATGCGAATCCGAAATCTCGATCGATCGCCTGAGACCAGCCGCGGATTATAAGTACTAGACCTTGGAAGGCCCTTTCCTCTTAGTTTTGGACAGTGCCCGCCTTACGAAAAACACTCCATTCTTTTTTTCCCCCCTCGGTTTCTGCAGAGACAGAAAAAAAAATTCTTTCTTTTTTACTCATTTTATCGATTCCCACCTCTTTGGATTGCGACAGCTTAATTGCTCTGCCAGTGACATTCAGCGACCTTGGCATTTGCTAGCAGATTCCGGGCAATCCTGTTTTGCGGACATACTTTACTACAGCACACGTAAGTTGGGAAATCAGCCCAAGGACGCATACACAAAAGAGAGAGAGAGAGAGAGAGAGAGAGAGAGAGAGAGAAAGAGAGAGAGAGAGAAGGCGAATTGAGACACCCAAGCAGCCATTTCTTGACCTGATTCTCACTTGGGCTCCAATTCAAGGCAATTGGCTTCAATTCGCTGCCAGTACCTCGATTTACCCCGCGCACCGCGCTTTGCTACAAGTACCTTCCACGTGCGCCCAGCTAACGCGGTGTTATTTAGGCGCCCGCCGTCGCCGCCGTTTTCCCTGTCAAAGTGCCTCTCGTGGCCACAGAGCCCTTCACCCCGCCTTTGTTCACTGCTGGACGATCCGAGATCCGCACCGCGAAAAGAAACGAGTCTCGAAGACGAACAAGAGGGAGAAAACGTATTTATACTTCTTCTCTTCTTCTTTACACAAGGGAAAAACCCCTAAGAATTCGATCGTTGAATTTTGTAGGCGACCACAATTTGCAGCAGCCGGACAATTCACCGTCGCCTCTCGACCCGATTCCTACGACGCCCGAGATCGAGATTTAGCAGCTGATAAAAGTCGCCCAGCCGCTGTTGAAACCCCCCCGCCTTATTAGCAGCGAGTGGAACTCCTGAGCTTCCTGCGGATTACCACCTTTTTACCTCCAGGCTTCTTCCAACCGAGCCGACTGAAGCATCAGCACAACATCAACCTTGTTTTTTTCTTTTGGAGAGAGGGGTCTAGTTTCCAACACTTTCGAGATCCCGCTCTTTTCGCCTTCTCCCGACAACTTTTTACCGTTTGTCCCGCCCATCGCGCCCTAATATCGAATCTTCACAACCTGGCTTTTTGAGGCCTCTCTTTTTTTTCTCATCTCCCATTGTTTCCCCCCGCGATCCCAACGATCCGTCACAATGGCCGAGTTTGTGCGTGCGCAGATCTTTGGCACCACGTTTGAGATCACCTCAAGGTAGGCGGGAGGCTGGAACCACCGACGACGTTAAAAAAGCGGAGGACCTTTGAAGCTGATCCAATTCCATTAGATACTCAGACCTCCAGCCCGTGGGCATGGGAGCGTTTGGTCTTGTCTGGTGAGTTTTCCCTTATCTCTTTGTCTTTTTCGCCATTTGTGCCTTCTCGGAGATGCATCCATGCTAATTTGCGACTTCCCCTCCCCCGCCAAATATAGCTCTGCGCGAGACCAACTCACCAACCAAAATGTTGCCGTCAAGAAGATTATGAAGCCCTTTAGCACGCCTGTGCTCGCTAAGCGAACGTATCGCGAACTGAAGCTGCTTAAGCATCTCCGACACGAAAATGTATGCGCTTTCCTGGTGGCTTTTCTTCTTCACTCGCCCATTGCGTCAGCTCCGTCCAGAGTGATGCTTACGGCGCCCGGCTTCTTACATTTCTCATCACCTTGATGCTAACGGCTATCCCTACCTAAATAGGTTATCTCTCTCAGCGACATCTTCATTTCTCCCCTTGAGGATATGTATGTTCATATTATTCTTAAGCCCCCTTGCCTCTTTCGCCTACATACCGCTAATATCGCTCTCTGCAGCTACTTCGTCACAGAGCTTCTCGGAACCGATTTGCACCGATTATTAACATCACGGCCGCTCGAGAAACAATTCATTCAATACTTCCTCTATCAGATCATGGTATGCAGTGACATGTGTTGGCATTTCGCATGCCTGTATACGAAATTCCTGCAGCACAACGGCAGCTAACGCACATATGTCTATATAGCGAGGCCTGAAATACGTCCACTCCGCCGGTGTCGTTCACCGTGATCTCAAGCCCAGCAACATCCTCGTCAACGAAAACTGCGATCTCAAGATTTGCGACTTTGGTCTGGCCCGAATTCAAGACCCGCAGATGACGGGTTACGTATCAACACGATACTACCGTGCCCCGGAAATTATGCTCACATGGCAAAAGTACGACGTTGAGGTCGATATTTGGAGCGCCGGGTGCATCTTTGCTGAGATGCTGGAGGGCAAGCCTCTGTTCCCTGGCAAGGACCACGTGAACCAGTTCTCCATCATTACCGAGCTGCTTGGCACACCTCCGGACGATGTCATCAACACTATTGCTAGCGAGAATGTGAGTTTGTCTAATTGCTTTGTTGATATGGGCCGTCCAAAAACTGATAATTGGTTAGACGTTGCGGTTCGTCAAGTCGCTGCCAAAGCGTGAGCGACAGCCTCTCCGAAATAAGTTTAAGAATGCAGATGATTCAGGTATGAGATTGAGGAAGAGGGGAACAACCTTTGAATTTTAAGCCATTGCGGAACTTCGTTCTAACATGAAGATATAGCCATTGATCTCTTGGAGCGAATGCTCGTTTTCGACCCTAAGAAGCGAATAACCGCTACTGAAGCTCTGTCTCACGATTATCTTGCGCCGTACCACGACCCCACTGATGAGCCTGTTGCCGAAGAGAAGTTTGACTGGAGTTTCAACGACGCTGATCTCCCTGTTGATACTTGGAAAATTATGATGTATGTTACCACTACGCTATGCCATTCCGTCGTTCTATCCTTCAACCTAACCCATTTCGCAGGTACTCTGAGATCCTTGACTACCACAATGTTGAGGGTGTCCCCCAAATGGAGGACCAACAGTTTCCTCCGCAATAGATGGAGAGAAGTAGAGGCGCAGAATTCGGAATAAAGGGCGGTATAAATTATTTGAGCTGCTGCAAAGAAGACGGACATGCGAAACGCGCACGCACGCACGCACGAGTAGACAGACGCTTGCGTGATTCACACAAGGGGCCGGCGCACCCTGCTGTTCCGTGGCAGTTGCCTTTTTTTCCTGGAGTTTTCCGGCGTTGGGAGGGAAGAATTAGGATGGAAAGGGGGGAGGGGAACATAGGGAGGGTTTAAATATGTGTAAAGACTTGCGATTGTGTGCAGCGACGACAAAATATACGAAGAAACGGATTTTCCTTTCATTAATGACGTGTGCTTTTCAATTTGATTCTTGTTGAGAGATGTGAACGATGTATAGCAGGTAGACTATCTGATGTGAAGAGTGTAATAAAAAAGTGCTTTTAATGACATGAAATGATCTAACCATCACTCGGCCACACAGGCACGATTGAAAAGTTGTAGGATCGTCTCACGATAATACATACGCGAGATCTTGAGGCAGTAGTGTGCCACGGCTTAAACCTTCAGCGCTCATAGTCTCCACCTGATAAAGAAGAATATATACATGAATTTCTCTTTATGATGAGATATGACATCTAATAAGTTTTTACGCTGATGAGAAATAATATTTATGAAGTTCTTATTGAAGTTCTTATTCTGACGAAACTATTGAAACTTTCTTCCTTTCAATATCGAGTTGGACTTAACAACCAGACTTCTTAAAATGCATACAGTTGTGAGCCGATTCTTGCTTTTTTCTTTTAAAGTATTATATACGCGGATTTGGCAAGGCTTGACTGCAACTTAATCGTCCATGCTTCCACTCACATACCGACCCCAAACATGATAGGTCAGCTTAATTGTCATGGTTCCTTTCGGAAATACTCATCAGAGATGGATATCTGGGGTATGCTGGGCTGATAAGCAAGGGACCTGGGATATGATAGGATAGCCTGATGGCCACGATGATTTTCGGAAGGATTCATGTACGATACTGCCAGATGCTGCAGGATACGATACTAGCAGGGGGTGGTTTCAAGCATTAAGAAGAGGAACGGGGGACTTGTAATATGATAGGACGAATTTGGTGCCATTATTGTTTTTGGAAAGATTCATCTGAGATAGGCGCTGCCAGGGGGCATTTTGAGCCGCAAAGTGAATGGGGAGAGGCTGCTAAATGCATGTGGCTTCAACTGTCAAGCGGTAATGGAAATTAAGGAAAGCCAAGTAGAAAGAGAGTAAGGATGAGAGAGGCGAAAAAAAAAAAAAAAAAGAAGAAAAGAAAAGGCCTTGTGATTCATTGCGTAAACTAAGTCGCCTTAAATGGGAAGACAGGAGGCTATGCTTTCTCACTATCATGGATAGAGTGGAAGCCGACGTGCAGGAAAGCCTCGAATATATTAATCCAGCTCAGCCCCCGGAAAGAGACCAGCTCCGAGCGAGTCAGGCAATGTACAGGCAGCATCCGCTTCGTTAATACCTATAACGTCACTCTATGCTTGAAAGGCCATTCAAGAATTCCATCTACACCCACTCTCGCTCGACTTTGATAAGCTACATCTGGAAACCAGGCTATTGCGTAGAAACATCTTGACAACCTATTTAGACAATACTCTGGAGATGTTCTGGGCTTGGAAATCGATTCATGATGATCAGTCCAAGCCTGTACCCGCACATCGCCCGCAGACTGTGTCTACTAAACGTATCGGCAGCCATGGCGAGGCTTTTCTTCAAGACATGCATGTCTGCATCATCTGAGCACTACGCTTCATAAGTCTGCCTCTTCTCATAGGCGGGATGGGATCCAGTCGGCACAGCCCCCCGGCCTGCCTAATTGGCCTGGAGGGGTCAAGCAGACAGGGGGGGTTTTTTGGACTTTGCCCATCACGGCGGCAAAAGGTAACGCGGTCTGAGTGGTCGAGTACTAGACGGTGTGACATTGCCATGTTGTGGAAGGCAAAAAAATATATAAACTCCCTCACTTCGCACGGCATCGTTGGTTCCTACGAGGCGAAGTGATTTTTTGGTTACACCGAGCGAGCCCCTCGAGGCAGTGCAGTAGCGGGTATGTCTCCCTCAAGAAGCCCCATAGGAGGAGGATGAGACCAATCCTGGATACACACATTGCATGTCGGCTTCTCCATTCATCATCATCTGCTCATCAGATGCTGAGTAGTACTTCTGGGCATATGCTAAATGTAAGACACTTGACAGGTTACTCAGTTATCACATTCATCAAAGGGGGCATTGTTGTTGCCTGATGCCACCGAGTTGGTGTCGCTGCTTCCGGAAGGGAAAAAAAAATATATGCGCCTTTTTGCTCCTTCGCAGGACTTTCTTCCTCTTCCCAAATATCTCGAGCACGGTTGATCGATTGTAAAGTCGATAATGGATTCGAAATCACCTCAAACGTGCTGCTGCGAGCGTCTACGCTTCAACTCGTGGCAAAAATCTCCAGGTTCGTCTCGCTGCCTTGCACTTTACACCGCCACTTATTTCTTACACATTCTTCATATTTCCTACCAACAACCAGATCTCCCGAGAAGGACTGAGAAAGTGGAAAAAAACTCTTGACTAACAACCGGCGATGTAGCCAAAGAATATGAAGGAAACCTCTCTTCAACGGCCCTAAAGCACGGAACATCAAAACAGTTTACTGAGGCTGATGCTGCATTGAAACACTTTACCGAGGCTGATGTTGCTGCATTGAAATACTTTCCTGGGGCTGATGTTGTTGTCATGTTAGTTCTTGTCCTCCCACAGCTCCTATATTATTGGTGTTGCTATATTTCTGACGCCACCGTTTCCTTGAATAGTTATGCCAAAGGCGATGAAGTGCGCAAATGCCAGACTTGCAAGGAGGCCTTTGAAGACAGGTTTGATATACCATCGATATGGTGGACTACGCTGGCGAGGCGGTCTAACGGCTATTTTGGGTATGAAAATTTGCTTGATGAAAGTGGCACGACTCGGACAGGTACCAGTAAGTGAGAGATTACTATCACCCCGCCCCCCTGCATATAACTTCTCACTACGTATGAATTATGAATTTCGTGTACTGACGGAAGACCAGTCTCCTGGGTTCGGTTCCTCATGAAACGCGTCAAGAGCACAAATTCGGATCATAATAAAGACGATATCGATTATGAGTGGGTTAAGCTGAATGCTTTCGTACGATGGTATGCTGTTGAGCGCCGCACTGAGATTGTTCTCTTCGACCATCCCGAATTCGCACAAAAGGTTGGAGACGCTCTTATTTCACAAATCAAATTCAGTCAACTTGGCGATCCGTTTTGGGTATATCCTATTATGGCCCAAGAGGTTGCGGCTGTCCAGGATGAATGTGTATGGGAGCTCCGAACTCTTATTAGGAACTATGAGAAACACCGGCATCTTTATAGTGACCTGTTTGACTACCTCCACGAGGTCTCGCGCCATAGTATTCACATCAACGAGACTCTTCATGTCGCCGAATCTATCCTCGATAGCGTACAGAAATATCACGATCATTTCACCTCTACAGAGCTTAACAGTCAGACGAAGGACCATTCGGACCCTTTCTCTCAGAATGTCCGAAATCGTCTTGGTCACTTACAAACCACGTTCACCCATCTTCGGCATCGCTCTGAAGCCAATCACGAGCGTCTGAAAGCTGAGATATCTCTCTCATTCAATAAGTCCGCTCAAGCGGAATCCGCGGCTACGAGAACCATTTCTTTAGTCGGACTGCTTCTTCTACCAGCTGCCTTTATTGCTGCCCTTTTCAGCACCTCCTTCTTCAATTATGATGCCCCAACCGGCATTTGGGGGGTCTCGGGTAAATTTTGGATCTACTGGGCTGTTACATTGCCCGTGACGGCAATAACTGTTTTCTTATGGTTTTTTGGGCCTAGAATCTGGAACAAGGTGACGAATACTCTATTTCATTTTCGAGAAAAGAGACGGTTGAAGAAGGAAAACAGGGAAGAAGAGAAAAGAAGAAGAGTACTTGAAGAGAAAATGATAAAAATGGTATAGCAAATGTAAATATGATACACTACGGCTACACTTGCCAATTAATTTATCCCCCTTTTATAGTTTAAAGAATAACATTCGAGGTCAGGCGATATAGGAAAGGAATATTATAGAAGTGCGAAGTAAAGGGGTCCTCCGTCGAATATTTCACTTATTTTCTTCTTCTTCTTATTTTTTTTTTTTTTTAAAAAAAAGATTGATGCACGAGTTGACTTAGGGAGCGATTATTGTGTGTCTGACTCTTTGGTCAATGTATATATTGCTATAGTATCTGTGCCCTAGGATGTATACGTGCCTATTTCACAAATGAGAAGCTTAAATGTAGTAGGTCGTTTCGAACACAAGACGTGCAAAAATATACATTTCGTAAAAAGGATAAGAGGATAAGATGATTCGCCAATGAGTGATATACATATATAGCCCCTTTTCTTAGACGAACACTTTCTATTATTATTTCACAAAGCTAAACATACTGTATTTGGATCATTTTCGGATTGTAGATATAAAGGGGGACGATTTGGATTGGCTGAGATGATTACCTGGAAAGGCTCTGTATCAAAGCCACTTTAAGCCAGAGTATTCGACAGATTTAAACAAAACTGCATAAGATGGTGGCACTTGGTACGTGTTCAAATCTGATGTGAGAGGGCTTTCTGCACTATGAAACGCTGTCGTCTATATGCGTAAAAGGCAGACATTTGTCTAGCTGGCAGCAGACCCTATGTAGTATAATCTCATTAAACACAACTTTACAGTTTTCGAATTACAGCCCTTTCGGAACATGCCTTCTCCGGCTGACATGAAATAGCCACTGCTAAGACCGAGTGAACACATGCTTCATGATTCGTAGCCTTTGTCTGTGCTTGCAAGCTAGTGCCAGAGCCATGCCATAGAAGGCGTTTAGTTGCGCCTTGGAACGCAACGAAGCATGCAAACATTGCGCCTTTGATGGAGTGACTACAGTGCTTTAAATAACTCACACCGCCAAGATTGCACGACTCGTTGTAATTGCCAACCATCTAGTGTATTTTGGATAGATGACTCTGTGTGGAACAGCGGGATTCAGGTCAGACTGCTTTTAGACCCATGGCGAAGCCCAAGTCAAATCCTCGTGGCGTATTGAGGCTGACTGTCGCAGAAGACCCTTTAAAGTAAGGGCGGGCTCTTAAATAGCATCTGACATGTACGTGGCGTTGATGCTCATCTCATGGCCGCGGGAAGAGATTATTAGTGCGAAGAGCTGAGGGCAAAATGCCTACGCTAAGAAGCTCGCCGCCTCAGTTTCGTGAGCTAGCTGGCAGCCACGCACCGTGCTGATTTGAGAGGATGATTTGGAAACTCGTGGATCCAGCCATATGGACTTGAAATGAGACCAATAGAAGGTCCCGTACGGTAGATATTTAGGCGTGTAGATGGATCAGCTCACAATAAGAAGAGGTGGTTACCACATACTCACGCGGAGAGAGCGAGGCGGCATGTAAGCAGGCCCTTACATGCTATACTTGTCCGATGCGCCCAGAAATGGAGCACAGCGCCGTGGAGCAGTCTCTCTCTCCACTTTGGTTACTAGAAAAAGATTCACCGACATCCACGATTGAGTCCAAGCTATTGAGCGGTAAGGCCCGACATCAACAGCGCATTGACGGCGGTAGAAACAGGTACTAGGGATATCAGCGGACCGTAAGGTGTAGGTAGTCCACGTGTTGAGCGACCTGTGCCCTAAGTAAAGGCTGCTCATTAAACTTAAGAGTTGCACCAGTAGGAAGCGGATAGCTCTATTCGTAAGCATGGATGCAGGAATTATCCTCGCCATCATGTGCCCTGCATTTGGGTGAAAAAAAAAAAGAAAAGAAAAGAAAAGAAAAGAAAAGTAATAGCAATGGTGACGTTTGGGTGTTGTAGGCGTGATGACATGAGAGACTAGATTAGATAGCATTAGATACGGAATTTCTGGTGCATAGAAGGAGAAAGGACGGCACCTTCCTCACCTGCTTGAACCGTTACGAGATCCAAGATGGCTCTTTCCTCTCGAGACTAAGTTCTTAATTTCAAATATGTCTCGTCCATTTCTCATCTTTCCTTCTCTTCGTCTCCTATTCTCAACTTCATACGCGATGCAACCCACCCAGCAGCTCACATCCAGCGGTTTATAGGCAGCATTGGCGAGGCTGGGGAACTCATAATTTCCAGAACCTTGGCAAAGTCAAAAATTCGCCGAGCAATATCGCGTACCAAGCCACCAAGCCCAGATTGGCTTCGGTGCCGCTGCCGAAAATATCAACCAATCTGATACCCTGTGTGCCGTTCTCCGTGCTCGGTCGTCGTCATCTAGATATCATCTACGCAATATGCTGGCCGGTTTCTATTTCTTTTACCTCTCCTCCGAAATTTGCTAGCACTAATGGCAGTTTAGATGGCTCCAGTTTGTAAATGATCCGCGGCAGCATCGGCAACGGGGTCCAAATCGAGAACAATCCTGAGCTAGCTGAGCCCCCCACCGTTCTTTGGGTCAATGGGTAGTATAGTGTTGTTCTTGACGAAGATTTCGGTGCTGCTCCATATCGTCTTGAAACAATGGATTGCCGATTAGGAATATTGTGAAGTTTCTGCTTCTGTCCGAAATCCCCGATTTGCCACATCCATCACAGGCTATAGCTTCTGTATAGGTCTTTGCACGATATGCGTCTGGCTCTCTGCGGATCCTCACGATGCGGGTTAGTGAATAAGGTTTGCTCTGTGAGACAGTGATCATCAGGTACTCCGTGTCCATCGCACGATGCCTGTGGGCCAAAGGGTTCGGATCTTCATTGATTACGATTGTATCATTGGCAGTAGACCATCTTGCTGCAAGGGGTAATGAAACGACTGCCAAGACAGGATATGCCAATCTAGCATTCAAGCTGCTTGACCAACAAGTCAGGCAATCTCGCTTTGATAGCTAGACCAAGGCGCAGCGAGCTGAAACAGAAAAAAAAAAAACCATTTGACAAAATATGAGCTTTGACGCATTCTACCTACTAGCTGAGAGAAAAGGAACGAAAAATGATCCGAGGTCGATTTGACGGAATGCCGGCATCATCTCTTTTTCCGTGAGACGACTAGAAATTCGACAATTAAAGGGGTTAATGGTGTTTGTTCACCGCGTCTCCACCGTGGGAAGAAGTCGCACGCAGACGACGGTTAGACGCCACAGCCACGAGCCGCGCTGCAAGTGTAAGTAAATCACGCTTTAGCACGCACTGTTTTTAAGCTACAGCGGAGGACGGTGCTCGTACGAGCCGAAGTAGGAAAACTGGAGGGCTCGTATTCACTGTCGGCGCGTCAGGGATAATGACGTTTGGGTAAAAAAAGGGGCCACAATGATACGCTGGACCAGATTGGGCCTGAGCTGGATTGACAACGGCAGCAGCGGCAGCAAGCGATGCGAATCCTCGATGAGGATTGTATGAATGGAATCAATGAGCCAGCGCCGCGATCTCGAAGATGTACTGTTTAAGCGAAGAGGATCCACGAACCATGGGAAAGAAAGGAGGGGGTGGAAAAAGGGCCAAGCATTCACCGCTTGCTGTAGACTCGGGGACATGTCACTATTGACACAGAAGAGGCAAGGGCTGTCACGCTGCAGCGGTTCACCGACGTACTGTTCCTGCAGAGACAGCGCATGTTTGATTGCAATGTTGAACGACTTACGTACGCGAATGAGCATCGTCGTTGATAAGATGGTCCGACAAGATGATGATTCGCCGAGTGCGTAGAACGGAGATATTTTGTGAGCGGACTTCTTCAAGGATTTTCGGTACCTGGGCGAGCAGCTTTCACCAGAGCACTGCTTAGCTCTTTTTCGTGCGACGCTGTCCAAGCCCCAAGGATTGCGAATGATATTCATTACTTCTCATGCTTGCTGGCACTAACCCCGAGGCTAAGAATAGAGATGTGAAGACAAAGATTGGTGAGCAAATAAGCTTTACTTTTCCCGACCTCATTAAGCAAAATCTCACATGTTCAATCTCACTTGCAGCAGCAACATGGCCCTGGCTGGCAAGCGAAACCGCCTTGCGGTTCCATTTTGATTGATGCATACGCTAGCGGGAAATAGCAACAATCCAGGTATCTGCACATAGGGTGCACCGCCAGTTGGTACCTCCGAAGCTCTCGGAGTGCCGTGCCTTGGATTGTGATCTTGCCGAAGACCAGCGGCTCTCCATTCGCTGGCGCAAAGCCCCTGGAATGGCCCCTTAGCGGCGTTCTTTCTGGCGCTCTCTCCGCTGGTGCTTTAGCGGCCTTTAGCGGGTGCGCCACCGCACGGTCACTGGGCTCCCTGGCCTTGGCACCGCCTCCGCTGGGGTCAGCACTGTGTGCTAATAGCGTTCAGCCTTACTTGGTATTCAGATGGAATACAGAGAAACATCAGCGCGGGCTTCTCCTAGGGAGGGGACCCCCCTGTACCTGAACCTGCACGGAGTACTTCCTGGAGACGGTCGTTTGGATTTATATATTAGCACCGCGATCTCCCACCTGCGTCCATCTCGGCATTGATTCACTGCTGCGTCGCTCGTTTGTTCCTGGCTTTTGTTGCTTTCGCCGACGATTTCCTGCATCCTGCTCGCGTGATCAGATACCGCTACCGGCCACAATCGACGAGTTACTGCCACAGCTTAGTGCTACTTATTCGTTGCTGCCCCCGCCCTATACACACGACCACATAGTGTCTACACGAAACCGAAGTGAAAGAAGAGAAACTTTAATCGAGAAGGGGTGAAAAGAAAAGAGAAAAAAAGGAGGGAATCAAAGGAAGAGACAAAGTTGATATCTCATCGAACTCCAGAGGAGCTGTTTCTGGCAAGGCAAGCCATGGGAAGCAGCCCTACTGTACTTGGACCATATACCACAGATACCATACGACATCAACATCACCAAGATGCAGCGAGGAGGTAGCAGAGACGTGCGCTTTGCCGCAGATGACGACAGTGATTACGAGTATGAGCGCACCAGTTTCACATACCGGCCGCTCTCCAGATTGCCCACACCGCCTCCGACCTTGAATAAGCCGTCATTCGTGGACCAATCGCTCGAAGATGATGACACGCTGAACCCACGATATCGAGGTGAGTTTTTAGCTGCCTACCCAGCGCGTGCCTCTGTCAAGTGCCGTGTAGCGTAGACCGCTGGCATGTGCTTACACGGGACACGGATCGCGGAATACGGAGTAATACCGCTGCAGGCCTTGGGACTTGCATTTGCCGCTTTGGATATGGGCGAATCACATGGCTAACAGTTTGGGTTACAGGTCCCGCCATCCACCTCGTGAATCTGATTCCCGCATCGGCCTCGCTCGCGAGCGCCTCGGTGCCCTTTGTCCAGGCCATGTTATCGCGGGCCGAGCTCTCCATGGAGGTGCTGGCGCTGGCGGTTTGCATCCTCGACAGTCTCGACACTAAATTTGCGCGAACGTGGCGGCTCTCATGCCCGCTCTCGTGTCCTATGCGCAGTGACGATCTCGACCTGGACTCGCCAACCGCGGTTTCACCGGCCCTCATCAAGCGGCACTCACTCCCTTCGACACCGCGCGACGCTCCCCGCCAACAGCTGCACATCGACTCCGTGCGTCCCGAAATTATCATCCTGGCGGCCCTCATTATTGCGGCGAAGTTTACGCAAGATTCGCAGCAGCCACCGCACTTCTACCGCCTTGCGTGGGGCCGCGGCCTATGGTCAAACGAGCAGCTCAATGCTACGGAGCTACGCATTATGGAGAGCCTGGACTACCGCATTTTGCCGCTGTGCGACGATGACTGCCTTACCGACGCCATGGTGGACATGCAACTTGCTGCAGACCTAGAAGAGTCGGGATCACGATGGAACACGGCTCGCGAACCCACGCCTCCGGATAGTGCAGCTGGCAGTGATTGCGAGTTTGTGCCGAGCCACAACCGCTCCAAGACGCTTGGTGTGGCTATACTGGACGGGTTTCGATGATGTGGAGACGGCAAAAGAAAGTCGATGCTGCGGCTGATAATCCCTCAACTCAGAGGGGTGTTTTTTTTTCTCCTTTGGTATTCTTGACGAGTCATTGACAAAGCGATGGGCATTTTGTTCTTTTTCTTCTTCTTTTTCTTTTAATACCTGGCTTTCTATTTTTAATACGCTTAGCATGTTGAGCACACGAGCATATTCATTATGGCGTTTGGAGAATCGCAAAGCAAGGAGCAATAGCAATGGCTAGCCAGATACTAGCTACTTGGGTTCAGGAGTCTTTGTTTTTTTCGGATCATTTTAATTTTTTTTCTCACCTTTGGCCATTTGATTGGAACAAAGGAAGCATTTGATGAGCTGCATATGTGTCTTGTCTTCTTTTTTCTTTTTTTGGAGGGCACATTTACGGGCGGAGCACCCATGGGAGCCATTACTTGGAGGTGTTTTTGAGTTGGAAATTGCTGTTTGGCTGGGACAATTGTGTCTTTATACCACCTTGATCTTCTGTTAGTAGCCACATACCCATCTACATACCGAGCATAGTAGAGTTAGTCATTTACTGCTGCTTGCCTGTTGCGGCAAGCGGATATGATGTCTCGTATGATTGTTTACTTCCATCATATCTCTCGTCATAACCTCTGTGACTGTCTGACGACTTCTCTTTCGTCTTATAAAGTGGTCGGCATCAGTACATTCATTCTCTCTTTCAAAATATATTTGTATTTTCTAATGATACATGTATATATATATATCACTCATTACTGCATATACTAACAGGCGTAGCCCCTTTTTATGAAGAACAAAAAAAAACAAAAACGTCAATCCACATATCCCCCGATCAAATCAGGGACTCAGTCTCTCCAGTCGCCATCTTCCCTCTTCACCAGGCTTGCCTTCCTCCCACTCGTACACGAAGCGATCGTGCAACCTGCTCTCTCGACCCTGCCAGAACTCGACCCGCTGCGGCACAAGGCGAAGGCCGCCCCAGAAGTCGGGCACGGGGATCTTGTCCTGGTCTTTGAAGCGCTCCTCGACCTCCTTGACCCAGCCCTCCAGCTCGGCCCTTCCGTCGTCGTCGTCGTCGTCTTCCTCGCCGTCTGATGCCACCGCTGATTCGGCCACGTTTGACTTTTCGAGGTCGCCGTTTACCAGTCCCGCAGCATCTTTGCTCTTCTGCTTCGACTTTGGCGTCAGCACCACGGACTGCTTGCTCGCCCAGGCGCCGATGCGGCTGCCCCTGACGCGGGTGTCAAAGTAGGTCTGGCTCTCATCGCGCGAGTTGGTCTCGGTGATGCCCTCGACGCGGACCTGGCGCTGCAGCGGGGGCCAGTAGAAGACGAGGCTGGCGTGCGGGTTGGTCTGCAGGTCGTGGGCCTTGCGCGAGGTGCCGAGGTTGGTGTACATGACGAAGCCGTGTGAGTCGAGCTCCTTGAGGTAGACGACGCGCGACGAGACGCGGCCCGAGGGCAGGCTGGCGGTGGAGAGGGTGCAAGCCTCGGGCTGGGAGATGGACGGCGTGCGCTGGGCGAGGGAGAACCAGGCGTGGAACTGGGGGATGGGCGACGATGGGTTGAGGTCGCGCAGGTGTAGCTGCGAGAGGGTGAATTGGGGGGCTTGGCCGTGGGGGTTGTGGCCTGCTGGGGCGACTGTTGATGGTGTTTTGGTCATGTTAGTTAGTTGTTGGGTGGACGTGTATGCATGTATGCATGTGTCTATATATGTATCCATGTATGGTATAAGAGGATGAGAGCAAAGGTGAGTTTTGTGGTGTGCAGTGAGTCATGTCATCATATATGAGCTTGAGATACATGTACAACAACAAGAATATGCAGTTGCGGAGTCGAGATGAGTTGCAATGGGGGAAAACATACAAATCAGCTTCTCCTCCTCTGTCGTCGCAACCAACGAAGGGCGTCGGTACAGCGCCATCTTTGCCGTCGTCGATGTCGTCGTCGTCGAAGAAGCAAAATATCGCAGGCGGCTCAATCGCATTACCCCCCCAAGTTTGTTTTTTTTAGTCACACCACTTTTAGCGAATCTTATCTCTTTGTTTTCCACCCGGCCGCTCTCTCTTTCTTTATTAAAGCAGTCGTTTCTGTTTAAGAATGGAGAAAAGAAAGGGCCTGCTAATGAGATTGAGACTGGGAAGAGAAAACACAAAAGCAGAGAGAGAGAGAGAGAGAGAGAGAGAGAGAGAGACTATTGGATGAGGCTGAGAGAGGGAAAAAAAAAAGGCTTTAGTGATTGCTTGGAAGGGAAAAAAGAAGTGGGGGTGCGATCCAAACGCAATGACGCCTCTCTCTCCGTGCTTTGGCCGCTGGAAGGGACAGTGGCGTGGTTTTTTGCGGCGGCTGCTGTTGTAAGGTAGGATGCAACAAAACAAAATATGGGTTTGTGCAGAAGGATGAAGACGCTTTATATCAATACAGTCCTATTTAATATTCATTCTGCAACTATTATAATACTTCTCTCTCTCGAATTCATGTTCTCCTGACGAATCAATGACATGTTGCTTTGGCAAAAAACACGCCGCTAGCACTGTGAAAGGCTCTCCGATTCTTGCAAGAGATGCATCTCAGCGGGATCTGCACAACAACCTAGGATCTAACTCGAAGCAAATCTCTTTGTACCTCGTACCCCCAATACTCATATGCGTTGATCGCTAAGAAAAAGTATAATATACAATGGCTGTTCTAACTGGGGCGCTGGTGCGGACCCATTTCCCACTTAGTCTCCTAAAACTCCACGAAAGCTTTGGACGCTCTGATACCTCAGCTCCGAACCAGATAGTATAAAAGACATAGAACACACACATAAAACACACATACACATACAGATAAAACGTACGCAACGTACGTACGCAACGTATAAACGTACGTATACATACGTATACGCATAAAACTATATTGGGTATCATAGTACGGGGTATCTTATACGCCTGCGGGCTAACAAACGCCACACACAGAACGCTCTCTGTAAAACAGCAAATAACGCCAAACCCTTCCGAAAATAGGCAGACGATGCCTTAAATACGGGTTTAATACCTAGGACGTAGTCTAATATGTGTAACGCCCGCGAAAAAAAAAAAAGAAATAACCTTCTACATCGTAACCCCTTTTGTTTCCTTTTCATCCGTCCCAAAAATAAACCGAAATAAACAACGAAATAAGAAAAGCTCTACTCTGTACAGTCCTCATCCGGAAATCGCGCCACCACATCTGACAAAGAAATAGCTTCTCTACGAGCTAGCCATAACAAGTGCCAGGAGCGCCATCCTGCAGTAAAGACCATACCGCATCTATAACACAAAGTTAGCAAATTCAATGCCCCCATCATTTGGGAAGGGGCTTTTCCTTACCTGTCTGAAGTACGCCGCCCTCTGGTCAAAGTCCACCTCCTCAGCCACCTCCTCATTCCTTGGAAGAGGGTGCATCACAACCATGGAGCTCTTGGCGTTCTTCAGCGTAGCATTGTCCACGCGGTATGAGTCCTTCACCTTCTCATAAGCCTCCACGCTCTCAAAGCGTTCCTTCTGCACGCGTGTGCAGTACAGCACATCGCTGCGAGCAAGGATTTCGGGTGTCAGAGTCTCTGACTCAACCAACAGCTGTCCAGAGGCAATGAGCTGCTCCTTCACCTTGGCAGGAAGAGACAGCGCCTTAGGAGACACAAGCTGAACCTTGACCTGGTAGTGCTGGAGCAGGTACACCAGTGAGTGGACGGGTCGGCCATAAAGGAGATCACCCAAGAAGGTAATTGTCAGGCCCTGCACGGTACCCAACTCCTCACGGATGGTAAAGAGGTCGAGGAAGGCCTGGGTTGGGTGCTCCTTGCTGCCGTTTCCGCCGTTGACTACGGGGACAGGGCAGTACTTATTAGCAATGTCCACAGAAGTCTCCTGAGGGTGACGCAGGACAACGGCATCTCCGTAGCAGGCCAGGGTTCGCAGAGTATCCTGGAGCGTCTCGCCCTTCTGGACAGATGAGCTAGAAGTTGCAATCGCAATGGTACGTCCTCCAAGTCTCTGCATGGCAGCGTCGAATGAAGCCGAAGTTCGAGTGGAAGGCTCATAGAACAGCGTGCAGAGGACGCGGCCGCGGAGGACGTTCAAAACACCCTCGCGCTGAACGCCGAGTCGCATCTCTTGAGCTACAGTGAACAGCAAGTGCAGGTCAGATCGAGTGTACTGCCTCACGGACAGAACGTGGGCGTTCTTGAACGAGTTGGGCTGTGACAGCAGCTGCTGAAGAGAGCTGGCTGCCGGCTGGGGAGACAAAGCCAGGCCAAGCTCATCCACAGCGCCTCCAAGTCTAGCAGGAGAGCCGAGTCCCTCAACATTGCGGAATCTAGCGGCAATCTTAGGGCTGCTGAAGCCAGCTAGTTGTCTAGGTTTGGGGCTCTCGGTAACTTGAGTAATCAAACCCATCGCGGGCTTCAAAGAGGGAGAAGTCGGGGCTTCGCGAGAAATGCTGTGCGAAGACATATCCTTGCCCTTAGGAGACGCTGCCAAGAGTTCGCCATCCAAGCAGACTGTGGTATCCTGGAAGGTAACTCTGCGAACAGATCCGCGCATAAGTCGACCTTCAAACGGCGACCAAACGTTGCCAGGCTGGACTGGGTAGGCACGGTCGATCTCAACCTCAATGCTGGTGCCAACCTGGTCATGGAGCTCAAAGATTTCCATGGGGTTCTGGTAAAGCTTCTGCTTGAGATCGTCAATCGTCAGCTTGCCCTCAGTAACAGAGGTGAGCAGGAGCGGAAGAGCATCTGCAATGCCACTTGACGTGTCAGCCTTCTTTCCTAGAGACTCAGCCAGCTGATAAGGCAGGCTTCCAACAGAGAAGACGTCAATGGTTGACATGTTCTCCCAAAGAGCTGCCTGATCTTCAGGGGTCGGGAGGAGTCGATCCAGCTCAGGGTAGTCCTTGGTAGACAGGTACAGAGAGTAGATAGAGACGTCACAAGAAACGCGCAGTCCCTTGGCCTTGCTGAGTGCAATCAGACGGATATCGTCCTTGTTTGTGACCGAAGTAACGTGAATGCGGCGGTTGTGCAGAGATGCCAGCAGAAGGATCGAGGCGAGGTCAGTGAGCTTGGCGTCAGTGACAATGACCTTGTGCGTCGGCCAAGCATCAAAGTGGGCAGTGACAGCAGCCACCTTGCTAATGTTGCCAGACAGGTGGTTGAAGGGAATGAAGAGCGAGCCGACTTCACCGGCAAGGGCGCTGATCTGGCCGTCGTTATCCGAGGTGGCAGAAACAGACAGGTTGTAGTCGCAGTAGTCGCCAAGCTTGCTGTTCTGCTGGGCAGCTCTGAGAGTGATACCGTCGGTGATGGCGCCCTCTAGGCCAAGAGGCATGACACGGATCATGCTGAAGCCTGCAGAGATGGAGGCCTTGGTAACAGTCTCCATGTCGTGGCTCTCTGGCGTAACAAGTCCAGGGACAAAGGCTGCAACGTTGATCAATCCAGGCAGGACAACTGTCTTGTGGCTGGTCTGGTAATCACGTTTGCTAACGCTGAGATCGAAGCTTCGAGCAATAGCCTCAATGAGGATCTTGGCGTTCTTGACGTTGGTAACCAGAGGAATCTGGTAGTCGACAGCCATACGACGAGTCTGGTAGCCTCTGCTCATGTAGTTCGCGGGGCGGCGGTACTTGTTGTTGGAAGGCAAGTTGATGTACAGATCAATCGTGTTCTTGGAAAGATGCTGGGTGAGAGAGAACTCAGAATCCTTGTCTTCCTCCTTGCCGAGAACCTCGAGGTACTGAACGGGAACGCCGTGCTCCTGCAAAAAGTCGGCAGTACCAGCTGTGGCGAACAGCTTGTAGCCAATCTTCTGGAGCTTCTGGACCGATGGAAGCATCTCCTTCTTGTCCTTGTACGAACCAATGGACAGAAGAATGTTCTTCTTGGGAATCTTGAAGCCGGTAGACAAGAGAGCCTTGAGGTATGCCTCGTTCTTGTCAACACCGAAACAAGCAACCTCACCAGTGGAGGCCATCTCGACACCAAGAACAGGATCAGCGCCAGAAAGACGAGAGAAACTGAACTGAGGAACCTTGATACCGACGCAGTCGGGGGCAATGTCTGTAGGTGGATACTCCTGGAAAGGCTGGCCCATGATTGCCTTGGTGGCCATCTCGATCAGATCAACTCCCATGACCTTGGAAACGAAGGGGAACGAACGAGAAGCTCGGACGTTACACTCAATAACCTTGATGTCGTTATCCTTGGCAATGAACTGGATGTTGAAGGGACCAGTCACGTTCAGAGCGGCACCAATCTTGCGAGTAGCCTCTTCGATGCGTTGAATGGTGGTGCGCTCAAGATCTTGTGGGGGCAAGATGAGAGTAGCATCACCAGAGTGGACACCTGCGTTCTCAACGTGCTCAGAGATGAAGTGGCCAACGACAACACCGTCCTTGGCAACAGCGTCCATCTCAATTTCCTTGGCGTTCTCAATGTACTTGGTGATAACAACAGGGTGCTCGCGTGAGACCTCGGCAGCCTGAGCCAAGTAGCTTTCCAAGTCCTTCTCAGAGTAGACGGTGTTCATGGCAGCACCAGAGAGGACGTATGAAGGTCGGACCAGAACGGGATAAGACACCTTTTGGCAGAAAGCCTGGGCTTCTTCGAAGCTGGTAAGCTCCTTCCAAGTAGGCTGGTCAACTTCGATTCGGTCCAGCATACGAGAGAACTTGTAACGGTTTTCGGCGGTATCAATCATTTCAGGAGAGGTACCCAGCACCTTGACACCAGCACGGTGGAGAGGCAGAGCAATGTTGTTGGGGGTCTGACCACCCATAGCACCAAGGACGCCGCTAGCATTCTCCAGCTGGTAAATATCCAGAATCGTCTCAAGAGTGATGTTCTCAAAGTACAGCTTGTCAGCCTCATCGTAATCGGTGGAGACTGTCTCTGGGTTGTAGTTGACCATGATGGTCTTGTGGCCGGTGGCTCGCAGAGTGCGGATGGCGCGAACAGAGCACCAATCAAATTCGACGGATGAACCAATTCGGTACACACCAGAGCCCAGAACCATGACACCGTGGTCCTCAAAGTTAACGTCGTGCTCAGACGCGTTGTAGGTGAGGTACAGGTAATTTGTGAAAGCAGGGAACTCGGCAGCAACTGTATCGATCTGCTTGACGAAGGGCTGGATGCCAGCCTCGAGCCTGAGTCTGCGGACAGCAATCTCGTTTGAGCTCCAGAACTTGGCAAGCTGTCGGTCGGAGAAACCCAGACGCTTGGCCTGGAGGAGGATGCCGGGGTTGTGTGCAATATCGTTGGTGGTGTATTGAGGCATAGCCTTAGCGAAGTCGCTCAAGCCCATAAGCTTCCTGAGGAACCACTTGTCGATTCTGGTCATCTCCCAAATCTTGTCGACTGAGTAACCCTGGTGCATAGCGTTGGCAATAGCGAACAGACGCTGGTCAGAGGGTGTTTGCAGCTCATCATCAATGCTCATGAGAGCCTTGGTCTCGCCAAAGCCGAGATTGTGGAAATCAATGGCCCGGATAGCCTTTTGGATGGCTTCCTCAAAAGTGCGACCGATGCTCATGACTTCACCAACACTCTTCATGGAAGAGCCAAGCTGGGTGGAAACACGAGTGAACTTCTTCAAATCCCATCTGGGCATCTTGACAACGACATAGTCGAGGGACGGCTCAAAGCAGGCGCAGGTGACCTTGGTCACCGAGTTCTTAATCTCCTTGAGGGGAATTCCAAGACCCAGCTTAGCGGCAATAAACGCCAGAGGGTAACCGGTAGCCTTGGAAGCCAAAGCAGAGGATCGAGACAGACGAGCATTGACCTCAATAATGCAGTACTCCCTGGAGAAGGGGTTCAAGGCATACTGGATGTTGCACTCACCAACAACGCCGAGGTGTCGAATGACATTGACGGCCGTTGTTCGGAGCATGTTGTAGTCCTCATCAGAGAGAGTCTGCGAGGGGGCAACAACAATGGAGTCACCGGTGTGGATACCGAGGGGATCAAAGTTCTCCATGTTACAAACAGTAATGCAGTTGTCCTGAGCATCTCGGACGACTTCATACTCAATCTCTTTCCATCCCTTCATGCTTCGCTCAATGAGAACTTGAGGACTAGCGGCAAAGGCTTTGTTGCAAAGATCCATCAATTCTTGTTCGTTGTTGGCGAAACCACTTCCTAGACCACCCAGTGCATAGGCAGCACGGACGATGACGGGGAAGCCAATGTCCTTGACGACGTGGAGAGCCTCCTCCACGTTGTTGGCTGAAGCAGACTTGGCGCACTTCTCGCCAATGGAGTCCATGCTTCGAGCGAAGAGCTCACGGTCTTCAGTTGTGATGATGGTATCAATGGGAGTACCCAGAACTTTGACACCGAGGCTCTCGAATTCGTCCTTGAGCTGGATACCGACCTGAAGGGCGGTTTGACCACCAAAGGTAACGTAAATGGCATCCGGACGCTCGTACTGAATGACCTTGCGCACGAAGTCGGCGTTGACAGGGAGGAAGTAGACCTTGTCAGCCAAGCCCTTTGAAGTCTGAATGGTGGCAATATTGGGGTTGATGAGGACAGTGTAGATGCCTTCCTCCTTCAGCGCCTTGATAGCCTGGCTACCAGAGTAGTCGAACTCTCCGGCTTGACCAATGCTGAGACCACCACTGCCAAGAACAAGAACCTTCTTGACGGAAACGCGGGGGTGAAGTCTCTCGTTCTCCTCAATGGTTCCGCCGGGGAAGGCGACAGGAGCTTGCAGCAGAGCAGGGTTTTCAGCACAGCCAGCCATGGTATTAATGAATACATCGAATAGATATTCAGTGTCTCGAGGGCCCGGGGTGCTCTCGGGGTGGAACTGAACACTGAAGTATGGCTTTTCAACGTGCATGATACCCTCGTTGCTGCCGTCGTTGGCGTTGATGAAGAGCTCTTTCCAGCCAGCAGGCAGAGAGCCGGCATCCACGGCGAAACCGTGGTTCTGAGAAGTAATGTGGCACTTTCCAGTGACCATGCTTGTGCAAGGAATGTTGTGACCGCGGTTACCAAACTTCATCTTGGTGGTCTTTGCGCCCGAGGCGCGGGCCATGAGCTGGTGGCCCAAGCAGATACCGAAGATGGGAATCTTGTTGGTCTCCATGACGGCAGCAATGTTCTTAGCAGTGCTCTCGAGCACAGCTGGGTCACCAGGACCGTTGGAGATGAAGAGGCCATCGTACTCCTCGCTGACCGCCTTGGTCAGGTCATAGTCCCAAGGGCAGACTACGACTTCGACACCACGCTTGAGGAAGCATCGAAGCTGGTTGTACTTCATACCGACATCAACGCACAGAACACGGATTGTCCGGCCGGAAGGATGCTTGCGAGCAACGACAGACGCGGGCGGCTTATACAGCTTAGGCTCCTTGACGGATACTACGAAAGGCATGAGCATATTTCTTTTTATGTTTTGGGTTTACATCTAGTAGAAAGAGGGGCATATGGGGGAACTCACCCTGTGCCACCAAGTTTTGTGTGTTGGGGTTCACCCAGTCAATTGCCTCGAAAGCATCACCGGAGGCAAGGCTATCCGCCGTGGCGGTAGCGCTGGCAAGTCTCATCTTGCCCAGCATGCTACCCTTCTCTCGGATTCTCTTGGTCAGGGCCCTGGTGTCCACGCCATACATGGCCGGGACGCCCTGTTCCTTGAGCCATGTGCCAAGAGAAGAGGTGGCAAGGAAGTGGGAGAAATCCTCGCCGCAGTAGGAAGCGGTAACGAGACCAGCAATGTGAATCTGCGAAGACTCGAAGTGGGCAGGCAGATCACCGAGCAGCTCATCGAGCGTCTCGCGCGAAGGGACACCATAGTTTCCGACTAGGGGAAATGTGATAACAAGGATCTGGCCACGATATGAGGGGTCCGTGATGGACTCGGGATACCCCACCATACCAGTCTGGAAAACCAGCTCTCCGGCGATGCTCTTCTCAGCACCGAAGCTGAAGCCTTGGTAGATGGAGCCATCTTCAAGTTCCAGGCACACCGGTCGCTCATCGCCGCTGTGGCTAGCTGTAGCAGGTTTCCGTAGCTGGACAGCCATTGTGTTTACGGCGTGAAAATTTCTGACTTTGATAGAGGTTCAAAGTACTGAAGGGATGGAAAACAGCTGAAGCTTGGGACTTTTCCGTCGTCTTACAAGCTCTTCAGGTTCTTTTTTCCCTAATTCAGCTACCGACACTGGGCGCGGGGCAAGATTCTGCTGATGACAATGAGTGAGTGAACGGGAGGAGGGGCGAAGGTGGCTGGAGACAACTGACAAGAAAAACTCGTTCTCAGAGCTTTTCCCGGGCAGGTCAAGAGCTACCTCGCGCTCATCTGCTGCCTCAACAACAATTAGAAGGCGTCCTTCAGAGGTATTAGACCGAGAATAAAGAAAGAAGCTCGAAGGATGCCCTCGCCGTAGTTGAGGAGGAGGGAGAAAGAAGAAGAGAAAAAAAAAATCTCAGCGCCAGCCAGTGGACGTTCTTAACACCACCAGCAACTTTTTTTTTTTTTCTGCCAGTGCCATCATCGCCCGTGCTAGCCTGCCGCCCTGAGCCACGCCATTGGCCAATGGAGCTGAGATCACAGCGCCAGTTCCACCGCCACCGGCGAGATGGGCCAATGGCAGGGCGATCTTGGGGCTGCTATATTGCCTATGATGGATGCTTGCAGGGCATTTGCGTGGGATTGATTCAGAGGCCATGCGCTAAAATGGACCCCGCAGCCCTGTTAGTGACTTGACTTGACCCCTCCATGGCGGGCAGAAATTTATTTTTGTCCCTGGATGGAGGTGACGAGATCCGGGCGTCTTTGCATGTGCTTTCACCAACATGAGGATTGGGGGGTAGCAATGGCAGGCAATCGAACAATGAGACATCTTGTATGCAGTTTCTATGCTTTGTATTGATATTAAATGCCATCATCATTGAAAAACTTGCGTTGAACAGGTGTCACGAGACTGCTGTGGGATGTACAAGTTGTAGCACCCCGAAAAATCTGCGGAGCGCCCAAACGCCTCCGCAGATCCCTCTTTTTTTTTTTTTTTCTTTTTTTTCCACTTGTGGATCAAGGCAAGCCGAAAACCAGTTGCGGGTTGGGGACGAGCGAATCTGGACTTGCTCTTATCACGGCCTAGTCGTCACCGTGGCTAAGCGGCTAATTGCTATGTGTAATTGTCTGTTGTACAAGATATTACGATTTTGAGCTTCCCAAGCAATTGGCTAGTCTACATTGGTGTTTTTGCAATTTCGGCTGAGTGAAGAGATTTTCTGTTCCGCCCAGATACGCGGTTAGATCAGAACAAGCTTTACCATCGATATAATGTCTGACTCGTACAATTCCTTCCGTCCTTTAGCCCGTACAGGTTATAATGGTTTGCCTTGAAGCCGTTCCCAGTTATACATCAAGCAGTAACAGATGAAAGTGATGGTGGCAAGTTTTTGGCATAGATGGAGAAGAGTTACTCAACAATTATCTAACAGCATTCCTAAGACCCATGAGAAGCTCCAAACTAGCTTTACCGGCAATCAAAGCTCCTTATACATCTTGTAATTCTGAATTGAACAGATACTGGATGAACAAACAACATGGATATATAGATACCAAAGCTCCAATACGAATCCGTGTTAACGATGAATGAGTTGCTAGCTCAAGATCCTGAATCTTTAACGCCCAATTGTTGCACCATGCAGTTAGACTTGGTACACCGTCAGTAAATATTGTGGCAACATAGACGACCTCTCGTTTAGTAGCTTTCTTCTTAAAACAGTTGCTTAGGTGGAGCACATCTATACTGAAATACTTGTATAGTAAAGAAAAGAAAAGAATAGAAAGAAAATAGCTAGGGGAATGAATGCAGTGAGGTGAAAAAGATTGTAGTCATTGGCCTATCAGATCTCTTAAATACAGACCTATCTTCTCTCGAATCTGATGGGCTTGCTAAAAACACTCATACATACCTACATGCATTAGTAGTGTATGATTTAGCGACTTGCATAGTTCTTCAACACATATTACACCAACTTGGGTTTAAAATTCTCTAGGCCGTGTGTTGCGGCACATATATGTACAAGTTGCGCTTAAATTGTCAGTTGGAGAAGACGCTGATGCCCGCCAAAATTACACCAATCGACAAGTTCAGGGTGCCAACATATATTTGTATAGTAGATAAGGTGCATTAATACTACACAGATAGGCAGTAGCTAAATCAGCCAGGCCTATCTAATGCAAGGAGACTTCCCCCTCGGAAAGATGTTCGTTCTTTTATGCTTCGAGAGTTTATATGCATTTTTGTAACATCCTTGCCATGCGAGTCCATAGAAAATATCATAGTACCACAGAAAAAGAAAAAAAAAAAAAAGAAAAAAAAGAAAAAAGAAAGAAGAAAAGGAAAGAAAGAAAGAAATGCCAAATGATATCATATAGCCAAACCATCAAGTCGCGCCTCTAAATAAGCAGATCGAAAACGCCAGCAGGAAACTGAGAGAAATCGTAGGCCATGTTCCCTTCCGCTGCCATAAAACCTCTTTTTTGGGTTCCGGCTCTCAATTCTCTCATCATACTGCACACATACCCTTCCCCGCGGCTGTAAATCTTTAGTCATGACTCAGAACTGGTATACTATTGCATAGGCACGCCGGCTTGTGGATTCATTGGTGGCCCTGGCATATTTGGTAACTGGGGTGTTCTCTGGGCTGCCGGGCTAGCTTGTTGGCTTGCTACCATAGGATTGCCGGGCTTCTGGCCGGTGGCCGACGTGCGGTATGCAGGTTCATTCTTGGGGTCATGCTCAGGGAAGACGGCTTGCAGTCGTCGGTACAGATCTTGAATCGATTTATTCCGTTCTTCCCTGTCTGCCACGGGGTCTATCGGCACGCTCGAGTTCTCGGCACCGATCGGCAATGCTCTCAATTTCAGAGCCATATTGAGCGGAGGCGCGCTGAGATATGGCGGGCACGGAGGGAGTTTGACATCGGGTTTTCGATCGGCCAGGGCAGCCATGTATGATAGATTTCCTTGAAGTCGTCGCATACAACTAGATGACATATTAGTGATTTAGAACAAGAGTGCGCATTCTTGCTTTTCGCTTTTCAACCGTAATTTGAAACATACTGTAGATAATCATGCTGGAACTGGCTCTCCTCTTCTGTAGGCTTCCTGTCGGGAACATTTCCATTGGCGGCAACGAATTCTTTTTTCAGTTCTTGCTGTGTTGTCTGGATCTGAATGGACTCATATAGTAACTCGTGGTTGATATCTAACAACAGTGCAAATCTCTCCTTTTCAAGACTTTCGGTTGTAGGGCTCATTGGTACCGCGCTTGCTGGGGCAGCAACCATGCCGCTCGCTGGGTTGGATGAAAAGGTCGGCGTCTGAGGGGTGGCTACTCCCATCTGCGGCTGGTGCTGGTTTGTAGGCGTCTGGCCTTGAGATATCGGCTGTGGAGTCGAGAACTGAGGCTGCTGGGGAGGCATGATATTGGTCGGCGTTCCTTGTGTTGTGCTCGGAGGTCTTTGAGGCGTTGACACCTGTGCCATCATCTGGTTCTGCTGTTGCTGAGGTAGCTGCTGGTGGGGCTGCTGCTGCTGTTGTTGTTGTTGAGGCTGTTGTTGTTGTTGTTGAGGCTGTTGTTGTTGTTGTTGAGGCTGTTGCTGCTGTTGCTGGTGCTGATGCTGTTGCTGTTGCTGTTGCTGTTGCTGTTGCTGTTGCTGTTGCTGCTGCTGTTGCTGTTGCTGCTGCTGTTGCTGTTGCTGTTGCTGTTGCTGTTGCTGTTGCATGCGCTGCAACATCTGAGGCTGCTGAGGCATCCCGGGCTGGCCCATTGGGAAGCCCTGCATGCCAGGGCCCATCATGTAGTTATTGGGAACGAAGCCTTGAGGACCGACCGACCCAGGGAGCACCTGGCCGTATGACGCGCCGGGAAATTGCTGCTGGTAGGCCACTATCACGAGTTAGCAGTGTAAGCGTTACGCTGTTGCACAACGGCTGTGCCAGCGTCAATGTGCCGTCAAGACACGGGGGAAGACCTACTCTGGTTGTTCGGCGCCATGCCAGGCATGCCCTGGCCCTGCATCATGGCCGCGCTGGCGTCCTGCATCATATGGGGGTTCGCGCCTGGGAAGACTCCTTGAGGAGCCATGCCGGCGAATTGCTGCTGCCGATTGAACATGGCCTGCTGCCCGGGCTGCATTCCACCGGGCTGCATTCCTGGCTGCGGTGCGCCGGCGGGGGGGTTGAAGTTGGGCGCGGCATTGCCAAAGCCATAGTTGGCGGAATACATGGCTGGCAAGGAGATTACACGGACGAGCCGCAGAGGCTGGGATGCTGTTCCGTCGGCGGAATTCGAGGTCGCGAGGGAGAGCTGGCGGGCGACGAGAGACGGTTTTTGCGGTTGACGATCGCGGAGCGGCTGAGAAGTTGTTGTAGATGGAAAATGGCCTTAGCGGGTCGAGGAGCGCGAAACTAGCCTAGTTGGCAGCGCTGCAGTCGCGGAATGACGTGAGATGCAGATGAACTGGGCGCTGGATCCAGTTGCACTGTCAGGCACACGATCCAATAGTCCGCAACCCGGGAGGGCAATCTGTGCGGATTTGCAGCCGGGGGCCAGCTGGTGGGATATTAATAGAATCTACGCAGTAGTCGCTGCTGGCTCGCTATCTCGAGGCCACGGGGGAGATCAGGCACAAGCACCGTGTTCTGCCAGGCGCTGCTAACGGTGTCGCTGAGTCAGTCAATAATAAAGACGGGATCTCTGCATGTGAAGACTGCAGTTCCAGCCAGGCTGCTTTACGCCGAGCACTCTTTGCAGCTGGAGGAGGGAGAGCAGCAAACTGGTGCTTACTTGGACTTTCAACAGTGAATTCGAATTCCAGCGCCGTGTTCTTCAGGCTTGCCGATGCCAATGGGAAAAGAAAAAGGCGGCCGGGAGGGACGATCAAGGTTTGCTGGCGCGCGGATAGGTGGCGACGGACGATGAAAGATTGGCTGGTTATTGGATCAGAGCAGGTTCTACGGCGAGTCTGCAATCGAGTGTAGCCACGGGCCGTGCCTCGCTTAATAAGCCCGGTATTGATAGAGCCTTCGTGCCTACAGTATGTAGATAGCATCAGGAATAATCAAGTTGAGAGGTCATATAGGCTGCAGAGAAGACACTGTTATGTATAGGTAAAAGAAATTTAGAGTAACTATAAGGTATATATATAGGTGTAGCAGTAAGATGTCAGTCCAAAACTCGGCCGGTGAGGTTGGTGATATTAGATAAGTGTAGATGTTGAGCACACAGTTTACTCGACACAAAGCATATGATCCAGTCTCGCCGCTATTATAGTACATGTATGCAGCCCTAAATCAATATCACATACCTAGTTACTAAAGCATTCTGTCTGTCTGTGATGGGCTGAGCTGTCTTTGGTACAGTCAGCCACCTCCGGGTACAACCTCACACCTTGAATGTGAGCATCATTATAGGGTAAGTCAATCTTGCAAGTTGGGTACTCATCTCATGGACAGATGAACTGTCCTTAAAAAATAAAAATAAATGACTGTTAGAGTTCTCCGGTCCAATTTGGCTGAGCTGCTCTCCCTCTCTCATGTATCTGCGGACTCAAGACACTCAGTAGCGCCAATCTCAAAAAGGCGACTTACACATCCAAGAAGGACATTTCTCGCTAGCAAACGTAATCACTGCCATCCTTTACCATTCCAACCTCTGCGCTGATTATATGCTGCAGATACTTAACATACATGTAGTCATAAAAGAAGTCTTCCAAACTCGATTCCAATCAACTTGATTTTCTTTTCTATCTTCATTGGTTCTGCCCACAACTCATGCTAGTGATATGAGACGCCATATTTCGACTTTCCTTCCAAAAGGCTGATGAACTCGTCGGCCACATATTCGCATGTCCTCTCAGATGGATGCACTTCGTCATACCTAAATAGGACCATATCCAGGTCAGAATCTAATTTCACAGGCTGTAATAATGTCTCGCGCTATGAGAGAACGTATATACGTACCACACGAAATTCGACTGCGGCTCAGTCGACTGATAGCAGCCTGAGTCTCCGCATCCCCTCCACGAGCTGGTAATGTTGACAGGCTCAGTGTAATACTTGGATGGGTTCGCACGTAAATCAAGCAACAGCGAGTGAACGTCCAATAGGCTGACTGTCGCACCTGGCCAACGCTTCTTGATAAGTAGATTATACGGCGCTCCCGTGGCAAACATGGTGTTGGCGCTGGTCAGATACTCCTCCATCTTATACTGAGTCTCTGTGGTGTTAAACGACTCTTTATTGCCCCAATATTCGTTGTTTCCAGCTCCACCATTGGGGATGGAGGCATACATGGGCGAAAGTTGCAGCGGAAGCACGTTGAGCAGGACGAATTGCCTGCCTCCCAGCTTATACACACCGTCGAAGGCTTTCCAGACACACTCTACAAAGTCTGTGATTGTAGCTCCCTGGACCTGCTCTTCGCCCAGAAATCCGTCAATTCCAAGGTCATTAGTTCCGATCCACAGCGCGTAAACTGTGTTATCTGCTCTTCGGTCTGGGTATAACCCTTTATACCCCAAATCTGTCTTGAATGCCGGGACCTCGTAGTCCAAGATGGACGGGAATGGCCCATTGATATTGCCCAGGTAGTGCTGAGTAACATTGTTAGAGCACATACCACCTGCGACAGCATAATCGTAGAGCTTGGCTCCCGTTTTTTGCGCCACGAGTCTTGGCCAGGCATATCCGCCCACCGACGTTTGATTGTTCACCGGCAATAGCTGGCCAGGAGGAGGGAGAGCGTTGTGATTGAAGATGTAGTTCAAACGTCCTTCATCTGTATAGCTGTCTCCAAATGTAACTAGATTGCTTAGTTTTCGCAGACCAGATATGCTGGCAGCTGCTGCGGCCGTGGCGCATAATAGTAATGAAAGCATCTCGCTTTAGATATCTGGTGTAAGCTTCATGCACCGAAGTCTTTCTTTTGCTAAAATAAAACAAACCTCCATTTCACACGGACAAAGGGCAAGAGGGAGGGTATTTATGTATCATTGTCTTGTCTTGGGCCCTCTTCAAAGAATATTCGGACTTATAAAATCGGTGCTCTCGCATTGGACATCAGCCGACGGTATTCATTCAATCATAGATCTCCCCCACCTTGGAAGTCTGGGGTATGAAGATGCGGCCAATAAGCCTGATCACCCTGTATCCGGCTTTTAAATGCCCGACATCCCCAGATTTGCTCTCCGCGAAATCCTTCCCCGCATCGTGGATCCTGGGCCGTTGAAAGACGGCGTGTCCAAATTTGAGCATAATAGAACTTTCATGTGTTTCAAGTCAATTTGCGTATAAGTGTCTGGCCATTCTATAACTTGAAGTTTAAATTACAAAATGAAGCGATACATTTTTTTTTACTTTATACAGACGACATGTCCCGAATGTTCGGACCCTCACCGCCAAAAATGAATACATCAAAATGACACTATCATCCACCAAACTATCGCTGACGTAAATGCCGACGGTTATAATAATCCCTCATCTTAGATATACGGTTCTAGATTTCCGAACCTCTTGCCTATTTTGAAGATAGAGTCTCGTGATATCTATATCAGCTTATACGATCTCCGAATGATAGTCCGAAAATAGTTCATTGGATAAGACGGCAATGGAGCGCACCATCTCCATGTGCTAGCGACTTAAAGCATATAAACATATATAGCTTAGAAGTTTATCTAATACAGTCATCAAGAAAGAAAGCTAATCTTTGCGAGAAGTCGTCACAATATCAGCTGGATGGTGTCATCTATGAAATTAAATCTGTTGAAAAAAGCAGCAGTGAAGTAAGAATATATGGTATGTATACATATATGTGTATGTGTATTCGAATAAACGGCTCCTCGCCTCTGAGCCGGTTATGCAGAAGTTTTGAAGTGGGTATTAAACCACGCAATGCACTGATCAGTCGCATCGTCCGCCTGCTTTACAGCATCCGGAAATTTGTGATCCGCCCTAACACAGAATCCATGTCCACAGTCAGGGTAGACGGTTACTTCTCCTCGAGCTAGCTCGGGCTTTGCCTCAACGATGGCCTTGATATTCTCAGCTTGAGCTACTGAAAGGTAGCTATCGTGATCACCAATTGCAAATGATACCGGCAGTGTTAAGTTGTTGATGTCGGCGGGAAGACTCAAGAGACTTGGGTGTCCCGTAAATCCAACATCAATCAGCGGCCGCCCATCAATTTTATCGCCCCGGCCCAGTAGCAAGACCTGCTTGCCACCCCAGCAGAAGCCAGCGGCGCCGACTGATAGCGAAGCGCCTTCTTCTTTGCGGAGTTGTTCAAAGAATCCCTTTACTCTGGGCCATGCCTTAGAGGGCCAATTGATAAAGAGAAAAGGAAGTATAGCACATAGAACGCGGAACCCGTGTCGGCTGAAGTAAAAGTCAGCTCTGCGTATACGTGTAGTTATCTCTCAACAGCCTTTTTTTGTTATGAAAGGTTAGTACTTACATTTTGGTAAAGATTCCAACATCACTTGATACGATCTTCATGCTCTCCATCATATACAATGGTGCCGGGTGACCTACAGCCATTAGCTTTTGACACATGAAAACGGGCGTAAGGCCATATACGTGGACTCTGAACTTACCTTTCATGAAGTCGGGAGCATACACCTTGAAGTCTCCTTTGTCGGCATAGCTATCCGCAAGCAGCCTCACGTTGACAAATTCCCACCCAAATGCATCTGGGAGGAGAACCACAATGCCTTTAGCAGGCCGTCCATCAGCTGGATTGACAACATATGTGTCTAGTCCGTAAGCTTTAGTGACTTGTCCACGCGGTTGACCCTCGTGGACGGAACCACGGTAACAGTCTGGGCATGACATTTTGCTTGAATTTTTGGTGCTATTATAGCGTCGAGAGAGATGCTGCTGCTTCTGTTGTTCGATTAACAATAGGCGTGATTGCGTCAAAGTAAATTTGAGGTGAGGGGCAGTCGAATCACATGCAAGAAGATTGTGATATAAGTTTTGTAATTGTTTCAATGCCAATGCCGGCTAAACACAAAGTAAACAAATACTCGGATGTTTAAACGAACTTTCCAACCGCTGGTTCAATTGAACGAAAGTGATTTCCAAGTAGGTGGGAAGAAGAGTTTTGAGCGTCCGCTGGAAGACTGCGTATTACAGGGTTACCAAGTGCTCAGCGCGAACTCCATACCCGATACATATCTAAATACCTACAGCAAACGTGCCTGCTTGTTATACTAAGCCATGCGGTGAATGAACAATTACGGCGTTAAGAGCTAAGCCCGATAGAGAGTATTTACGTAGGAATCTATCTCGTGCCAAGTGGATATAGAAAACAATATACATCACAAAGCGAATACGAGCTTACAACTCAAGTAATACGCGCATCAATTTAGGTCAGAAAATGGAACCATTATGTGCGCCTTATCTGGCGCTGCGTGCTGATAATTCGCCGTGCTCGGCACCTCCGACCACCGCTTGCCTGCTTGATTGCCACAAGCGAAATAGCTCAGAAAACGATGATACCTTCGTACGCAAAAAGCGGAGCCCAGCTGCTTCTTCGACGCGACTTCATCGGCTCCGAAGTGACGAATTAATGCTTTTCCATCCCCGAGGTGGTCTGATCAAATGCTATAGCAACCGAATACCGTGCTCCCTCAAAAAGTTGGCCAGTGGGCCTCTCTATATGCTAACTGTAGCAAGCTAGCTGGTTACATGTACCGTTCCTAGCAAATGACGGGGCCAATTGGACGAAGGAATGCGGTACATATGCCAAGCTAGAGAAGCCACACGAGTTTGAGAGGGAACAGAATAAATGGAGTGGCATCTAAATGACACAGTTAGCTGGCTAAGGCGGCAGTATCTCTGAGAGATTAGCAGCCTCTGTTCCTGGACGATATGCTGGATATGGCGACGAAGGGCTCTGTTTACATCTCAGTGTCAGTATTCATGAGATAGCGCGGATGCGTGAACTGAGATATCTAGTCTAAGAGGCAAATGGAGAGACGAGTACTAACCATCATTTCTGCCGGGCCTCCTTTTACCACGTTATATCTGGCCTCCCAATCTTCGCTTTTGGCAAGGAAACAGTAGTACAGCCAGTCAAAAACTTTGGGGAGTGGAATTGTAATCTCTCCTTCGTAGCCAGCTAAATCTCCTTCAGATGTGTCATAGTCTGGATTAACAGCCCTTATAAAAACCGTGAACTGCCATGGATCTGGTTCGCCTGGGGCTTTCGGTTGATATTTTGTCCGTAATGTGATGGATGCTTCGTCAAGAGCCGCCAGATCTGCTATTAAAAAGCAATCTGTCGCTATGCCAGCGGGAATCTCGTTCTGCTCTCGCATGATCTTGAATCGTTGCCGTAAAACATCAACACCTGCTCCTTCCAATGATGAATCACTGACGAAAAGTGGTTGATGATGAGAGCAAAGACTGGATGCTCTTTTCCAGCCTTGATTGAGCTGTGCATTCTTATTACAAGTATAGGCATATTGAAACGTTCGCCATTTCTGTTCAGTTCCCTCGCTGTACGCCGTCCGGAAAATGACAAAGCCCCATCGAAACAACTTTGCATCGGACATATGATTTAACCATCGAGGCTGAGCCGCCCTCATCTTTGCCGCTCGCTCTGCGATTCGTTGTTGTCTCAGGTTTTCGCGCCGCTCTGCTTTCACTTCCTTGAAAGTGTGGCTAAGACGGTAGTTCGCATGGCGCTGTATCTTGATATCGTCTTGAGTGTATAAGATAACATCAACTCGACCGGCGAGCTTCTTGTCATCTTCAACAAGGTGAAACCTCCAAAAACTGTGTCTGCCACTAGACTTGTTCCGCTTGGCGACTCCGCACACAAGAATATCGCGCTCATCTTCCGTTAGTGCGTTTGGGTTGGACAGTGCCTTGTTTCTGAGCTCTTCCCGCTCTGAAACTGAGCACGAAGTCCGAACTGATCTGTCCTTGCCCCATCAAGCTCGCTTGGATATTCATCTTGGGAGCAAGTGAGACTATTCCGGGCTCGCTGAATGCGTAGTTGGAAATATCTGTTGCGAAGACAGGCACGAATTTTGTGCTGCCGTCAATTTAAACTGATGCTTTGCCATTTAGCATGAGAGTGCCTGAATAAGTCATATCGGCATCAAAAAACCCATATGTTTCTTCGAAATTGATTTCAGGAGAAATGGTCCCCACCATTGTAACTCCAAATCGGATTTCACTTTTCACTAATATATTAGTCCCGGATAAAACGTCTCTTTTAAGAATCATTTTTGGCTGACTACTACAAGTAGTGTTTGAAGTTTACTCACCTGAGCCCTCGAGTTCGATGAGCATAAAGCCATCTTTCCCACCACAACTGGCTGATCGATCTTGCGAAAACAAGAGCTGAGAAAAATGCGACTGTTCTAACACCAGAGAACGCGCGGGGCGGGAGTCGCTATACCGAATAGCATTAAGTTCGTCCGCCCATATTTTCGCATCTGGACTCCAGAAACGCTTGTCGAAGGATTCGTCCAGGCCTCTCTTCGTAATGGCGTCTGCACGCACAATATCATTCCAGTAACCCAGAGAATCACCATAGTCGATTCGTACGTATACAGTTCCAGAGTCGCGCTTGACAAGCGAATAATCGTAGGAAATGTCCACCTCATACACCAGATGATTAAGCGATGGAGCCCTCTTTTGTAATTCTTGTTCGACTGTGAAATTAGTCGATAAGCGCATATCCTTAACAACTCCATAAGTCGCAAATCCGCAACCTTCAGGGAGTTTCACGATGGTGCCGTTGGCACCATCCTCATGAACCGCACCACAATTGGACTGAGGTGAATCGTCCATGCAGATATAACGAGCTGTATAAACAAACTTTGCATCTCGTTTCTCACTTGGCTCACAGTCTAAAAACTGGATATGAGAATCATCTCGTGTAGTCAAACTAGTCACTACATCAGGAGGTCCATCAATTACCACCACTAAGTGCCAGAGGTTAATAAACATGCCCTTGAAGTGTTATTTCTATCAGTATAAGTTTACTTACTTCCAAAATCCCCAGTGACTGTATCTGAGCCAGATGATATCGACGAGTTCTGAAGGGACTCAATATGGAAATCCGGCACATAGGTAGTGGGTGGTAATGTAGGAAACTTGGAGACTTTTTAGCCAGTTTCTTACTATGGCAAATTGTATAACTCTCGGTACTTACGAGATTTGTTAGAGGTACAGCCTGGAGTCTCAGGTCACTCAATAAACAAACAGTTTACCTAAATTAAATGTAGGTCGCTTTTACACCGCTTTATAAGGCTGCTTCATAACGTTGTAGTTATTAGAGCACTATAACTGGATACCCGATATGTCTGCTATTATACAAGTATTTTTAGCTATACGGCGAAGTCAAGATCTTTTTCAGAGTTGCTATTTTGTATCAAGTTTCATTGGAGTTCAGCAATTCAATCACTGTGATATGATGGGGCTTTGTGCTATATTATAGAGAACTCATCTTACCGAGTATTGGTGCTATGACGAAGTGTGTTTTGGATAAAAATATGTAGCATCCTAGCTGCGATGTATACATTTTTTACACTTGTGAATAAGGATATACGGGGAATTGCATTTAGACATCGTTTATACAATGTATATCCTAGCACAAGGGAAATAGTGACATTCTATTATTATTAACTTTTTGTATATTTGAATGAATTTTACTTCGCCAACATCCCTAAAGCATGCAAGGTTTCTCGTATGCAGGTGGATCGGCCTCTCCCTTGACGGAAAGATGCAGCGAAGTGAAACTTGCCTTCAGGTATAACCGGGCTTGCCGGCACTCTTATCATGTACAAGTCTGCCCAGCTGTCATATGTAAGTGAGAACGGCAAGTATCATTTGCGGTCGCTTGGTTGCAGCAATACGAAACTCTTCGACAACAAACGCAAGCGCACGAACCAGCACGAATGCACGAACCAACATCGGTAGATGTGAGGAAAGGAGTCAAGTTTTGTCTGCTCCTCTCCCAGTGGTTTATATTTTTCCTGACACTTCCTCTGTCTGTTCCTCTCTTACTCTTCTAAATTTTTCTGACACTCACGCCATCTGACCTTCTCTTATTGTCCTAAATCTTCTCGACTTCTGCTCTCTTTTTGTGTAAACGTACCTCAATGAGGTGAGCTGGACTTATTCCAACATGCGTTGTTCAATGCCTCTCTCACTCTACGGCTTTGTACGTGAGCTCACATCCCTCGACAAACGATAAGAGTTTGAGGAACTACCTGCTGCCATTGGCTAACATTCAGATTAGCTGTGGAGTTTGCTCCTACAGTCGCTGGTGCATTCTCAAATTCTCTCCAATCTCATTCAGGTTGAGGCACCGGGAAACTTTTCGGCATCTTGCAGGTATGTTCCCTCCCTCCCAATAGAATCAAGTTTTAAAACACTAAACGCATTCGTCCTATAGTGCCACGTTTAACCAGAGCATTGCGTGTAGCCTCGCCCTCTCTCGAGTCGCATCAGGAACCTTTATCCCTACCTCGAACGATCTCCCTAGGATCTGCACTGACGCCTGTTTGAGCGAACTGAAGAGCTTACGGGTACAGCAGTTCTCGGTTTGCAATAGTTCAGACGTAGCAGTTATTAAAGGTTTGGCGTATCCTGCGACGTATAACACAGACCTTCTCTTGTTTACCTACAACTACGCGTGTATGAAAGATTTGTGAGTATAGCGACCATCGTAATGTGCCGATTTTAACTCATTCATGCGTGTTCAGGACTTCGAATGAATACTGCTTTCCCGACGTCTGGGAGTGGAATAGTGACACAACAGTTATGACCTCTACCGAGCTATGTTCGGACTGTAACCTGCTTATCCAGCAGGCTCAACTAGAATCGCCATTCGGATACGACGATGATGCGGCTAGCGATTATTCATCACTGACATCATCGTAAGTTCCTATAGACGAGCAACAGAGAGATTATTCAAGTAACCAGTCGATAGATGCAAAGTTACGAAATATCCAATCACTTCTCCATCTGCTTATACCTTGTCGAGGTCGAGGACAACGAAACTCGCTTCAACCAGAGTTACTACCACCACACCCGCCGCACCTTCGTGCAAGTCAACGGATACCATCAAGAAAAACGACACTTGCAGATCCATCAGCGAGTCTCAGAAGGTGGCGACATTTTATCTCATGCAAGCCAATAACCTCCCTGGGTACTGCTCGCAATTCCCTCCAGCTGGATCAGATTTGTGCATACCCCAAAGCTGCGATCTTTACACCGTGGCAGAAAATGACAGTTGCTACGGAATTGCCCAAGCTCATAACGGGACATTCTCTGCCACGCAATTGATCTCCTGGAATCCAAACATTAACCGGCAATGCTCAAACCTGAACCAGATTGCTGGATATCAAATTTATGTCAGGTATGTAACTGTTGGGGTTTTTAACGTTTCTGTCCTAAGCAACTATCTAATTGTCAAATCTCTATTTACTGTCTGTCACATACACTGATTAGAATGCGTTTCTAGCTTCCCAGGGCCACCAAGTCTTGTTGCAACAGGAAGCGAGTCCATCACAACCCCAGCAGCGTAAGTGTGGCATTAAAACTTTCCGTCGGCCGTTGGTATGCCCACGCGCTCTCTTACTAACCGGAGATATACACCATTTAGGGCAATTCCTACAAACCTGTCTCTAAATACAACCACACACTGTAAGTCTGTTCTCCGATTCGATTTGGGTTATATAGTTTAACCATCTGAACAATCTTTACTTTATAGGCGGTAAATATTACTTGGCTGTAGACGGCGACAGTTGTGCAAGCATATCCATGGCCACGGGTATTTCTATAAAAGACTTCTATTTCCTAAATCCAATGGTAAATAGCACCTGCGGTAATCTATGGCTCGATACATACTACTGCGTCGAAGCCGTAGGCAACATCGCCACGTATTCCGACTACAATCAGTAAGTTCCTATTCCAAGCTCTCGGTCCTTTTGCCTTCTATTCAACGTCTCCCTATATTTCACGCAAGCTAGCCGAATAATGTCTTATTTATACTCACACATCTTCGACCACAGCGCCAGCCTGAGCGTCAAGGGAGGCCCTTGCCATCAATTGGATGCCCCCGCTAGCTGTTTTGTCACTATGTATAGAACTGCCCATCCCTTTACTTGGCCTGCGGTTGGTCAAGCTAGAACGAAGACCAGCGCTCCCTCACCGCAAGTGACATTGATGGGAGACCTTCCCTTGGCACCAGGCACTCTAGATTGCGGAAGTTACACTCAGTATTATAACTCTTCTCGTCTTAACGGTAATCAGTGTGGTATGGTTGCATGGGTTTTTACACGTAAGTTTCCTTCATTCCCTGTTCGGTGGCTTTTCACGTTTTTGATGCCTCTACCATTGATTTCTTGCAATCTGCTACATGCAGCTTCTAAGGCTGACAATCTTCAATTGCTACGCACAGTCAACGTTACCGACTTTGTTGCATGGAATCCATCTCTCTCGTATAACGCCACCGATCCATCTGCCTGTGTTCTTTTGCCAGGTTACCGCTACTGCATTGGGGGACCATTACCCGCAAGTAAAGGAACAAGTAGCACTCCCCACACTAAGATCAGTAGATTTACTACCCAAACGATCAGCGTGCCCTCAACTTCCCCAACTATCACGTACTCTCCTAATGGTTCGTGTGGTGGCAAACAGAGTGAGTAACTTTTGATCTGCTTCGAGATTGACTTGTTGTACTGGTCTTGCCCAAAACAGTCTGTTATAAGGACAACTACTGACTTCAATTGTTGAAGAATACACTTGCGAGCCTCCAAACTGCTGTAGCGTTGACGGATTTTGCGGCAACATCACCGATTTCTGCGGCTCGGGCTGTCAGCCAGCTTTTGGCGTTTGCGGTACTGGTCCTGTAGCTCCAAGCAAGGCAGCCCGATGGCTATAGAGCTTCTAGATTACGCTAGACTAGCCTTCAAGTGCTGTTGGGAATCGATGAGTTTGTTGCACGGGCAGTTTGTGCTGCGTTTTTAGTAAGAAAACAGAATGACTCGTGGGGAATGTATTTTGTGCTTAGCAATTCTGAAAGTCCTATTGAAAAATGAGAATTGAAGTGAAAAGAGTGTATTTGTTCCTGTTAACGAGCCTGAAACGAGATCAATATTATTCGAGTTTCCATGCTACACTCTCTCGGTTCTCGTCGGTTCGGAGATGAGTGCATTATGTAGCGGTACAACCGGCACAATCCGTCTTCTTTCCGAGAATACGACACAAACGGATACCCCAGAATCCACACTCACCAGTGCCAAGGCAATTACGCAATGTATAAGAATCAAGCTTCTATTTAGCCTCCCAGAACGGGGAGCAGATATGAGCCTGGCCAATATTCAGCTGCTACTTGTAGGCTAGAGCTGGCCTCAAGGGGCGTTGTAAAGTTAACGTTACGGCAGTTTGGAAGACGTGGAACGGATGGATCTTTAATATCTTGAACCCGTTTAGCATTCTTAGCGTGCATGGAAAAGTAAAAAATGGCGCGGCTGGGCATCGATAGTCGTTTTTCTAAATTTCAAGCTTCTTTCTAGAACAGGCAGGCCGTGAGTCGCCGGGTATCGCCAGTTGCGGTGTGCCGCTCTACGCTTCTTCTTTGAGAATGGGCTTTTGTAATAGCAACCCCAACATGCATGGCGTTGATGGAACAAAGCTAAGTTGTCGCTGCCAATCCCTACTCCTTTTGTCATCGTTTTGAAGTACGTCTGCTTAGTGTTTCCTTCACCAGCTGTCAGCTCGGAGACCCCAGCGTCGTGTCCGATATAGATTGAGCCCGGCACGAGTTGCTCTGCGCACGTCTGCCAAGGACGGCAACAGATATACTGGCTTCATATATCCCACCCTCTTGCATTTTGCAACGTATGAGATGATGTTGGAACGCATAGCCAAGACGCGAGACGAGTTAAAACTATCCATATTTCCTTATCTCTACTTATATAACGTAAAGGCATCAAAGAGGCAGGTGCTTTTATAGGAGCTCTGGAGAATGCGCTGATCGACAGGCACTTGGGTCTGGCCCCTGTACTTGTCAAATACATGCTTATATATGAAGCGGAGATAGGTTTTCTGATTGGTGGGATCGTAGCCGTCGGTCCGAGGCACCAAATTCCAACACGTTCCTGTTCTATTTTGTTTCATGCGCGACAAAACCATGCAGAAACATTCCACAGCCTTGGCAGTCGACCTTGGTACTTTGATCTCTCTGTAGAATTCAATCAAGATCAAGCCTACTGACTGATTGACACAAAATGGAGTTGGTGTTATGTACTCAAAATGGAGTTGGTGTCATATACTCATTATCTTGATTGAAGGATGTGAACTATGGATAGGGTCTATCCTCATTCGCCAACTACTTTATGCATTCGAAACACTGCCCAATTACCAAGCAGCCACTGTTTGTAGATCAATTTGACGACCTTGGCGTCTTGGCTTCTCACAACTCGCTCTCTTGCGTCCCACCTACATGCATGCATTTATAAAGCTTGCCAATTGCACTGCAGCTACTACAGAGTACGATACTACATACATAGACAATATGGAGAACTTGGCATGGAGTCTAGGTGAAAATGGAGCTTTTTGTTGGAACTTAACCACAGAGACGCAGAGGCGGCGCGTTTAGACGTGGCTGGACATGGACGGCAAACATTTAGCCCGCTGACGATCTGCATCAGACCAGGATGATTCTATCTTGCTTCCCCATAGATGGAGCTGTCATCCGCAAGTGAATCAAATCCCTTGTTGTATGACTCTTACTATATTTGGCCTTTTGCTAACCAACATCATTACTTGGGCGAGTCTATGTATCAAAGCTATCCACATATATGGTTCAAGCCCCTGCGGCGTTGCATGGAATGCCAAGAAAGCAATGTGGTAGCACATGGATGTGGTAGTATCGAAAATTAGAAGTAATGAGAGGCTGGTATGTCTAATCTGGCAGGCTGTCGCTGCTTATCATGGAGCACAATGGCAACATGCCTGTCGCCATCTCTAACATAGAGAAACCTCGCGATGTAACGGCACAACTGCACCTGCTTAACAAACCATTTGAAATGGACCCAACTCGATAGTTTCACTGAATCAAACCAGCGGCCTCAAATACTTTTGTACCAAGCGTTGAATAATACTTAAAGGGCCGCTCTTGTCTCTCTCTCAAAGCCTCTTGTCTTAATCTATCCCGCCAGAGTTTCTTATGGCACGAGAGCCAAAAAAGAAAGACAAAGTTCATACGCCTCCTCTCTAAATACATATAAGTCTCTTCTTATTACAATGAAGCTGCTCGCTTCTATACTTGGCCTTGCTGCCGTGGCTCAGGCCCATATGGAACTAACCTGGCCTTATGCCTTTCGCTCCAAGTTTAATCCCAACGTGCCAGAGTCTTTAAGAGACTACAGCATGACCAGCCCTCTCTTGGCTAGCGGAAGCAACTATCCTTGCAAGGGTTACCAAGTCGACTTCAACAGGCCCGAGGGTAGGTCGACTGTTACCTGGCAAGCTGGAGGCACCTACAACTTTAGTCTTTCCGGCTCTGCTACCCACGAAGGCGGGAGCTGTCAAGTTTCGCTGTCCTACGATCAGGCCAAGACCTGGAAGGTCGTCCACTCTTGGATTGGCTCATGCCCTCTCAAACCAACGTGGACTTTCACCCTGCCCAACGACACGCCTGCTGGAGATGCCCTCTTCGCCTGGACCTGGTTCAACAAGATTGGCAACCGAGAGATGTACATGAACTGCGCCCACGTCACCATTCTGGACCGCAGCGGCTCTGGCTTTGACGAACGCAGCCCTTCTGATCCTTACCTCAGTCGCCCTGCCCAGTTCGTTGCCAATGTCAACAATGGCTGCGGCACCCTTGAGGGCAAAGATGTGCTGTTTCCTAACCCAGGCCCGGATACAGACCTGAATTCCCAAGGCACTGCTCCCCCAACTGGCAGCTGCCCTGCTGGTAAAAAAAGAGCCTGGCCCTTTGCTATCTGAGTCGTCATAGGTACTCAGATAAAACATGATCGGGTTGATGGAGATGTAGGGGAAACTTTGGTCAGCACCAGGGGCGTGCATGTGGATATATCTGATTCAGTATATATTCCCGATAAGCTATAACGCTGTTGTATATATTCAAGAACAAGATTTTTTACGAATACGATTCAGTTTATTACTTGTTAGGTTTTGTGGTGAGATAAATTTACGTAGATGTGTTACACCGTTAACAATGAAGGCGGAAAACTTGATGGATACGGTACAAATGAGGCTCTTTTATGAATTCATGGTTCTTGTATATCTCATTGAAACAGTTGCTAGCTTTAGACAAAATAACTAAACTGACATAGGTGCATCTCATATAACTCAATATTCTATACTAAGCATAGGAACTATACGCTTGATCCAAATCCCATTCATAATTCTACCAAATCCAAATCCAATATTCGTTAAATTCATTGCAATAAAAAATCAAGAGGGGGTATAAGATAACCATATTATAAATATTTTTTTTGTTGTTTTGTGTGTGCGTGTGTTGTTGGAACCTCGCCCCCATACCGTCATTGTTTTCCATTCGCAACGACCACAGCACTCGTATTAGTGACACCATTTGTACTACCTGCATCATTCACAGTAGGCAATCTATCCTTACCGTGAGGACATTCTAACTCTTCGTCATCTGCCATTGAAAATGTTAGTAAAGAAAATCCATTAATTCCCCCCCCCTTATTTTTTGAAAAGAAAAAAAAAATGAATAAGCAGAATAGCCATACCTTCATCCCCCAAATCAGAAAAGCTCACATCGTCAGCAGTCAAATCCAGAGCCGTCGAGGCAAAGCTGTAGAAGACGCTCAAGAGCTGAGCCAAGGCAATGAAAAAGGGCATGAACTGTCCAGGGGCAGCCAAGCTGTGCACACCGGAGATGTTGTTCCACTTAAGCGCCATCTCGACGTAGACTATGGCGCCGATATTGACCAAGAAATCGAGAGGCCCGTAATTCATGGGGTTGTCGTCCTCTCTGGACTTTCCGTCTACTTCGCCGCGAAATCTGCGGACAAAACTGGCCGCTCTGACAAAGGTGAATAGAATGATGGCTACGTAACTTGCGTGTTAGTGAAGAGAGGAGAAAGGACAAGGAACTTGTAAAAGATGGCAGAACCGTACCTCCAAGGTAGAAGACGACCGAAAAAACACCGCCAATGATGGCAAACACGGATCCCACCTTATTAAGAGTGCGGAACCAATTCCAGATGCTCACTTTGGCGAAGAAGAAGGCCTTGTCGTCGTGGCATGTGCGCGGCAGCGTGTCCATGCCATGCCACCAGAACCAGGCAAACAGGGCAATCAAGCCTCCCACCTCAAACGTGTAGATGAGCGCCGTCGTCTGGCCCTTCCAGTACGGCACTCGGCAGACGCCCACCTGGGCGAGCAGAAGCGTGAGAATGGGGAAGACCTCGACCGGCTGGAGGATGGTGCTGCCGTCGCTTGCCACGGAGCTGCCCGCGGCCTGCTGCAGGAGGTGGACAAGCACGATGCCGGTGGCCAGCACGAAGATGATTGTGCCCTGGCCGAGGGCGTCTTCGGTCTTGAGAATGGCGCTGGCGAGGCCGGAGAGCTGCACGGTGATCATCTGGATGTAGATGCCGACGCGGATGCCCAGGCCGTAGAGATCCGAGTTGCCCTGGACGGGGCAGCTTGCGACGGTGGAGTTCATGGCTATGATACTGCAGTATCGGCCTGGATCATGGGGCCGCGACGAAGTTCCAAGCTGTTGTTGCTGCAATTACTCTATCTTTGGAGTTGCAGCAGGCTCCAGCGTGGCTTATATGAAAGAGAAAAGTAATGAAACCCAATATCGACGACGCAACAAAACCCAACAGCTCCCGATGCTGTGGACATAGCCCCGTGTTATCATACCTTGCTGCACATCGCCAACGCAACCTGCTGTACGGCACTAACACCAGGCCATAGCCACACGACCAGGCAGCCTCTCCACAGGAATCGGCGCCTGTATGCGAGAGTGAGTGTGTCTGGGCGCCTAATAGGACCTAGTGCTAGGAGTTGCAGTAAGTAGAAACCAGGGCTGTTCTGTCTCACTCCCAAGGCGGCCTCCATTTTCAGCCTCACTTTCTGCCCTCTCCTGATTCTTCTTGCCCCCCCTTTCCTTGCAGGTTTTCCTTTCAGCTGCAGCAAACTACGACTCTTCGAGCTAGCAGAGCGTCACATGCTGCAAACAAGATAACAGAAACAGCAGCTTTGCAATACCAAAAGCCCAGCACTACCAGCCGTCTAGTGCCCTCTTCTTCCGCTACCCCTGTCCGCAGGTCTGCCTAGCACATCGCCGTCATTGGCCCATGGAGTGGGACTATCTTCGTGGCGGAGGCGGTTCGGGCCTGTGCTGCCCACACCTTGTTTTGTGCGGCTGTCTCAAGCTTATAGGATCTGCTCGAAGCGGTGATGATATCGAGGTTAGCGTCTGCAGAGCTGAAAGGACGATGGGCGCGAAACTAGCGACTGTGGGCGAGCATCGCCAAGACGAGGCAAAGCTGCAGGCAGGTCTGATGAGATGGCACTGCCACCACCCATGAGGATGGGGATTGGACTGAGCTTTTTTGATCAATGGTTGATGGGCTGGTTGCTCGCATATCTAGCGGCTGGATCCGCAACTTTATCGAGGCCAAGATTTTTTTTTTTTTTTTGTGTCGCTTTTGGCGCAGGCTGTTGCATGTAAGCGCGTGGCATTTTGGCGCTTTTCTTGAATGTGGTATAAGAGGAAATTGTGAGAGCGTTGGTTCCTCCAGGGTTCTTCGACTCGCTTCTGGTCCTTCTTTCTCTCTCTCTCTCTTCTTTATCCTCTTCAACCCACAATATAACATACAACTACTACGCCATACATCATCCTCCTACACCCAACCATGTCGTCGACTCAGTGCCCCAGCGGCAACTCTGACCTCTACGGCGTCGGCGTCCGCGTTGGTCTCTACGCCCAATGGGTCGCAACCCTCCTCGTCACCGTCTTCGACCCCAAGACGGAGAGCACATACCGCATCGCCAACCTCATCATCCAGTGGTCCATCTTCCTGGGCCTCTGCACGCAGTCCAGCCAGGGGGACCCCGTCGTCGGCGCCATCATCACGCAGTACCTGCTCTTCGGCTCTCTCTCCAGCGTGACGGGCGACGGCATCAAGCACTTTAGCCACTTTTCGGGCATTTTCCGCATCGTCTTCTACACGGCCGTGTCTGCGTACGGCTGCTGGTTCTGGTACGAGGGGATAGACGATATGTTCATCCCGGGGTGCGCTGATGTTGCCTTCTTCGGGGGTGTGACTATCCACGGATGGTTCCGCACTCTCGGAAAGGTCGTTTCCGTCCTGGGAGTTGTGATCTGCGTCGGTCTAGTCTTTTACAGCGTCTATGCGACCAAGAAGAGACTTAACAAGGGCTTTCGGGAAGGGTTTGGGCGCAGAGAAAAAGTTCGCCCGCGAGTCGAGTTGGTACTGCTGGTGCTCTCGATGGGCTTGATCGGCGTGTCCATCTCCTTGGTGGAGTATCTCATCCAGAAGAACGAGATTGATGGAGTGGGGAGGAAAGAAATCGGCACGGTTGGCCAACTGATTCCGCTGTTGGCTGGCGGGTTGGGATGCGCAATGAGTGTTTGGAAGATTCTGGTCCACCGTCTATTTTTGAAGAAGAGATGCTGGTTCCTGTTTGGGTACCATCTTTGAATGGTTTGCCTTCTCTTTACACCACCATGTCCTATTTTTCTTCTCTTCTCTTTTTTTTTTCTTTTCACAGCTTGCTTTTGTTACGGACAATCAATGATAAGATACCAATTTTGGGTTGGGCGTTTTTGAATACAGGTAGAGAAGAGCGACATGGACACTGTCACGATGGTTTACGCATACATAGCATTCGACTTAGTGTATTTCTCTTAAAGAATAGATCAGTCATTGCATTCCAAAGATACTTTCTTGAGTCATCCCATCTCCGATACACTCGTGCAAAAAAACATCCTCCCGCGCCTATCACGCCAAATCAAGCTTCCAACTACCGCTCTCCGGATCGCCCTCCCGGAGCCACTCCCGCAGCCCCACAAAAAAACCGCCCTGTCATCCATCTCCGGCGTCGGGGCCGCTTATCGCTATCTGATTCATAACTTTTGACTCGCGCAGTTGATTTAACTTCCGACTCATCGCCATCACTCTCTCGCTTCTTTTTTTTTTCTCTGTCGTCTTTTCTCACACCAAAAGCCTCAAATTATCTTCAAAGAGGCACAATCCCTCAAAATGTCTCCCTTCAACCTCGAGACCTGCGCTCGGCCCAACATCCTCGCCCTGCAACCCTACCGTTGCGCTCGAGAGTCAGTATTATCAACCATCTATCTCCCTCAAGCTCAGAAACTACTTCACAACATACCTAGCTAACGTATAGAAAACAGTGACTACAAAGACGACGGCACAAACATCCTCCTCGACGCCAACGAAAACGCCTTCGGCCCCTCCCTCGACGCAGCCTCCGTAGCCGCCTATTCCTCCCAATCCAACGACGCCCAGGGCATCGACCCCCTCGGCCTCCACCGCTACCCAGACCCTCACCAGATCGACCTCAAGCAGCTGCTCTCAAAACTGCGCAACACCCACGCCCACACTGAAAAGACCCTCGCCGCAGAGAACCTCTTCGTCGGCGTCGGCAGCGACGAGGCCATCGACGCGCTGCTGCGCTGCTTCTGCGTCCCCGGCAAGGACCGCATCTTGACATGCCCCCCCACGTACGGCATGTACGCCGTCTCAGCCCAGGTCAACGACGTCGCCATCGTCAAGGTGCCGCTTCTGCCCGCGCCGACCTTTGGCCTCGACGTGCCCGCCATTTCTGCCGCGCTCACGGCCGACCCGTCCATCAAGCTCGTCTATCTCTGCTCGCCGGGCAACCCCACCGGCTCTCTGCTGGCCAAGGCCGATGTCCTCGCGCTGCTCAACCACCCCACATGGAACGGCGTCATCGTCCTTGACGAGGCCTACATCGACTTCGCCCCCGAAAACGCCTCCCTCGCCGAGCTAGTGACCGAGTATCCCAACCTGGTCGTCATGCAAACCCTCTCCAAGGCCTTCGGCATGGCAGGTATCCGCCTCGGCGTCGCCTTCGCCCCTGCCACCATCGCAACGCTGCTCAACAGCCTCAAGGCTCCTTACAACATCTCCAGCCCAACCAGCGCGCTCGCCTACTCCGCCGTCAGCCCACAGGGTCTCTCCGTCATGGAGTCTAACAGGGCCAAGATCATCGCCCAGCGCGACAGGATCATCAAGGAGATTGTCTCAATTCCCGGCGTCGGCCGTCTTCGCGGAGGCACGGAGAGCAACTTTTTGTTGTTCGAGATGCTCAATGCGCAGGGCCAGCCGGATAATGCCGTTGCGCTGGCGGCGTATGAGAAGCTCGCGGAGACCAAGGGCGTCGTCGTTCGGTTCAGAGGGAAGGAGCACGGTTGCTTGGGATGTTTGAGAATCACTGTTGGCACAGAAGAGGAAGTAACAAGATTTTTGGAAGCGCTAAAGAAGACATTGGAAGAGGTAAGAGCGTAGATAAAATCAAGCATGTGGACGTTGTAAGAGATGGAATGGGAAAAAAACTAGTGAGAAAAGACGAAATATGATAAAAGGGAAAAGGCGATCAAATGGATACCATTTTGGCATGTTACATATAAACCAGACTAGAAGAAATGGTTAAAAGTGATTTCAAATTATGTAAAATTCATATCCATATATATGAAAAAAAAAAAAAAAAAAAAAAAAAAAACGTCAGTTCGCCATGCAGCGCTCATGTGCTTCGACTGATTTCTCGAGTATACATTTATATATATACCCTATCCGCATATTCTATGAGCGCATTATTTACACAATTGGTTGTACATTATATACAAGAAGAGCAGCCTGTGAAGAGGAGGCCAGCCTCAAGCCAGTCCCCAAGTCGCCAGCAACATACCGAGACCAACAACCATAATCGGTCCCATCTCGAGGTTGAGTCGCATGCCAGCAGAGTTTGTCGGTTGCGCATCTCCTGCAATGCCTCGCCTGGTAGTCTCCAAGGGCTTCGATGTGGATGCATCGCTCACCTTGGCGCTCTGAGCACCCCAGGTGATATCCCGCACCGTCTTGATATCCTTGGCTTCCAGAGGTGGAGCAGCGCCGTCAATCAAAAGTCCCTGGATCGTCTCCAACGCGCACATCTCTTGGCCCAGGCCGGGGATGTTATCGTACTCGCCAATGTACCATTTCTGTCCACAGGCGCGGCCAGTTGGGCCTCCTGTGCACGTAGCAGCGGCAGCCTGAGCGCTGGGGATGAGGAGACTCTCGACTTTGCTGCGCAGTGAGGGAACCATTTGCGTTGACTGCCACATGAAGCGGGCGAGATAAGCCTTGAAGGTGGTCATATCAGCGTCGCAACGACCAACGGTTTCGCAGGCGCCTTCGTACATGACATTCTTGGCCGTGGCGTTGGGCGGAGTGAAGAACCATCCGGCGCCATCGAGAAGTTGTTGGGCTCTCTGAGTCCACTCAGGCTTCTTTGTGTAGTTTGCCATGATGGCAGCTCCGTACAGGTAAATACCGCTGGTGTAAGTGAAGGACGCGACGTTTGTCTTGGTGCAGTTGGTGTCGATACCAGCGCCGTCGTAGACGTGAAACGACTCATGATCGATGAAGCCAATGTCCATGGACCAATCCCAAATCTTGTCGGCCCAGTCGAGGTATGTGTCGTTGCCAGTGGCGCGGGCCAGCCGAGCAGCAATCTGAAAGAAGCCACCGTTGCTAACGCTGTTCTTGTAAGTCAGACCATTCGGGTTGGAGGCATAGATTTGCCACAAAAGACCACCGCCGCAGTGCTGATTGTTCCAGCGGCTCGCCAGCTGGTTGAAGACATTAGCTCCCAAGTCCAGCCACGAGGGCAGAGTAGTGTTTGGCTGAGGAAAGTTCCGCTCGGCAGCGGCGATGGCAGCCGAGCCCCAGAAGAAGAGATCATCGTTGCCCTCTTCGAAGGCGTGCTCCGGAGGCATGTACGCGTGCTCGGCTCCGAGATTCGTGGGCGCCAGGAGAGCTTGGATGACAACGTCGTTGTAGGTCGAGTCGTTGGTGAAGTGATAGTAGTCTAGCATGGATCCCCAAAGTGCGCCAGCCGTCCACCAGTAGTAAGGATCCTGGAGATCTCCCATCTGAACAGAGTCTGCGGCGGAGAGGTTGCCCTTGTAGTAGGACATGGCATCGAATGCAAGAGTAGCGGCGACATTTCGAACCGACGCTGTTCACATATTAGCTGACCATGACGAGCGGCTAGGATTGTATTGCTAGCATTGATTAATCACCTGGGTTCTTAACGTCCAACGACTTGGGAGCTGTCATGGCCGAGCTAGCAGCCGCAGCGGCATTGACACTTCTCATAAACTTCATGTCGATTTTTTTTTATCCGTGTGGTGCGTGTTATAACCAATCAATTGATTGTGTATCCAGCTTGTGTCGTCCAATCCAAAGCTCTGCTTCGGTTTTATATTCGATGTAATTAGAATAAAACAGTTGTAGTACAACCTGTCTTCAGCCTGGAAGATAGAGAGTGGTCAAAAAGAAAGAAATCTGAACGACCCAATGCGTTCAGCAGCAAAATAGGCCGAGAAGGAGGAGGCGAGTAAAGATCGGTAGGTGGCCGTATTCACGCAATTCTTAAAAAGAAGGGGGGCAGTCAATATACAGCTCTCGCCACTTCAACGAAAAGAGTGAAGCAACAAAAAGTGAGAGGGAGGGAGGGAGAAGTGACAAGAAGGCGACTGGGCCCTGAGAAAGGAAGAAGGGAAGAAGAAAAGAAGGAAATGAGAGCTCAAGACCGTTTCAAGGTATATAAAACGCAAAAGCAAAAAAACGAAGAGCAGAAGGAGAGAAAAAAAGGCAGCTTGGGGTGATTTAAATAACTTTACTTGAACTTGCATTTGAATAGCAGGTCCCACGCATTGCACGGTGGCAGATCAGCCCTTCCCGTCCATGGCCAATGCCACAGACCTAATGTTTCGTCCAAAGAGCAGCGTTTGTCCAAACAGGGAAGCCCGCATTGGCAATCTTGGAGAAAAGACCACTGAAGGGTCGCATCCAGGCCTGCCAACGCCCCATGATGATCCCGGCCAGCAAGCGCCTAATGGCTGGTAGGTCCGAATAGAGTATTGAGTTTTTGGCAAGCGAAACGCCCATCCCTCTGGGGGTTTTGTCCAGGATCGATCTAAGCGCAGCTGCAGGGGCTGTTTTGGGCTTGGAAAGGTGGCGATTGCTTTGGTAAAAGCCCAGTGAATATACGGGGTAGGTGTAGGCTACGTGCAGCAATCAAAAAAAGAAAATTCACGAGGCCCAGTGTTTCATCTTGTCCGCGCGGCAAAAGAGTGGGAAAAGCCATGGCTATAACGAAGAGAGGCAGCGAATGATAGGATGAGCAGCGACAACACCAGAAGAGGCAAGTAGGAGGCCTGTGCCTGGGCAATCGTCGCTGTGCATGCAGGCGCTGGATTGGATGGCAGCGCTTGGTAGTAAATACGGGGCCTTGAAACGTGAAACATGAAACGCTCAGATCTGCCCCAAACGGACATGGGTATAGCACTCGGGCTTACTGGGCTGGCTTCAGTATTTCTTAGCAATAGTGCTGCAGAGTAGGTACAGTATTCAGCTGACGTGACTGACACGAGTAAGCTGGGCTTTAACGGGATGAGTGATGCGTTATGGAAGCAGCTCATGTCCACAGCCTTCAAACAGGTGAGCTCTAATACCTAATATATGGAGCACAAGAAGGCATAGAGAGGCACAGCGACTTCAGCAGATAAATTAGATCCATCGCCCGTTTATTGATGCTTAATCCATGAGCTATCTTGCTCTGTATATGGCCCCCAGTAAAACAGATTTATATTATATGGCCTCCAAACTCCGCGCTTTTAAACTGAAAGTGTGCAACTCCGTGATATGCTTCGCTGGAAAAAAAAACCAAGACGCAAAGAGGGTATAACGCAATCATAACGCTTCCCGAAACCAGCATTTTTACCCTCCCTCCAAAGAAGCAAAACGCACTCCGAGGGCATCGCCTTTCCTCACATTTGCTCCTCACATTTGCCCCCTGTTCCTTCTCATAGTCCTTCTTGCTGGACATTTTCTCATGAAAGCCCGACGACGAGCATTCACAACGCAACAACCATCTCTATAATGCTAGACAGACGGCAACAATGCTTGCCATTAGCCCACAGAGAGACCGCAGTTCGGGTACGCGCAAATTCGATGCCAGCGACGTCGGCGAGGGCTCATATATCATTCCCGACGGAGCTGTTGGCGTCGCTATGACCCCGGAAGTATCAGCAGCACCGTCGGTTGCCCCTGGGCAGTCGGTCAAGGTCAAGGTGCCCCACTGCAATTCAGAGCCAGTAAATGTAGACGTCCATGAAACCTGAGTTGGCCCAGTGTAATGCCCGTTTGTGTAACCGGATTTATAGCTGGAGTAACCCGAGCACGTTGCTGCCGTCGTGCCGTTCAAATCGCATTCCACATCGGCAATGCTTTAATGAGACGTCAGTCTACAATCCCTCTGATACTACACTGTATTGAATGAACAGATTGCCAGCCGCAAAGTAAACTCACTATGTCGACGTCACGGTTCCGTGGAATTCGAGCGTGTCTGGTCCTTCTACGATGACAAAGGGGAATTCAAGAGACAAGTCGCATGCTAGAGGTGTCTGGGTCGGGCAGAAGATGGTGTATGTGGTCCTACTAGCGGAAGGATCCTAGTGGGCACGTCACGTTAATACTGCTTGGGATAGCTTAGCTGTTCCAGGCAAGGCAAGGAACATGTGCATGAATTGCATCAAAATGTGTAAAGCAGCGGCTATGCATACTGTTGAAATGATGCTCCCCCGAACCAGAGACCACGAACGCTCATCATAATACGGCAGATAGATGGGCGCAGCCGTCACAGTCGGGGTCGCAGCCTTGGCTTGGGGAGATTCTCCATGTGCCATCGCGCCGGCAGGATAAAGAGCGAACAGTACAAGCAAGGCCAGCCATCGCGCGGGTGATGATTTCAGACACAGCCCGACCATGATTGTATCACGTCTGCGAATTGGCGCAGCCTCGTCAAGGCACTTCTCGGAAGAGCAGATGGGTCCGTGAGGCTAGGCGATCAGCGGGTTTCCTGGTTCGAATGTCGTCGAGAAAGTTCGCGTGTCTCTTGGTTGATGCAGAGCTTTTTTGTATGGGTATCGATCGGATCTTGGATGTTGTCGGCGTCGTCACCTGCTGGTGCGAAGGCGATGCAGCGACGAAATCTGCGACATGGAGGAAGAAAAAAAGGCAAAATGCAACAGAGAAGCAACAAAATCCAGGCCGGAGGAAGCCCGAGAGCGGACCAGGCCAACACGAGGAGGGAGGCATGAAGGGAGAAATACTAAGCACTTTAGGTCCCACGATGCCAAGAGTCAAAACGCTCTCTCTCTCCTTTGGAGCCAGGCATGTTGCGGATTGGGTTTAGAGCGAGCGCCGCTACGTGCATCGAGGTCTTGGCATTGCTGGGCTGTGTGGAACGAATGACGACGACGGCATATTTTGGCTTCGATAAGGATGTTACTATGCGATGAGTTGTCAGCAGGACAGAGTGTCTGCTCCATGGCTGTCCATGTAATTGTCTGGCATGCGGATTGTTTAAGGATTCAAGGCGAGAAGAGGCACGCATTTTGCATCTTGGAGCATTTGAAAAGAAGCCTATCATCAATGGCCACTTATGACTGACCTAGGTACCACTACTTTCTATACATACTAGGTAGTGCTGTTACTAGGTACTATAAGTAGCTCCTAGATAGCCAATTACTAGTATTATTCTCCGCTCTCAAAACCCACAGGCAGGCGCAGACAAAAAAAAAACATGGCCAGCAGGGGCTATTGGCAGACAAGGGTGGAAAGAGCGGCCAAATGTCTTGGCGTCATTTGCAAAAGCGGCCACGCATTTCTTGTCTTTTGAGTCAACAATTGGGCTGCCAAGCCTTTTGCCAAGACGAGTTATGAGAAAGTTTGATGCCGGCTCGCGGCTGCCAAGAGGTGGAATAGTGCCATGCACGGTATTTGGCCAAGTACTAGTAGATGCTAAGGTGCGAGGTAAAATGAGGAAAGAAAATAATACGAAAATGCAAGAAAAAATCTCCGCATAGGCGGGCATTTTCATTTAGCGATTGGTAGGCCCATCTCCTAGCTGGGTAGCACCCGCCAAACGCCTGCATATAGCAGTAGTATTAGAGGCTAGAGAGCTTTGAATGTCACAGGGCACGGATTGCATGCATAGCACTACTGCTACTGGTCTAGTATGCTGTGCAACAGGCGAGATCAGCAGTGGTTCAAAGTTAGACGGCACGGGACTCTCCGTTGGCTCTCCAGCTGCCAGTGCAGTACCTACTAGGGATTTGCATGCAAATCCAATCATATGATTGCCCCAGAATTTGGTAGTTTGCAGGTCGGTTTAAGCCTCGGCACCGCTCTACACCTTATCGGTGCAGACATCTCAAACAGAGGCTAAACACAGTTCCGTTCAACCAATGTTACACAACGAGTGTCATGTTCTCGCTAAGCGAGGCAGAGGCTTGCAAGCGCCTGTTTGCTGGCGGTGAAGTTTAGTAAAAAAAAGAATCCAATTCTTGGATGGCCGCTTTCGCCCGGATGAAGGCAGCCATTGACATCTTTCTTCCCTTTTTAAGGATAGATGTATGCTTAACGCAATCTCTACCTGGTAATATACGAAGCCCTCGTCTGACAACGTGAGCATGGCAAGCCTCGAATGCGGAGCCGAGTCCGGCATTGATTCATTATATTAAGAATGAGAACCTTTGTAATACGGAGTTCCCGCAACTAGCGGGCATTTTGCATCAACCTCATTACAGCGGCTGGCCGCATTGCACTTCATGGGTAATAATTCGCCGAACAGCGAGACTTCAAACTGTCTCCCCACCAGTGAAACTGCGCCCCAGACATGAGAAGATAAGAAAAAGAAGAGGAAAACACGAGGAACAATCAGAAAAAAAGAAAGACTGGATCGATCCGCTTCTCTAATGCCGCCTCCCGCCAAACTCGACCGCTAGCCAGGGGCACAGCCAGAACGCCCCCCCAGCCTTCCGGCACATCCATGAAGAGACTTTATTCGGCTGTCCAAGATCGGCATCAGACGCCTGCAACGAGATAAACTCCAAGACTCCATCGTAGTTGAGGCGAGAGACAGTAGCAACATGCGACGCTGTTTTCCCGCCTAATTTTCCATCTTCTGCCGGCATACAGAGTAGAATCCATAACGGGCGTTGCCAAACCGCGAAACCCGATCGCTTGGGCGCTAAGGATTGTGAGAGGCGAACAATTGCAGGCAGCACTAATTTAAAAATGGCCTCGACTCGATCTGCTAACTGCATGTGTCAATCGCCGAGACTAGCATTTTACCCAGCACTGCCTTGACGCGGGAATAGGAGACGCCAAAGTCTGGGCCGTTTGGACATGAATCTGAGGTGGATGTCGATTTAAATCAGTCGATTTCTGCTGTCTCTTTCTTATTCCCTCTTTCCAGGTCCATACGCTCATTTTATCGGCAGCTCGTTGCGATACCGTTCATTCGTTTACAACAACAGGCCAACTGCGATAATCAACCAGCCGAAGCAACCAACACCCTCGTTTATCACCAACAATGGCCCGTTCACTCGCTCTTCTCGCCCTGGCTAGCGGCGCTATGGCCGCTCAGTCCACCGTCGTCTCTCTCCTGCTGCCCTACGCCGATGTCCAAAAGATCGACGCCTCGATCATCGGTGCCGATAGCACGGCCACCACTTATCTTTTTGGCTGCCCCAAGGGAGAGGACTCCAACGACTGCGGATTCCCGACCAGCCAGACGGTCACTCAAGGCCCATCCACCTGGATCTACACAGAAACCGCCAGTGCAGACCCTGCAGATGAGACTGGGTAAGTAGCTGCGCAATGCTGGTGATGTGTTGCAGCAAGGTGCAGTTGGCGCTCTGCAACATAGACGCCGGAATCGCCGTCTATGACATAGCCAAAACTGTTTTCACATGCACATATATCAAGAAGAATAAGCCAAGAGAATCCAGGCTGACGACTCTTACAGCTTTTCGGGCTCTGAAGTCCAAGGAGGCCAGTGCAAGCTCAACACCAAGGCCGATGTCGCCGACTGCACCATGTACATGACGGCGACTTTCACCGGCGCCGTCACTTCCACCACCTCGGCAACCACCATGAGTTTCCTGGACCTCCAGACCCCCGTCACCATCACCGCCGGTCTCGACAAGCTCAATGCTGCTCCTGGCGCCACGGCCACGGATGCCTCGACCACTGCTCCCGCCAGCACCGACGCTTCCTCCACCGGATCCTCCACTGGATCCTCTGCCGGATCCTCCACCACCGGAACCGCACAGACTACTCTTGCTAAGCACACTTCAACCGGAACTCAGACTGCTTCCAGCTCTGCCAAGCCCACCAGCACCAACGCTGCGGGCTTTGTGAGCAGCCAGAACGGCCTGCTGGCTGGTGTTGCCGCCATTGTTGGCGGTGCCATGATGCTGTAAACGGATGGAGAGGCTGATTGGGGGAAGTGGGGAGAGAAATACTTTAGAAGGGATTGAACATGTATAATACATGTGGGTTATTATACTCTTCATGAGGCTTTGTACAAAGCAGTTTTTTTTTTTTTTTTTACTCTTTGACGTCTTGAAATATTTACGTGGCAATGCATGTGAGGATACAAGAAATACGGCAATGAGGAGCATATTTTTCTTCTTTATTTAGCGATCACTTATCATGTTATAATGAAAGGCTGCAAGGCGCATTGTTTTACTGTATCTTTCCTGAACGACTAACTCTTTGTCTATGTTGCTACTGAACAATCTGAACAGACGTGTAACTCTCCAATCTTTGAGTATATAGCGACTTCTTATAGCGACGTCTAGCTCTTCAGCCATTTACATTTCTCTTCCAACTTGCGCCAGCCTCCAACATCTTGTAATCACTCGTATCATCTATCTTCTCTTCGGAAACTCTCTCTGCTCTTCGGAAACTCTCTCTGCTCTTCGGAAACTCTCTCTGCTCTTCGGAAACTCTCTCTAACCTTGCATTTTTCTAACTCCTTAACCCGAAATTAACTACCATCATGGACTCCACGCATCATAGCCTCCATCGCCGCCTATCCACAGATGGCGATGATTTCGCAGCCCTGTTGTATCTCGTCTGCAGCGCCGCAGTCTGCATCTCCGTGATGGCCATCTTAGCAGTAGCCACGGTGCATAATAGGCCAACCGAGAAGATTCGCCAGAGGAATTATGATGCTCAGAGAATGAGCATTCAGAATGAAGATTGGAATGAGGCATCGTCGTCTAGCGTTAGCTGGCCGGTTTATTGCGTGTAATACCATTCTTGCCGTATATATTTGCTAATTGTGCACAGATGTCTCGCTTGTCAACTGGAATATGGTGATTTTCAGTCATTATATTTTCAAGAATCACTTGATGAAGAATCTCGCCACTCAGGCTGAGGGAGGTCTTCCCTGCCATCAAGCCAACTACTGCAATTGATACACCGGCGAGACTGTTTTTGTCACATTATTTGTTGTTAGCCTGCAAGATACATTTTTTTCTTTACAAAAGAAAAATACAAATATTAAAATAAAAAAATAAAAACGCACCTTTTCGTTAATCCTCTTCAAACAATACTGGCACTTTTTCGAATACTTAATAATCGGATCATGCGACAGCAGCGTATACACGTGCGCCAGCCCATACAGCGAAAACCCAACCATGATGAAAGACACCATCTGGTAGATGAATGAGCCGTACGCCATGACGACGGCGCCGTCCGATTGGGCTTGATTAAGCGTGTTGTAGCCACCGCTAGGCGAAGAGGAGTTGTAGTTGGGACCTGCGCGCAGGACGGCGAATTTCTCCTCAATGTTCTTGTTGATGGGGAGGATGATGGCGATTGGGGGCATGAGGATGGCGCTGACGAAGGATTTGACGAGGTCTGTGAAGGCGGCGGCGACACTGTAATATTTTTCAATGATGAGAAAGATAGACTTGTGTATATAATGTTCTCATATTATTCTTGCGAAACCTAGTTCACCTTGTACTACAATTTTTGTGCACAAGCATCTCTTAAAAGTGAAGAAATACCAACTCACATTAAGCCAAATGCAATCTGCAGAATATTCCCTTGAAACGCAAAATCGACAAAGCCATGGAAAAACCGCGTCATTTTCGTTCGGCCTCTGTCGAGGAGCGAATCTGTCTCACTGGGGCCGCCGATCTCGATATCGTGAGATGAAGAGGAGAGATCTGGGCGTTTGGCAGAACTCATGGCGATGGATGGGAATTACGAGTAACGCAAGCAAAGCTTATTCTGTGTCTTGGAATCTCAACCATGCGGATAAGGGAGAAAGAAAGACGGATGAATTGGGCATTCGAGATATTTCACGGTGCACGACATGCGGTGAGCTTATCAGCGAGGGTGTCACGAGCTCTTGATTGTTGGAAGAGCGGCGTGAAGCGTGAAGCGCTCATTTCCATATTAGGAAAGCCATGACGCAGATGGCGCTGGCTCTAATGCATAATTGCGTGGGGCGAAGAGACGAAGCATAACAAATAAGACGAGCCAAAATAGCATGCTTAAAACCAGTTATACTATGGAGGAGAGCCAAGCTTTTTGCATAAACGATATGGGTGGTTGGAGATGATGTATTTGGGATGCCGGCTTTCACAATGGAGAGCGTTTTGATTCCCATTCAGCAGTGTGAGTGAGAGACGCCATAACAAACATTGGGCATATACACACAAAGAGTCGGAAGACAACTACGAATACACAGCAGCTTGAAATTTTTAAGAATAAGAAATTCAAATTAAGGATAGAGTACTATTTTCTTCAAATTTTAGATATCGTCGCCTTATAAGCGTATTAGCGAGGTTTGCCCTCATATCCATCAATCTTAACCTAGACCTTGCCGCCTCCCCCCGTTTGTACCGAACCATCCTTGGCCCAAGCTCTTGATAAGCGGGCAAACCATAGGGAATGTAAGGAAAAAAAATTAATACGTAGCCAAGCATTTTGTTATTAAACACTTCCTGCCATCATTTATGAATTCATCCCATTGCCAGCACAAGACATTTTCGAAAATGAGAAGAGTAAAGAGTGTTGTTGAGAGAGCTTAGAATCTCTCCTTGGAATAGCGCTCGCGGTCCTTCTTCTCCTTTTTCCACAGCATCGCAAATTTGGATACCCAAAACAGGGTCGAAATGATCATGAAGACGGCTGCGATCCAAGAGATGGTGTAGAATTTCGTGCCCTTGGTAGCTACCAATGTGATCTTTTTGCCAGCCTTGTTGATGGCGTTGACGGCGATGGAAGACGCCGCCGTGACGACGATGCTACCGAGCGTGATGGTTGTGGCGGCAAGCGATGCGAGAGCTGTGTTTATAAACAAGATAATCTTCTTGTCTCCAAGGAGGAATGCCGGGATGCATGCTAGCATGGAGAGACCGCTGAAGCCGACGCCCAGAACGAAGAAGACGAAGAGGGCGAGCAGAGCGCTGTTGAGGTCGCTGATCTTGTCTTGGATAGAGTCTGGCCAGCTAATGTCTGCAAGGCTGAGGTCAAGGGGCCCGATAGAGAGCTCTTGATTCAGTATCTCAGTGAGGTTGAATCGGTCTAAGGGTTCAATGTGAGTCAGTAAAAAGCTATCGTGATAAAGGGACTGCCCTGGGTGATGTCTATCTGTTTGGGAGCTTACTTGAGGGAGATGAATGAGTGCAGTTGGTGGTGTTGAGAGAGAAATGAGCGGCCGTTGCGTTGGCTCCGAATTCGCCCTGACAAGCGTTCATGATGTGGACGGAATACCACTGGCTGATGCCCAGGTCTTCGGCAATGTTTGCGATGATGTCGTTGGCAATATCGCCAAGCTTGTCTTTGGCTTCATCTTTAATGTCGTGGACCTTGTCTTTGAGCTTGCCGAAGATACTCTCGTCACCATCGTCGTCCTTATCATCGTTGCTGCTGTGTGATTTGCCATTCTTGAACTGGTCTTGGCCGAGCTGGGATGTGTTGAGCTGTGTTGCGAGTCAGCTGTCTAATCTGGACAATGTCTTTTCAGAGGCATAGCATCATTGCTTGGATAAACTCACTCTAATGACAGCATAGTCTTCCATGAAACCCTGCTGGTGGCCAGCAAACAGCGCCAGGTTTGTCAAGACGAAGGCGACGAAGGAGAGTATTAGGGGAATAAGGACGAGGAATCTCATCAAGAGAGCCATGATTACGACAGGTGTGAAGGAGGAAAAGGAAGAAAAAAAAAAAAAAAAAAAAAAAAAAAAAAAAAAAGGAAAAACGACAGAGAGGTAGAGAGTGAGAGATGGAATGTATCACCAGGATGCAATTCAAAGAGGCAAAGAGAGGGAAAGATGTAGAGAGGCAGAAACAAAAGAGTTTAGAGCAGGAGGGCAGATGATGCCTCTATATACATGTATTTTGGCCAACATTGCGTGAATCAAGCCCCGGAGCCGTTTGATAGGGTGCACTCCACCACTTTGACAATAACCCATGTTCACAATCAAGTTACTCTTTTTTTCCCCTTCTCTTTTTTCTATTCAAGGATTGGCCCAGAGCTCAGCATCCGCGTAACAAAGAGGCAGCCCAAGCGAAGCAAACCCCATTCTGCCGCATAATTGCCACAGCTGCAATCGGTCAGGATTGGCTAGCCGCGCGACAATCGCGGTCGTGAAAAACAAGGCCACGATGAAGATCTGTTCACGGATGCATCAAGTTTTTTGCCTCTGGGGGCTGTTTGGCGGAGGAGGGGCGCCTTTGCATCATGATTGAGGCGCTGCGGTCCAATGGTTGGCTGATGGCGGGTGAAGCGCAGACAGGGGTGCAGAGCGTGCGTTTTGCAAAAGGCGACGTTGTGTGCGATGAATGAATGGGTGGTGCTTAATGCGCGAAAATTAACAATAGAGTCAAAATTATATGGTATTTTCTTGTTGACTATTGTGCAATATTTATTGTCGAATTGTCATCTGGCAACCATTGCATCTCTGAAATGATCGCCACATTCAACTGTACCTACAATGTACTTCTCTGGAGAACAGCACCGCTCGGCTGCCGCTGTGGGGCCGGCAACGATAGCCGCGTTATAGTGGGGGATTTTGCAAGGCTACAGGGGGGGCCGCCTCCACTGAGAGCCACTCAATGGCCTGGCGGCTGCTGAAACGAGCGACTGGCCTTTGATCTTGGTCTCAGGTTCATCCAGCGTTCATTGAACAGAAACGTTTAGCGATGGGGCTTATTTTATTTTATTTTTATTTTTATTTTATGTTCGAATCTAATCAAAGAAACGCTACAAATAGTGAGACAAGGCCCTGAACAGGCACTCGCTGCCTACCTCTCCTTGTTGGGTCTTGTACTCCAAGTGTAGGCTACTCCGTGCCTGGTATGGCAAAAGACGAAATTGGTATCGCAGGTTGACTTGGATACATGTAAACAGTTCAATATAATAGAATAGACATTGGCTCTGCATACTTTGTCGACATGTGGCTTTACCCTTGCGCGGCTGTGCCTCGGGAATACCGGTATAGTCTACTGAACAAACAACTTGTTCACCTTCAGTACGCGCATGTTCATATTTTACACATTTGTGTCGAAGCTTTTCATGTTTTTACTATATTATAAAACTGCTTGTTGCCATCTTTATAAATAACCTCAATTTCTCTCAATTTTAAGCATTTAACGCTTTTTTCTTTTCTCTCCCTGCAAGACAAATATCTCGTCACTATCATCTCCTTACTCGCTTCCTTGAGATCTCCAGCGCCGAGTAAGATCAACAATGAGTCGAAATAACAACTCCAGAAAAGATAATCGCAGAGTCCCCGTGCCCTGGGACGAGTGTAGGGACGAGTGTAGGGACGAGTGTAGAGAAGAGTGTATGGAAGGGTGTAAAGAGTGTATGGAAGAGTGTATGGAAGGGTGTAGGGAAGAGTGTAGGGAAGAGTGCATGGAAGAGTGCATGGAAGAGTATTGGGAAGAGTATTGGGAACAGGAAGAATACTGGGAAGGGCGTCGCCGGGAGGTGGGTAGATTCTGGCCGTCGGAGGGGCTCATTCAGAAGGATCAGTCCGCCAGTCCAAGTAAGTCATCACTTAACACTGTTAATGCAAACAAAAGTCTATGTTACTGAGGCTGATATAGGACGTGATACCGTATCGGCTAAGCCAAAATCACCTCAGTCCCGCATAGATGACAGAGACCATGGTATGCGGCTCGTACACTTCGATCGTCACCGATACAGTACAACAACACGGGCATCTAGGGACTTGCAAAAAATGCTTGGAGATATGCCGGGATACCACGGAGATTACATCCTCGGTCTATGAACAGATGGAACCTCGTCAGAAAGGTATGACGAGCAAACCTAAAACACCATTCGACTATAAAAGATGGCCACGTACATGATGAGGGTGGTGGAATTGTTGCGTTCTGAAGTCGAAAATCCTTGACTTGAGGGGCACGTTTGATTCGATGCTGGTAAAGGAAGCTTTAATATGTTTACGCGTATTAATTAAAAGGGGGGAAAAAAGAAGAGAGAAAAAGAAAGAGAAAAAAAGAAAGAAATTGTTTTGTGTTGACATCATGTTTACGACTTGCAAGGGGCAGTTTTCGACTCATCTTTTTCTCTTTTTTTTACCGTCATCTAGTTAGTCTGACCAAATACACATCATTCTGCTTTAATGCCCTTTTTTCCTTCTATTCTCTTTCATCTCTGACCAGATGACAGACGGAAATGTGTGTCGGCACGTCTCCCATTAGGTGCCAGATACTGCACATGCACACATATATCAGCCTCTTGCCGTCATTATCCGGAAACATCAAGTGAATCTTCGCTTCCATCATCTTCATCGTCTGATCGCTGCTGCAGCATCACGCAAGCGTCACTTTCGTCCTTGTTGCTCGCACCAGCATTCACCTCCTCTTTCAACAATCAGATGACCGGATAGTGCACCATTTGCTGCAGCCTGCCTCCAGCAGCTCTTTTCTGGCTGGCCACATGCACCTCCCCCACGTGCAGCCGGCAGCCTTGGGCAAGCAAGCTTGCAGCCCGCCATTCGCTACCAGCAGCGTCTTCCAGCGCGCGTCAGCGCCAGTGCCGGCGCTATCCTCCCGCCATGGTCCCGCTACGGGCACCGCGCTGGGCACCGCTACAGGCATCGGCCGAATCACGGCCAGCACTCCACCTCCATCGAGCTCCTCCACGATGGTACCCGCTGCAGCAACCCAGTCGGCATTCATGTGCTTCCAGCCCCGGTGATGCGACTGCATCGATCAACGCCGCATCGCCCTCTTATCTGCTTCTCCTCGCACCACCGCCCTCGCTTGCCTGCACCTCCTCCTGCATCACCGCGAGAGAACCAAATCTCTAACCACCACGCAGAGAAAACTCTCTTCTTCCATCGTCCCTCGCCGAGGCTAATCGCAGAAGAGGGGTTGCCAACTCCATCTTCCTACGCCACCAACTCGTCGTTAGCCTGGCCTCTATGGAAGACTGAACGCGCCGGCCATCCTCTTCCTCCTCAACCATCCTCGCCCTCGCCGCCGTCCTCACCTACGATGCCCTCGCATCGTCCCTCAGAGCTTCGCCGACACCGTCTCCGAGTACGCTGACGCGACCGACAATGCAATAAGCAGCGCCTTCGACCCACCCGCGCGCCAGCAATTCTATCGCTGTTTGCTCCTCTAAACCGAGACCTAGCAATAAGCCTTTAACCTGCCTCCTCGCCTTGTCGATCGCTGTCTTCTCGGCCAAATCTCACCTCTGGCCACCCTCTTTCTTCTTCTTCTTCTTCTTTTTCTACTTCTTCTTTTTTTCTCCTCCTAATTTTATAATTTTCTTCTTCCTCTTTTCCTCTTGTCTGTAAAACTACTGCGGCCCACCATGTCGTCCTCTCTCGAAGCCAAGATTGTCGTCCTTGGCGCCCAAAACGTGGGCAAGACATCCCTTGTTATGCGGTACTGCAAAGGCTCTTTCAACCCGGCTCAGATCACGTCCACCGTGGGCGCCAGCTTTTTGACCAAGCGCGTGGTCGACAACGACTCCGACACTGTTGTGCGCCTCCAGATCTGGGACACGGGTATGTGCATTGCATTTGCTGCTTTTGATTGATTGATTGATTGCCTTGTGCCCTTGTTTTCCCTGTCTTTTTGTTGTTTAGTCCCAATCACGACTCCTCTCCATGCTAGAAATCACGTAATTTTGCATAACCGCTTCAATGCTGACTCCTCTTCTGCAGCCGGCCAGGAGCGTTTCCGCTCCATATCCCGTTTGTATTATCGCGGCGCCAACGCTTGCATCCTGTGCTACAGCATCACCGATGCCCAATCATTTACCGACATGGGCGAGTGGCTGATGGAGCTGCGCCGCAATCTGCCTTCAGATGTTGTCCTGCACGTCGTCGGCACGAAAGCCGACATTGTTGCCCGCGACCCGTCTCTTCGCCAGGTTCCCTTTGAGCGCTGCATCGCTTACGTAGCCGAAAACTTGGCCCCCGGCCTCGGCAGCACGCCACCCCCGACCGCCACGCCCAACAATGGACAATCGTATCTCTCTTCGGGCGCCATCGAACCCCGGAGCCCAAGCTCTAAGCGGAGCTCCGGCTTCTGGGGCCAAGAGGTCGGCTGGGACGCCTGCCACGAGATCAGTGCGGAAAGTGGCGAGGGTGTTGAGGAGGTCTTCCGCGTTGTTGCCCGGAAGCTCGTGGAGCAGAATCGCAAGATGCAGCAGGCACTTCTTCAAGCAACGGCTACTCCCAACACACCAGGGTTTGAATCTGGTATGGACGGAGGATACTTTGACGCTAGCAATGGCAGGGGGAGTTTCCGCATCGGACGAGATAGGAGGAGCTGGCTGTTCCCCCCTGGATTCTCGCCCGCCGTGACTATTGACAGAGCCGCATCAACCCAAGAGCAGCAAGACCAACTGGCTGAGAGCCGGCAAAAGCAGCGACAGAGCAGCTGTTGCTAGATCTTGTGTTTATTTTTTCTGTGCAAAGGCGTTTTCGTCAACCCTGGGTTCCCCTGTCACAATTACACTTTGATATATTAGCTCTACCTCCAAAGGCACCATCTCCGGCGGTTTGATGATCCTTTTTGCTAACCCCCTTTTTTTTTCTTCATCATCTCAGGCGAGGTGTTTTTTCTCTCTTGCTTGAATTTTTCAACTGGAACTTTTAGAGGCGGTTTGGCGTTTAGGATATTTGTGCGGACAGGCTGGGAAAAAAACGATAATAGCAGGCTTAGGGATTATGTCCTGCGCTTTTTGCCTGTACGATGTTTGTTTGTTTGTTTGTTATACAGAGGAATGGGAAGAGAGCTCTCACGAGACATGGTTTGTAACTTCTTTTTTTTTTGTGTGTGTTTCATGGTCGAACGGCGCAGGGGATATACAGGTAATGGATATTAGTTTTTTGTGTTGTTCTTTTATAGAAGTCTTTTTATTTGAGTTGTTTTCCTTTTCTACAACAGGTATAACCTGTGCGTGTATGAGTTTCTTGTTGACCTTTTACTTCTTTTCATGTATGGCTATATTTTATATAATCGGTCCATTGTTGATATATAACAAGTATCAGCCTTTCTTTGATCTAGACCCCAAGTGTACTATGCGACAAAACATGCTCTCTCTCTCTCTTCCCTCTCTCTCTATATATATCGTTCCAAGCAGAATTAATTGATTACAAAACTGCTTCAACCAGAAAATTTATACAGAAAGCTTCTACATGCGTTTTATGCAGATGATCCTCCTGCCGCTGCCGCCTTTACCTGATTCTTCTTGTCCAAATCATCATCTGCCGCCGGTGGAGCTGGAATATCCACCCCCATGACCCTATGCTCCATGCCAACATATCCATCGCTCACGACAATAATATCCAGCTTACGAGCCTCTCTGGCCTTGGGTTCCGGCAACTTGAGCACCGTTCGTGCTGTGGGCCGCGAGCCCTGACCCAGAGCCTTCTTTGCTCCTGAATTACCGCTCGTAGAGAGGCCCGCCCAGCCGACACGCTTTACGGCAATGACTTCGTCGTTGGCCGAATTGGCGATAATGACGAACCAGCCTTCTGTTTGGGGCTTGTGGAACTTGGGTGCCCAGATGCGCGCTTCACGGTCAACGAGGGGGTTGAGACGCTTGATGTTGACGGTCAAGGAGAGCGTCGTGATGTCGTCGACTGACACGGAGACGTTGGGAAGCATAGATACAGCGCGCTTGAAGCGAGGCTGAAGGCCCGATGGAACACGAAGCTTCTTAGCAAACGCGTTGACCTGGTCCTGAGAAAATGTGCTGATTTTCGCCAGGGTAGTGTCGTCCTTGGTCGAGTCGGGTTCCACGCCGGGCAAGATTGACGCCGGCGAGTCGGTGGGCCATCTGGCGCACTTGATGCTCTGGAGGAGCTTCATCATCTGGAGACAGCTGGACAGGTAGCCCATCTCGGTGATGACGTCGATGGAAGCCTGGATGATACGGATGGCCTGGTCGAGCACACTGGTCTGGTCACCGACGTAATCCGTTACGGGCAGCTCAATGCGCGACATGAAGGCCTGTAGCAGCAAGAAGGACTTGACGTGGGGATCCCACATGGGCAGGTTGAATGAATTGCCCGGGAAGGGGAGGTTCTGCGAGAGCACATCGTTGACCAGGTCTTCGTTGTGACGGACGGGCAGCTCGTCGTATTCCGTTGCGTGGCACATCCATGATAGGACATTAAGGAAGCTCGCGTTGGGCTTGACATTGTGCACAAGATGTCGGATGGTCTTGTGGGATAGATAGTAGTAACTCATGATCTTTCCGAGAGGGGTAGGATCGACATCGCCGTTGGGGAAACTCTCAACGCACTTGGACTCCTCGAGCTCTCCAAGGGATTTCTCGACCATTTCAATCATATATTCGTTGGCTACCATCTGAGCAGCAATAGTGCTGTGCTCTTCTGCAGAAATCTCCAATCCATAATAAGAGGGGTTCTTGTGAAGTCTTCTGAAGAAGAAAGTCCATGTCAGGTAGTCTAGTGCGTCTTGTTTGTTCATGATGGTCTCGGCGGAGATTTCGGCACAGATATGGTTGTCCAAAACCTTGTGCAGCGAAGATTCTACAGGGAAACCAGTGTGCAAAAAGTGCTTATAAAAGTCCTTCTTCGCATCTTGCGTGAAGATACGGGCAACACCGGAGTTGTCAAACTGAGGTCGTCCAGCTCGTCCCAGCATCTGCAAGACGTCTGTGAGATCCATGTCCTTGTAGCCGCTGGTTTTTGCGTCGTAAAATTGAGTGCCCTTGACGACGACTAAGTGCGCTGGCAAGTTGACACCCCAAGCAAGGGTACTGGTCGCAACCAATATTTGAATCTTGTTGTTTAGGAAAAGTTCCTCCGCAATCTGTCTGTCAGACTCAACAAGACCAGCGTGATGAAGTCCAATACCAAAGTTAATAGCTTCTTTAAGAGCGTCGTCTTTGACACGGGATAAGTTGAGCTGCAAGTCCTCCTCGTCCATCCGAAGGAAGCGTCGCGGGTTGTCTTCCATACCACAGTAGTTGATCAAGTCCTTAGCAGTAAGGCGAGTCTGTCGACGGGATGCGACGAAAACAATGACTGGCTTCTCAGGACTGTGATTCTTGATAGCCAAAAAGGTTGGCCGATTCATAGACTGCATCAATGGGCAGAAACCTCGAATTTCTGGGAACCCATCGATATACAGCTCTAGAGGGACGGGCCGGACGGAATGCCTAAAGTTGAAGAGACCTTCCTTGACACCGAGCCAGTTGGCCAAGTCAGTTGCGTTAGCACATGCTGTTGACATACCCAACAGTCGGACTTTATTCTTCAGCGAGGATGAAATGTAGTTCATTCCTGATATAAAGGTTAGCAATCTGCGATCAATGCTGGAGCCTCTGGGAGAGAAAATACTTACGAGAAACAATAATCTCCAAAATTGGACCACGATCTCCGGCCAGCAGATGGATCTCGTCGATAATAACCAAACTGACCTGTCTGACATAGCCTCTGGTCTGCCAAGAACGGGAGATACCGTCCCACTTCTCAGGAGTTGTAATGATTATATCCGCATCCTTGATAGTCCTTGTGTCTGGGGTATTGTCACCCGTCAATTCGACCAGTTTGAGTCCCAGAGGTTTAGCAAGCCGGTTACCCCAATCTACAACTCGCTCACGGACCAAAGCTTTCATAGGAGCGATATACACCACTTTCGACTTTGGTCGTTCCCGGAATGCCCACCACATGGCAAGTTCAGCAGCAACAGTCTTTCCACTTCCCGTTGGGGAACCAAGGAGGACGTTTGCTGAAGTATGGTACAGAGTATGGAAAATCTGGGTTTGCATAGGGTTGAAGAAGCTGAATCGCTTGGCATACAGCTCTTCCAGTCCAGGGTTCTTAAGCGCAGTGATTGGCAAAGGTTGCAGGTTGAGCAGATCCGTATACACACTTTCGGTATCTGGGCGGATAAGATGCTGGAAAGAAACAGGCGTGACCGTCTCTGATCCAAGCCATCTGTCCGAAATTGCTCGAACATAAATCTGAGTTGGCAGCGGGTCTGAGAGGGGGATCGTGAAATTCAGTTCGTGCTCGTCATGCAACTTTCTCCTATTAAAGATAAAATATTCATGATGGTAAATTTCTGAAGTCTCGGAATTCTCAACCCAAATATAGAAAGATTCAGAAGTTCCATGAATATGGTCTTTCCAAAGGAAATCAGGGATAACATAGAGTTTAATGCGCAGAACATCTCGGTTCAGAGGCGCAATCTCAGCTTCTACATGAACCAATGGGAAATTGTTGAGTATCTTGGCAATATTTTTTCCGGCGCCTTGGTTGTGTACCAAGCTTCCCAGCTCGGCCGGTTCCATCTCCTTCATTGTGTCAATCGTCAGATTTTCCTTAGAGTCGAGCTGATTGAGCACGGGCTTGGTAAGCTCGAACTGATGAAGGGGATGCTGGAACGGCCAGATCCTCTTCTCAATAGACTTGGAGAGAGTGAGAAGCACCAAGCACTGGTGGCCCCATCTGCGGTTAAGAGCAAGCATGAACAAGGCCCTGCAGATTCGGCCTGATTGCTGCGCAACGTAGTTCATGTCGTTTGACAAGGCAAAATCATCAGGCTGGATCTTGGAAATGTACGATTGCAAGAGAATGTTTGTCTTTGCTTGAGGTGTATCGATACCCTTGTCAACGTCACAAGGAACGATATCCTTGAACTGTGTCAACTCCTTCGCCTCATTATCTCTAGACTGAATGTTGTCAAACTCTCCACTCATGCTGATCATCTTCAAGACATCAGCTTCGGTGGCTTGAGGGTGCATCATCGTGTTGAATACTTGGATACTCGTGTGAAGGATATAGTACTGACTGGCAATACGGCCAATATCCTTGCTACGAAGTTCCTCGGTATTTTCGTTGAAGATAATCATCTGAGATTGCTGAAGAGTTCTCGCAGCTTGTATCGCCAGCTGGCGTCGTCGTTGAACCAGATTTGGATCATCGCGTATTTCCGCCCACTCAATACCATAAGTCATTGGGCTCCTCTGCATTCGCACAAACAGATATGAGTATCCGATCCACTGTACAGCTTCAGGGATGGATGTCACAGTGCCCAAAGCAATTTCAGCATTGAGATTGTCAACTAGTTTCGTCGAGAATTTGGATTCAATGGGCTGCTGTTCAGTGATGGCTGACAAGTAATGAGGAAGCTTGTCGTGCGTGGTGCAGATCATACCGATACCCGTGTCTTCAAACTGGGGACGACCAGCACGACCAAAGATCTGGAGTACATCAAGAATACTGAGATCGACAAATTTACCATCTTGGGCGCTGTAAACCTGAGTGCCCTTGATGACTACCGCAGCAGCAGGCAAGTTGACACCCCATGCTAGCGTGGCAGTACAGCAGAGAACTTTGAGAACACCATCGGCGAAGAGTCTCTCCATAAGATTCCTGTCCGCTCTGGCCATGCCAGCGTGATGAACACCGATCCCCTTAGAAAGCAGGTCGCGGATATCCTTGGATTTGGACTGGTTCATATCCCTAGACGCTTGTCCAAAGTGAGGATGTCCTGTTGGGTCGAAAAGATCCACGCAAAACTGCTCAATCGCTTTCTGGTGAAGCATTCTTGCCGTGACCATCGTGTCTCTACGAGAATGAACGAAGACCATGACTTGGTGATCGCGCTGTAACATCTCTTTCACTTTATCAAAGGCAACATTGTCCAAATTTTCTTTGGATTGCTTGGATCCAGCTTTTCCTTTGACACCAATAAAGTGTTGCTCCAGGGGAACAGGACGGAACGAGGCATCAAAGTAGAACAGGCCGGCGTACTTGTTGACTTTTAAAAAGTCAGCAACGTCGACATAGTTGGGCAACGTGGCACTCAAGCCAACAATCCGAATGAGCGACTGAGTACTCTCCACCTGTCTCTCGGTTCGAGCTACCAAAGATTCCAGCACGGCTCCACGTTCATCATGAAGCATGTGGACTTCGTCGATGATGAGAAGTCTCACCTTTTGTACCAGCTCTGTGTCTCCAGTTCCCTTTCTTGTAACAACATCCCACTTTTCAGGGGTTGTAACAATGATTTGGGTTTGAACAATCTCTGCTTTGGTGAGCTGCATATCACCAGTGTATTCTCGGCACTTGATGCCCAGCCAGGCAAGACGCTTGCCAAGCTTCTCGGTGACTTCGGCTGCCAAGGCTTTCATTGGTGCTACATAGACGATTTTGAAATCGTCTGTATTGACGGCAAATTCAGTTGCCTCAGGATTCTCAATGGGATTTGGCTCAACATGTTGGCCAATGGTGTGAAGGATGGTGAGCATAGCGGCGTCAGTTTTACCCTAAAGATACGATAATGAGCATTCATACCAACAGCTTGTTATGAGTCCAGTAGACTTACCGCACCAGTTGGAGCACAAATCAGCATATTCTCGCTTGTCTTGTATCCAACCGGGTATACCAAACTCTGCATTCGGTTAAGAGTCTTGTATCCCTTAAACGTGTTACGGCAAAGGCCATCCAAATCTGAAATCTTGACGAGCTTCTCTCCGGGGCCTGGCACTCCTTTCTTTCCAGCGGGCACAAAGTACTCCTCGTATTTCTCAAACTGGAGACGCTCACTGCCAACCGGCAAGCCGTATTTCTTGCCAGAAGAACTCAATGTGTTTCCGGCATTGTACGCCCTGTAGACATGAGGATACTGAGGCTCCTTGGCGAAACTAGGGGCCAGGGCTGCATTCTTGTGCTGGTAGTCCTGCGCACGAAGAGCGGCATCTCTTTGGGATTTTGTCAGGAGTCGTCTTCCTTTTGTTTCCGGCTCCTCATGAAAAGCGGCTGCAGATGCAACTACTTCATCTTTGTGGCCTAGCAGCTCAATAATGAAGTCCAAGTCGTCAAATCCGACCAGGTCAGTGAGATGTTGCTGCAGCTCATCGTCGGGCTGGCCAGAAGATAATACATTGACGAGCTGAGTCTGGAAAACATCAGGGGCCATGCCATTCTTGGCCGCGATCGAGGCACATCTTGTAGCCAGCCACTCGGCCCCAAAACCGCCCGTGGCTGCGCCAGATCCTTCATCCGCAAAATCGCTGCTGTAATAATCATACTCGTCTTCGTCAGAGATGAAGTCCCAGACATCGTGGCCGCTGGTCGTAGAAGAGTAGCCGCCAAAGTCGTCGTCGTCCAGATCGGCATCTGCCTTGGCATCGTTGTGAGGGAGCTTGAGCTTAGCAAGGGCCGCCTGCATGGCCTCAAACTGCTGCCTCCACTCAGACTCTGCGTTGATCAGGTCGGTAGACGCCATTGCCTCGGTCTAGTTGCTATTTTCTTGAATAATCCCAGGGAAGCAAAAAAGAAATCGCGTGAGCGCAATGAAGAAGGAAAATCAAAGAGCAATGCAGTCTTACGCTCTCAATTTTATTGTTGAGCTGCACCTCCAGCTTTTTATCAATTTTCACGGTCTGAAGTCCGGATGACGCATTATCGCCAGCGACTAAAGATCAACTCACATCAGTCACACACCGCCCGCCCCGCTAACGGGGGCCGCAAAAAGTCCCCACTAATCCGCCTGAAGGCACCCACTGTGCAGCGACTCTCAGCGCCTGAATCTTGCTTCTGGAGAGCTGGACTTAGCGGGGTTCTCCTGCGGTAGGGGAAGCGCCTAAAATCCGTGGGGCGGGCGACTCACTAGTAATGGGCCATATCCCTGTGGAATGCGACAGCACAGGCATTTTCAACTCCACGGGCCCAACTTGAAACTCCGACTTGTGAAACACCTTTTCTTTGAACATTCGATTTGCACCCTTTCCCGCCTCTTTGCTGTTGCACAAGGCCTCCTTTCGACGCTCTAATTACAACTTGCGCGATCGCAGTCGACGAATTTCCTATTCCCAACATTTTGAGGATCTAGACGAGGAACAAACCTAAACACCAACTTCAACTCTCGCCCAACATGAAGCTTCACTACATCGGCGTACGTCCATCGACTTGCTCGGGCCTGCTCGCCGCTATCCACCGAGTATCTGTGTTCCAGTCCTCAAGGACGCCTGGCTAATACGCCTCTCTTCGAGATAGATCATCCGCAACGACTCCCAGCCCGCTCACGAGATCGTCGCAGAGAAGGAGCTGAGCGCCTACTCCCGCTTCACACGCAGCAAGTTTGTCTCCCTTCGCCGCCACACGAGAATCCTTTGGTTGCGCTCTATCAAACAAGATCCGCTAACGAGATGACTTTTCCCGCCCTCTAGCTATGGCGAGTTCATGACCCTTTTCGCGAAGACCGTCGCCGAGCGCACTCGACCAGCCCAGCGACAAGACGTTGAAGAGCAAGGTGCGATCCCAGAGCCGCCCCTTTTCCCCCTTAGCCAAATCCGAAGGGAGATGGGAGCATCGCGATTTCTAGGCCAAGAGGCTCACTCACATTTCCACCAGACTACACCTTCCACGCCTACGGCCGCACCGAGGGCATCTGCGGCATCATCATCTCCGACCACCAATACCCCGCCCTGGTCGCCCACCAGCTCCTCAGCAAGGTCGTCGACGAGTTCCTCTCCAAGCACCCGCGCTCCTCATGGGCCAATGGCGACGTCACCCTGCCCTTCCCCGAACTGACGGACTACCTCGCCAAGTACCAGGACCCCCAGCAGGCCGACAGCATCATGAAGATCCAGAAGGAGCTGGACGAGACCAAGATTGTGCTGCACAAGACTATCGAGAGCGTGCTGCAGCGAGGAGAGAAGATTGATGATTTGGTGGCGAAGAGCGATGGTCTGAGCGCTCAGAGCAAAATGTTCTACCGTATGGCGACCCCTCCCTATTACCCTCCTTCCTTTCTTCCTTTTGCTTTGTATTTCACTTTCCCCACTGCTTTCTATTTATTAAGCTGATGGCTAACGTATTCCAAACAGAGCAAGCAAAGAAGCAAAACTCTTGCTGCGTGTTGATGTAATTAGGGGGGCGTTTCATTTGGCGTTGCAATGCGGTCCTAATTTTCAGCAACAAACGGGCTGTCTGTTTTCAAAGATTGGTTATTATGAAAGACACACACTCACACAACATATATACTAATACGTAACTCATGGGGGAAGATGATCGATCGAAATTCACCCATGAATTTATTATACACATATTCTCTCTCACAAGAAACACACATCTTTTAAAAGGAAAAGGATATCAATGATATATATTTTCATGAAATTCTCCATAGACTGTCCGATACAATCGTTACAAGCCCATGCTTCGCTTTATAAGTTTTATTTATCCGCCATCAAAGCTGGCCCCCGGGGCTATGCGCCAATGATAATAAATGAAGAAGGGAATAGAAAAGAAAAAAAAACTTTGGGGTTGCCTGGTATGAAAGAAGAGTAAAGATGACACATGAAAAAAATATGGGCGAGGGCGTGTGAGTAAAAAAAAAAATACACGCCCGGTGGCTCGTAAAAAGGAAAAAGAAGACAGGAAAAAGAAAAGAATAATAGACAAGAATAGATCAGTCAGAAACGTAAAAAAGGTCGTTCCGTCATGCACCCTCGAGCACCACGCGCGAGCTCTTCCGATAACCACTCTGCCCAAGACGGCCCTCTTCTTCTGGGTGTACCAACTGCGGCGTCGCGGTCCTCGTCTCAACAATTCGCTTGTTCTTTTCTGGTTTGATCAAAGCGGCCACTTCCGCTGCAGCCTCTCCAGGCACCCTCCTTGAGGCGGAACGCATCAAAGGCACCACGATATTACGCTGCTGCCTTGAGACGCTAATTTGACGCGCAATGGATATTTCCACAGCCTCGTACAGGGCTCTTTCGACTTCTTCTTCGTCTGCGTTGGTACGAATAGAAGTTGTGGACTTCTGGTGTTGATGTTTCGGAGGCGCAGTTCTTTGTGATGGTGAAGCTTTTTGGGTTGGTGAGACTTTTTGAGACGGTGAAACTCTTTGGGATGGTGACACCCTTTGGGATGGTGGCGGTTTGGGCTCCGCTGTGCGATTCAGTGGTTGTGGTGGCGGTCCAGATGGTTTCTTCAGAATTGATCGAGGCTGCACTGGCGCAGCTACAGAAACTGGTGCAGTTATGGAAGCAGGGGATTCTGATAGCTGTCCGGCGACTTTTGGCACGGAGGCCTCTGATGATGTCGATTCTTTACGGTGGAACTTGGAAATAAGCTTCTCGCGCCGCTCCGGTGTCATTTGACTATCTGTGGGCAAAGGCTCATCCTGAGAAGGATTAGAAACAGAAGTGGTCCTTTTCCTTAATCCTTTTGGTGCTTTGTACATAGCAGGAGTCGGAAAGTTGACCATTGCAGGGGAGGTGTTGGATCGCATGCGTGACGAGGCTCTTGGAGGGGGGTTGTTTATGGGGGCTTGATCTTGGGGGAAGAGAGAAAATGAGGGTGAGCTTTTTGGCAAAGGTGAAGTCGATCGCCGGTGAGGTACCACAATCTCGACAGGAATAGAGCCATCTCGGAATTCCTTGGCTGCGGGTACCTTTAGCTTGTCCAGCTTGACCTGTCGTCGGACTGACAACTTTGGTTTGAGCGGTGACAATACTTGTTGTGATTCTTGAGATTCGACCGATTCCTTTGATGGTTTCCTCAATTGCTCTGGCGTTTGTTTAGGCTGATGCTGCTGTGTTTCCTCGGGCTTCCGCGACTCTTGTGGGTTCTCAGCCTGCTCTGGTGCGGCCGATGGCTGAGTCTGCCAGGACTGCTGAGCTTGTTGTAAGAAGTATTGATATTCAGACGGTTGCTTCTTAAGAATGGTTCCAAACATGACGCTGAATCTTTCCATCTGAGTTGTTGGGATTTCAACCTCCAGAAGCTTCGAGGGCTGAAATTGAGGCTGTGGCGGAACGGGGGGGTTACGCGTCGGTGCCGCAAAATCTCGTTGATACGGCAATCCAGGAACATCTTTGGGAGGAGATTTCGATACGCTGCTTGAGCTGTCCTTGCGCAATACGGGCCCTGTACCTCTGCTGTCACTCTCTTTCTCGCCCTTGTTCTTTTCACTCCCCAAGTCATCGCCGTTCTTTGCTACGTTCGTAAGATCCACCGTGCTTTTCCCAGTATCTGTACCCAGCGATCGCGAGGTAGAGGTCTCTACCGGCTTGGATCTTTTTGACTTCGTCCTGCTAAAAGGATTCCACCTTTTTGACATTGATCTTGACGGGCCACCGGCATTAGGAGCTGGTTCTTGTGCATGTCCCCCTGAAGTTACGGTCGTCAAGGTTCCAGTCTGCCATGGCAACTCAGAAGATCCAGGAGGATGACTTGGGCTTCCAAGCGCCATCCCTATCCCCGTGGGTGTCTCATCTCCGCCTATTAATGATGGTGCCATTAGATAGGAAGTTGGTGTGTTTCCAGGGTTCGATGCTGGTGACGGTACTTCGGCTCGAATCGGGATATGGTATTGCTTGTAGTTCCTCGGCTCCTTGGGTCTCGTACTCGCGGATTGATGGCTAGAGAAGGACGCTTTCGATTGTATACTGATCTGATCGGTAGACCTGCTAAATTCCAACTGATCAACCTGTCTAAGCCGTCCGGCGGCAGAATTGGCATCCAGGCCCGAAGAAAGATAAGGATTGTTGTTTTGGTTGGGGAGACTGGCAGTGCTCTCTGCCGCAAGGGAACTGAGAGATTGCGGCCCATGAGCGTACTTGTAATCTCTGTGATCTGCCCATTTTTGCGGGCCCCCTTCTGATGCTGCATAAGTCGGCGTGCTACTGTGGGCAACCTCATATTCGGAGCCATCTTGGCTGTGCATGGTTGCGCCAGCCCCTGTCTGTCCCTTGCTGAACCAGCCCATTGCTCAGCGTCGTGCCCCGGACCTGCCTCTGTGAAAACGAGAACAGGCTTGACCTAGAAAGAGGTCGGCCAGAAGAGATCATGCGACGATTTGCCTTGTTGGCTCAGGCCACGGGGAGGATGCCTCTGATAAAAGACGAAATGGCTAGTAGCAATACTGATATTAGCACCGTTCCAGTAGCGTGGAGGTAGCGGATCGGCATAAAAACTGTGGCGTTTCGAAAGTAGTCTCAACAATCCCATCTTACCTGTGTAGTACCTTTGTCCACCTTTAAGGGACTTGGGATTCTTAGCGGCGTCCTCCTTTGAGCCCTCTGGGGCACAGGAACGGCGCCATCATAACCTGAGCGCGCCTTATTGGAGCCCCGTGGTTGCTGCAATGGGGTCCGCGGAAAGGCCCTAGACGCCAGAGCTATGCATAATAATAGCAACGTATGAGTGTTCCGAAGCGGTGCTATCTTGATGCGTGTAAACGGCCGCCAAGGGACCTCACCGCTCCCCGAAGCGGGAATCCTGGGGCGGTCTTTGAGCCACGATCATGGCCAGTCGCATCATGCGCGGCACTTCTAGCTGCGCAGAGCTATGTTTGAGGTTGATGAGAGGGGTCGTCGTGGCCGGACGTTTAGGCGGCCTGATCCGCACCAGGATGACTAGCCAGGGCCCAAACGAGGGACTAGCAAGGTTTGCCGGATTGGGCAAGCCAGAGAGAGCTGAAGACACGAGGCCTGCCGTGCGGAATGTACCCAAGATGCAGTGTTGGACGATGAATACGGCAGCCTAGGGTTGTTGAGGAAATGAGCGTTCATGGGTAGCAGCCAATGGACGACAAGCTGAGCACTGATGTGTAATCGATTATAGATACATGTAGGTAGTCGGCATCACCGCCTTGTGCATTTTGCCAGTCGCAAAAGTACATGTACATGTACCGCCTAGCCCGTACCTACTACTAGGTAGGTACTAGGTATGCAGTTCGAAGTATTACAGCCTCATATAAATAAGTCCAAGTAACCCTGCTATTTAGAATGCAAGCACCTTCCAGACATGAAGCACGATCAACGGCATCATCAAACACAAGCTGCTGTTTGCCAAGCTGTGTCAAAGTGCCGGCGACATGCTCAAACAAGTGTTCCAGAAAACCACAGGGAATAACTCCGGCCAGCCATCCCGCGCTGAGGTCGATCTAAGATCACACCCTGTGGCCCCAGCGACCCCTTATAATTTCACATGGCGGGGTGCGCAACACTAAGCCTGACTCCTGAAGACATGCTGCAGCAGCCCTGTTGGCTGTTGGTTCTGTTTTAGACGTACAGTATCGTAGAGCCTTATTATCACCCGGCTGCTGGCACGGTACTTTTTCCTCCGTACGAAACATCGCATACGCGACGTTGCAGATTCTACGAGGCCCAAAGCGGATTGCAGAATCTCGGTTATCGTTAGCCACATCCCAAATGGCACTCTATCGAAGCAAGCGGCGTTTTCGCTTGCGCCCAAGCCGGAGAATTCTATTTCCTCAGGGCTCTCGTGCCACGCGCGCTGCGTACCAACAATGGGATGCTGCGTTGGTTCGGTGTCGCCTTGTCCTTGCAATTTGCTGCTGGCCTTGTCTGATTGTTTTGCCTTGAGGAAGGACACCCTGCGCGTTTCAGCTATTCAGTAGACGAGGCTGCATTGCATCGTTCATCCGTTCTCTGACATACAAGTATACTCCATTGGAAACCCCGTAATCATCGCAATCAGTACCTATGGAGAGCTGTACTCTGTGCTTTTTGTAAAACCTCCTAGTGCCGCTACCAAGCATACTGGTCCGGCGCCTAATGCAAGGCACCGCACGTTAAGGCCGCTGTCCAACGGTATTCGAAGCCTTTTACGGCAGGGAGACTAGGCCTAGTATGCGCCGAATGACGTAGTTGAAGCATGTGAAAGGGAGAATTGTAGGAGGAGAATGCTTTGACGGAGGTACAAGAAGGGATATGTTATTGTACTCCCGACTCAAAGGATATATAAACGTCAGCCAGCTGATTTCCACCTTGGGGTTGGCCTGTAAGGGAGCAACAAGAAGCAAAAAAGTAACTATATATCTTCGGCATTATACGGAGTGTTTCGTTCTTGTTATTAAAAGACTTGCATCGGCCAATCAACAGAATAATGGCTCAGTAGGTAGGTCATGCTTTGAGAAAGCCTCATATATAGAAGCATTTGCAGAGAGCGATGCCTCGGATGTTACTCTATACGTCTAGGTATAAAGTTGTAACCTCTCGGAAACGACTTAATAATTCGCATCTGGTATAGCTGGCGATCTCTTGCCTATCATTGCATCAGATAAAGAACAAGGCAATATTAGGCAAAAATCGTCACAAACTTTGGCCCCTGTCTGTTTGTAGCTAAGATGCAAAGAGAAGTACTGCAATTTCGGGATGACTTCCGACTACCATCGACATGTCAATTTAGCCTGTGATTCTACATCGAGCAATGGCCGCTGCTGGCATCGGCACGATATTCCTAGGGCGGTGTTGAGGCTATCTCATTGATGATCGGTGATAAGTGAGCGATTCGTGGTTCTTCACTTCCCTTGGCATGTGCATCTTAAAGAATACTCTAAATTTTGCCGAAAAATCAGCCACCAGATGCAGTCAGCATTAATTTGTGAGAACTTTTGGCTTGAAATTGAGCCTAAAACACACTCCTCAATGGCTCTTCACCTCTTCACCTGCTGAAGAGCAAGAGAGAGATGAAGAGGAAGAGAGGCGGCAGCAATGGGGCGAAAGTTAACTCTTTTGAATCACATGCTGCTGCAGAAAGTGGGATTCATTGGCAAGGCCTAAATCGTCGTTTGTTGGCATTCCCACCGGTATTTTAACAAGAAATTGCTCTTATTTCGCTATAGACATCAGTGTATATTGCCACCATCATCCATTTGGACTAGGAGATTGCACGCCAGATATCGTCATTTTACCGCTTCCATACTGTCCCACCGGCATCTCACAAAACATAATATACAGCGGGAAATGGGGCCCCGCTAACGGGAACAGCTTTTGTTTCACGTCATCCAGTATCAGACTAATTGGTCAGTTATTTATAGCATTGCAGATTTAGTAGCAGGTAAATACCATGCACAGGTGGATAGACGCAATATGAGTGCACGGGTAAGATATTGGTCGCTCGCTCTACAATGAGCGAGTCTGAGGCATGGCTTGACACGACTTTCTCTCTTACACCGACAACTTAGGGACATGGCCTGGAACCCTGGAAGAAGCTCGGCTAACTTTGCTGCCCATGCTCCTCAACTTGGCTGATGCGTCTGGAGCAATGCCACCCAGCACGTTGGTGAACAGATGACGTAGGCGGAGAGGAAAAATTTCGGCATCGCGTATGATCCTAAAGAAGAGTCGTCGCCGAATACATGTAGACATAGTCTATGTCAAGTGGACCGATTGGATTTTCGAGAACTGGCCGAGACTATTAGTACGAACATTAACGACCCATCTACCTTTACTTGTTGAGATAGGGACCCCCTTAAACTGTGGCCTGGGATGAGAGAAAATCTCAGCCTCGAAATGAAGAGAGGCACTACCGCTATATCGGAACGTAGTCGGTCAAGCTGCCGCTGTGGGCATCCCGGGACGGATCCCTGAGCGTCGGGATCCAAATTGGCAGAGCAATCTTGGTGCCTTGCTTAGAGACGCATACATGGAAGCCGTACCGCAGGCAGACAACTTTGGCATATAGGCAGTGCCGCAAGGCAGAGAAATGAGGCAATGACGGCTTCATTTCATCTTGACACCTGCTAGCGCCGCCTCTAGGCACTGCCAATATCGCAGGTCCCCACGACAGCACATACATGTCCCTTATAGCACCTAGCAGAGAATAAGCAGGCACCCGAAATCAGCATCAGGCACACCTGCGGCCCCTGGAACCTGGCCATTCTTCTCCTATCTGCAGATACCCCGAGCACCACTGACCGACCCAGCAGAATGGCGGTAGACGCCCTGTAGCGGCCCCGGCAGACCTTGATAGCACCGCCAGAAGCTCTTGTTTCTGGTGGGGTTTGGGCCAAGTCCTAGGTCGTCGTGGTCTCCTCCCGCCCGCGAAAGGCCCGCGGCGGGGAACTTTGGGCGCGGATTGGCCAGTGGCGCTATTACGAGTAGCATGGCCGGCCTGTGGCTGGCATTTACGTCGACGGAAACGAGGGGCACAAAAGCTCTATCCACAGCGCCCAAATAAACAACCCACTCCGCCATTTTCCTCTCGACTCTTCCCGTCGCGGAAACTTTTGCCTCTTCATCTCTCTTCTTCTTCTCTTCTTCATTTTTCTTTTCTTTCCAAGCCCAGATTTCCTCGTCCGTCTCTACACAGCACATACCGCCCACCATGTCCTGGCAAGGTCAGCGCTCCTCTCTTTCCCCTGATCCGTCCCGATAACCCCACCTTGATTTTGGGGAGGAAGCAAATAGAAAGCTTTGGGAGGGAAATAACAGCTACTGACATGGCCTCGCGAGTATAGCTTTCGTCGACACTAGGTACTTCGACCCCCTTTTTTCCGCGCCTCGACCGACAATGCGAGCCATCGAAATACTGACTGAGAGACTTGCAGCCTGGTCGCTACCGGCCACATCACCAAGGGCGCCATTATCAGCATCGCTGGCGACAGCGCCTGGGCCTCTTCCCCTGACCTGACCGTACGCTGTTCCTCGCCCGTTATGGCCGTTCCAGTAGCTTTGAAATAGTATGGTGGAACTAATGATGGAAATCAATCATTCGCAGATTTCCCCCGCCGAGATGAAGGTTATTGCCAGCATCGTCGCCAAGGACCAAGCTGCCACCGACAAGGCTTTTGCCGAGGGTCTTTACGTTGGCGGCCAGCGCTACGTCCTGGCCCGAGCTGACGACAACATCTACGCACGAGCTGTACGTTGAAGATAATAGCGAAATCACCTCTGGGTTTGTAGGTCGAGTAGCGTGCTAATATATATTGCTAGGGTCGTGACGGTGTTGCCATCACCCCCTCCAAGGCCGCCATCGTTATCGGCATCCACGGCGAGACCCAGGTTGCCGGAAACGCCACCTCAGTCGTTGTTGCCCTCGCCGAGCACCTCAAGGGTACCGGATACTAAGTTGGACCAGCGATGGGATGAGCGCGCGATTAGGGTTGCGTGGAAATGAAAATGTGTCAAGCACTCGTGCCGGAAGACAGCGTTGGATGATATAGGAGAAAGGGAGGAGTTTCCATGGGAATCTTTGCAAATTAACTAGCATGTGCTCTGAGAGGACAGAGACGTCTTCTCAGCAGAGAAAAAAATCAACCAATATTTTCAAGTCTCATCTTCAACGGTTGCGTTTCTATATGCAACTTTCACTCAAGCTGTTCCTAAGTGATGTTTAATGTAATTACATAGCTACCTACATGGTAGATATGACCCAGCTGCTCTTCATACAGGCGTGCCACTAAAGCCTAGGCCGATACATAGTACGAGTATTCTACACAATCCAGCAGTTTGCTTTTACACCATCCAGGTTCCATAAAGGCCGCAGTTCATTCTTAACGCCAAAACACCGATGCCGCAGCTCACGCGAGCCAGGCTATTACCAGCCCTTTCCGGTTTTCGCTATCGCCCTTTGCCTCTTTCTCGGATTCTTCAGTATTTTCAATGTTGATGTTTGATCAAGTAAATGACACAACGGCAGTTATCGTAGTTATCGTAGCGCAAACGAGCGCGCACGTGGGCTTAGACGGGCAGCTCAGCGTTGCGACGCCCTAAACCCATCCGATCCACAAGCATGCCGATATATGTTCCGATGACGGGCAGGCCTCGAGCGAATCCAGCAATCGTACCCAGGAAATCTCCGAACAATACGGCGATGCCGTACGCTTCTACTATGAAGCCGATGAATGTCCATTTTATCAGTATTAGCGTGAGACCCGCGAAGAAGGCGGCTGTGCCTTTTGCTTTCTGTTTTCGGGCGAAGAAGAGGAATGTCTTTTGAGGACCGATGATGATTGTCAAGCCGATGAGGAAGAGGATCTAGGTATCGTCAAAGAATATAGGTCAGCTCGATCGTTCGATTCGCAAGGTGGGTGGAGAGGAGAGGGGGCGTGTACATTTCCCATCGCAAGCCTAAGGGGAATTAAAGTTAGCCAAACGAAACACTTTAATAATAAGCGGGCTTGACAGATGGTAAACTTACATGGCCCGATCAAAGAAGAGCATCACTCCACCGACGAGGAAGAGACCACCTGAAACGAAGCAGTGCCGTTAGACCAAGCGCTCTTGAGCATCGAAGCTCGTCATCAGGCTGCATACCTACCGCCAGAGCAGAAAACCACCCCAATCTCTGTAAAATGGATCAGCACACTGCATCTTCAACTACCAGGCCGAGGACAAGCTCGCGGCACATACTCTGGTTATCCGACAGCCACATCGACATTTTTGCAGACCAGTAAATAGTATTCCCCTCCCTAGAAGATAAAGTTCGACAGATGTAGTCGGTTCTTCAAAGTATCGCGACGATGTTTTCCGTATTGCAAAGCGGCAGGACAAGTGGCGGCAAGGCGGGTTCTTGTAAGGGACAAAGCTGAAAATCCCGATACGAGCGTTTCTCTAAGAATTAGGAGTTTGAAGCTTCCCTTGCCTTAGGAGGACACCATGGCGGAACGCGATTGGGGGGGGTTTCCGCTCTCAGCTTATCGCGTATTGGGCTTAGCGCAAGGGTCTTTGAAAAGCGGTACCTGCGCTGGGCTGCGATCCGCGACGTCATCAGGCAAGTTGTATGAGAATTGAAGGAATATATACTGCTGGTGAAGAATGAAATAGCTATATTATGAGGTGAGCTTGTTTAGTCGTCTGTGTCTAGATGGGTCGCCGAGGGAGGGAGGATGTGCTACTAGATCAGCATCATCATAGTCGCCATTACGTTTTCTCTCTATCCACCCAAATAAGTAGCCATGCATTATTCGAGACAAGCATGCAATACCGGATATAAGAGTCTACGAGAGAATCTGCTAACAAGTTCATAGCAATTTGTGGAATTTTTCGTTCAAGTGCCGGTATCAGCTTTTGACAAACTTCGCTAACACATTCTCGCGTGTCGCTTTCAAGTGGCGGGCATACTCACTTACACCCTTATCAACGTGGTTCCTCAACAGCGGCCTGACAGACAATGCATGCTGCACCAACCCGTCACGCACCCTGATGGCTAAGCTTCCAATAGGTACGACGCGAAGATGGGTTATCGTGGACGAGGTGCCATATCCATCCAAGTGGACTCAGAGCCGAAGCTGCAAACAGATCTTGCTCAGCCGTCGGCTCGCGATGCCAGGAGAGTAGCTCCACCTGTAGGTAGCCGATAATTCGAGGCGCAGTCAAAAATTACCGTCTCTTCCCGTCGGTAGTCAAGAGTAGAGCCAGCTTAGAATGGGGCATGAAAATGAAATGATGGATGCCATTGGTTTAATGATCCGTGAACTCGCAGCAGCTGTAACGTATCAGCTGTGAGTCGCCAGAAACCGGAAGTCATGGCATCAAAGGAGCAACGTAATACTCACGTCTGACTAAACTGGAACCAAGAGTCTCGCTCTGTTCAACTGACATGTTTATCTGAGCTGGCGTCTATATAATCCCACAATACCCGCCGTTCAGATCTTAAAACTGTTTCAACTATACCCACTTCACAAAATATGACTTATAGTCTCCTCTTACCCTATCATCTCTTATGAATATAATTATTGATATATCCGCGCGCTACTGATGAGACTTTTTGTCCTAATCACTTATGAATCTCACAATGAGCTCACAATGAGCGACATAAAGCATATGAACTTCCAAACGGCAAATGTAGGTCGTTTCGTTTGCTTCCATCTATCTCTTCTGACTCTGATCTATAGATTCCCAGTTGTTCGCCGTAATAAAACAGCCACTCTATTAACAATAATATACGATACATCACAGAACTCGTCGCAAGACTGGCCGCTACAGCTCCGCTCTACTCGGCCAAGTCATACAAAGCCGAACCCTTCGACAAGGTGGGGCGTAAAGACAAAGGCAAAAAGACTGCGAAGGCCATCATCGATTCATACGCATGGGGACGTATCCTGATCATCACAGGATACAGTGACCAGAAGCGTATACTGGAAGAGAAGATCGCCGAACTCCCACCACAGGAAGTACCTCCAGGTCTCATTTCGATCAGAACAAGCGACGACTCCCCCAGCTACGAAGCCGAAGTGGTAGTCTGCGACCTGGTCAGAACCGAGAAGGCAGGTTTCCTCGTGGAAGACGAACGACTGGTAGTCATGACTACACGCGCCCAGCCACTCCTATATACAGCAGGCAGTAAGTCGTAGCGACGCCGAGAGAAGGCCCTTGCCACTCAGCCGTGTCTCGGACCTTATATTATTCCAGCCTTTGCAAGCGACTCTACGATATATACACTTGCTTGCTCCGTTCAACACCCTTCAACCTACGCAACATTTACAACAGATGAAGATCCCGCCTATCATCTCGCCCTACAACCCAGTCTTCCAAGGCGGGCGAAATGATCAAGCGAATGCTTGACAAAACACCGATCGACCACGTCCTATTAAGCGCAAAGATGAGGACTTGAATGTAGCATCCAGGCTCGGAGACCATCACTAAAATATATTCTTGATGGCGACTTCAACTATGAATGCTCCTTGAATTACCAAGAATCAAGGCCACTTAACAACGTGCACAATCCCCCCACCACAAGATGATGGAGGCGAAAGTAACGATGAAGGGGAATCAGAGGAGGAGGAATTCCGTGACTTAGGTGAATAATTCAAGTCCTATGAAATCATCAACATGGAATATGAATATCAAGATGGTGAAGAATTCTCGGAACAACCTTGCTTCAGACTCATCACATCTCTGGGCTATTCCATGGCTCTCACTACTCAGTCTATGATGACCGCAGCCATGGTTCCCACTGCTCAGTCTGTGAAGACCACAGCTCGGTCCATGATTCCCGACTTTTCAGCAGCTGAGCCAGCGGCTTGGATTTAGAAAGTGAGAATAACAAAGGAGCGCTCCACGGACATCTCGCCTAAGCCGTCCCATTTACGAAGAAGGCGAAAAGGAATCAGTTGGTTCTTTACATTATTCGTAGCTGGTCAACATTTCTATACGTACCGACTGGTATTTCGATCTCAACGAAATACTTCGAAAGGCCAAAGAAGGATACACTCGAAAAAGAAACGGGATACCACATCGAGGCTTCTACACGCATTGTTGCTACAGCACATTCCTCACATTCTACGCATCATCACATATAGATAACGCTCTTAAAGATAGAGAGAGAAAAGGGGGAGGAAATTATTCTTCTAGATTCATTCAAGGCGACTCATTTTAGCTACTAGGTTCAATTGTCCTATGGATTCTATTACACATATCAGACTCTTTTATAGAGAGGCCTACATCAAACAAATATTACTTTTTTACACAACAGTTCCCATCTTTGACTACCTCATCAGCCAAATTCTTGATCTCGCAGCTAGCAGGCTCGGGTTCCAGCTCGCCAAAGTCTTTAGCCAGAGCATCGCAAAGCGTGGCTAGACCAATGTCTTTGTCCGACAGGCCCTTGGGCACATGCGTTGTCCAGCGGATGAACGTAGTGTTGTAGACCTACAGATACGACATCAATCAACTCTTTTTCCTCATTTTTGTAGTTTGCCTTTTCAGGAAATATTATGCACACTTACGTTTGACCACTCAGGGTGGTGATTCCAGATCTTACACTGCAGCGAAACAGCCGTCATAAAATCCTGCACAATTTTCCTCATTAGCCATTGCCTTTGTGTCGTGCTATTGGTGCACCAATTCCATGTCATTAAAACATACCCACGTCTTTGTAAAGTTTTTAAACTTGAAACTCCGCTCCAAGGCTTCCCCATCAGACGTCAACGTCCACTTTCCGCCATTCGACACAAGCAGAGGCTCGAGTTTGGCGGGGCTTTGGGAAGACATGAATCTACGACCTCTAGCGCCAGAGCTGGACAATAGACTGTTTCTGTAGGAGAGAAGCAGGGATGGTGTTCTTGAGCGAGACATTGCTCTTTGCTTTGAGAGCTGATGATGAATGCTGGTTTGTTCGTTGAGCTATTCACATTGACGCTTTGATAACTCGGCCGATGGCTGGAACTTGGATTAACTAATGCGCCGCTCTAGGGTATCATCTATCATCTAATAGCTATCCGGCAAGAGACGCTTCAACTTCTTCTACCAACACTTATACTTGTGAAATAGCATTCTCACATCAGTTTTTCAATCAACCAACTTTTCATTTCTCATTTCACTTCTTCATCCTTCACAGAGAGTCGGTCACTGAACATCGACCAATGAACCCCCCGCATCAAAAGATCCCGTCTCGGGGGGCTTGTACCCGCCTCCACATCAGCTTCTACTAGGTAGCTAATCCTCGTTTCAAAGTTCTTTTGTTGGACTACATTTAGCCAAGATCCTTTTCCGGCAAGTGAGCGTCCGCGTAACTCGTATCTGCGCGAGTCGTATCAGCGCGAAGCCTATCGGCATGCCATCTGTGATCCTTTTTCTCCTAGGATTTCCCCAGCCACTCAATTGATGCTTGAGTAGAGGTATTCCTGCCTCTAAGTGAGTAGCTATAAAGAGATGGTTCCCAACTCCTGAAGCCAGGCCCATCCTTTACTACTGTATATCTATCAGCCCATTGACGCGTGATTCGCCGAGTCGGTTAGATCTGGCTGTTGGTCTCCCCTAACTCGGATTACTTGTAATCGCTCCGTCTGGTCGTCAATATGCGTATTCCTATCCAGCGCCTACCCCCGTCGCATATTGCCTCGGAGCCTCCAGTTGGAGATGGCGAGACCATAACTCTCATCCACGCGACGCTGCTGATCCCAGGCCGCGGAGAGCCTATTCACAATGGACTGCTGGCTATCAAGGGCAGTAAAATCGACTGGGTTGGCACATATCTCGACCTTCCAGCCAAGTATAAAGGCATCACGCCAAAGCATGTTCCAGTCCTGATGCCAGGCCTGTGGGACTGCCACGTTCACTTCATGGGACTGGAACTTACCGGCGCAGCTTTAGAAGGCGGAGGCAATGCCTATCTCCCTGGTTTCAATGCGCTAGCTGGCGCCATCTCGGTGGAAGACCTGAAGATGACGCTGATGGCGGGCTACACATCGGTGCGAGAGCTCGGCGGCTATGGATGCGATCTCTGGCCCGGCGTGCAGAACGGCCCCTTGGTCGGTCCCAATATTTACTCAGCAGTTGCTCCGCTATCCATCACCGGCGGCCATGGAGATGATCACTCCTCACCGATTCAGACCGTCCTGGATGCCATGAACTGCGGCGGCTCTCCCATTGGCGTATGTGACGGCGTCGACGACTGTGTCAAGACGGTTCGAAAAATGATAAGACGAGGAGCTCGCTGCATCAAAGTATGTTCCAGCGGAGGGGTCCTCAGCCTCAACGACAACCCGGAGGATCGCCAGTTCTCAGACGAAGAGCTCAAGGCCATAGTGGACGAGGCAGCGCGGAGCCGACGAGCCGTCGCAGCTCATGCTATAGGCAAGGCTGGCATCTTGGCCGCGCTCCGAGCCGGCGTCAAGTCGATCGAGCACGGCATGTACATGGACGAAGAGGTGGCCGACCTCATATTGGAAAAAGACGCCATCTTCGTCGCTACTCATCACATTGTTCGGACCCTGGCGCGAGATTACGTCGACGAACTACCGCTTCCGGTCAAGCGGAAGCTGCTTACCGTCAATGAGAAGGCCAGAGATTCGTACAAACTGGCCATCAAGAAAGGCGTCAAGATTGCTCTGGGAACCGACATGCTCAACAGTGCCAGGACGTCTGCCCTCTCGCACGGCAATAATGCAAAAGAGCTCACGTATGCGGTAGAGCTGGGCATGTCGCCTCTCCAGGCCATCGAATGCGCAACGGCAAACGGCCCAGAGACGCTCGGAGGCATGGCGCCCCTGAGCGGCCAGCTCAAAATCGGGTACGACGCCGATGTGATTGCCGTTGCCTTGAATCCGCTAGACGACATCCGCGTCTTGACGGATCCCGGCAACGTCACGCATGTGTGGAAGGGTGGTAAGTTATACAAGAGCCAGCCGAGAATACCGACCCAAGCGGCCGTTTCTTATTAGCCAGCAATCACTCTGTCACATGTACATGAGTCATCTGGCAGCATGAAGTAGCTGTACAAGTAGGTAGAGAGACACCTGTCGCCTTGCAATTGGATGTGGAGATGCAAATATCAGCTAGGTCTTGCATACACACTCGTACGAGAAAATGATTAGATGGACGACAGGTTAATACACCATTGCTAAATGCCAAAACACCGAAGCCGCTGTCTCCTCTAGCAATACGCCTCACCCTACCCAGCAGCCTGGGGTTAGAAGAGACGCCACGTGTGACTGGCACCGGGGGAGATCCACGTTTAATAAATGTCAGGGAGAGTCGCGCTGCTATGCATGGGTATGTAATACTGCCTGCAGTATATAGTAGGCACTACCAGCAATACGCTCGTAAAGTATTTGCACCATGCCCCTTGGTCAATATCACGGGAGATATTAGTCTCTATGGAGCCCATGTCTTTCTGAGGAGACAAGATCCGGCAAAACGGGATTTTTACCGAGGGCCAATGCCCGAACACGATGCCCATTCTCCGTCCTTTGGAATTAGATTCGGTCGAATCATGCTTGGATGGTCTAATGCTACTCTGTAATCAAAGACTTACTCGTGCTAGCTATGTAATCAAAAAGGGCAAATTTGATTTCCTACGGGCATTTGTCGAGCTGACTACAGGCATGGTGTCGAATCCTTCGCAGAGAATATTGAATATTGCAGCCCCAGTACTACAGTACATGCACGTAGGTATGCAGATGTAGCCTTCATGTTATTAAGACGTAGTAGTATACATAGGTTGTACGGACCCTTGCAGGCTGGCATAAACACTCTCTCTTCCTCTTCACTTTAGGGGATGGGGACGCAACGGTTCGGCCTCGGCTTTTCACAGGTTGCCTCGTCAAAGCCTGGTTATTCACTGGCATCGCTACCAAGCAGAAACACTCGTAGAACTCCAAGTGCAATAGGCTTGAGTAGTGACGGCTGGCTTACTACAGTTGCTAGCATAATGATGCCCAGTCACGAGAATTGATTGGCAGTCAATAAGTCTCCGGCGCTGTTTAATATACTTAGTCTGGCGTCTGGAGTAGTAATCATGTCACTAAGTGCGGTTAGCCGTCCATGGATAACCCAAATTACAAGAACGCCGCACTGGCCGCAGAGTCAAGTCATGAGGTTGTATTAGTGATCAAGGGCGTGTTCGATTTCGATCTCGTATGGTATTAGGGCCTGAATAGGTGAACACACAAGCCTCGAGGCACCGGGAGCTTGCATTCTGACATGCTGGACTGACCAGAATCTGCCTTCTTTTTTGTCTGCTTTATTTCTGACCGTGAGCAAAAGGGTGAGGAGCCTGGTGCCGAATATCTCTTGTTCGTATATGGCTAGTAGCATGTTTGTATGGGGTGGGCAAGCCAGCAGCTTCTCATTCGGAAATAAGCCCCTCATTCCAGCTTGTGGCCGCAAAAGAGCGCGAACCCGTGCCGCCAACCAGCAGAAGGCTGCGAGCCGTGCAGGAGTGGCCGTTGCGCACTGTGTACGTCGCGGAGCATTGACACTGTATTTTCGATCTTTGTACCTGCAACCTGGTGATATATCGCTGCACTTGCGCTGGAATAGGTCGCTAGTACGAATTGGTGGACCATTTGCTACATCTGGAATGCGAGGGCGAGGAGAAGCAACTTTTTTTCCCTCAATTATCCGAGCAACGGAAGGGATTCCACTCCTTATTCAGGATGACTAATCAGACCATGCCGCATAGAGCCAGTGCCAGCCAATGCTGACAAACCCGATATTTCGCTGCACTCCGCTGCACTCCGCTGAAGTGGCCCGAGGCTCCCGTCATGCATGTTGGGAGGGAAACAAGCAAATGACCAGACAGACACGCTTCGGGGACTGCTAGCTGTGGAGAGAGACGCGATTGTTTACGAATGGCCATATCTGTGGCACTAAAGGCGACTTGGCTTGCAGTGGACATGCAACAGAGAGGACCCTGGACCGGATACCACACATCGCTGTCTGTAAGATGGAAACTCTGCTGAAAAGCTAATTTGGGCCGTCCTGCAGATGCTAGGAATATCCTTGATTCCATGCCATGGCGTATTATGCCTGAAAAATGGTTTAATACATTATCAGGTGTATCGATCTTGTTAGAGTGGTGCAGCGCTATCACGGGCGTGTATGGCAGCTGTACCAGTGTGTATGGGATGCCGGTGATGAAGCTCGATAGCTCCGGTTTTGGATGCATTGATTGCCAAGACACACCACTGCTAGTAGGTAGTATTAGAATGTAGGAGTATGCTAATGGCAGAAATCCGTCGACATCCAATACTATTTATCAAGGCGCAAATAGTAGCACAGGTACACACGGCTTACGGAATCTGCTCGGCAAATCCTCACTGCTAGTCTCGTACCTATTGCTTGGAAACATGGAGAGATTCGGTAAGCATCCGATTGAGGCAGTAGTCACGCCTCTTCAAGGTTTCTGGTGCTAAAGCAGTACGCACCGGTACATCAACATGACCTAATCCTGACAAAGAGTAGACTTGACCTGACTTTCCATTTGGCGGTGGCAAGGGTGGATTTGTACTTGAAAAGTCGTAGCAGCTCTGCAGAGACACAGAGTATCCATGGTCATCCATGGCGTGAGGCTCAAAGTACTTGCAGGTACCAGCCTCTTCCCTCACGCGAGCGCGGCGGTACCTCGCCATCTGCTTTCGGCCGGCCGCAGCTCTCCAAATGGACGCTTCGGTTCTCCGGACATTCGATGCTCTGGATGGCTTTGCTTAGCTCCAGTTAATTACCCAAGCCTTTCCGCGTCCCGAAATCCGATCAGTCATCAGCGGGCCCCGTACCGCATCCCACACTATGAGGCAGCAGGAGGGCAGTCAGAAAAACGCCTAGGCACCAAAGCAACAGTGAGAGAAGAAGACAAAATAAAATCATAAACAGCCTAGTTAGATTTAGAAAAGAGGGTAAAAAAAACCTGACCTGAAAGGGTAAAAAGTGCACCCCGCCTCTGCCATACTGTATGCCGCACCGTGTACATGCATCCAGCCACGCCATTTTCGCTCCCAATCCCGCCACGCCCGCTGCGTTACATAATCCCGTCGCATCCAGCCTTTGGGGAAAGCGTTCTTGCGCCTGCGATTTTCCCTGTTTCACGTCAGCAAATTGTGTGTAGTCATCAAAAAAAAATCCGACAGAACGAAGCTCAACCCATCTGCTAGCTAAAGAGCACCATCGCTGCCGCTGGTATTTAGAGCTGGAGAGTCCCGGATGCTGAGTCAGAATCTCCAAGCAATGCAGCAGAGCTCTCCTGCCAACGGCGCAAACACGCAAGGTACGTTTCTGTGCTGACTTTGAATCTCTGCCTCGTTCCGTATCTTTATTCCCGTCTCTTTTTTTCAATACATTGCATTACATATTCCCTATTTGCTCTGTTACCTCAGCCTTGCCTTACCTTATCCCTCCCTGCGCTGTTGAGCCCTGGCTGTGCCGTGCTTTGCGTTGCCGCAGCTCTGCCATCGCCAGCATCATCAGCATAATCCTTTGCCGTCATCCATCACCACCGGCACAGTCTCTCCTGCTCTGTCTCGGACATTCTTTGTCTGCTTCAGGCCTGTCCGTTCCAGCAACACGCCTTGCAGAAGCTCAAGCCAGCTTCCTCTTATACGTCCGAGCATTTTTACCCGAGATTGGTAATTACCATTGCATCTCATAGACGCCGGTTGGCGCGCGCCTCGGAACGCCGACGGTCCGTATAACTCCTGGACATTTGCTTCAAGATCGGCAGCAACATACACAATTTCCTGCACTATATCGCATTATACCTTTGCCTATTCTTAATTTTGTTGTTGCTGTTATTTTCCCTCTCGCTGAGGTCACGCGTGCATGCACACTGTTCTCTTTTTGCCGTCTTGCGCTTGTTGTTGATCTTCGTGATCTTCGCGATCTTCTCTGGGAACAGCAGCCCTGGCTGACACAAGCTCTGCTCCCTCGACAGAACAGCACTTGCGCGCACAGCTTGAACTCCTCCAAAACCACGACCCAGCTCCGTCGTCCGCCTCGCCCAATCCGAGCGCGCGCGACCCTCGAGGCCCTCCATCGCGGCCGCCGAATGGATACGACGTCCTGGCAGCAACATCGCAAGACGTCGCCCGCCCTGTACTCGCCAAGCTAGACGCTGAAGCGCACATCCACCCTGATCTTCGAGCCTCCGTCGGCCACGCGCCAGCTCCCAACATGATGCCCATGGGCCCTCCTCCGGGGCACAGCCCTGTCGCAACCGGTCCCGGTCCTTCAGCCGTGCCGCTGGCCCCCGCGCCGCCTCAGCAAATGGCCATGGACGATGCCAACTCCAACGATGGCCGCAAGGCGAAGCGCGAGCTGTCGCAGTCCAAGCGCGCCGCTCAGAACAGAGCCGCACAGGTGAGCCTTTTCCTCTTCTTGCTTTCAATTGCCTTTTCCCCCCTCCAGTTTTTGTTGCATCTGCCTCCTAGAATGGAGCCGTCGGGCTGTTGTCGGTTGCTGGGCAATACCGCGTTTGTCAGCAAACAGACCGCGCCGGCATCGCCCGGATTCTTTCGCAACACTTGCGTCAAGCCATTGCGCCTTGCCATCTTCTTCTAGTATAGACAAACTATTGGCACATGCATCAGTTGGCTTGGCATGTGTCTAATTCATGCCAATGGTGACACACAAAGCTAACCCAACATTTCCCCACAGAGAGCTTTCCGACAGCGCAAGGAGGGTTATATTAAGAAGCTCGAGCAACAAGTTCGTGAGCTTGCAGAACTAGAGCATTCATATAAGTCGATGCAATCCGAGAACTACGCTCTCCGAGAATATGTGATTCACCTGCAATCCCGACTTCTTGACACCCAGGGCGAATTCCCCCCGCCCCCTCCAAACGTCAATCTCTCGCAGCCTTCATCTGCTGCTCCTCCTCCGCCACCCACGATCCCTGAGCAGCACCATCAGCCGCATCAGCAACAGCATCAACACCAAGCACCGCCGCCGCCGCAACAGCCTCCCAACAGCAGCAATTCCGGTGTAGGCACCCCCCTCGAGGCCGTGGCGCAGGCCGTCGCGGGACTAACCGCCCAGGAGCAAATGGTTGAGCGATCGCAGACCTATCCCAGCCCACCATTCAAGTCCGATCAGCCAGGCGAACGAGATGGCAATCCCCACCCAGCTTCGGAGGACTTGAGCAGGCAACTGAATCCTGAAGAGCGACCAGCCCAAGCTTAGGGGGCATATAATGGATCGCCAGAATGGGCAATCCCCCATGGACTTGATTTCCAGAAGTGTTGTTTTTTTAAAGGGCGGCGTTGATGGCTCTCATTGCGTTAAACGTGTATGCGTGTGCATAATTAATCAATGCACACCCTTCACTTGTCTTTTTTTTTTTTTTTTTTTTTTTTACTTGCCTATTCCCTTTATTGTTTCCCTTTTATCCTCTTTTTTATTTAGTCATGGAAAGGGGGTTAAATCGATGGTGGGCGTTACGGAAAGGGGGGCAAATTATTTGTGTCTAGTATGACTTTGAATCTCTTTTTTGGTGTCCCATGTGTGTCTTTGAGTCTCTTTTATTCTTCTTGGACTGTTTGAGGCTATGTGACTTGGTGCGGCTTAGCAAGATGACTAAAACTCTTTTTTTCGTTATCTCCCTCTTTTTTCTCTTTCTTTCTTTCTTTCCTTCTTTCTTTCTGTTCTTTTGTACAGGCTTTCTTTCGTGATATCAAACAGAGTGAGGTAGTTAGGATGCGGAGTGGGCTGCTGTGTGTTGTAGAAGGAGATTCTTTGAACAAAAAAGGGGAAACTGGACACCGGAGTTCTTTTGATAAAGACTTTGGGAGTAGAAGGAAGAGGCAGATATATATACTACTACTAGGTATGTCGAGATACCTACTAATGTATGTGTGTGAGCGTATGGGTTATGGAATAGGTATTTTTCTCATAGGAGATGGATGTGATAGTTGCACTCAAGCTGGAGAAGATTTTTTAATGATACTATTGAACACAGTTCCATTCTAATGTTATACGTGACGAAGCGTTAAAAGTTGTAAAGAAATGGAAATTACCCGAGCATAAAAGAGCAAACTACCTGTAAAAAGAATTACAAATTAAGGTAAAAAAGGGGGAAAACGAATCCTTTTCAGCCCAAACAATTTCACGCGTATGAATTGCCCATGTCGTGCTCCTATACTTTGGTTAGCAAATGTAATCTTCATAGACAAGAAGAGAGAGAGGGAGAAAGTCCAAAATCTCACCTTAATATACTCCGGTCCCTTTTCCTGATACTCCTCCCGCGATATCGCCGCCGTCTTCCAAGCCGACGACCCAACCCACCCGGCAGCCCCCTTCCACGCATCCAGCAGCGCATCCTCCGCCCTCCTCACATGCAGCGGCGCATCCGCCGGCAGCAGGGACCTCAGACCATCGCGCACGCGCTCGTCAAAGTTGCGGAACAGGGTGTTTCCGCCCGTGAGGAAGATGTCCTTGAGGAAGTCGTCGCGGTTGGGCAGCGACCCGAGGCGCTGGTTCAGCACGTCTCCCGCAATCTCGATGATGCCGGCCTGGTCGACGCCTGCAATGGACGGGCGGAAGACCACCTCCGGCACGCGAATGCGCTCGACGTTGAGGTGGATCTGGTGCAGCTCTGCCTGGGAGGCCGGGTCGATGGGGCGCGGGCCGCGGGCGAAGGCGTGCAGGAGCGACTTTGACCAGACTGTCTGGGCCTCCTGGGTGTGTTCGTAGGTGAAGTTGGGGTCGTACTTTAGCAGGTCCTGCTCCAGCGTCTTGAGGGTCGACGCGAGATCTTCCTCCTCTTGCTCCTCGTCGCTGTTGTCGCCCACTGCGATTTGGCGATACACGCCCCAGTCGTCGTCGTTGGCGCCAAAGTTATCGTCGTCACCGCCGCGCCGCCTCTTCTTCGTGGGGTTGTCCGATGCGAGGTTGGCGATGCTCTTCATTCGGATTTGGGAGGCGAGGGATTTGCGGTTGCCGAGGTCCTGCTTCAGCCTGTCGCGCTCCTTGATCTTCTGGAGGGCTTCCTGGAGAGCCTGATGCTTCTCACCAAGCCATCCTTCAAGATCGTTCTCGCGGCGTTCCTGGTCTAATCGCTCCTCCTCAGCGATGCGAGCTTTCTCGGCTTCCTTTTCGGCTTTGGCACGAGCACGAGCCTCATGATTGGATTTCATGAGTCGCTGTTGACGTTTCTGCTTCAGTTGTGCCTCGTCGAGCTCCTCATCAGGTACTTCCAGGAGGCTAAAGTCTGGCTGCTCTTGTTCTTCCTCAGGGTCACCACCAACATCCTTGGTGCGGGCTTTCTTGATCGACTTTTCTAGTTCCTTGATGATCTTCTCGAGCTGGTTTTCATCCTTAATGTCGTGGCTGTCGAGAAGACGTCGTGTTTCCTTTTTTGTCTCGTCAACGATTTTACCCTGAAGGTTCTTGTAGTATTCCAAATCCTGCTCCTTCTTGATGAGCTTCTCGAGCCGCATCTTGGCAGCCTGCTCCTGTAACCTTCTTCCACTCTCCTTTTTGCGCTCTGCAATGCGATCCAACTCTTCCTGGCTCTTTTGAACTACCACCTCCTCTGTGTATGGGTACTGGATGACAATATCTCGGTCCTCTAAGCCCGTCCAGTCGAGGTAGTCGCGAATCTCGGTATCGTAATCCTTGGAGACATAGAAATGATCCCGCACCATATGCTCTGCTTGCGAAGAGTTGAGTTTGCCTGTAAAAGCAGGATACTTTAACCGAATCAGCTTCAGCAGATACTCGGCATTATGATAACCGCCCCAGTTTAGTCTTGTAGCCTGTGACAGGAGCGCTTTCGAGTTATAGACTGGTATTATGTGGGTGGATGTGTGGGAAGAAGACACCACGAGTCCCGTCTTTCCCTTATTGTATCTGTACGAGAAGAGCGAATCGATACCGTAGGCGAGAGACGGTGCGCCGTAGCATTCGAAGATGATCTCGGTCATGGCTAGACGTTGGATTTAATGTTAGCTATAACATCTTTGACATGAGGTTTGTCATGAAAGGCTAAACCGGAACTTGCATTTCCTTGAGTAAGGCAGATTGGCAACGGCCTCAGTCATCACAATCGGCACGTCAATGCCACCACTCGCATCGTTCATGCCCAGCTTCAGAAAGATGTAGTCCAAGACGTGCTCTGTCACGTCCCAGTTACTTATGATGCCGGTGCCGGCTTCGAATGCGTTTCGAATGTGGCCGCGCGCCGTGGTATCGGCATAGCAGTCTGAGCCAGCAAAGGAGAAGGTCTTGCCGAGCTTTCGATCGCGGTACTTGGCCATGACGGGCGGTATGTTTAATCGAGGCGCGGACTCGAAGGACCAGCCTGCTCGAACGGCGGAGGATCCTGCGACCTGATTAGCCTTCTCCCATGCTCATTTCAAGCTTGCGTCGTCTGCAGAGCTTACCATTATCTATCACGATGGCAGCGTTGCCGGGCTGCTCCAGAGCTTTCTTCCGGCCATCAGACTGAGGCTCGATGAACTTTTCAAACTTGGTCTCCTTGACGGGGAATATTTTTGCTGGCGGGTATGTCTTTTCGGGAGGCGCCTGGGGCATCCGCTCGTCGATTGCAGATGGAGCCATGATGTCGTATCCAAGGGAGTTTTATCGATCGCGAGGCAAAGTGTGGGATGGACTGTCTAGGCTGAAGAAGAGATCATGATGGGAATCCAGTCGGTGTGTGCGGGTGATGATGGGAGGGAGAGCCAATCGAGGGATGGCCAATTGATGTGGCGCTCGGAGATTTTCCTCGAGGCTTTCGGGCTTTGGAAAAGGTTCAATGGATAATCGCGAGGCTGCAAGGCTGATGACGGCGAACGGCATTGCGTGGGTCCTGGCCGCTAAACACAAGCGCGTCGACGCTTCTTTTCGCAGCTTCACGGTCCCTTGGGCAGGGAATACAGAATGCACGGTACATGGAGGGATTCCTGCATATTTCAACAGAATATGTTAATTCTATCACGTTGCAAACTAGCAACTTTGATGTTAAAATTGTTAATAATTTTTTATTATTTTTTTCTTCTTCTTTTTGTTTGTGTTATATGCATCGCGCATTACAGGTATCTTGAACGTATGTAGCCTGTCTCTCCATGCTTCCCGTCATACTAGCCACTCCCCTTATGTCAAACAACTTTGCGCCAGCATTTCTCATGACGGAGGCTTCAGGTTATCAGTTGCTACATCACATCACACAATTAATATCCATATAAAAGCAGTAAAGAGCCACGCAAAGATGCCAGACTCACCTTCTAGATGGAATAGGACATTGGACTGGTAGTTTTTAAACATCTGCGCGACGAGCTCAACGTTCATGTTTTGGACGTTTATCTCCTACGTGGTATTAGCCAGCTCCAGAATAGAATGACAGATTTTACCCACCTGCAGGCTCTTGTTCATCACAACAACCGCTTCATTCAGTTTTTCCTACTCTCATTAGCGGGAAACTTCGTATCAGTGGTCTTGATTGGGCTGTCATACCACATTGGTGATGATGCGCGATAGCAGCAGGTTCTGCTGATGCTCGTGCGGGCTTTCCTATTCGAATCTTAGCAAACAAGCGTTGGGAATTATATACACATATATGGTGATGACAATAGCTACCATTTTATCTTCATAAACAACCGCTGCTTTACAGAAATGGAAGACTGAAAAGGCGAATGAAACAAGAGCTTGGGACGGAGGGGCGCGCAGCTTACACTGTACCTCAAACCATGACTAAGCGCGTAATCCAAAGCTAAGATGCACTGGCTGGTGATCAGTTGATCCCTCCAAGGCACATGATAATTTCGCTTCATCTTCCATTATATCTCGTCGACCATCACGAACAAAACCTTAACCTCGTTATACTCTAGATTTCCCTTCAGCTATATACCAGTCTCCCTTTCACAATGGCCGCTCCCACAGAAGCGCAGCTCGCGCATATCGAGCTCCTCGAACAACTCGACATCCACTCCATCCACAAGAACTTCCGCAACCCCAATTGGAAGCCCAACCAGCGACGAAACAAGAACCTCAAGGCCATAGTAGGCGACGCGTCCAAACGAGAGGCCTCGGCGCTCGCCACACCGCAGGATGTCAGCGGCGACGCAACTCCCGCCGCCGATGATGGCCTATCCACCAGCGGCACTTCGACGCCAGCCACAAGCAACAACGGAAACCCGCCTCCTCCCAATCTCGCACAGGCTTCGCGTAGCTTGTCAAAGCTCGTGCTGGAGAAGTCTCTGAAGCCGCCTGGAGGAGGACTAGTAGCAGGAAGCGTGTCGGCTCCGAGCGCGACGTACACAAATATCGAATCCGCCCCTTCATTAGCACACTCGAAGCACTACTGCGACATCACGGGTCTTCCGGCGCCGTACTTGGATCCGAAGACGAGACTGCGGTATCACAACAAGGAGGTGTTTGGATTGATCAGGACACTGCCTCAGAGCTCTGCGGAACAATTCCTGGCTGCCCGTGGCGCGCATACGGTACTCAAATAAGCGCGACTTGAACGAAGATTCGAATTCGAATAGCATATTACATTACTACAAAGGCACTTGGGCGAAAGGGGGGAGGGATCAAAACTATAAGAAAGGGCATCTTGGAACCTATCGGCGTACTATGGCAATATTGTTACTTTTCATTTTTTTCAATCATTTTTTTATACTGCTCTAATCAGAAAGAAATAATGTTGGATCCACAAAGTCAAGCTTCAACTATGCACCTCCCGCCTTTCAGCAAGAGGATGGCAAATGACGCTCCGGCTTAATCGGAATCCGCGAAAGCTTTGTTTGCTCTTTGCCCTGAACGAGTACCGAAAAAACGTATGGGGGAACAACGTCTCAGTTGCCAGAGCTTGTATGGCAATGGCTGTCAGGGCAGATTGTAATGGTAGATGAATAATATCGAAACGTTCAATGACTTTGATTGCTGTTTCCGATGGTATAGAAAAGGGTGATGCCGCTGCTTTTGGTTGTGAAGCTCTTCTTTTTAGACGAGAAGCAACGTTGGCCGAACGAGAGATTGTTCCCAGATGGGACATATAGGGCCTTGAATTAAAGGCCAGCTAATAGTCGAATAGCTCAATCTCGATAGATAGTAGCTTTACCATTCAATTCCACTTACCGCAGGACGATACGCGGGCTGCTCGCGGCACTGTTGTACAGGCTCTGTCCAGAGGAAGAGAAATTACAGCTCGGTAAAATCTATGGATGCGAAATTTATTGCTGGGAAATATTCGAGATCCAGTTCGCTTATCTAATAAGTGGGGGTCGACAATCTCCAATGGCCTGTTGTTTGGCTGTGCCTCTATTACAGCAATTTGTTTTAAAAAAAGGTTATCTTCCAATCCAATTAACCATAGAACTGACGTAGAGCTGTATTAAGTATATGTCTAAGGTGCTCGCAAAGTACGTATATATACAAAACATTGAAAGAAGTCATGCTCTCGTCACCCCTTTCCCAACGCCGGTTGATGCCTTTTGCCATCTCGGAGGCTGCCGCAGCTAGGCTATTAAGCTGACTATTAATCTATTTTCCTTTTCTCGTTTTATTTTCAAAAATCATGCCCCTCTCGTTTTATCGATCGGCTTTGAAAACCTGGCGCATCTTTCTTCAAGGGCGCCTAGGCGTGTGTAATTGTTGTAACCAAGACAGGCTGAATCGAAGACTGCTTTACTGGCCCTTCTTGGCCTTCATAGCAGCCAACTTCTTCTCACGGCGTCTCCTGTGGGCATCGGCACCGGCCTCGGTGTCGAGCATGTAGTCCCACCAGCGGAAGCTGGAAGCGTAGTTGCCAATGAACTTTTCGTGGTGAACGTCGTGGTGCTCGGCGCCAGCCCAGACAGGCAGGAAGTGGCGCAAGCTCCAGGGGAAGTCGTAGCCGCTGTGGGCGTCGATGGCCTGGAAGAGACGGAGGGTGATCCAGATGTACATGGTCAGGAGGTGAAGCTTGCCGGTGATGGCGAGGACAAGGATGGGAGATCCGACGACACCGATACCGAGGAGACCAGTCTCAATGGGAGAAGCGTACTCAGCAGCCAAACCGAAAGGAGCAGAGTAAAGGTGGTGCATCTTGTGGATGCTTCTGTAGAGAGGGCCGTAGTGAAGAGTGCGGTGGAACCAGTAGTGCCAGGTGTCTTCCATGACGAAGAAGAGAGCAATCTGCCAAGCCATGGTGAAGACCGAGGGGAAAGGAATGCCGTAGTCCATGCCGAAGTAGGTGGCAATGGGGTGGAAGAACCAGATCTGAGGCAATTCGGCGGTGAAGTGGCTGATGAGGACGATGGCGGCGCAATCCCACTGCTCCTTCAAGGTGGGGATCTTCTGGTTCTGAATCTTGTACTTGTGGAAGTAAGGGATCTTGTCCATGATCATGAACGGAATGCAGCGGCCGAAGTAGATGATCTCGTGCATGAAGAAGCTGAGGAGACCGGTCGCCAGAGTATCGTTGTCCATCCACAGGTACCAAGCCTAAGTGAGAGACCCGAGTTAGGATTCATATTTTCGCAAAAATTCGAGGAAGAGAAAAAAACGTACCGCCCAGAGACGCTCAAACAAGTTCAAGTGAACATTGTATTTGCCAACTTCCTCGAGGACGTTGAAGTAGGTTTGCGTTTGGTTCAACGCGCCGAATGTCGCGTTCCTATAAAAAAAGTTGCGAGTTAGCCGTTGCCCAATCACCGTGTAGTTCGCTTTGCGGGAGCGTCTACTTACGCCACGTCCATGATTGCGGCCCAATTGTCGAGATGCTTGTACAAGAGGCTTCCAAGATATGCCGAGGGGGATGTAGAAGAAAAAAAGAAGAGAGAATTAAGGAGAGGACACAGGTGTAGATAAGGAGATGAGCTTGTCCAGCGCAAGTCTATTAGGGGACTCGCTGGTGGGGGCGGGAAGGGAGATTTTTATCGTTGGTTCGCAAAGTTGTGAACTTTTCATTGGCCCCTCCAGGCGACTAGTCAGGAGATGGGCTTTTTGGCCTACAAGCTAGAAGGTCGCAATGAGCCCACCTGGGAAAAGACATTCCGTGCTCTGCTCTGGGGATGCGAATCGGAATCACGACGGCCCGCATAGGCTTCGCCAGATTTGCAACGACGTGATAGGCTTCGTTGGGCTGAGCCGGGCGCTGATTGGCCGGATGGGTGGCGGCAGGCCCAGCTTGGTAGTGCTTTCCTGCATGGCCGCATTCGTATTCGGGTTAGCACGCCCAAAGAGGCGACTTTTTTGGCTGTAGCGGTTCGTTCTCGCAGCATAGGTACTTTCGTACCTGGACCTGCTGCAATTCCCACACACACCCATTTCCCAAGCTCGAGCTCTGAATCTGCCCATTTCATCTTATTTTGACCGCCACGCACAGGGGAGCGGCCGCCGCTCGGCATCTTTTGAGGAAGCGTTGCGGCATACAGGCATTGACTACTGTGCCAACTTGGGAATACAGTGCCTACCCCGGCTCTATATCTTACAAGTACCTAGAATTACGCTTCCAGAAGATGAGGCTGCCCAATGCTGCTGTCGCGCATGTACTTTGCACATGTATCTCGTCTGCTGAGCCAGGGTTGTGCTGCCAGCGTCCACTTTGGGCAGCCTTTGTTGTAGAGATTGATAGTGGCAGATCTAAGCTTGATGCCCGATAGTACAAGCACTACTAGTAGTACATTCTGTGTTTATTTTCAAGCTATGTCGTGGATATTGGGGTTGATAGTTGCTGTCGAGTTGCCGTACTTGCAAGTTGCTAGGCTGAACGACTTGCCCCTATTGGACAAACGCCTGCGTATAGCATTGGCAAAGGCGCAGAACCAGTGACATCACAGCCAATGGCAGCTTTCACAGCTGCGCTCAGCCATTGTCATTCATCATCAGCTCGCCTCCTTCATCGTCCTCAAATTATTCACACTTGTCGCCCCTATTTCTCTGCATGACGTGAGCTGTTCGATTTCGCTCCGAGTACGAGCCATCCAGCGATCTTCGCGCACGAATTCGAACTGCCCCGAAATATCTCTGTCTCAAGCTCCAGCAAAAAAAGAGGGAAAAAATCGGGCACAAATTTGCCCCACGCACATCGCATCAGAGACCAGAACCGCCCGCCTCCGCCTTTCATCGCAGAATCGAATGGATCGATAATAGCCAACTGTGCCCACCCGTTTGCGCTCTGCCCCTTCGGCCAGCTCTGCTCCCGGACGCTGCCTGTGGTGTGATGGTCTGACCATCGTCCGGACTCGACCCCACTCATAGCCCGGCCCAGCTCCAGCCGAGATCGATGCAGATTCAGCAAGGTTCTGATACCAGCACGGTGGTTAATCTGGCCCTGGTCTGATCATTTCACCGGCTCGTACGAAGGGCGAAGGGCCTACGATTTTAAACCATGTCGTTGGTGGCAGAGTGAGTTCCGCTTCTTGACCTTTTGCGGCTTGTTTGCCTGGCCCCTCCAATAGGATGGCTTGCTATTACCCAGATAGCATCACCAAGCAACTACCGCACATCTCCTCCGTATTACGCAGCTGTGTGCTGACTTGACACCCCTCTGCGCCAGCCAGGTGCGTCGCCTGGATGCGTACCTCGACCGCCTCCCTGTCCTGTCCGAGGAGACATCTGAAGATGGAGCTTCGGAAGCTGGGCACGTTTTCGCCACTGCAGAGGTGCTGGACGCTCCGCGACTCGACCAGTTGCTGCACATTATTCGCTCGCTGAGCACAACCTCTTCCTCAGAGCCGTTGCTCAACATCCAACGTGTGAAAATCCTCCTCAACGAATCTGGCATTGCTACGATTGCAGATGATGTCCATGGCGCTGCATCGGAAACCCCCGCACGAACCAAGACGCCATACGAGAACGAGATCGAGTGGCTCCTAGTCTCCAAAGCAACAGTCCAGGTCTATGGAGCTATCCTCAACACCTTGGTCGATCGCATCATCCCTCTTAGCGATGATATGTGGTATTGGGATGGGGTCTTGAGCTCCTACAGCTACAGCAGTATATACACCGTGCAGACATCTCCTCTACGGCTATGGGCCTGGTCGCTTGATATATATCAGGCCAGTCGGTCACGGCTACGCTCTTTGTCCGCAGCAGATGCTTCGGCTGAGCTTGTCGAGTCTACAAGATCCACTCTATCACAGCCATGGAGTAGATTCTATGGTGTTGTTCGAGAAAGTATCCGAGAGCACTCGTTTGCTAATCTCCAGCAAAAGGTGCTTTCTCCTGTTGCTTTATCTCGAGCCGAGGCCCGCCGGAAACAGGCACATCTGCGAAAGCTAAGAGAAATGACAGCCAGTGGCCTTGGAGTGCTCATGGACGAAGGGCTTCAGCTTGGGCATGACGACGAGAGAGCTGGAGTGCAGGATCATGAAGACCTCAAGGGCGTCGTCGAGCGAAGCGTAGCACTGATGGACATGGTCCTCAAAGAAGCAAGCAGTCTGGATATCAACATTCCCGACTTTGAAGAAAAAGTATTCGCAGGCGTCGAAGAAGATGCTGAGCTATCTGTCCACGTTGAAGAAGACATGACGCAATACCGTCCGAGCACGCTGGCTCGCCGTCTGCTTCAGATCATTGACAAGACTCTTCCTCAACATATTAACGCTATGCAGGTTCTCGCAGATGAAAACGGCCCACCCCCGGTTATTGTGCGATATTGGCTGCCTGCTCTGATTGGTCTCACCTCGTCTACAACTATCCTTAAGATCCTGGTCAATCGCAAGGCAGATATCATAGACTGGGTTGCGGATTTTGGTAGTACATTGCGAGATTTCTGGCTTAACTGGGTTGTTCAGCCGACCGAGAAGGTCATTAAGACTATACGGCACGACGAAACCAGCGAGATTGCGATTATGAGCAGGGATAGCCTCAAAGCTGACCGTGAGAGCTTGGAACGGATGGTTGTAGACTTTGCTACGGAGAAACCCCATTTTGCGGTTGGCAGCTCATCCATAACTGACGCCCAAATTGCTGAGATTCGCTCCAAGGTAGCTGAGGGTGATGTAACTCCAGTCTTGAAAGCATATGAGCAAGAACTGAGAAAGCCTTTTGTGGGTGCTGTTCGCGGTGACCTTGTCCGTTCTCTCCTGATCCAGGTTCAAAAGACAAAGGTTGATCTGGAGGTTGCTATGACGGGTATTGACTCGCTCCTGAAGAGCCAAGAACTTGTCTTTGGCTTTGTGGGATTAACTCCTGGCATCTTTGTCTCGGTTGGTGTCTTTCAGTATCTCCGCAACATCTTTGGTGGCCGATCCGGACGGCGCCACAGCAAAGCTTCTGGCAAGGCTATCCGCATCCTTCGAAACATTGACCGCATCCTGTCTGAGGCGAGGCCCACGGAGAACAACGTCTTGTCGTACAAGGATCACGGTCTTTTACTGTGCGAAGTTCACGTGCTTCGTAGTTTGGCTGGCAATTTGATGCCGGATAACCTGCAGAAGGAGTTTTTGGAGGATTTGGATGACCTGGCGAATGTCAAGGGGGTTCACATTCAAGCAAAGGCTTTGGAAAGAATTCGCTGGGCTTATGCCAGATGGATTAGGTAGAGCAGAGTAGCGAGCATGCAATTTTGAATGCTTAAAAGGGATTTTCAAGTCTAGAAAATACCTTTACTGTATTATTGCCGTGGATAGAAAGCAAGCAATAGAACATGTACCAACACGAGTTGATCATTTGTTTTTGTATACTTCTACTCATTTATAACGCTGTGCTCAATATGCGAACTATTCTATTGTTTTAGGTGCAGTGTGGTTGGACTGAGCGAAATTATAGAAGACATACTGCATACATTACAGTTTGAGTGTTGGCAAAATCTATAATAATATATTATGAGTAGGATTGATGTATATATGTGTGCGTATGTGTATATGAACTGAATTATAAACGCATCGTCAACTTGAGAGCATCGAGAAGCTTAGCTAGCAACGTCTTCGCCTTGCTACTTGTTAACCCTAGAGGCGATACGGGCTGAATCCCAGGCTTAATCCCAGGCTTAATCCCAGGCTGAATCTGAGGCATTGGATGTCCAGCAGAACCAATTAGATATGTAGTTACGTAGTATTGTAGCCGCAGTTCCGTGCGGGGTCCATCGCGCATTAATTTCACCATCTCCAGGCTGTAGTTCGAGGGACCAGAGCTTGAGCTTAAGTATTTCAGAAGGCCGCCATAATTCGTAAGAGGCTCTGGTTAATAATATTCACTGAGCGCAACGTAAGTCATACATTGAACGATCAAATCAAACCAGCCTATAAATTGGCACAACCGGAGCCACCTGTACCTGGAATCTCGTCATGGTGCCACGTCCACGGAGCAGTGATGACTTTCGGTTTGCCATCATTTGCGCACTGCCATCCGAGTACGATGCCGTCTACGATTCCCTCGATGACATTTGGGACAAGGATGAGGGTTTAGGCACGGCTACTGGCGACCCGCGTATTTATACTACGGGGCGAATAGGAAATTTACCTGTTGTTCTTGTCCTATTGCCAGGGATTGGCAAAAGGGAGGCGGCGAGCGGCGCTGTAGAGCTGCGTATGAGCTACCGCAATCTGGCTATCGCTTTTTTGGTTGGAATCTGCGGTGCTGTACCAAAACCTCACATTGGGACTGAGATCTTGCTCGGAGACATTATCATCAGCAGATCCCTGGTGCAATACGACTTTGGCCGGCAAAACCCCAATGGATTTGAGCGAAAGAATAATGTCGATGCTGCACTGGGCAGGCCTAATAAGAAGATTCGCGCTTTAACCGCGTTGCTCGGTACTCGCCCAGGCCGTGATGAGCTCGAAGGCAGCGCCCTGGAATACCTACAACAGCTTCAGACAAAGATGGCCAGCACTAAGCACCGAGGCATATACGACTACGTAGGAATTGCACATGACCAACTCTTTAATTCAAAGTATCGGCACAAACATCGAACCGAAGCCTGTGACATTTGTCAAGCTTGTCTCACTGACAATGATCCGGTCTGCAGCGAGGCGGCTGAACGAACATGCATAGAACTTGGATGTAGCGAGGGAGAATTAGTTAATCGAACTCAACTGCAGCAAAGACAGCAAGACGCCATTGATGCAGCTCCAGCTCTAAATGTGCATATAGGGACGTTTGGATCAGCCGACACCGTGATGCGATCAGCACAATCACGTGACATCATTGCGAAGAGAGAGAAGGTGATTGCATTCGAGATGGAAGGCGCCGGCGTGTGGGACGAGATACCCTGTATTATCGTCAAGGGAGCTAGCGATTATGCCGACTCACATAAACACAAAAAGTGGCAAGATTATGCGGCTGGGGTGGCGGCATCGACAGTAAAAGCCATACTTGGAAGTTATTTCCAGGAAGCACAAGAAAAGAAAACAACCCCCAGTGAGTATTTGCCCTCTATGAGAATTTTTCCCTTAGGGTTAGAAAAGCACGTATACATTAACTTCTATTGATCAATAGGCGGTAAACCTAGGCGGTTCGCTCGCAGCATTCGCTGTTACAAATGTCAGTGCCAGTGGCTCCCTTCATCTTATGCATAAGATTAACATCAAATAACATAGGCCTTGAATTTGGACATTACGCAAGCGCGCCTCACTGCTTTATATGTCAGTTTTAATTCTTCTTTTTATCTTACGGATAATACTAATACTTTTCTTCAATTGTATAGGTGGAGAATATGGGCATGGTGCATACGACCTTCACTGTCGTAAATGTCAGTGCTAGTTTCTCTTTTACCTTATGAACAACACTAATCATACTGATAAATGGTATAGGTGATGGATTTGGACATTATGATGATGAGCCTCACTGCTATAAGTGTCAGTCTTAGTGCTTCCCCTTATGAATGATACCAGGACTAATACAAGGTATAGGTGGTGAAGTTGGATTTTACAACAATAAGTCTCACTGTTATTATTGTCAGTGTTTAAGCCTCCCTCATCTTTACGAATATTAATATTAAATAATATAGGCCATGAATTTGGGCATTATGCCAAAAACTGCCCAATGCGATAACTAGTAACTTTTATTTCACCTCAATCGGTAGTTTACGCTTGAGAACATGACTGCATTTAGCAATTTGTCAGTGGATAAGTCATTTTAGACTATATACTAGAGCGACAGTTTAATAAAACTCGATAGATTACGGGAAATCTCTTCACAAACTTAAGATATCGCATAGATAACAAGAGAGACTGATGTAATGTTGTAGATTTATGATTTGGCGTATATGGGACTTGAGCTATAAGTAGTGAATCGTTGGTTATAATAGGGAAGCATCCATCAGTGTGTCTAATACATGTAATAAATAAAGCATGAAAGCATCCCCGAAACAATCTGCTACGTATAAATGCTCATACTATTGCTGATGCTGCTTGATGATCTACTATATTTTGTTTAATCAACCCCTATGTCTAAATGCTGTTGACTATGCTAAATGCTAATTATGCTGTTTTAGAATGCAATATCAAAGAAGACGCTTTGTTGAAAGCGCTTCGAGTATATCTGCCCATATTGCGCCATACCCTCCATACCCTTTTGCCTACTCTAGCCGTAATTATTATTGTGTATAAATGCAAGATTGAAAATCAAACGGATATAAATATAAAGAGAAAGAGAAAGCAAAACTATGACGTGATTTATGCTTCACTATCACTGATAGGTGCTTGCTTCTCTTTGAGGTCCTTGAGGCAAGGAGCAACAAACATTTCGCCAGTAACGACGCGGTGTATCGTCCTTAGGCTGACGACAATCCAGAGAAGGACGACTATGAGAGAGATGATCTGTGTCTTTTGTTAGAAAGAGAAAGAGAGAAAAAAAAAAAAGAGTCAGAGACAGATAGAACGTACAGTAGTTATATACTTGAAAAACTCGCTTCCCAGATTCTGCCACAGAGCGCTGGTGCAAGTTGCCCACACGCCCAGCGGGAAAGTAAATCCCCACCAGCCCATGTTGAAGGGGAACGACCGCGTGGTTCTCAAGATGATGAGAGCGAAGCACACCCAAGCCAGGGCGAAGCCCCACATAACGATACCGAAGAAGATGCCGAGGAAGTAGAGGAACTCGGCGCCGCGGGTGGGATCAACGCCAGCGACGTGGAACATCTCCGTGTGAGGGATGACCTTGAGGGCGACCCTGCCGAGCTGCTGGATGCCGAAGCCGCCCTGGCCAAGGGGTCCGACGGGAAGGAAGACGGAGACGATGACCTCTCGCGGCGGCAGCGAGTGGACGGTCAGACGGTGGAAATAGAGGGCCATGACGCAGGCGGAGAGGGCCTGGCCGATGCCCCAGAGGACGTAGGAGACGACGAGCGTGGCATAGGCGTGGCTGATGGAGGGGAGGGCTTCAGCGACGATGCCGCCAGTAGCTGCTGCGACGACGGCCGGGACGATGGGCAGGAGGAGCGCGGCCGTGGTCTCGCTGAGGCCGGGGCGGTGGCGGTGCATGACGATGAAGGGCATGGAGATTGCGGTTGCGAATGAGACGAGGACGTCGATCCACCAGAAGGCCCAGGCGAGGTAGACGAGCCAGGGGCCCCATTGGGCGCAGGAGAAGATCATCATGTTGATGATTGCTGGGGGTTGCGTGTGTTAGTCGTGATGATTTTGAAATTTAGACATGTCAAAGGATTGAGAAAAAAACATACTTGCAAAGCCCATCGGGAAGCAGCCCAGGAAGAGAGATTGTGCAGGGTGAGAAATCATGGCGCCCCAAATCTCCGGGTAGATGGTGTATCGTAGTAGGGAGATTGTGAAGAAGATTGTGAAGAGGAGGATGTTGAGGGCGAAGAAGATGTAGGAGATGATGTGTAGCCAGTAGCCGTTCCAGGGGAGGTTGTGGAGGAGGATGGAGACGATGCCTGTGCCCATGTTGACGGCGAACCATCTGTTTGATATTGTGTTAGTTGAGGTTGACATCAAATGTCATGTAAGTGTGTGTGGTGTAAATAGCAGCATATAAGTGTGTCATGCAGTACAAGTACACACAGGCGACAACTTACGATGGAGTAAAGTTGCGGACGATTCTCCGCCAGCCACGGTTATTCTTGCAAAGCCTTTGAGAACATGAGTCGTCGTGGTTAGCTGCGACTTGGTTGTCTGCGGCGGGCGTGGATGCCCCGGCGGTTGCTATCGCCATGATTGAGAAACAGAGGTGGTCGAAATAATGCAACCCGGTATCAAGTTGAAGAGTCCAAAGACGATTCAAATGCTGTTTTGAATGAGACCTGGGGAAAAAAAAAAAAGCTGGAAAGAGGCTTTGGCAGCTTCCGTTTATATATAGTAGATGTATAATTAGATTTGATGACGAAATGGTTCCTTTTTCCCGTTCCGTAAACTCATAAACGTCGGGCACCGGGGCTTGACCTGTATGGTTGCAAAAGCCCACTAAAAAAAAGAGATGCCGTTTGGTAGGCGGAGGTCTCTCGGAGAGCCGGTAGCGTAGTTTGCCGGAATAGCTGAGCCGAAAAGGGTGGCAGACAGATCTGATTTGTTACGCGTGCACGTTGGTTTAGACAACTCAGTCGCCGATTATTGCTAAGATGAGAACCTGAGTTTTGTCTCTTTTTCACAGTTGTAATGCCTTCTTTGTTATGGAAATTGGAACAGTGGCAACAATTCATGAGGATGAGCTGTTGCATTTAAGTCTAGACGGTTCTCTACAAGCCAGTCATATGATTCACACGTTTGCCGCACCGATTCCCATTTTTCAGCTACGGCCTTGCCTGTCCCGTTTTTTTTTTCACATGGAGAAAAAAAAAATTAACGGCTTGTATCCACCAATCTCGAAGTTCTAGAAGGGGGCACTCGGCAGCCGCATTTCTTCTTCTGTTTCCGGTGTGGTTGGCCGCTCTGCACGTCTGACATAAGGCTTGCTGGGTGGCTCTTATTCGCTGAAGGAGCTCGGCATCGGCCGTGAGGAGCGGCTCTCGGGGGATTCGGATTGCTCGGGCCACGGGCCGATACGCGACGAAACTGGCACGCTGGAGATGCTTTTACAAGGTGCATTGGACGGAGATGCATTTCTCCTTACTACTTATTCGCCCTTTTTTACTACTTTCTAGATTTCATATTGAGGCTGTGACGCCGACGGGCATCGGAGCGGATAGAGAGATATGTAGATGACGGTGCCGAGGCCTTGTTAGAAGATGGAATTGCACCAGACATCCAACGAGATGGCATATGCAAACACTCCTTGAGCGGCTAATGCGCTTTGACGTGCAAGCCATCAGATAACGGAATCTCTTGGCATCTACCACTACTAGCAATCCTCTCTCACAGGTGCCTTGGGACCTGGGGCTGTGGGTTTTACTTCCCCGCATATAGAACCCTCCATATAAGATGGCGGACCGTCGGCGCAAGAGTTCTTGCTAGTGTAGAAATCGATGAGCTTGTTGTAGCTGCGAGTCAGTATCCATGGCTTGGTGCTTGGGAAAGATAAACAATCGTCGCCTCTTGGGTACTTGTGCGGGCGAGGAAACCTTTGCAATAGGGAGTTTACTTGCCCATGCGCGAAGATGGGGATTCTCTCAAAGTTTCTTCACAGTCAGATTTGCTCAAGAGAAGCTGCCTCTTGGTCGTTTTTGATTGACCAAGCCAAACGAAGCTGGGCGCAAAGCTCTCATTGATGCAAGCACTTAAGAGCGCTGTGGGAGCTTGAAACGAGCAATTGAATTGGCTATTCCCCACAGCGTATGTGAACGCGACGAGCATTTCATACACAACATCATAGCTCAACTTCTTTGACTACACAATGCTCAGGTGCCATGCTCATACTCTGACTTGGTCACACGCAATAGTTTCTTATTCTGCTAAGAACTTACTATGTAAATGTATGTACTGAATGAAAGTCTACTGTTTTACTTTTGGGTTTTGCCCACTGCTGCTGAATTTCCGTAAAGGCCGTCGGCAAGCGGGCGTAGAGCGGCTATCGGCGGCGGCTACCGGAGATGTCTGGGTACCTTACCTTTGTACCTCCCTCCTTGCCGTATCTTACCTAAGACAGTGTCTCGAGCTAAGTGTCAATAACGGCTACGGTGTACTTTCCTCTTTGCTCTCTCTCTCTCTCTTTTCCTTTTCCCTTTTTTTTTTCACTTTAAAATAGCGATAGACGGCTCAGGGGTGCTCCGTAGATAAGGACAAAAGATAAGCAAGGACAGGAGAAGGTTCAGATTGCTGACCCCTTTTCACTTACGAGCCGTAAGCTCAGCCATCGAAAATCCTCCTACGCTCCGTCTTGAGTTTTTACAGTAGTAGCGTCTTGGTAGCATAGCGCTACTGCGGCGCTGTGCTATCGGGTTTCATGGCCCCACGCTCAGCGGGAACTTTGCAAATCGCATCGCAAAACATTTCAAACACCGTCTCAAATCTTGAAATCTCGATAGCCTGTCGCAATGCGCCCATTAAGACCATTGCATACCAAAAGTGCATGACCAGAGTCCGGAGATAGAATGCCGATCTTTTTGAGAGATGGGAGAATCTGATGTCCCCTCCTGCTGTCACCATCCGATCAATTGATGGCTGCCTCTGTCCGTTCGCTTTGTGTCATCGCCCGCTGCTCCGCTTAAACCATGGCTGGCCATTACGCGCTCTTAGCGTCCTATTGTCCAACCAGATTGTGCAAAACGTGCGCAACGTAATCCACCGATGGTTGCCAGGTGTATCCGTCCCTCGTACCTGCGATCTTCGCCCTTCCCTTTTTTCGTGTGGCTTGGAGTGACGAGGATTTCGCTGGCCGACACCGGGTCCTTATCCACCGTCGGGGGTTACGCTCAGCTGACCTGACGCGAGAGACACTGTCCATCCCCGCTCCAGTCGGTGTGTCGTCTTGGCTGTGCATCTTCGATAACTGTGATAAATGTCCCCATTGCATCGTCCTCTCATATCGTCCCAATAGATCGCCAATAGCCCATACATATCCACCCACGCAATTCGTCTTTCATATAGCATCTCATCAATCATGGCCATGAATGTCGTGTCAAGCAGCCACGCGCTCGGTGTTGTGGGCGACGTCGTAGCGCAACGGGAGAAGGATCTTTTTGAAGAGCTCGTAATGGCGCTCAAGGAAGGCCTTGGTCCATCGTCTGGGTTGACGTCCGAGGATGTCGACGTTGGCTACCTGATGGAGCTGATGCGAGCATATGACGGTGGCGACATGCAATGGTCCAAGTATGCCTTCGGCGATGCTAGCAGAGGCTACACTCGTAACCTTGTTGATGAGGGAAATGGCAAGAGCAACCTGGTAGGTCATGTCTTGAGGTCCACCTCGGGGGGTGGTGCAATATCACTCGAAGCCATCGGTATATTGACAAAGAGCGAAACAGCTTGTACTTGTTTGGTCTCCAGGAAAGGGAAGCCCCATCCACGACCACGGAAACGCACACTGCCTCATGAAGATACTGCGCGGAGATCTCACTGAGACCCGCTATGCTTTCCCAGAAGACGACGAGCCCGAAGGACCGATGACTGTCATCTCCGAAAAGACATATAGAGAAAACCAAGTGACGTACATGGCCGACGAGCTTGGTCTCCATAGAGTATCCAACCGTGGTAGCGACTTCGCTGTGTCCTTACACCGTAAGTTCTTCATCTGGCACCGCAACACTTGTCATGGACCCAACTAAAGAACTCTCCAGTGTATACTCCTCCCAACGTCGCTAGACAGGGCTGTCACATCTTTGACGAAAAGACTGGCCGGAGAAGCCATGTGCCTGGCTGCATGTACTTTTCAGCCTATGGCCGCGTGTTGAAGGAGTAGCAAGCATCGCAACGTTTGCATCGGGCATGGCGATATGGCGTTCGGTATTTCTCGTTGTTTTGTTCCCTAGATTGAATCCTGTCGTTTAGTTTCTGCTTCTGGGTATTCTTGTATAGCATCTGCTGCGTTCATCCACAGCAGGTGGAGAGGCGGTCCTCATCGACGGCCTTGGTGGAGAAGCATAGCGTTTTTTGTACCAAATGAAAGGCCTCATCTCACAGAAGCTCGCCTGCCCCAGTGAAGCGTAGAGAAGAGTGTAGTTGGAAGAGGAGAGAGGACTGGTCGCATGTCGTTGATATTACTGCTTGAATCCGCAGAGCCATCGATTGCGTGATTGCAGCTAGACCTAAATGGGGACAGCTTGGAGTGCTCCTCTGAGCGGATCTCGGCGCTCTATTTTTGTATGGCAGTACGAGAGTACATGTCAAACTGCTTAGTCACTTCTCGCTACAAGTGTCAGACTACCACCTCAATTCTACTGCAGTAGGTAGTCCCTGAAACTAGTACTGCCAATAAAGGGTGTTGGGCGTTGTCAAAGGGAGCAGTATAGCCTATGCAGAATATTTTGAGAAGTTGTTTCGCTGATTTTTAGAAGCTTGTATACGATATCTCCAACTGCCTCAAGTAGAGCTATTTGGCTGTTGTATCGCTTTGCTTCTGCTGATGGCTCGCTTGTCACATGACCTCGCGTTATCGTTATTTGCACTTAGACGCGCCAAGTGACTTGAAGCTGCTCATCATAGAAGTGACAAAAAAAAGGATAGAGGTGCTCAGCTATAGACAAACACTTTGTTTCAATATCGTCAATCTTCAAGAGTTTACGTCGTATTTTATTATTTATTTCATATCGCCTATAATTTTAAAATCGATTTTCAATATGCCTCCTCGTCGCAAGCGCCCCGCCGCAGAGGCCACCGATATTATCGATCTCACTGGAGATGCCATCCAGCCCGCTCATAAACGCCCTGCTTTATCATCCTCGCAATCTGGTGTATCATCTGGTGCAACAAGTCGCCAGAGGACCGAGGCAATTCCTTCGTCTTTCCAGCCGTCAACCCAAGACCCAGACTATTTAGATCTGACGCAAGAAGACGACACATTTGACAGGGAGCTCTACGGTACTTTTGGTTCGTTTGCCTCGATAATAATTATTCTAGCATAGTGTTAATATTGACCCAATTAACCTCTTATAGATGGCAAAATTGTGGGCGTGAGGTACTACAATGGCTATGCCTCTCCTGGTGAAGCTGTCTTATGCCAGAGAGAGCCGAGAAATCAGGTAAATTGTTCTCATTCATGTAGACTCATCGTGTTACTGTGCTGATCGGACGATAGTACGACTCCAATGCAATTCGAATAGACAACGTTCTCCATCAGCAAATAGGTCATTTACCTCGCAAAATCGTCGAGAAGCTGGCACACTATATTGTGAGTTTTGCATCATTGGCTACCCTGATTATTGCTTACTCTGCGTCTAATCTTAAATAGGACTCTGGAGATATTACTGTTGAAGGCCAAATCATAGGGGAGAAGTCCTATTATGATTGTCCTATTAGACTGTCGTTTTACGGTCCCAGCAACCCTGTAGAGCGTACCAGAATCGAGAATGCTCTAAAGGCAGATAAATTTGTCAAGGCTACCCAACTGAAACAAACCAGGAAAGCTGCCGAAGCTCATAGAGTGGCGCTTGGGCTGCATCAAACGATTTCTACCGCCGGTTTTGGTTCAAGCCAGCAGCCAGGGGCACCTGAAGTATCTCTGGAAGAACTCCTCAAGTCCAGCGATGCGGTCGAATTCCGCAAAGGGGGCGATGCCATCAAGACGCTGGCCAAGGGTGAAGAGGAACTGTCAAAGATGCCGCAGGCTGAGCAACCTAAACAGCTGAAATCTACGCTGCTGCCGTACCAACTACAGGTATACTTGAACATTCATGCTTTTTTTTTTTTTTTTTTTTTCAGCAAGTTCAAGGCTAATGTCATACACAGGGGTTGGCCTGGATGCAATCCAAAGAGGACCCGCAACTCCCACCAGTTGGATCAGATGCTGTCACTCAACTATGGAAACGCGATAGCAAGGGTCGATACTGGAATGTTGCGTCCGATTTCATCACCTCGAAAGCGCCAACGCTATTTTCCGGCGGTATTCTTGCTGATGATATGGGCTTGGGAAAGACTCTCCAAATCATCAGCTTAATTCTTGCGGGTGGCCCTGGCTCAACCCTGATTGTTGCTCCGGTTAGCGTGATGAGCAATTGGGAGCAACAAATTCGAAGACACGTTAAAGAGGAGCATCAGCCAAATATCCTTGTATATCATGGTGCTAGGAAAGTGGCTGGCAAAGACCTCTTGGGATACGACGTTGTCATCACTAGCTACGGCACGCTTGCCAAAGAGCTGGATGAAGGTGGAAGCAAGACTCTACTGAGCCAAAAGAAGAATTGGCGGCGAGTTGTGCTCGATGAAGGACACACAATAAGGAATGTAAAGACAAAGGTGGCTCTGGCCGCAAGCGAGTTAAACGCCCAATCTCGCTGGGTTCTGACTGGAACTCCCATGTGAGCATCAACTCATCCTATGCTTACAATCTTTGGCACTCTATACTGACTTGTTACTAGCGTCAATTCTGTCAAAGATCTCCAGTCCTTGGTAAAATTCTTGCACATCACCGGAGGCATTGAGCAGCCCGAGATATTCAACACAACAATCACTCGAAAGTTAATGTCGGGTGAGCGCAGTGCAGAAGCAATTCTGCAATCGTTGATGCAAGATATCTGCCTTAGGCGAAAGAAAGACATGAAATTTGTTGATCTCAAGCTCCCCAAGAAGACTGAATATCTACACCGAATCACATTTCTCCCAGAAGAGAAGTCTAAATACGATGCTCTACTGTATGCCGACCCAATTAATCTCACACTCAAGATGGTTGTTTCTAAGGACTTTGTATTAACTGGCGGATAGATCTGAAGCCAAAGGTGTTTTGGAAGAATACCAGGCTAAATCACAAAATGGTCAAAAGGGCCGTTTCCAAAACGTCTTGGAGCGTCTTTTGCGACTCCGGCAGTCGTAAGTAGCCCGCTGATTGCATATTTTTGCCAGACTAACTCGTTTAAGCTGTAATCACTGGACTCTCTGCAAAGCGCGGATTGATGATTTGATGCAATTGCTCAAAGATCAAGACGTCGTACCTTTGACTGAGAAAAATCGAGCATTGCTTCAACAAGCGCTTCGGTTGTATATTGATAGCCAAGAGGATTGTGCAATCTGTTACGATACACCTACTAACCCAGTGATTACAAATTGCCAGCACGTTTTCTGTCGGCACTGCATTACTAAAGCAGTCCAGCTGCAAGGAAAATGCCCAATGTGTCGCAACCCGCTGACCGAGGACAATTTCCTAGAGCCAGCTCCCGAAGGTACTTTCGATATAAATCTTGATACAGACACGCAGAGTTCAAAGACAGAGGCGATGCTACAAATCGTGCGGGCGACATTGAAGAATGAAGGATCCAAGATTGTCATCTTTTCCCAGTGGACATCATTCCTCGACATTGTGCAGAAGCAGCTCGAAAACGCAGGATTGACGTACTGTAGAATCGATGGAAACATGAGTGCAGAGAAGCGCGATAAGGCAATCGATGCCCTCGACAACGATTCTGAGACTCGAATTATGCTCGCCAGTCTGGCAGTCTGCAGTGTGGGACTCAACCTTGTTTCTGCGGACACAGTGATCTTGTCTGATAGCTGTAAGTCTCTCCTTTTACCCGGTATCTAACCCTTCAGCCGCTGTGGCGAATGGATACTTATATGTACTTTGACAGGGTGGGCTCCAGCGATTGAAGACCAAGCGGTTGATCGAGTGCATCGCCTTGGCCAAACACGCGAGACGAAGATATGGCGTCTCATTATGGAAGGGACCGTTGAAGAACGAGTGCTGGATGTTCAACAAGAGAAGCGTGATCTTGTCAACAAGGCATTCCAAGAGAAGGGTTCCACGAAGAAATCCAAAGACACTAGAATGGGAGACGTACTGAAGCTACTTTCTTGAGTGTTTGGCCGGCACATGTTGGTTCCCACTATGCACAGAAAGCCATCTCCATATGCAACATGTCCATTTCTAAGCACACCAGGCCCAGACAAGGCCTTTTCCAATACGCTATTGCGGCATCAGGGACCCCATCATGTCAACAAAGCGGGCTGACGCAACGGGGATGCGGCCAATGCGGCGAATACAGTACTCTGATACCGATTATCTGATCAATTGGACCTGATGGCAATCCACCAATTTTTTTTCGGAATCAGCTAATTTTACTATAACCCATTGGGATTATAGCAGTAATATTAGTTTCCGAGATAAAGTGCTTACACTTGAGTGAGTCAACACCAACTAAGTTGTACATTTATGAGATATGATCAAACGGGCATAAAACATTAGCTAGGTCAAGCAGGCTATATAGGTATGTGATAGGGACTACTGCGACTAGATAGCGAGGGAATTTTTCAAAACGTCGCATCATACCTGTACATACATATCTATAAGAGGATAACAAAATCTCCTGTGGCCGGAAGCTGTGAGCAAATTCCCGCGACTTGCTCGGTTTCTCGGTCACTCAGTCAGAGAGCTCGTCGCCCCTCTTTGTGAATTTTGTCTTTTTCAACAGAAACGTCAATTGGTTAGCTAGAGGCTGGAAATTACCGAAATAGGAAACTAACATGGGCTGTATCGAGTTGGCTAACCTGTTAGAGAGAAAACACTACGATCCTGGAATAGGATAACGGGCGCATTGATTACACGCCACCGAGTGAGTTATAGGCCTACTCAGCTCAGTACATATTGGGTTGCAGAACCATTACTCAGCGCATGGCAGACTATTGGTCTTGAGCAGCCAAGTAGGTATCTCGCTTATCTTGGTTCTTAGCGCGCATTTACGCGGAGAGGTTTTCCTTCTTTGAGCTTGACGCATGTACTATTTTGTCCTGTGGAAGATGCGTCGAAGTTTACTAAACATTGAGGACTTACAAATCGAGGCGTGTTTAGGATACACTAACGTTTTTCAGCCCCGAGAGGATGTGGAGAGGCTAGGATGAAGGTTGAAAGATTTGGGCGGTAGACAGTAGTCTATTGACAATATCTATATACTATATAAAGTTGGATATCCAACCTTTCATAGACCATAGACTTGGCGTTGAATGACAGCATTTATAAGACATTTCCCTACCTTGGCCTACGTATTCCATCCGCCAATAAAAGGATACACAGGACACAAGTCTCCAAGACTCTCCAGTAGCAGCAACCACCATGGCGGTAATCTCCACCTCACGACCACACATCCTCATCATTCCCGGCGCATGGTATCCGGCTTCTACCATGGCCTCCTTCGCCAAAGCCCTCGAAGCAGCAGGCTTTCCCACCACTGTGGTACCCACCCGCAGCGTAGGCACCAGGGACGTCAGCGTCCAAGACGACGAGGCGCAGTCCAAGGCTCTCCTCCTGCCTCTACTTGACAAAGGCAAAGATGTCATTGTCCTTGGCCATTCATATGGCGGGTTCGTAATTACGGGCCTCACCGCCATCTGGACAAGAAGACCAGAGAGGCGCAGGGCCTGAATGGAGGCATCATTGGCGTGATTTATCTTGCTGCGTTTATGCTGATTGAGGGCGAGACGACCTTTGAGATGGCGGGTGGTTCCGCATGTCCATTTGTCTCGGCAGATGATGTGAGTTTTAACCCCAGCTGAGCCCCCCCCCCCCTTTTTTTTTTTTTTTTTTTTTTTTTTTTTTTTTTAACAAAGGCTTGCTCTATTTTATCTCTATCCAAATTCGTAGATTCTAACTCCATCGCAATTTTAGATTAAAGAGACCGTCCTTTTGTTATCAAAAGACCAAAAACACTACTTCTACAACGACCTCTCAGACGAGATAGCCGAACACATCATCGCAGCCGTCAAGGGACACTCCGGAGCGGCAACCATGTCAGCTCCTTTGGCAATAGGATGGAGGGGAAAGGCATACGATGGCCACCACGCATATATTCGCGCTATTCAGGACAATACCGTGCCCCTGAAACACCAGGATGAAAATATTGCTCGGTCGGGAGTCGAGTGGCTGGTGAAGTCGGTGGATGCTTCGCACAGTTTGTTTGTGTCGAAGACGGACGGGGTGGTTGGTTTGGTTGCGGAGTTGGTGGTGGAGTTTGCAAAGAGTTGAAAAGGGTTGAATGTTGGGGACAATAAAAAGTATACGGTGTTTTTATTACTCGGGATGTTTGTTTGCTAGTACAGTGAGCGAGTTAGTATTGTGCAAGATATGGGGAGATATGGGGCTACAATGAATATATACCAAACATTCTCATCTCCCCCCCCCCCCTATAGGTTCAACCAAATTTTGCAACAGGACAAACACATAAGTTGGTAGACATTATGTAGTTTGGTGTTGTTCACCACGCCCAAGTATAGAAAAGAGACAGGCGAAAGTCGAATTATTAAATGTTTCGACTTACTTACAGCGTATAAATACTAAGATCTCAGAGTGAAACTATTCTAGTGAGGCACTTATCGAAACACACTCTTATTTACTCTAAAGTATTCGAAGCGAAGTAATATATTTGCTCTAGTTACTACTGGTGTAATGTCTCCAGCCAAATTGCATCCTTTTTAAACCGGAAAATTAAAACCTCTCCCGTGATACAGCCGATGATAATTGTTTGTTCTCCAACTCTCATAGTATTCCTACCAGACTCTGGATGATACTGACCTGGCAAGAGGACAACCTTCTTACCGTTCCAGGTGATCCATGTCTCTGTGTCGGACATAACACTATAGGGGCACCATGGCTTAGATACTATCTCCACTTTTGCACCTTCTCTCAGGTCTTCGATAAGTATAGGGCCCCCCTCTGATATGACATACTGAGGGTACTTGATATTGACGCTCAGTGAGTAGATACCTGACCTTGTTTCTGATTTAATCATACCCTCAGATCTTATATTCCCATCCTCCCCAGTAATATCCCATATGGATATACTTCCAGCATAAGATGCGATGAGCCTTTTGAAGTCGGCTGAGAAGGTCATAGCATTTATGCGTCCGTCCCCTCTATTTTTAATTCTTGTCAATTGAGTCGAAGAGTTGGCTTGATCGGTGTGAAGGCTCCAAAGTAGGATCTCACCATCATCAGCACCAGACACGACGTATTTTCCATCTTGTGAAAATAAAACGCACATGACGTAGTCTCTATGACCACTCAGTATTCTTAGCCCCTGGACACCATTCGACTCCCCTCTTTCTCCTTCCTCTTCTTCCTCCTCTTCCTGATTCGAAAGATCATGTCCAAACTCATACCTAAGGTCCCAAACGCGTACGGTCCTATCATCAGATCCCGAAGCTACAAATGTTCCATCGCGCGATAATACAGCGCAGCGTACCCAATCTCGGTGACCGAGGAGTGGGCGTGACTGGAAGTCATCTTCTAAGTTCCAAATACGAACAGTTCTGTCATCGGATCCTGATATCAATTTGCGAGAATCATGACTGAATACAAGCGATTCAATATCTTGTCTATGCTCCCATAAGCTTCGTTGGAGCACACCAGAAATTCCATCCCATAAACAAATTAAACCATCTGCGGAGGCTGATGCCACCCACTTCCCATCCTCAGACAGTGCAATACGTGAGATACGCCGCGCGTGTGGAGTATTTTGACTCTGCCTTAAGTCAATTTCCGACTGTACTTGTGTTTTATAGCTGCCGTAATCCCAGATTCGAATGGTTTCATCGCTGGAGCAGGTAGCAAGGCATGTCTCAGAAGGCGAGAATGATAAATCGTACACACTCCTTGAGTGTCCGCTTAGTATTAAGGGGGGTTGTGTGGCAGTCCATGGCTCTCGCCACATTCTAATTGTCCCATCCTGTGATCCAGATGCTAGAAATAAACCATCAGATGAGAATTCGACTGTGTTGATACTGCCCGTGTGTCCAGTGAGAATCATGGGAGGGTTTCCCGACTCCCAGTCCCATATGTATACTTTGTTTTCTTCATCCGTCCCGGTGGCAACATACTTTAGATTTGGTGAAAAGGCAATCCCACATGCCCAATCATTGTGTGAGGTAGATATAGTCAAGTCTGTTTCCTTCTTCAACCTTCGGTTATTCTGTATAGCAAACTCTGCGTTTTGAACTGCTCCATCCATGACGCCGTCAGTCACCTCATCCTTCAGACTCCAGATAGTAACCGTTTGATTTGACACTGATCCAAAAAGAGTATCATGCTCAGAGAATTTGATGAAGCGAATATCATCTTTGTAGGAAGCATCTACCTTTTGTGGGATGAGTTTGGAGTCAAGAATATGCCAAAAAATAATATCTCTCTGAACCGCCGCTGCCAGCATGTTTCCGTCATTCGAAAACGTAATATCCCCGACAGAGACGAATTTGTTGCACACATACTCATCAACTGGTAGTTTCGGCAGTTGTCCAGTAGATAAATTCCATATTCCAATGGTTGTCTGGCTCGCCGCAGCAATAAATCCAGAGGAGGATAGAGCAATGTTATACACATAATCACTATCAAAAGCTCGAAATATATGTTGTACATTTCCTGACGCTGTATCCCAGAGACGTATAGAACCATCATCTGAGCCAGAAGCTAAGAATTTTCCATCATGAGAATAGGAACAGCAACGAATATAGTCTGAATGACCTGTTAAAATATGAGTAGCGGGGTCCCAATAATTTTTGAACATTGGGGGGCCTTCAAGTTGCGGCCATTCCTTGGGCAGGAATATTTTTTGCATCGTCGTATTGTGAGGACAGAACAGGAGAGTCACTCTGGCTGTAAGACCAACGGCACCCTGAATCATGTTGTGGAAACGTAATAACTGGTTCGTTTCATTGATAATGCTCACGAACGTCCGGTAGCGGCTATCATCAGCGCGTGCTCCTATTTCCCGCTTCTTTTGATAGCAAAGTCAGTATCAAATTTGAAATTCCGTCGTTATAAAAATTGAGACGTTCATGAAACAAGAGATGGAGAAACGTACCTTGACATGGCTTTGTAAAGCTGATACTAGAGCTCTTGCCTGAGATAACAACCCTGAAGATACTAAGAGATCCAACCATTTCAAGAGGTTCTGAGTGAAAAACTCAGTAACTATATGTATAACATTATTAGCATCGTCAATATTACAAAGATGTCGAGCCCAATATAGTGCCAAATAGCCGGTAGGGAGTTCTGAGTTTTTGCTTCGGCTTTGGGATGAATTTGTCGAAGGTAAACTCCAATATTCTGATAGAGATGTGAGACAGCGTTCAACCATTCGCGAATGCAAGCCTGCCCTTTTACTCTCTGACTCCTTGAGAACGAAATCTCTGGCGGTTTTGCGCGGGAAATGGACTGTGTCGTCACGTAGTTCTAGGAATGTGAAACATTTTTCCACGAGGACTTTGACATTGAAGTATGCCGGAAAATCCAAAAGTACTTCCAACTCCACAAGATTCAGAGGTCTAGCTGCTGTTGCCATTGTACTTAGCACATCGACGCAAATATTGGAATCATTGAAAGGTAGATTCTTAATATTTTCGCGCATAGGAGCGTAAAAGTTGTATAATGGATCAGAATATGCTGCTGGAGGCTGCGATAACCACAATTGGAGAATACTTGGGGCATGCCAAGGATTTTCTCGTTGTATCGCCTGGCACGCTAAGTCAACCCGTAGAAAGGTTCCTGAAGATATCTTCTTTAGGAGTTCAGTAATTTCATTTCGAAACTCTTCTTCGATACTCCAGTGTTTTGCTAGCTGATCAACCTTTGAAGGGATATAATGATCATTTAAAGTTCTCTGGATTGCATCATATGCGCCATCGATATTTATGCATTGATCTTTAGCTATATGCAGATCTTCTGATTTAGAAAAACTCTCAAATGACTCAGTTGAGCTGGATATGAGCCATTTAACATTTTGTGATAAATTCATAGTTGTTTTGATAAATGATGCAAAGGAGCTTGGCTCTTCGTCTTCGAAAATGATTTCATCAATTCCTCCGATTAGGAATATAGTTGGTTTAAATGTTTCATCTCTGATAATTTCGTATAGAAGCAACGTTAATGCGTATTTGTCATTGGAATCAGAAAAATCCTTTCTGTCTGTTGAGTTGCACTTTTCTATCAGATATTTGCTCAGCTGAGGTTGGTGATTCAAGACGAGGTAGATAAGGGTCTTAAGCACAGACACAGTGCTTTCCACTTCATTTTCACCAGTACCGCACATTGAAAATGACAGAAACTTCGGTTCTAAGCCGAGACTCGTCTGAGAGAGCCCACGGATAATCGACCAAAACACCATCGTTCTGCCAGCATCTGGGTCACCGCAAACCCAAAGCAAGCGTGATTCTCCCATAGTGAAATCCTTGAATTCAGGAGTTGAATTGACCCATTCATAGAGACTTTCAAGTGATGGGATATTCGCTTCTAAATTATTCTTTCGCGGATCGACTGCGTTTAAATTTTTTATTGTAATCTTCATATCGCTCTCCTCAGGCTCTGGTGTCTCATCTCCAATCACATCATTTTTCTCATCGTTGGGAAACGTGACAAGGCTGCGGATCTGAGCTTCAATGTGATTCCCTTTAAAACACATAAGTGCTTGCTCTGCCTTTACCACATCGGCCTCATTCAAGTCTCCATCTCTGGAAAATAGATCTTGATCGATTTGGAAAAAATCGCTCTCTTGAATGGTATCTGTTTGAGAACAGACTATGCGAATTTGGAAAAGGAAAATTTGTTGGTAAAGTTCTGTGATACGATCTCGGAGACTTGTTTGTTCGCTTTCATCGTCATCGAGAAGCTTAGGGAGCAGGGTATACCACGCCATTCTAGATGCGATATAGTTGATGCCTAGTAATTTTTCCGGTCGGTCGGTAGAATCCAAAAGGCCCTATTTCGTTTATTATCCTTAGCAATCGGGGATTATAGCAGTACTTCGCAAAGGAATGTATGTCGCTTACCTGTAGAGCAAGGCATGTTCCTGCCCATGCAAGGGCTGCATCTTCAACATTGTCGATTGATGATTTCAACACGTCTCGAGTTTCTTTGGAGAATCTGAGTGAAATCGTTTCAGAATTGGAGTTTTGACTACCCTCATCACCAGAATCAGCACCAGCATCTCTTTCTTGCTGAGCATCGAGACAGAAGGCAATAATATTCTGCGCGTATTGTCGCCTTTCTTGATGATTTGAACATTGAAATAGATTCCCTGGTTCTTCAATACAGTCAAATTTCCGATTTTGCTGTAGTGAGTATGCACGTAGCCATAACGTCAATATTCTTTCGTATTCCTCCAATAAGTCGGCATGTTGAAGCCTCAGATTATCGTAAGCTACTTCCCACAAGTCTCGGGGCGCCTGGTGGTAAGATTCGGCTGAATCAAGCCTGTTCGACGCGGAGGTTATTGAAGAAGACACTTTGTTGATTTCGTTACTTTGCGAAATGGCTTCTTCTGGCTTCTTTGAGTCTTTGGTTGGCAGGTCGGTGGGTGTTTCACTCTCTGGGGCCACGACGCTCGACTCGGGAAGTACATCGGATTCATTTGGAACGAAAATCTCATCAGGCGGCTGATCAGCTGCTGTGGGCTTAGGGGGGGTTAGATTGTTGATGTCTTCAGGTGTTGATGATGTTTGTTCATCCCCGACACTACCAGTGTCTATCCTTTTATCCTTTTTGGACCTGAAAGCGCGCCGCCCTTTTGCCACCCACGTCGTGATATCCATGGTGCTAATCAGCCTCTATGACAGACTTAGGAATACAAGATGCAGAGTATCGCTGATGGAAGCTGGAAAATCAGAATTAATCAATTGTAAGTCAGAATAAATTTATCATTCCTAACAGGAATCGAGGTTATACAATGGTGCGTTGTCTAGGAATCGTTGTGGTCAGTGATGCCTGGAGCGTCCTGGGTTGGGCATTAACGATGGAATAGGCATGTATGGTATATACACTGTGCGTATGCACAGCCGTGTAACAGAGCGAGTACTTGTCAGTACCTTAACAATACACGCTCTCGTACTCTATGCTCCACACTCGTTTCACATCACCAGCCCTCGATAGAATAGGGGTTATGATCCATTCACAATTGACAAGTTCCGATCATTCATTGGCCCCGGAACCCCTGCTCTCTTGGGCCTTAAGTCAGCCGCGGGGTCATCTCTTGTCTGCACGGGTTGATACGATAATCTAGACTATGGTGTTTCTACCTAACACTAGGTAGATCACTAAATCGCTGCTTTCTACCTATCTATGTATATGTCCTTACTATAATGCGTAGCCATACGCGTACGGTTGAGCATTCTCTTGGTAGGTCTTCAACTCCCATGGGTTTAGGACAAACAACAAGCCTTCTGGTTCAAGTAACAGGCTTTCAGATGCTTCGTCCATGTTATACACACTGTAATTCCCAATCTACCTGCTGTATGACCTTGGAAGTTGGTAGGTATATGCAGGTGCTTAGTGCCCAATCCGCCGCCAAGGCTGGCTGCAGCCTCATACTGCGAGTGGTTAGTGCGTGTCGAGCGATTTTATGCCCAAATGCAGATATTGAGACCTCGAATAGGTGATAGCGGCGGCTGCGAGTACTAGGTATGGTTGTTCACAGGTAGTTCTCTAGCCCAACATAAATATAACACAGGATATATAAGCCGTTATTTAGGCCATCATTGCCATTGTTAAATTCCGCCTAGTATTTTTTTCTTCTTCTTTCTTGCGTTCCTGCTGTATTGCACAGCTGGTGATCCCATCTCTCACCATCGTTCAAACTACAACAATGGCTGGTTTTGTGAACTTAGATAACCAAGCCCCGTCAAGTCGCTTAGAGATTCCCCTTTATTGGAATCAGAATCATGAAGCAACTCTTATGTCTGGTTCTGTCAAGTCATATGAAGTGAAAGCCGACGGTAGTGCCGTCTATGATAATAAAAAATCCGGATATTCGGTAACAGCCGACCGACTACTCTGGGTGGACGGATGGGAAAAAACAACATTCGAAGGCGCCAATAAGATACACCACCAGGAGATGACTCTAGTGGTTCTAAGAATTGACCTTGCTTCACATGACCCTAGAAGAAAATTTGGTTCTGCAACTATCTCCTTGGTATTCGAAGGCGGTGACGAGAAACCATTTGATTCTAAGAACGAGCCGCAGGTGCAGGCATGGGCGCCTTTCCATTCAACTGAGAGATATAATTTCTCAAAGGCTTCTCACAATAAATCTAGTAAAATAGAGGCCGGCGGTCAGGCCGGGTACTCTGGCGTCAACATATCCGGCAGTCGGAGTAGCGAGCATGAGATATCATGGGATCGAGCTGCCTTCGACCAAGCAAGCTCAAACCCAGAAATTAGCCAGCACACTGGTCGGCGGAATGGAATCACATGGATTCTTGAACAGAACGAACTGCAGAATGCGGGCATCCCACAGACATTCTATGTCGCGGTGCTCATATCGCGACAAACGCGTGAGCCTTATGTGGTGAAATTCCAGGTTGAGGCTCGGATAGGCACCGTGGAAGATTTCAAGAACAAAACCAAGAAGTTTTTTGGGTCAAACCCGGGGAAAACCAAACCATATCTTGTGACACCTTGGGAACAGACCATTTGCAATTACGAGGGCATGGATATAATGAAGTGCATTGACCGCGATAACCTGGGGAGGTTGCAAAACCGCGAAAAATCATCCAGCCTGGAGCTGAAATGGGAGCTCAGCCATCAACTCGAGATACAAAGTTCGGCTACCGCCAAGCAGGCTGAGGGGTCGTTGGGCAATAACGAAGAAATACGAGACAGCTCTGCAGAGGAGGCGATGCCGGCTTCGCTGAAAACCCCTGGCAGTACATATGCCGAAGTACCGCTCCCTTCCTTGTCCGGATCCACTGCGGCTGATCTTGCCACCCAATTGAGCCTTCCCCCGCTGGTGATTGGCTGGCAAAGTGCGCCGTCCGCCCCCCCTATCGATTTGGCTAGGTTAACAGCGCTCGAGACTCGCATGGCTCAGCTCGAGGCTCGTCTTGCTGCACAGGATAGCCTGATGTTTCGAATGCAACAAGCCCTTGCTAGTAGGGAGGTGATGCGCGAATAGACTATTCCTATTCAAATACTTATAAGTAAAGGAAATGTCTAACGCACAATCTACTAGCTTTTTTTTAATCTCTTGATAGGGATGTAGTTTCAAAGCAGATTTGCGCTAAATCAACTTACCTACCAATACATCATCGTTTGTTCTTGGGCGTCATACAAGTATACATACATATATATAATCTTGGCTTGAATCGAGGTGCCTAATTGTTCAAAAATGCTTTCGATTTAGATTTCCAGTCCATGGATATCATTTTCGCAGACTTTATAATCCCTGTATGCTTGTTCTTCCAATAAACTAACGTCAGATTTGCCTTCAAAGAAAATGCATAGCAGGATATATTGCGATAGTAAGAGATATTGGAAGTCAACCTTAATGGCGTATTATAAACCAACAATTTTAAGCAATTCTAATATATTTAAAGGGATATACAATAGTCCAACATTTAGTTATGACAATTTAGCTACATCCAACTGGACATTTAACAAGCCGTTATTACAAATAGACAACATAAATAGAAATATAAGTTTTTTTCTTTTTTTTTTAAAAAAAAAAAAAAGAAAAGAAAAGAAAAGAAAAAAAAAAAAAAGAGAAATAAAATATCCATTAGGTGTAATGATAATTAATAAAATATATTAGTAAAAAATAAGAGTTAACTCTGAGATTAGAAATTGGCTGCCTTCATGTAATATTGCAGATATGAAATGGTGGTGGTATAATTACTACCTGTAGCTAAAATTATATACCCCAGAATACATATGGGTATTCGTGCAGAGTAAGGGAGGGTGGCAGATTCAAAAGTTCCTTGAAAGTTTCTCACCGAAATTACAAGCTGAAAACCAATGAGGTAGATGCAGCTGCAGTCGAGCCCAATCCTATTTACATGCATATCCAATTGGTGTGACTCGACGAGCCAGTGCTGTGTACCTGACAGGTACATATAGGTAGCCTAGGCAAATATGCCTATGTGCATGCTGTGTACTTTCTGCATCTAAATGCCTTATCATTTCTTCCGTTTCTATTCTTTTCACATCTTCTCCTCTTTTTGGCACCTAAAGTCGCTCGCATCGCCTAGCTTACCTACACTGTGATTTTTAGAGTCCTCATCATCAACTCACAGCTTCCTGATAACGACGAGTTGCTACTTTTGGAACTACATCGAAGAATTATTCAATTCAGAAAATTGGAGTTTGCTGACAAGTCATTCCTTTTTTTTCCCTACTTGCGAACATGTCTCTTAGCATCGATATTCGGAGCAGTCAGACGCGTACGGAGCTCGCATCAAATACCGATAGCGTCAAAACGACGGTAGATCAAAAAGAACCCTCAAATATCCAATCCGTCGACCACACAATAATCAAGGAATGGAAAAAGCGCCGAAAAGACGAGGGGCCTTCCAAAATCCGGTTGCATGATCAAGCTTACGATCTCTTCAAATACCTTAGAACGGCTTTGGAAGCTGCAGCTAGACATGAAGAGTTACCAAGGGTCATTTCAGAGATCAAAATTTTCTTAAAAGACGAAAAAAAAACACATGAAATAGATGATTGTATACGTTGGTTGGTCCTCGACAGGGCTGTGCAGCAATGTGAACTGGGCGCCGATGATTGTGGTTTCTCAGCAGTTCGGACAGAAGCTGCAAAAGAGGATATCGGTAATGAAAAAAATATCTGCATTATTATTATTCGAATCATCATTGAAGTTTCGCCGCATCTGTCGTTCATCAATCTTTACACTCCTCATACGACTTCTAAGCAGTTTCCAGTTTCGGAATGGAAACCTCTCACGAGAAATTGTCATTTTGACAAAGTTCATTCACGCAGTGAAAAGGGCAATTCTAAAAGCACTCCTCTACATATAGCTGCTGCAAATGGTAACGGCAAGGCAATAAAGCATATGATTCATGAAGGACGACATTTCCAGCCTGATATATTACTTCATATTTTGAAACTGAAAAACCCAGATTCAACATCTGAAAAGACTCCTCTGTCTCTTGCTGCTACTGCTCAAGCCGGAGATCTAGGAGGCCTGCATGCACTTTTGGGATTCAATACTGGTATAGCAGATAAGCCAGATACAACATTCACAGATGCCTTGAAAAAAGGCAGAGGAAATGTCGTAGAAGTATTCCTGCAACAACCTGAACGCAGAAAGAAATTCGCCAACACCAACAATATTCTCTCAGCAATTCAGCCTCTAGAGAATATTGACAAAATCACGAATCAAGACACGGATGAAGACGCAAATCAAGATACAAGGTCCACGGAAAGGCGTACAAAACAAGTGGATGTCATCAATACTCTGATCAAAGCCGCTGATCCGCAGAGTAGAACTAATGAGAAAGTTGTGGAGAAAATAATTCAGCTCGATCTAGAGGAAGTCTGGAGCAAGAATGAATCCATTTTCAAGTCTGACACATCTGGGCTCCTTCATCTTGCTGTCCAGCACCAAAAAATTGGATTTGTGAAGAAATTTTTGCAATACGATGATGAGTCGATCACTACTCGAAGCCATAATCACTATCCACTCTGGCATAATAACAATATTATGGAGAATTCTATGTCTATTCGTCGGGTTTTGAAAGATGAAGCAAGCAAAGTCACTCAAAGAGAAATTCGCGATCTCATAGTCGCAGCGACGATTAAGAGCAAAAGAGTAAATAAAATGCAAGACCTGCTTGAGATTTTCCAGCTGTCTGACGGTACGTAGAAACTTGGCGAGTTATTTCCCCTCATATTTATTACTTGTTAACTTGAATGTGATCTACTCTTTTAGAAACCGGTAAGAGCAACTTCCTACATCCTATAGAGGCGCTATTTCAAAATAATCTGATAGTCTAAGTCAATGAACTGTGTTTTGATCTCTCACGGTTTAATTCCAAGGCTTACAGCGTATCGGACTTTGTTCGTTCGCTCATCCGTCATCAAGACTATGCAAATCTACTGTCTTATGAAGAGACGCTTAAATATGCTGCGTTTCCGGCCCTGGATCTCCAAGTCGACAAGAGAGAGAGATTTGGCGATAACATTCAATTCGAACATAGTGAAATCTTCGACGTTCTCGATTGGCTAAAAAAGGAAAAGAAAGTTACCGATATTATCGAACTGACAGTTTTAGATAGGCTTGTGAATCCTCATGATGAGGTCAGTATAGGCATATATGTTAAAAAGTTTAATGTGGAAGTTCTCAACTGGAGAATACTGGACCTCTCTATATCGGTTTTCAAAAATTCGGAACCCAGTGAAAATAATGCACTGCAACAAATCAGAGAACTTCATCTTTATACCAGCGGCAAACGAGCAGTAATCAGTCATTGGTTAAGCGAAGATGGGATTTGCTCACTTACGAATGTAGGTTGTGTAACATGTCAACTTTCTTTACTGCAGTATTATATCCTTTTGATGTTGACAAAAAGCATGATTAGCTTACAACGCTTGAAATATATGTTATACAGGTTTGTGTCGTATGACCAGCCTACTACACGCAATGCGCTGATTGAAATGCGAAGGAATTGGCGACTCGAGATAGATGCCGCGCCATCGTCGCTTTTATCGAAAGCGAATTTAGCAGACTGAGCGAAGAAATAAACGAGAAACGAGAAAAACTGCGCTTGGAGAATACTCAGAACACTTCGAATTCCCAGGACACTCAAGATGCCGATGACATTTGGAAGCTCACAGTCGGTGTCAGTATCCGGCCGTGGAATCCAACAGAGGAAAGAGAAGCCGATTTGGGAGAGATGTAAGTGCTCCTCCCTGTTACCCAGATCGCGCAGCCAATCATTTATTTCATTCGCTGAATATTACTAGAGCTGAACGTGCTGTGCCGAAGCTATCTCGTTTTATCAAAGGTTACCGAACCTATGTGCGTGATATTACTAAAGAAGACCAAACCCATGCGCGCGACATTACTAAAGAAGACCAAACCCATGCGCCTGATATTAATAAAGAAGGCTCTGCAAAATTCCGCCCAATCCGAGTTGCTGTGATCGATAATGGGATTTTAAGCATTTCTCCATCAGTTGAAGCCCCTTCAGTTGCCTCAAAGGCTATTAATGTTTCTGAATACTCATCTGCTCTTAATGTTTCGGATTCTTCTTATAAAAAGAACACTACTTCAAATGGATACCGGATTGAGAAAGACGGCGAATACAAGACTTTGTGGTCACGCATCAAGAAAGGCCGATCTTTCGTGGATGACGAATCTCGCGTTAGTTCTTGGCTGTTTGCGTCTGACCCACATGGCACCCAGATGGCAAATCTAATATGTGCCATTGATCCTTGTTGTGATCTTTACGTGGCCAAGGTCGCTGAAGGGAGATCTGGAATCATCCCAGCGCGAGTTGAACGAGTGAGTTATGCCTTAGTAGATGGAATTTTTTTCCAGCTCAATCTTTGCTAATTTTTTAATTGCTTCATGTCCCTTAAGGCTGTTAGGTGGGCAATAAGCCAAGATGTCGATATCATTTCCATGAGTTTTGCCATTTTAGAGGGAACAATTGGTTTATCCAATGCTTGCGCCGACGCCATAAACAAAGGTATTATTATACTCTGTAGCACCCCTGACGAAGGCTTAAACACCGAGAAGAGCTGTATATCAGGCTACAGTGATACGATAACCATCACAGCTTGTGATGAATTTGGGATAGTGAGTCCAAATGCGCCGTCATACTTTCAGTATGCAATTCGAGGTATCGACGTGGCTGCGGGCACGGTCCCTTTTCTTGAGTCAAAGGATTACATATCAGGAAGCTCAGTTTCCACAGCTATCGCCGCGGGATTGAGCTCACTAATTTTAGCCTGTGATCGACTGGCTAAGGAACGCAAAAATTATGAACGAGGTGACAGAGCTAGAATTGTTAAACATCATTTTGGGAAAATGGTTGCATCAAACAAGAAATACATCATGTTGGAAAGGTTTGCAGAGATTGACAAGAAGATAAAGGATGGCAGATATATCAACGCCAAAGACATCATAGAAGGATTTTTTTTGGGAGAGAAGTATGCGGAATAAGTAAGAGCGCGATTTTTAAATAATTTTATGTGTTAGGTATCTCCAAACTCAAACTTCCATGTTAGTATAATTTTCCCTGTGAATACTCGCCATCTGTTTCCAAGAGAAATAGGGACTGCATCTCTTCATTCCTAAACTTACATGGCATATACCGCATTAGTATTCGGGAGAGTAGGGCCTTGTTTCGATGAACCGCGTCCACCCGCCCATCACTTCCATAAGGCTGCATCAAATGCTGCCAAATCCACCAATCGTACTCACTCCCAAGGCGTTACTGTTCGCCAAGTTTGATATTAAGCATATCAAATACGTTGGCATCCCATCTTGTAATTACAAATAGGTATATCCACAAGCACGAGCACAAGACGAACCATCAAGGTCGATCGCCCGCGTTCCATGCAAGACATATCAACGGCCACTTACACGCGCATGACTTGTGTGTGTAGCTCTCCACGTGGGCACGACTCAGAAGCGCAGTCCAGCCTTTTGAGACCGAAATCAAATACGCACGCAGCTCCATTATAAACCCATAAAAAATAGTAGTTTTTCTCTTTCTTCTAGGTATTTTCCCCTTCTTTGTCATCAGTGCCGGCGTTTATAGCCTTCGCCTTCGTTATCATTTATGTGAGTCGGGCGAATCCACGCCGATTACTTAAGCAGTGTCGGCGCGATGGCGAGCGTCGCGCCGACAGTCAAGCGCCGACGCACCGACGCCCCGTGATTTTGGCTGCTGCAATCAGCCCTGTTGACTGTTGAAACGGTCGATTTAGACGCCGCGATAAGAGCGGCCGCGCTGGTCGCCGTGCTGGACAATTACGTTGACGATTTTTTTTTTTTTTTTTTTTTTTTTTTTTGATTCATCCATGATGTTTGTTGTGCGTGTTGAAGTAGTGATAATCTAGAACACAGCACTGGGGTAATTAAAGAAGAGAAGATGGAGATGATGGCATTAGCTGAGTCTGAACCAGCTGCAGTAGAGACAGACAAGCAACCAACCAACAATACAATGCCCGTAACACACAATACAACCAGCAGCACAATAACCAACACTGAGACCCGGGTATCCACCTCATGGAATTAACCTACACGGCCAAGACTTCGGCTACCCCCTTTCGCCCCAATTTTCCCGCTCTTAAACGTTAAATCAAGCACCTCACCGTGGGTGTCCCACTTCCCACCACCAAAAACGCACACTGCAAAGCCTTACACGTACAATTCTGTCCTAGCCCCAACCCCGGACGGATCTTGCCACAAGTGCGAGCACCGACGCTGCGGCCTTGCAACGTGCCCAAGTCGCCGTATACAGGGGGGCCGCTGTTTACGGGCTTTTGCATCGAAGACGGCCCTTCCTGCTTACAGATCCTGCAAGGCCCTAGTACTATTAGCTTCTCAGTCTAGCAGATAGCAGATGCAAGCAAATGATCCATTGTCGGTGGTTCGATGCTGTTTAGGCGCGAGGCCAAACGGGGGGGGAGGGAGGAGAGCATAGTAGTAGTAGCACAAGGCAAAAGGGAGAAAGCTGAGCTGAGCTGAGCTACGGCGATAGGACAAAAACGAAAAAATCCGTGGGCTCCAGGGCGTGAATCCTTCTTAGGCTCATGTACAATGACGGAATGTTGCTTTGATTCTTCATTTTCTTTTATTATATAGTGGCCACGCTTCTTTCTTGTCCCACCACATTCGCCTCGTCACACTCGCTTTTCTCTACATGACGAACGACATCATACAGCATTCCGTTTCCATTCTCGTGATCACTACTACTATCATCGACTAACGAGCACTATAGCTCTATATATATATATTTCAGTATATATATATATTGAACTGTGCCGCACTCTCACGAACTCGATCATCTTGGTGGTGTGGCTTAAAAGGGCAACGACTTATACGCATCATCAGCCCACTTCACTTGCACAGAAGTGCCCTCCAACACCACAACAATAATCAACGAAAAGAATTAATAAAATCAGGGGGAACATCTCTCCAAATCCCAGTTGATTCAGAAAACTATCAAAAAACCATGGCATCCAGCGGTCAAGCCGGCGGCGCCATGCAGATGCATGTACGTCCAACACCAAAAACACCAAAAACACCACAACACCAACATCATCATCATCATGACAACTAACATCAATGCTAATCTTCACCACCAGGGCCCCCCCTACCCCCCCAAATACGCCGGCCTCGGCGGCTCCCCAACCCGCTCCGTCGACATCCCCATCTCCGCCGTCATCCTCGCCCTCTTCATCTGCTCCGCCGTCCTCAACATGACAATCTTCCAGCGCAACCGGCGCCGCGGCCACAAGTTCGTCCTCTCCGGCCTCTTCTTCGGCTTCTCCATGGCCCGCATCTCCGCAAACGTCATGCGCATCGTCTGGGCCTGCTACCCGATGAACGCCCGCATCGCCATCGCCGCCCAGATCCTCGCCAACGCCGGCGTCATCATCATCTTCATCGCCAACCTGATCCTCGTCCAGCGCGTGCTGCGCGCATATCACCCTCGTCTCGGCTGGAGCATGCCCGCCAGGATCGTCTTCCGCTCGCTCTTCGCCTCCGTCATCGGGTGTTTGTTCATGCTCATCATCTGCATCGTCTACAGCGTCTACACGACCAAGCAGTCCGTCATCGACCAGACGCACATTGCCCAAACCGTTGCCGTCACGTATTTCGCCTTTCTGGCCTTCTTACCGGTGCTCGTCATCGGACTCTGCTTCGTCATCCCTCGCCGCCAGCGGATCGAGAAGTTCGGCACTGGAAGCATGCGATATAAGCTCTTCCTCATAATCTTCACGTCTTGCCTGCTCACTCTCGGTGCCGCCTTCCGAGCAGGTGTGATATACTATCGTGTTCCCGCCACCCAGTCACGGTGGTTCTACCACAAGGCCTGCTTCTACTGCTTCAACTATACCATCGAGCTCATCGTCGTCTTCACCTACGCCCTGTCTCGATTCGACAAGCGTTTCCACGTTCCCAACGGAAGCAGTGCTCCCGGTCACTATGCCAACGGTGTTCCAGGCTCAGACGGAGCCGTTTTCGACGAAGAGCTGCCTGGCAGCGCTTCTGAGCAGACAATGTCGGATGCCACCTGGGATATGCAGTTCCAAAACAAGACTGCGCCCAAAGCATCTGCTTAGAGGTGAATGGGAGGGGCAAAAAGAGTGACAAGGAGAGAGAAGAAACCCAACCGGGGAAAACTTAATAGTAATTACGGCATAAAAGCGCCTCAGGGTTTGCATTTATATGTGTTTGGTGTTCTTAGCACACTCAGGCAGGACATCAAAACGGCGTTGGCGGCATAGACTGGATAGACAGCGGTAGCCTGTTATACGGGACTTGAAATGCCTGAAAGGAACAATCTCCCAATATTTAGATTAGGACTGCCCGAGGAAATCTTTCCTCTAAATGTAAATGTATATATTTGCATAAATGCATGGAATCAGCACATAATAGCATCATGGATTTTGTGCCCTGTTTTGCTAGTTAGCATCAAAGTTGAGGCTAAATCACTGTATAGACATCAGAGTGGTTGTGCCACGAAGAATCTGTAGGTAGCACCACCCAACCTCAAGGTGAAGCAGTCAAGTATATCATTTTGTTCACCAAGGAGGGTAAACAGTCTGTCAGTCAATCATCAGTCTCTGTCAGTGAATTCTTGAATATCTATAGCGTAGCAACACTCGGGTAACTCCTTGTTCATACTGAGACTTAATATGGCTGGATGGCGCGGGCCTGAATACCAGCAATGGGATTAATCGTACATTATTTTTTTTTAAGATGCCCAGCTTCTAGGGCTCTAGCAGCTATAAACCCTTTCGCAATAAGCCCTTTACAGCAATAACTTGTTTGAATGCAGAACATCAGTGCTAGATTAGAGGAAGTAATCGGGTGTTCCTGTGAGAAAAGAGTCAGATGGCACGATCCAGATGCTTGGTGAGGAAGTGGACAACATACGTCTCGAGACCATTGGTTCTCCCGCTCTCGGGCACGGATCAAATTGCAAGCTGTTGCTGTTAGCATATCTGTGGCCTAGATAAAATGCCTCTTGACGTGGGGTAGGTGGTGGCCACGGCGGGGAATCAGGACTTACAAGGTATATTTCAGATGCTCATCAATTTCCATTATAGCAGCCTGGTTACCGCATCGGTAGCAGTAATTTGGCGCTGCGAGGTAGTAGCAAGGTTAGTCAAAATTCCAGCATCGGTGGCAAGAACAGGATAGTCAGACGATAGGCAGAGAGGATCGGTAGGCGAGCTGATAGCTCGAGAAAGCTGCAGCGTGCCATTGGAAAAGAAAGGCCGAGAAAAGGACATAAAAAATGAAACTAACCTGAAAAGATTGTCACCACGTTTCGATCCTGAGACCAGTTGTATCCCTCCATCACAAGCTGATGCGCTCGTGCCACCAGCGTCAAGCCGTTGTTGTGGTTGAATGCCTCTGAAATGTCCTGGCCAAAAGTGTACCCCGCACCGCGGGGAGAGATTCCCCAACCGCAGCGGTCGTCTGGGTCGGACCATAGGAGATCGCACATGGGACCTTCGTGGGGAACTTCTTGCACACGATCAAGGGCCCTGATGTTATCTAGTGTGTCGATGCTGGGGGAGAGGCCGCCGTGGAGGCAGAAAATCTGGTTCTCAATCAGGGCAGTCAGGGGGAGGTAGTCGAAGAAGTCGGTGAATATCTTCCACACGTTGGCGTTGCCGTATTTGCGAAGGCATTCGTCATAGAAGCCGTAGACTTGTGTGATCTGGCGCGACTCGTGGTTGCCTCGGAGGATGGTAATGCGCTGGGGGTATCGGATTTTGAGGGCAACGAGAAGGGAGACGGTCTCGACCGAGTAGTATCCTCTGTCGACGTAGTCGCCTGCGGAATTCAAACTTCATGGTCAGCGGCGAGATACCCCTCATTTTACGGATCGTATTGCGTATATCGCACCCATGAAAAGATAGTTGGTGTCGGGACTCGGGCCGCCAATCTTGAACAGCTCCATTAAATCGTGAAATTGACCGTGGATATCGCCACAGACAGTGACGGGGCATTTCTGCACGCAGCGATTGGATTAGCCCCAGAATTGTATTTTAACTCATCGCCGCGGATGGCCATCGCCTAGGGTCAACCTACTACTGGCTGCACGTTTGATTCGTCCTGAACAACTTCTCGACCCTAAATGACGGCCAAAAGTCAGTATCAAGTTCAACGACGCTCCAAACCGTGTGACGGGGCGAGTCGAAGGCGACAGGATGGATTTGCGGCCCAGCCAACACCTCCTCCGCTCGCGTCGTCCATCAGCAGCATCAAATGCTCACCATGTCGCACAGCCTCTGGACGTCGGCCTCGGACAGCTGCTTGCAGTTCATCAGGTTCTCAATCCACTGCTCCAGCGTGGATCTCGTTGCGGGTTCTGTCTGCACCGGCGACACATCCGCAGGCACTCGCCCGACATCCTCCATATTGGTGTCCATTCTGGCGATGCTGTGCAGTCTGTTCGTCCGCTAGAGCTGTGCGTGCGCCCGTGTACGGCCTGGGTCGAGCGGCGATGGTTGAAGCAAAGAACGGGTTGGAAAAGGACGGTTCGAATGCGATGGATGGGAGGGGAGAGAGAAGGCTGAGATGGGTTTGAATGACGTTGCGGTCACGCTTCGGGCAGCTTGCAGACTTTGGGTTCGCGAGCCACCAGCAGCTTGTGGCGGTAGCAAATAGCCGTGTGGCAGTGGCAGCGGGCAGGGAGAAAGGGCCAGGGATGGGGGGAGAGGGGAAAGGGGGGGGGACCGCCCAGTAACATTCAGCAGCAAGCTCAGCTACGATACGCGCCTAATCCCTAATCCGTGGCGCAAGCCGCAATCTCTCAGCGCCACGCCAACCGCCACAGGCGGCTGCCAGCTGCGCACGAGCCACTTTGATTTCTTGCCTTGTTGCCTGAATAGGTAGCTAGTCATCGTGATCGTATCCTTGGCTGATAGGCGATTAGTCATCATGCATTTGCAATGATGGGATGGAATGGCAAACAAGGATAAAGGAGCAGAGGAGAAGTGAATAACTTAGATAATATTGGAGGGGTGGGAAAACTCATCAGCTTAAAGGAGAGAGAGAGACAGACAGACAGAGAGAGAGAGAGCAGAGAAAAAGACAACTAAAGTGCTCCATATACCTATACTGGTTGACACGATGTGGCTTCCGGCTGCGCAAACAGAGATGGACAGAGCAGGGGAACTAAGTAATACTTCATGATTGTTCAGGAAATAGCTATAGTCAGGAATGCCCATCTAGTCAGCAACGGCTATAAAAGAGCATTTGAGTGCTACTTCCTGCAGATTCATGCTCGGCTGCAATCCCTTGGTTATGTATATTACACCAATCCCAAGCTTCAATGTCTGCAAATTCTAGCCTAGTAATATAGATAGTAGTATTATGGAGTAGCTATGACAGCACTCCAAGATCTGTTTTTAGTTTTCACGTGCTATCGGATATCTCAGTGGCCTCGGCGTTTTATAGCTGATGTGGTCGATCACTGTTACTGAGAAGTATCCTCCTATATGGTAGATTACATGTACCTATTTGTATCAATGCTACAGTTCGAGAGTGTGTACCCTACGCTCGGCCCCTATCATACGTCCACACGCCAGGGGGGTTTATAGCCGCTCGTATGATGACGATTTTCTCGTTTAGAGTTACTAGCACAATGTCGGTCACCATATTCCATATTCCAGGGCTTGTGGCACATTTCACACTGCTGGTAATCCTGTGATACTAGATTTCCTAGTGGCAGGTACATGTATTAGATCGTATTGAATTTTGCCAGAATTTCTTAGTCGAGAAGGATTTTAGCTGGATACTGGAACACGACTTGTGCAAACAGGATTGCATCGCCAATTGTTTGATAGAACTGAAACGCACCCTTACAGACACATAACCGTGTAATAGCGTACCACAGCAAATCTGGTTACAACGAGAGTATGATGGCTGCATCGCAGCCCAAGTTCAGTATTGTCATAGCTTACTCTTTTATTCTTGCTTTCTCAAGCTTTACATACTAATGATTCAGATTTATAGTTACCATAATCGTAATGTATGCTCTTTAAGGGAATAGCAGTAAAGTTGTAGCCTAAACTTGTAAGATCATAGGCTTAAATATTTAATTCCACTCTCATTTTTTTCTTTTTTTTTTTCACCAGATTTCAGCGATGTTTATATAGCCGTCTATATAACCAGCATGGAAATAACACAGTAGCCTATCCTTTTTTTTCCCAAATGAGACCGTTGTGTTAAACTATTGTTCCTTTACTTGTAAGGCGGCCAGCTTGGTAAAACAGTTCCAGTCTAAAGTCACCTTACCCATTCCGTTTCCACCACCTCAGCTGCCCAAAAGAGACTACCTACTACATGCCGGTATATTCTCTTTCCTTTAGTGCCTCGCTGCACATGATCGCCTTTTATCTCCTTTAAAGAAAAAAGGGAAAAGAGAAAAGAAAAAAAAAACGTTATTTAGGTTATACAGCGCTAGCCACCTGCAAGACGCCGCTACGAACAGCCTCACCTTATCCGCTCGGTTTCTAGTGGTGTTCTAGAATATTTCCACAGTAGGTAACTTTTAGATATATGGGTTTCTCGTAGGATTGCCGCTACATATCAAGTATCTGAAGAAAAGACAAACAGCACGTCACTGTTCAAAGCATCCTTAATTTGAACAATATTTTCATATTCGATTCTTTACGTAAATGCCAACTAGTCATATCTCATACCCGTTAGTCCGGCGCTATGCTATCTCGCTGGCCCATGTCATTCCAAATATCGTAATCCCATAATATTCATAATCCAAAATCGTTAAAAAGGAAGCCAGGTCAGTTGCCTGCGCAGCTATATCTACTTTACACAAGGAGAATCGCAAGAAAGCAAAATATCAAGGACATTCGAATGAAAAAAAAAAAAGAGAGGCAATGATGGGAAGATGCAAAAATGAGAAAAGTAAAAAAGTAAAGCAATAAAGACAAAAAGAGCAGGCTTTCGCTGTATGCCAATGAAATCTGTGATATATATATATATGTCTGGGTGTTCATGTCTGCGCATCTGTCGTAATCATAAGCGGCGTTCCCGCTTCGGGTCGTGTCATTAACTGAAACTCATCATCGATGAGCCCTTTCTCCTGCAATAACTCTCCATCAAGCTCCAGGTGGGCTGCTCCAATCCCCGTTAGTGACACGGGAATTGTTCCGTGTCTTGGATACGTAAATCCGCTGGTTGGTTCAGTTTGGCCCAGTGTCTCCTCGCTTGGCGGGATCCAGCGTTCAGTCGTGCCGCCTCCGTTCAGAAGCTGTCCGGCCCTCTGCGCACCACTGGTGTTGTAGCTTTGCCTAGGATCAGGCGATTTGAAGCCTGGTGAACGCGAGGCAATATAGTCAGGCTCCGACTCGGTTTCTGGCGTCGTGACCCGAAGTGCTGCCCCATCACCCACCCTGGAGCTCGCGGTTGCGTCTGTAGAATTGGGTGTATCGGCTGTGCCCGTCTGCCGGCGGGTTGCGTGAGACGAAGGTGACCTAGGTGAGCGTGAGGCTTTTCTGAGCCGCTTAACTTTGATATTGGCTGTGTTTTTCGAAAGCTTAAGTCTTGGACTTAGCCGAGGCGCTTCAATATCGATATCCGGGATAATGGTCGCTTCCTGAGCTTCAAATTCTATATCAACAGCAGAGTCTTGCCTGTCGGCATCTTCTTCTCCGATAATTTTTCTCTCAAGCATCTCCTCCTGAGATTCAATGCCCCTTGGCTGAGCTACTGCACCGATAGGTGACTCGGTTACAATAACAGCGGGGATTGTATGTGTAACCGCAATCTCTTCATCCGCGTCTCTTGGTTCCAGCGTAGTGTCTGCGTCTGCGTCTTCAAACACATCATTAGCGGCTGACCCTCCCCAGCTAGATTCGGGCGCCATAGGAACGGATAGTCCAAGCTCGGCCTTTTCAGCCGGATCATCAGCAGCTGTAAAGTACTCTGTGCTTGCATAGGCACTGAGCTGGGTCAGGGGCCGTGAACGTCGATCGCTAATGTTGAGGAATCTCTCTGCCGAAGGCGTCGGAGTTGGCTGCCGCCGTACGTCGTATTCACTGTCCGGCATCACATAACTATCTCCGCTGTCGCTGTAAGAGGGAGCTATGTTCCTGTTTGCAGCCCAGGCAGATTTGTATGCCACCTCACCGCCACCCATATCGCTGGGCAGTGGGCTTGGTGGTGATCTGCCCCGACTCGTGTAGTACTGGTCATAAGGAAGAGGCCCGCTATGCAGATATGTCGAGCTTGGGTACGCCAGTTCCTCATCAAGGTCCGCTGTCCTGATTGCAGAGTGAGATTCGACATCGTAGCCATCCGAAAGGTACTCGTTAGTCACGGCGCCAGTATCCACGCGCACAGGATCGTGATCCGAGCGCAGTGCATCACTATGTACATCGTCCGAGACAGCTCGCGGAAACATTCGCAGCAGCGACGATGCTTGCAACCTCATCCGTGGATCATTGCTGAGGCAAATTTCTGTCATTTGTCGATACCAATCTGGCACATTAATCTCTGGCCCAAGGATGAGCGGCCGGCCCTGAGTCTCAGGCTCATCCTCAAGCATTGCAAGCCCCCAGAGCACCATGCCGAGCTGATATAGATCCGACTTGACACCAATGTACATTGATAATCGCTGATTAGACTCGATCAGAGCCGTCGCCTCTGGAGGCTCCCATCCCACGGGGCAGCCTCGTCGATTGATGTCGATGATCTTGGCATCGCCAGCATCGTCGATGACGATATTAGAGAGAGTAAAATCTCCCTGGACAAATCCTGATTCGTGAACATCAGCCAGCCCCTGGACGATTTGTCTTGCCCACTTCTCCCTTGTATTCCAGGGGAGACCAATGTTGTTTTCCTTGCAGTTCTCAAAGATGATGTCGATCAAGGCGCCCTGGCCAGCAAAGCTGATGAGGAGACCCTTAACCTGCTCATCATCATCATCGACAACCACGCCGTAAAAGTCAATGACGTGTTTTGAAAAGCGCAGGCCGCTCAACGCATTAACCTCGTAGAGGAATTCCTCCACAGTGTCGGGGCTTGGAATCTCTTTCTTAATTAGCATTTTACCCATCACGCTGACTTTGTAAACAAAGCCAGACATGTGGGAATCGAAGAGGATGTCTCGCTCCTTGACTCTTCTACACCCTAGGTGCCGAATCTGGCTGACGGTTGGATAGTGAATGATTTCCTTGAGGGTTAAAGTGTTATTAGTCCGCTAACGAAAAGGGTGTCGTGTCCCCGTAAATGTGACATGGGGCAGTCACTTACATTACCATCCTCGACTACATGAACATGCAGCCTTCCGTCTGTAGTCTCGAGCTTCAAGTTGGTCACTGTGTCGTAAAACTGGATATCCTGTAGGCTGTCGCGGATAGCCTCATATATCTTTGTGCTCTTATCCCTTTGATATTTGGTGCGGCTAAGATCCCACTCTAGAGAATTTTCTGGCGCATCGCGATAATCAAGTGAGATGGTGACGCGCCGCCATATGTGTTCTTCCTCACGGTATGTCACAAAGAACTTTTCTCTTTTTGAACGGTCTCTAAAGTGCATACTCAAATTGAGAATCCACTCCCGCTCTAACTTATCAAGAATCATTGCTTCGTACTGTGACGTGGTCATGGAGCAAGTATCAGCGACAGACGCCGCGTCTTGCGTGGCGTACTCGTCATCGGCATCGTCAGCTTCATTGCCATCTATATCTGAATCATCCGAATCGGTGTGCGGAATGTCGGACGACGCATCCGCCGCCTCGAACTCAGCGAGATCGACGGGAAGTGACTGTGCATAGTTGGAAGTAGTTTCGTGGAGAGGCTCGCCAAAGAAGCTCGGCGCACTGGAGTGGGGGTCGATATGAGTTCTTGAGACTCGCCCGCTGGGTTTGCGTGGATAGTGAGACCGTCTGTCGACCGAAGCCGCCCTTCGCTCCTCTGCTGAAGGCTCTACAGGAGCCAAGTGCTTTCTATCTTCTGACAGCTGGCGCTTGAATGTCTGAGCTCGAGGCAAACCAGGCACTACTCTTTTCGACATGCGCTTGATCAGACCTGGGCTGGGGACGGGTTCGGGAGCAAGTCGCTGATCGGCGGAAACAGACGAAGCCGAGGACTTTGTGCTTCTTGTGCTTGCTGAGCGGGCCAAGAGCTTGCGCAAAAAGCCCTGCTTGACGGGAAGCGGCGACTGCGGTTGCGACTGAGGCTGCAGAAGCGACGGCGACGTACATGGACGGCCATCTGGTAGAGACATGCTGACCAACAGGCTGGATTTATATATTCAAGGTACTTGTCGATATGCGGTGTGCGGCTGCGAACGTCAAGTACCCACCATATGAGCAGGCAGTATCCAGCAAATAATGCGCAATAGTATGTAGCAGATGGTCAGATTTTGTCGCTCTTTTAATGTATATATATTTTTAACCAGTGAGACGTCAGAAAAAATGGCTTTATTATCGAGCGATGACAGCCAGTCGTGAGGCTGAAGCAGGGACAAGGAGGGGTGCTTGAGCTTTTATGGAAGCTAAGCAGGCGGGCCGTTCTATATATGCCGATTCACCCAACGACCAGCTTCGCCCAGATCAGCAGGGCAGCGAGCTCCTAGAGAAAAAGCCCGTAAGTGCTTGAATGGATCACGGGGAGCTGCCAGGGTTTTTTGACTGCGTATGAGTCAAGAACAAGAGCGGATTGTCTGTGATCGACGCGGAGGACGCACGCAGGGAGGCGTGAAGGCGGCCGGTGAATGGATGGCGAAGCAGGCAGAACAAGAGATGAGACCCAGGCCTTGTTAGTGGCTGACCAGCCTGGTTGTCCAGTAATACTGACGGCTTGGCGGAAGACGCGAGGTGAGGGCAGGTGAGGCGAGGCCAGAACGAGGGGCAAGGCGGGACGGATGGATGGTTGGATGGAGTTTTTTTTGCTGTGTAAAAGAGCCGCTTCGAGCGGCGAGGCAAATTGTGGGCGACGAGGCACAAATAAAAGCTCAGCTCCCCCACGATGGAGAAGGGGGAAAATGGGTAGCAAGATGGGAAAAAAAGGAGGCAAAGCTCGCGGCAAGGGGAGGTAGAAGAAGGTGGAGCGGCCTGAGAGACACGGAGGAGGTTGGCGAGAGAGACGAAAAGAGTCGATGCCGGGTTGATCTAGAGATGAATAACGAGAGAGGCATGGACGAGATATCTGGAGTACGCAGTACCAGCAGGTACATCCAGCATGGCGCATCAATTAGCAGATTGAACCCTGGAAAATGGGACGCGGGCTATTTCTGGGGTCGTGACCAGCCTTGTGCTGCCACCACATCTTGGGTACCCGTCGTTCCCAGCAGGAGGAGCAGCGTACCCAGTCGTACCTGGTACCCAGGCTCTTGGCTCCAGTGGCTCCCGGTCTGATCCAAAAGGCCTACCTGGTGCTCGAATCCCAGCAGCACCTGGCAGACAGTCGCCTCTGCCTGTATCTGTATCTGTATCTGTATCTGTATCTGTATTTGTATCTGTATCTGTATCTATACCTGTACCACCTCTATGCTTTCTTGATTCCAAGCATGTCCAGTTAGTTCAGTTACGCAGCCTCGAGGGCCTAGGCCTGATCGATACATCACACTTTGTAAGCCCAAGGCAGCGGAATATAGTCTACCTACCTAGTAGATTGACTCGATGGAATGGCGCCGCAGCTCGTTAGCGGCTAGGCTTGTCGTGCCCGAAAGCCCGCCATAGTCGCCTGCCGCTAGCGGGTGCGGTTGCGGTTGCTGCTCCATGGCACGACAGGCTAGCCCTGCCTAGCGTCGTAGGGGGGCCTAGCTGCTGCTTAGCGCTGTCAACTCTGGAGCCGGGCTGCGGGTTGGGCGCCGCTGGACCCCTCCTTTTTCCCAGCATCGCCCGCTGGCAGAATCAGGGTGCGCTGGAGCTCTCAGTGGACCTCGGGCTGCCAATCGTCCCCAAAATGGGCGGCCACAGCACTGGATGGCACCCTCCCGGTGCTCCAAACGGGCAATCGGTGGCATGACGCGCCAACAGCAGCCACTGTCACAGCGGGGCCTGCACCTGTGATGGGCTGTTTTCGCGTTCCTCGCATGTGGCGTCTGCCGCCTCAAGTCTTTTGGGGCATTCATGGCCATCCATTCATGCCGTGCTGCGATACTGGCTCTGCTCAACCGCAGTCGCTAAACTCAACTCACTGTCTCACTGTCTCTCTCTTCCCCTTCCAATCCCGCCAGCAATCTGCACCCAACCCGCGGATCTCACATCTTTTGGACCACACCAAGCCAGACCTGCGTCGGCCTGCTTTTGTCGGTCACAGCTCTCCATCCATTCGCCTGTCCAGGGCCAGGGCCGCAGTCAATCTGGACCATAAACAAAGCGTTGCCCCATCGACCGCGCAGCTCATCTGCTCGCCTTCGTGACCGCCAATTCGACGACGCCTGGCCAGCTCCGCCCGCTTACCCTTTTGGTTGGGACCCTACTGGCGGAGCGAAGAGCCGTGATGGGAAGCGACCGAAGCTGCTGTGATTGCCATGGCAACGGCGCCTCGCCGGTGGTAGGTCTCATACCGAGCACCTGTGCCATACCACCACACGAGTCGAGCAATCGCTAGCAGCCGGGCATGCGATCAATAATACCAGGTCGTTCCATCATGGGCTCCTTGTTTGCCTGCCAGGCTGCCTGTGGTGCTGGCGTCGTCGCACCGACAGCTTGGACGTTGGGTCAGCCACGAACCGGGTGGTGGTTATTGGGCAGCGAACTAGCACTCAGAGAACCCGACGAGAATACGAGTCTAGCAGCGTTATCGTACTAGGTTCGCAGTCGTTGTACAAGCAAGTAATGCTAGTGATGGTACTCCATACAGTAGGTAGTAGTTCTGACACGGGCTCCAGTCCAGACTCGTCCCAGGGTCTTTGCCAGCAAGCTAGATCGGACTATGCCGCATCGTACATGGACGCTTAATCAATCGCTTCGGTACTCGGACGGCCAATCTGCCAGGGCAGCTGGTACATACTGGTACCTGTGCTGCCATTCAGCAGTGCCATCATTATTACCTTCAGGCCGTGGCTATTTGGCATCTTACTGACCGAGTCACATATCACTGTTTTGGGAGCCATTGACCTAGCAACTATCTGCGCCACTTGTCGCCTGGCCTGGGCTCGGCATTTCCGGAAACCTCGATGAAGTAATTTCAAGGCAGCTCGACTTGGGCTTCGGGCAATCACAAGGTTGGGCCAGATTTCAATTCAGGTATCCATCATAATAGGTAGTAGTCGCTACCACAAAGCTGGCACGATGAGTCTGTTCGCGAATCTAGTGCGTTGATAGCCAGAGCCCAACTGGCCAGGCAGACAGCGACATCACCAACACGATACTCCTGAATGCCATACCTTATTGATCTACTACTCCGTGCTTGCTATTACGACTACAGATGGCTACTGTAGGACAAAGGACGAAAAGTCCACGATTGCCCCAACGGCAAAATTGCAAATTGCTGCCCCTATCTCTCATCCCTACTGGTCTTACACGGAATGCATCCGCAGACTCATATGTCAGCCCCCAAGCCCGGGCCCCCGTTCCGAGATGATCTAGCCTGCGTACGCACGTCATGCTGGCAGCAGCTCTTTGTTGACGCCTGGGTCATATTACGGAGAACTCGTGGGAGACCGGTTACCCAGTACGATGAGCCATTTCAGCACCGTTCCTTGATTTTCTTGTTTTCCAGTGGCCGCAAATCGCATCGTCGCATTCCCTACTGGCCATGCTTGCTTGTGCGCGCAGATAAAGGCGCATGCTCTGGGCTTCCAATCGCACTAGTGTGGGGTCAGGCATGGCTGCATTGCTAGCCGGGCCAACTAGACAGCAGATGAGGCTGCAATCGCCAGGACGAGACGGGCCTTAGATGCGCTCATCATGATGCCGCCAGTAATACAAGCAGCGCTCGCAACAATCTCCTCCCGAGTGTGTCCTCCCGCATGCAGCCTGCGATATGCACATGCCCCTTCCATTTGCTCGCCTTTCTCGCATCAACGTAGTCGCCCTGTGTGGTGTGTGGTGTTGTGAGCAAGTCTGGCCACAGTATGGTCTGGTAGCTTGGGCACAACCGCGGGGTTGTTGGGCCGAGCATCAGATCAGCAACAGTCGAGGGCCTATCACGCCCGAGAGTGATGCATCACTTTACGCACGTTCCCCTTGCATGCTCAAACGTCCTTCTCCTGCGAAGACTCTAACCGTAAAGAAGACCGAGCAGTTCAAGCCGTGATACTACGGCTATCGCTATCAGACACCTACTGTTAGAGATGAACTGCTTGCCATCAATCAGTGGTCACGAGAGTGTCTGAAGCTGGACTTGATAGGCCCGTTTCCGTCCTACTGTAAAACGTTCGGAACGCTCAAGTTCTAGCTAGGCCCGTCCCGCAGCACCGTCCCGCACGCCAGATCGGAGCGTCAACCCCACGCGCCGTTTCAGATGGCACAGCATAAAGATGGCCGCCTACAACGGCCTAAGTCGGATCCTGTGTAGCGTTGCCCGCGAACCTTAAGGCATATGCAAAGACAAAGACAGGGTTTTGCCCAAGTTAGAGTTGTGCAACTAGGTTACAGCCTCTTTTCCTTAGACAATATGCAGTGCAGGAGGCTCACTAAAAGAAGTAATCTTCTTTTCCGCCACGCTGTGAACGACCAACAAACTGTTCTTTCTCTAGACTTTGTAATCTGAATTAGGCATTTTGTGCAATAGTCCACGGTGATGTCAGCTTACTGCCACGGCCCTGGCGGAGCAACAAAACAAAAAAGGATCCAACTCTCCTCCACTACGTCACGTCATATCACATGGGATTTACCTACAACCAGGACAAACTCGGGTTTTCGAACCAGATAAAGATCTGTTTGTTCATTGTGCTATGCGTAATAGGTATATACCTTTCCCTGCTCTATGAATTGGAGATTTGCTGCTTCTAAGCGCCCGAGTATTCTACATTTCCCCCGCCTGCCTACCTGCCGACTGAGTTTTGATCTAATATACATACATTTGACATCTCCCACTTTCTTTTCTTTCTTGTTTTCTCCCCGTCCTCCCTGAGTAAAAGAAACAAACAAGATTTAACAAAAAAGAATATAAAAAATCATGGCCAATTAATTTTTGTGTCCCAATCTGTCCGCCAAATCATTTCTTCAGTCCAAGCTCTGCCCGAACATTGGAGAAAGAGAAGTTAGAGAAATAAACGCCGGGCATATGCTCCTCCTCCCGTGTCATCTTATGACGATGTGTGCTGTTTATAATTCGGAGAATAGGGGGTGATAAAAATACCCAGAGAGGAGAAACAGTTTTTTTTTTTCTTTCAATGCTGTTCTCCCTGCGAAGTGAGATTCTTTCCCCTTCCCCTATCTCGCATTTGCCGTATGCTTTCCAAGATGTGTTATCCCAACTTGTTGCATGTGAGGCGTTTAATCATCGTCTTCCTTGCTTTCGGAATCGTCCTTCTTCTTCTGCTCGGCCGTCCACTCGCAGATCTTGCAGGTGTTGGCCTTTTGGCGGTCCAGGTTGGGGAAAACCAGGTCAAAGACCTCGGAGTACCAGCTTACGGCGTGGCCTTCAAGGCCTTCCTTGATAGTCTGTATAATAAATATCAGCATAAGTTCATAGGGTATACAAAGCACTTAAAGAAGGGAAAGTTGGATAGAAAAAAGAAGAAGAAAAACATACCTGAGGAAGCTCCAGCCAGTCTGACATGTTGTCCTTGGGGAAGATGATAGTCTTGCATCCTGCTCTCCTGGCTGCCACAGTCTTCTCACGCAGTCCGCCAATGCGGAGGACCTTGCCGGTCAGTGTGATCTCACCGGTCATTGCCACGGTGGGGTTGACTGGCTCGTCCAGCGCCAGAGACAGCAGCGAAGTGGTCATGGTAATACCGGCAGAGGGGCCGTCCTTGGAAACGGCACCGTCGGGAACGTGGAGGTGCATCTTGGCCTTGTCGAAGAAGTGGTTTTCGGGGAACTGGTTGACCACGAATGACTTGGCGTATGAGTAGGCGATTGTAGTTGACTCCTTCATGACGTTCTTAAGGTTGCCCGTAATTTCCAGGCCGGGCCGTGAGCTCGGTCGGAGTGGCGCTTGAAGGATGGACTCGATGTACATGGCAGCACCGCCCATCTGTGTCCAGGCCAAACCCATGGAGACACCAGGCGGGCTCACATCGTAAAGGCGATCGGATGTGAAAATTGGGGGTCCAATGTAATCGGTCAGGTTGTCCTTTCCAATGCTAACATGGACACTATCTGGCACTTGTAACGCTTTCCGTGGCTTTTCTGTAGTCTCACTTTCGCTAGCCCCGGTAGCGGCCGTCTTTTCACTGCCTTCCTCAGCCTCCGCAGCAGCCTCCTTAGCCTTCTCCGCAGCAGCCTTGCCTTCGTCTGTCAGAGCCTCCTCTTCGGGGAGGACTTCCTCTCCAAGCTCCTGGACGATTTTCAGCGCTGATTTGCGGTAGACCTTCTCAATCTGCTTCTTCAGGTTTCGGACACCTGACTCTCGGCAGTAGGACTTGATGAGCTCCTCAATAGCCTCGTCGGTGAGTTGGACATCTGCGTCTTTCAGGCCGGCTGCTTCCTTGGCAGCAGGTGCGAGATATCTGTTGGCAATGGCCTTCTTCTCATCCGCGACATATCCAGATAAGGTAATGAGCTCCATGCGGTCCAAAAGAGGCCTGGGGATAGTGTCGGTCATGTTGGCTGTGCAAACGAACAGGACCTTTGACAGGTCGACGGGGACATCCATGTAGTGATCCAAGAAAGAGCTGTTCTGCTCAGGATCCAAAAGCTCCAGCAGGGCCGATGAGGGATCGCCCTGGTAGCCCCGGCCAATCTTGTCAATCTCATCAATCAGGATGAGAGGGTTCTCAGTCTGGCACTTCTTCAAAGCCTGGATGATACGACCGGGGAGGGCACCGACATATGTTCTTCGGTGACCCTTGATTTCAGCAACATCGGTAAGACCACCAACGCTGAAGCGGTAGTATTCCCGGTTAAGAGCTCTAGCAATGGACTTTCCGATACTCGTCTTTCCGACACCAGGAGGGCCGACAAAGCAAAGGATTTTACCCTCAACAGAGCCACGCAGCTTACCCACAGCGATAAACTCCAAGATGCGGTCCTTGACATCTTGTAAGCCGTAGTGGTCCTCATCGAGGACTTTAACAGCGTTCGGGATACCAAAGTTTTCCGGGCTTCTCTGACCCCAGGGAATCTGAGTGAGCCAGTCCAGGTAGTTCCTCGTAACATTAAATTCTGAGGCAGCCGTCTCCAGGTGGGCCAGCTTGTTGATCTCCTCGTCAAAGACCTTGCGGACAGGATCAGGCATGGCAAGCTTGGCGGCCTTTTCCTTGAACTTCTCCACCAGCTTGTCCTTGCCGTCTGATTCCAAGCCGAGCTCGCGGCGGATGCCCTTCATCTGCTCCATGAGCCAGTATTCCCGCTGGCGCTTGCTGATCTTACTCTCAACGTCCTTGGTAATCTTCGACTGCAGCTGAGCATTCATGAGTTCCTTCTTGAGCACAATCAATGCCTTTTGCATTCTCTCTTCAATGTTCATGCAGCCCAAGACTTCTTGCAGCTCATTCTGCTCTCCAGATGAGACAGCAGCCGCAAAGTCAGCCAGTTTGGCTGGTTCTGATGTGACGTTTCCGGTAGACTGGCTCATCGAGAAGGTGGAGATTTGGTCTCGGAAGAGGTTGTTCATGGTAGCGACCTCCTTGAAGACATTGACGATTTCGTTGGTCACAGCGCGAATGACAGGGCTCTTGGGATCGTAGGGCTCATCTACCAGGTTCTCCACGTTGACGAGGCTGACGGGGTATCTCTTAAGGAATGAGGTAGGCTCGTACTTCTCAGTCACCTGCTCTGGTTTCTTCTCCACGGCACTCTCCTCGAAGCTTGTTACCACATCGCCCTTCTTCTCCTGGGCCTCCTCCTCAGCGGTCTTTTGCGGTATCGGCTCGGGCTCCGCCTCTGACTTGGAATCGGCCTTGTCCGCGTCTTGAGTTCCAGGTGGAACGAGACTGGACAGCTTGATTCTGCGGTGTGGATAAAGGATTGCTGTCAGAGCACCTTCCTGGCCGTGAATGGGGAAGGCGCTGGTGATTTGGGCAAAGACACCAACATCATGTACATCCTCCACGTTTCGAATGATGTCCTCATCCTCGTTCTCATCTTTGAAGAGGAAGGCTCCTACATAGGGCTGGCCACGCTTGATAGACTCGGTAATTGCAGTTGCGACATTAGGATCCTTGATCGTAATAGCTTTGTAGAAGCCTGGGAAGAGCGGCCGCCGGGCAATTGGAATTGCCAGGACTTGCGGGTACACCTCTGGGATGACTGGCTTTGACAGCGCTCTCTCAGCAGCTCTGCGACCTCGCTTTCCACCCTCACCACCTTCGCCACCAGATCCCTCGTTGCCTGCACCAGATCCGGAGCCAGCAGCGCTTCCTGCCGCATCGCTAGGCTTTCCATCTTGTGATGACCCGCCCTCGTTCTTCGCCGATGATGCAACCGATTCCGGGTCAGCGGTGGTGGCCTTGGAATCCTCCTTGGCGTTGTTCTCAAGCTTGGCTTTAGCATCTTCTGACTCTCTTGTAGGCTCAGCGGCAGAGTTGAAGAAGTTGTCCTTGTCCTTGTTGTCCTTCTCCTTGCCGAGTCTCGTGGTTGTGGAGAAGGATGCTCCCGTAAGCCGGGGTCGCAGTCCGGGATAGCGACGGCCGGCGATCTGAGTGGCCCGGAGAGCCGAGCTGAAGGACCATGCTCTGGGTATAGAATCGGACAGCGCCCGGGTTGATTGTGAAGCTGCCGAGCGTTCGAGAATCAGGCGCCCAGAGGCTCGGGATCGGGGCAGCATGGTGGAGGGGATTCGAGCTGTCGGCTAATCGGAGTTCGGGGTCTGCTATTAGAAATACAAGATGACAAGAGAGGTCGGCAAAGAGAAGAATTACTCGCTTCTTCTTCTTCTTCGTCCAGTTTTCAGTAGCAATTCGAGCGCATTGCCCGAGTGTCCTTTGGCAAAGGGTGCGTGACTGAGTAATACAAAATAGAAGGCCTAGAGCGAAAGGTGGTCGAGCTTGGACTACTGCATTTAATAATACAAGAGAGCTCTAGGCGGCATCCTGGCTACGACACGGCCGAAAATTCGAGGGGGCCTAGTACCTTCCATCGGCTGAACTGCGGGGACCTGAGAGTTGCTGCTTCGGTATAAGTACCGTGCAGTAGACAGACAGCGCCGGATTCCGGAGCAATCGGTCGGAATTGGCGGGGTAGCTGTAGCTGCGATAAGGCTTGGATGGGAGATGCCAAGTTTGGGAGCATCAACTGGACATGGAATCCTCAATTTTGTTTACAGGCATGTTCCTATTTGGCTGCTGTATACTAGAGAGTTTGAAGTTGGGTTGACACCTCACGCGATATTGTTGCCGGAAACTTTTCAACTGATAACGGCACCTTTTACTAGCTGCGGGGCAGCGCGAGTCCACTATTGCTGGCACCCAGCATTGACTTAATAATACATAGAAAGCCGTATATCGGCATTAATAATCTCAATTGTTGACTGAGAGTTGACTACCCGGCATAACTACCTCTCCCGTTGTGTCTCTAGGTATGGCAGCTACTCGACTAGGCCCAAGTATTTCGTTCCAGATTCTCCCTCGTGGGGAGTCTGAATAGCGATGTTCGAGAGTAAGGTACCTAGGTAGATAGGTGGTAATATGTACTGGGTGCCTATTCAGCAACACCGAGAAAATTGATGGAATATCTTTCCCATTAGATATGACAAAAGCTTGAAAATGCTCACACGAGCACTTTTAATCTTTGTACATTCCAATTTCACAGCCCGATGATGCCACAGAAACCTCCCATTTCTATATACACTCGTCATTTCATGCGTGTAATGTTTTGCTACTATTCATACATATACATCTCATACGTCTCTATTTTACAGCCCAAAGAAAGAATGTTCTATGCCAAGTTCATCAATCCAACATGATGATATGATTTATCCCACGTATCTGTTTGCCCACGCTGCTCCCTTAATGCTCTTAACGGCGCATAGATAGGCACCTAAGCCGCTGCTAGCCTACGCCTTTTCCCTTACTCGTCTTTTTCACCACCATCATCCTTTGCAGACTGAAGAGACCTCCTCTCCGCTCTACCCGCTGGCTTCCGCACTCCCCTGACTCGTCTCTTCAACTCGCTCGACACCGTTCGCAGCGGGCTTCTCTGTCGTCGTCTCAGTCGTTTACTCTGCTGTAACCGAAGCTGTCTTTCCAACGCCTTCTTCATGCCCTTCAACTCTATATGCGAAAATGGCCTCAACATCTCCGTGGCGCTCTTCTTTAGACTTGCCTTCCGGTTACCGTCTAATGCTCCCGAGACATGTTCAAAGTCAGTATTCGTAAAGGCGTAGTGCAGGCGGGGATATTGTCTCTCAATCTCCCTCAGTTTGGCAGAGACGCTCGCCGACCAGGCGGCCAACTTGCGCAGCTTCAGCCACTGCTGCTGTAAGCTGAGGACAGCCGCATTAGACGCCTGGAGCACGCGCGTGTTTCTCATATGGCGGCGTTCCTGGAGACTTCTCTTCCTGGGACTCCATCCACGCCAGCGCGGCATCAGCATGGTCTCGCACCAGCGCATGGCAGGTTCCCATTGACCCATCTCGGCTAGATAGCGAATCAAAAGATTCCAATTGCTCCGAGTCAACTTGAATCCAGCTGACGTAACCTGTTGAACAATTTCAAGCAGTTCCTTTCCCTTGTTCTCTTCTCTAAGCGTCTTGGCTAAGATCGTCATGGGTCTGGAGACATCGTATTCGTGGACGGGATAAATGCCCGTGGCCTGGCGGTGCCGTGCTCGAGCGAGGACTCTCTTCCAGGTCTGGTTCCACATGTTATGTACCTGACTGAATTTCCTGTCTTTAAAGTAACCTAGCATGAGTGCGGACACCACTTCTGGGGGGAAGGGCTCGCCTCCTCTATACTTGGGGAACATGCCACTGTACAAGCTCATGACCTCTTCGGCTGTCGTAAAATCTCGTAGGTCGACCAAAAGCTTGATAGCGCGGCCAATACTCTTGGTTTGTTTCTTCAAGTGTCTAATATCACTCGGAAGCGTTGAGACTGTGTGAGCATCTCTAGCCCTGGCATTGTGGACAAGCAGAGAGCGCAAATGGCCGACAAATTCTTTACCAAGCTGCCGCGTTCGGCTAGAAGATGGCTTCTTCTTAAAAGAAGCTTCGGCAAGCGCTACTTTGGCGTTGAAATTCATTGATTGTCCTGCCTTGAGAAGATGCGAAGCCAGGATCTCGACCAGTCCAAGGTCACCGATACGAACAGCGCCAGCCATGACAACGGCAAAATGTTCCGGACCAACTGGAAACAGCTTCTCCTTGTAGGCAGTCCGCAAGAGGCGATAGGCAGGCTGCACTTGATCCACTCTTACAAGAGCATCAAGGAGATATTCGTGAGTCTGATGATCCCATGCAAGGTCGAACGACTTCATGGCCTGAAGCAGCTCGTAACACTTGCTAAGTCTTCCTTGCATGCCATTGAAATGAATAAGCTGGTTCCAGATGGCGGTGCTTGTTGCATTTCGCTCTGCCAGTTCTATGCATATCCTTTCCGCCTCCATCAGTCGATCGTTGCGGCAGTACGCCATGACTAGAGCCATTGCCATCTCCTTCGATACGGGAACTCGACCTTTTTGAGATTGGTTGAAAAAGCCGAGAGTGGCTTCCAGGTCACCCTTTTTGGCAGACATGGCCATGATATGAGCATACGTAAAAGAATCGGGCCGATACATCTTGCAGATCTCGCTGAAACAAGCCACCGCTCGGTTGTAATCTTGCGCCCTCATATAGCACTTTAGCAATGTATTCCAAATGTCGAGGTCAGGCTTGACCCCATGATTATCTGTCATGAGTCGAAGCTCTGCTTCTGCTTTGGTGATATCGCCAACCTGCGCATAAGCATTCATCGTACTCCTGAAAGCCCTAGGTTTCTTCAGCACGCGGGGGTATTTGCTAACATACCGCCCCCATAGTCGTTGGACGGCTTGGACATCGCCCACCCCAGCATAAAATTTGAGAAATTTTTCATACCCCCATTGGTCCAAGTCTCCCCAGGCACGATGCCAGTCTTTGTAAATGTCCTCCAGTATCGTAGCCCCAGCCGGATAATGCAATTCAAACATATGCTGGAGCAAAGGGATGGGCGGATGAGCGCCTGGAAGCTTGCGGTATGTTCTATATAGCTCGGATAACCAGGTAAGGTTGGATTTCAATTCGGATTTGCCATGCCAAGACTTCAACACGCGAACCAGATAATCCTCGTATAATTGGTGGTCATTAAAAATACTCAAAATAGCAGTCGCTTGCCTCGGTTGACAGGGCTGCGCCAGTGCTAGCTCTGCCATCTTTCGCCTCAGAGCATAAAGTCCCAGCCTTGTCGTCTCATAGATGTTGATGGGGCGAACAGCCTTTGCACCGTTAGACGAGAGATACTTCTCAAAGGAGAAGAAGAGCTTGTCGAGGCCAGGCACGTGTTCGAGCCGTTCTAAGCGAATGGCATCAGGCCGGTCGGCTGGTTCAAACTTGAGGCGAGATGCGTAGAATTCTAGCCATACACCTATAAGCATAGACCATTTTTCATTGGCAATGGTATCAGCCAGAATGTACTCAAGGCCTCCCACTAAACCCTTCAGCTCCAGGCCAACCTTCAGCCTACTGATAGCATGCTCTAGGTCGCCAGATCGCATGAAAGCCAGAACACCAGCGGCCAGGAGGTCGTCGTCCCAGTTGTCAATGTCAATTTGGCGAAACAGCGAAATAGCTCTCCCGATCTCGACTATTCCGCGCGATTTAGAGAGATATAACACCATGGTGCGGCGGAAGTCCCATTGATCGTGTTCATCTAGCCTGCAGTACAAGTCCCAAACGTCGTGATAGCGCTCCTCGCTTTGATGTGAGAGCATATCTTCCAGGTGCGCTACAGTTGACTGCACCCGAGATATATGGTGTGTGTCTATGGAAGCTGGAGGCTGCGAAGCTTCACTTAAAGAGGCAGGTTTTGAGTGGGTGCTATATTGATATGAGTCTCTCGCCAGAGATGATGCTCCATCATCTCGCTGATATACTCGCCCCCCCATAGAAGAAAGAGCCTCTATTCCTGGCGGGGCCGAGGTATCAGTCGAGCCATGCTCAGCAGTGGCCGTAGAGGAGGTGAAATGCCTCCTTCTAGCATTGCCACCCGCACGACTAGAATCTTGAGGTCGCGGCAGGCCCGGGTACAATCGCCGCAGGAGAGAGTATGTAGCGCTCGGATATAGGAAGTCTAGCAGAAAGACGGAAGCAACCAAGCCAGTTTGTAGCGGGCGGTTGGCATTTTCGGTCTGATCCTGCTCGGTAGTCCGGCCAATCGCAGGCCAGATGCTGGAGAGCTCAATGGCAGACGCTCCGTGCTGCCAGAAGCCTGTATGGAGCTGGCGACAGCGTTTCGTCGAGCGGGTCGGCTTCGGAATAATACGCTGGATGTTGCATGATTCCAGACTCGCCGCCGCCGTTCTTTCGAGCATTGGTCCTAGCAGGCAGCCTCGAGTCGCAGAACTCTTGCTAGTATGCAATATAGTGAAAGGAGAGGGTCAAATTGGCATGCCTCGGGCGGCAGCCAGGTCGTGGATGTTGCTTCTCGAGCAATGGAGGAGCTGGATGCGGGCCCGCTGGCGTTGAGGTGGCCAATCGTCTCTGGAATGATGGTGGGTTGGATTGTGTTTCTGTAGAAGACATAGCCCGCAATGGCATCAGACGTGTTGCCTTGAGCTTCTGCAGGCCGAGGCAGAGATGCGTGGGAATGAGGCTGGTGTTAACGCAGAGTCAGCTTCATCTTCGCACTTTTAACCATGGTCTGATCGAAAAAGATACCAAAGGTCCGGGTGGGTCTCCGGAACGGTAGTACGATATTTTTTTGCGCTGCAGTGCCCGCTATTCTGTAGACAGCTGTAATCAACTGTGCCCGGCTGCAGAGATAGCAGATAAGGAGACCCACCTAAATTTTTATGATCTGATCTTGTACTCCGTAGCTGCATTGGCGTCTCGAGTAGCACGAGTATTTGTTACCACTAGCTCTGGTGTTCGCTACCTACTAGATTCTCGTACTAGATACGAAGTTGGCCTAGCCAGTCTCAGAATATCCAAATAGCCGGTATGGCATGAATTTACTATGGGAAAAAGAGCAGGTGTGAGGATTATCACCGCACAAAGAAGTATTCAGGGGTAGTAAAAGGTAGAATGGTTGGCAGATTCATGGGCGGAGGAACAACGTGGAATAAAAGGTAAATTTTTGAATTGCAGACTATGTATTACAGAAATTTTGCACGAGGCGACTCTCCGCCTCTCGCTGCCAGCAATGGATCGCTCAGAAAAGACACACAGTAAGCTTCGCCAGCGCCAAAAATAAAAATAGATAATAATAATAAAACAGTATTCGGGACGTGCCAGTCTCCGATATCCAGAAAGGCCATTCTTGAATAGTATTCCCAATGCGTTGCCGTCATAAACACCAGTATTAAAGAAAAAAGCATCTTTTCGTATCCCCGTCGTGGTGGTCATCGTACAGATATCGTTGCTTTTCAGATTCCATGCAGCGGCATTACAATCGCTTGCCACATCCCAGTTTAGTGGCAGCAGCAGTTTCTTCCCATGTCAACAAGCTTTGTTGTGATCAGTCTCCTCGTCAGACAAGAACACCTCGTTTCGAAGACTGGACAGATGGTCGACAGGTCTATGGAGTTCTTGCTCCACGCGAGGCCCGCGGCTTCGGCTTCGGCTTCTCATGCGCTGTTGTGACTGGAAGACATCTTGACTGGCAGGCGAAGCGATCCTGGAAGGGCAGTGCTCGCGGCGCTTCTCTCGCAGGCGATTGTGAAGAATAAGTCGGTTTGCGGAGGACTTGACCGAGGGAGAGGAGGTTCGAGAGGTCAAGCTAAAGGGTGAAATAGAGCGCCGACGAGACCGCCCTCGCAGCGTGCTTGATTCATCTGGGCGCAAGCTCTTGGAGCTGGGGACATTGCGGTCACGCGTTCGCCCCCGGAATCCGTCATGGTCGGAAGGAGGAACGACGGTCATTTTGATATCGCGGAATGAGTCGTTTGGAGGTGCCATTAGGAAGCTTGATGGCAGCTTTAGGGCTCAGCAAGTAGCGATGGCGAAATTGAACCACGGAATGCTCGGGAGAAAATAGAACGTCTTTGGAAGAACTGATGGAACTCGAGTCAACCAGGGGGGGTGCGGAGTTTCAGCTAGGCCCCAAGCGTCTGTCGTTTGCTACTCGTATTGCGCTGGGAGTACTGAGTAGTAATAATATGGAGTACGGTATCGTACTGGTACGGAGCACCTTGTGGGGAGAATTGGTAATTGGGCCACGAAGTGCAGGTGCAGAGTTGAGCAGGAGGAAGAAGATGGAGAGCAGCCCTCGCGGGCAATATATAAGTGCGAGTATGGAGAATGGTGCGGTTCTTCTAGAAGAACCGGGGCAGTGGCATAAACAAAGGCGGAACCACCGACAAAGATGTTTCAGACAGGAAGAGAGCAGCTGATGGATTTGGTATAGTGAAAGAAAAGAAGCAGCGTCGAGAAGATGAAAAGAAGCCAGGGGTTGGAGGCAGTATTAGTACTAGGTCGTATAGCGCGGTACGAGTACGCAGAAACAATTTATAGACTTCAATTTAGCTGAGGCCGCTCCATGCTCGTCGGTCCAGGGTCTTGACAGGGGGCCCAACAGGTGCTGTGCAGCGTGCAGCATCCCGGCAAAGCGTCCCCGGGTCACCTGAGCAGCGCCGGCGAGCAGTAGCCTGGGGGTGGCACATTATAGCGGCCTTGAAGGGCCTTGGGCGCCAATCAGACCGGCCTGGCGCCCGCCATGACTTGACGCCTCCAGCTATTAGCAGCAGCAGCAGTTATTGCCGGTAGTAGCGTTGATTGCTTGGGAGCATAGCGGGTAATAGAGCAGCCATCAGTCCGGTAGCGCCTCTCGTAACTCTGAGCCAGCAAACGCCAAAGTTGCTCTTGTGTGTGACATTTGCTTCAATGCTTCCTCTGGATTGAAACCTTGTTTTTCCCCAATTGGCGTTGCCGCGCCCAGTGCGATCGGCGTGCATGTTTCTGCAGATTTTGGGGCCCTCGCTCAGCGGTTACAGTGCCAGGCTAACAGAATTTTGCCGGACGGTCCAACCGCCGATCGTGACACCATTCACAAACACAGCAGCGTCAGTCACGGCGCCAGCAACCAACAGCTGCCGTCCGTCGACCAACACCAGCGGCCTGTCTGCAGCCATTGACCAGTTGCCTGTACATCTCTGTCAGCGTGACGCCGGCGTGCATACGAGCGATGCAGGGAAGATGCAGACAGCCCTGCACACAAGGCGGCAATGGCTCGCATGCTGCCCAGCCAGAGGCCTCGCTGAATCGTGGGGCCAACAAACTCGCCAATGGCCCTGTCCAGGCTACGTGAGGCACAGTGGATGGCCTGAATTGGCTTTGCTGGAACACGGCGTAGCGACGGGTTGGCTGCTTGCTCGCTTGTGATATTGATCCCGTAATAGAGAGCTGGTCACCAACCGCCATGTACAAGCGCCTATCGCTGGATTCAATACTACCACAGTAACAACAACAACTAACTACTACTACTAGCGATACCACCCAGTCGACAAGTTTGTGGCCATTTTTGGTATCCAATACCGACCGAAAAAGGTGGCGAGGCACTATATGGCACTACTAGGAGCACATTTGCATGTCTTGGTCATCTTTTGCATCTTGACTTGGATGGCAAGCACACATCAGCTAATCGAAGAGGCGGCAGACATCCCGACCACACGCTTCTGACTGCAAATCTTGACGCCTCCCAGTCTATCTGATCCTTTTAAATAGCTACTCCTACTGTGACAAATCGCCAAGCAATACAGGTCGACGGGAATCAGCCGCGTCTTCTCCACTTGGATCAAACCTTGAAGCCTCTGATGCTGCTTCTCTGTGCCGAAACAGCTGAGCATAGCAGAGCTTGCTTGATAAGCTGATAAGAGGAGCAGTGACATACCTCTCTAAATGTTTACTTTCCGGTGGCAATACATGACCTTAAGGCGACTGCATGTGATGCCCTCCCGGCACTGAACACGGTTGGATAGCGGAGGGGACGGCTTCGACTCCAATTGTGTTGAATCAACGGGAACATGGAAGTTTAGAAAGCTCCGGGGTACACACCATTCACAGTCAATCCCTCCCTCCCAAAATATTTAGAGGAATCCTTTCACTATGGGATCGAGATGGCCAACGTTCCAAGACGTCAATGGACAGGGACGATCAACCCGCATCGCCGGGGGTAGCCAATGATAGCCTATTCAAACCAACGTTAGTGTAAACTGGGGTTGAAAGAGCTGTTGGTATCCATACTGGCCCCTTTGATGATTTGAACGCAGGCACCCTCCACACCCTTGGGGATTGGCAGCCTGCGGTTGGATGCTAAGAGCGCCACAGTCCCATGGCCAAAGTATGGCCATCTCCTTGTTCATGGCAGGGCGATTTCTCAGCACAGATAAGGGAAATGACTAGCTTTGGGCTTTTTTGCCTCCCCAATTGCCCTGTTTTCATCATGCCGGGCGTATCTCAAATGTTTGATTCATTGTTTGACCTTGTGATCGGCTCAAAGAAGGGGAAAAAACGAAGCTGCTCTTTGATGATGGCCGCGTAATACGGAACGGCTAGTTGGGCCTGGTGACTGGAATGACATGGCATCTGCCTAGCCATGACGAGAGTGCCGAGGAAACAATCATAGACAATCCATGCCGTCGCATGGAGGCTTTCATATGTCTTGAGCGGCTTCTATCCGCTTTGTGTGCCCCGTCAACGTGCTAGTACTACGTATGCTAATGACAAAGTCCCTGGAAGCAGGGGACGGGGCAGGGGCCTCTAGTCTAGAAGCATGGGGTTTACCATCCAGAGATTCTGTGCCGTCGCCCCCTTTTTGGGGGGGGATTCCTTCTAAACTGCCTAGTAGGTATACGACGTCTGGCAAAGCTGCGAATTCCATGCCAGCCAAAAAGACAGGCCATTGATATCCTTGCGTAGTCGAATATCGGAGGTTTGTATCCATGTCGCTATAATTAATAATTCAATTGCTGGACAACCTTGTATGCTCCAATTCGCCGGTTCCTGAGCTGTGATCAGCCGCAAGTCGTTGAAAATAAGTAGCATTCCAAAGCATCAAGTTGGAATGCAACGCTGGCCGAAGCTATGGCCATGCTAAACAGATCCACCTGGACTTGAAATGAACTGGTGGGATTCGGGCTTCTGGAAAAGAATATTCCGCTTATAGTTTGACATAAAGAAGGACTCGCCAACCAATCAAGCAGCGTATCCTCTGTGGCGCAATTGGCTAGCGCGTCTGACTGTTAATCAGGAGGTTGGAAGTTCGAGCCTTCCCGGAGGAGACATGCTAAGTTGCTTATATTTTTGCAGAACTCGAGGCACAGCCAGTGCTATAATAAGTTGTGCTATTCTTTTTGTCGCCGTTCGTACCATAGTAGGTTGTTGACTCAACTCTTCTAAACTCTCGAATAGGTCACTCCGAGCCACGATGGCCCCATATCCCATATGGCACCTGTGGTTTTCTTCAATTTTTTTTTCTGTTGTGAGAACAATCACGCCTCTTCTTCCTGCTTTTCCCAACATGCAAGCAACTCAACTCGGCGGCCAAAGCAAATTTATGATGCACCACTTTGCCTCTCCATCTCGCCCACAAGGCAGCAACGCCCACCTGCTCCGGGCAAATAAGCCGCAGCTCACCGAAGAAAAGAGTCACTCCAGCTTAGCCAGATAAGGCACTGCTAGGCAGCCGCTGCATCATGCGCCACGCCTCCAAGAAGCTCCCCGTTGGTACCTGAAAAGGCATCCGGCTCGCTGTCGGATTATTCGATATACTTGCGTGTACGTCGCGGTACCGGCCAGCCCCTCGTCCGCATCCAGCAGCTCTGGTCGTCGACTGGCCAGGACTTGTCCTCATCACCCCACCGTCTCGCATTGCCAGCAGTCACGCGGGGCTGTTTGTAGATTCTTTGTAGCCCGTCGTAGCAGTCTGTTTCTGCAGCAAGCCGTGACTGTTGCGTGTGCATGCATGGCTCTGTAGGCAGACGAGGCAACCAGCCACAGCAGTCAAATGGCAGCGAAGGAAAAGTAAGGCCATCTGTGATGATGTGTTGGCTTGGGGATCCTGCGTCTCTTTTTTTTCCCTCCCCGTGGCGGTGATTTTATTGGTACGTGATGGCGGTCGTTTGTCGTTTGCGTGTACACCTACATGCGTCAAATGACTCCCAGCGGCTGTGCAGCTTAGGTATAGTAGCTTTAGCTATTTACCTACTACCTACCTACCTTGCTGCATTTTACCTTTCTACATCCTTCGCAACCTGACTTTTTCTCCAGGGCCTCGTTCTTCGCATCTTGCTTTCCTTGGATGATCCATTGACTGTGCGCTTGCGCCGCTCTTTTCATCAACTTCGCTGTTGTCAATCAGACCCTCTCTATCGACTTCAGATCTTTACGACAGACACCTACATGTGTTGGTCAAGCTGAGCTTTGCCAGCATCGAGGCCGAGCTATTTGAGCTATTCCTTTGCAGGCTACTGATCAGTCTATTCCAATTTCCATCAATATTTCGTGCAAATTCAACCTCGCCGTGATTATTTCTCACATGTGAGCGTCTTCTTTCTTTAAATGGGTTGTATGCGACAAGGCATATTTCACTGCAACAATTTCTTCGTACATGCCTTCTACGTATAAGCATTGGAGCCATTGCGTGCATTGCCTGGGCGCTTGCACTTCATTCACGGCCACAATCTGTCCTCCCGTCAAATACTAGAATTATTCTTTTCTTGGGCTATCAATCACTAATAAGAGAGAGTAAAAAAGAGTATAATGGACGCTTATATGTATGAGAACGAGCCATGGCCGGCCACTTCCAGAAGGGCGTCGATTATTGTTCCCCAAGTGGTGCAGGATCAGGGCAGTTCAAGTGTCTCACAAGACACCACAGTTTCAACTGGAATTACTCAAGAGCCTGCTCGCAATCAAGAAACTGACGTTAAGAACGATCTATATTCTTTGATAAAAGAAAGCCAAAGATCTCGAAGCGATCCTGCGTATTCGACGAGCGTCGAGTATGACCTGCCCGGGCTCAATAATATGTCACAGTGGGCCAAAGTCATGCAAGGCCTCACGTCCGACGAAGCCATCCTGTCGTCTCGCTTTGTCGAACTCTGTAGACTGCGCTCTATTGAGTCAGAGCTCAATGAGGGAGACACGCTTGTCTTCATCGACTACCCGGATATTAAACGCCGCCACTCAGAACAAACAGACTGCTATGGCATAAGCTACTCATCTCAGAAATTTCGTGTGCACTCGAAAAAGCTGCTCGCAACTGGATCCGCCAAATTCGCCGAGATGCTGAATCCGACGTACCAGTTCCGCGTCCAAAGACGGAGGAAGCTGACAAAAAACCTCCCTGACGGTGTCAAGTATGTCCTCGATTTGACACCGCCGTCTGAAGGAGATGATCTTGTATTCCAAATGACTCAGCTGTCGCTCACGCCTGGCATCATTAAATGGTGGGCCGCCAACGACCTTCACAAAGTTACCAGCTGGCTGGTTACCGGACACGATGACATATGTACATGCGGCCAGCGACCGATTCCAGGATGGGGTGTCCCAAAGGAAGAGAAAAAAGGAAAAATGCAGGTTCAGCATGAATTCGAAGAGCCAACATCACACGACAGCAGTAACAACAATTCCTACAACGACAGCGGCAACGACAACACAAACGTTAAAATAATCCCGCCAAGCCCTCATGATCTGCTTTCCAAAATGATTCATGGGATCAACCGACCGTATGAGACGCCAAGCTACCGCAACATCCCGGACTATTGCCCCATACGCCACCGCAATAATATTATTCGTCTTCTCATGATGATTGAGGGACACGATGTCATGCTAGATTCGGCAAACCGCGTCTGGACACTTGTTGGTCTGGCAAAGATATTCGACTGCCCATCCGTTGTGAGAGACCCCGTCACCCAGTGGATTATATACAATGAAAACACAAGATTCATCGAAGTCCTGCCAGAAGAGGCGTTGCAGATAGGATTTACTCTAGAGCTCGCACAGGTCACCCAATGCGCTTTTCGAATCCTTGTCAATGAGTTGGCCATCAAGGAGGCCAGTACCAGTTCCATACGCGACCTGAGCCGGGTCACTATCTTTGGAAGAAGGCTCGGGGACTTGGATGACGAGCTGAAAAACATCGTTCAGCACGCTGCCCGAGCACTTGTCGAAAGGGTGTCATTGATTCCCAATGCGTTTACGAGCGAGTTTAGCCTTGACTGCTGGATGATTGAAGAATGGGTCAACCTCCGGAAAATGGAAGGCGTTCTCGCTCAAGAAACTTCTGCAAGCAGCGTGGTGGCGTTGGAATCTCTCCGTGTTTTGATGACGGGAATCCAGAATAGCGTCAAAAACTCGTTTGAGAGACTTACAGTAGGTGATGAGAACTCACAAACCTCATTCATCTCCATGGATGAAGATCGAGCGTCCTATGTGCTACCCGAGGATTTCGAGCTTCTCCAGGACATCGAACAAAGTATGAATTTGACTCAGAGGCTCCTTTGCCCCTTCATCTATAGGCAACTAGGCGACATTTGGAACACTAGTTTCAACGAATCCCAGTGGCTGGCTGAGACAGCTTCAGGCTTATCTGGACCACTCATGGCTCGAGCACGAAATGCTATTGAGCAGGTATTTTATACAAGTCCATCCAAGGCGAGTATACCAAGCTGGTGGGTATTTCTGAACCCTGTAGGAGAACCTCTCACCGTAAAGGATCCGCTGGTCAACCTGTCTGCGCTCAACAGGCAGATTCACGCTGCCACTTTGCCGTATAGCAGCTCATGGGTGCGATTTGACATTGAGCCGCCCCTCAACTTCACCCGTCATATGCTCCTCACTCTCGATAACAACGAGATGAAATTCTTGCCCCTCTGGGCTGGCGGCTGTAATGATGGCACTGGAGGCGTCTTCGAGGCTGAACTTCCTCCTGCTAGCTGGGGCCCTAATGGCCCTGGACCTGCGTACCACACCGGAAATACAATCGCATCTGCATCGAGCGTCTCCGGCTCGTTGGCTAATGACTTCTCTACGATGAAGTTCAGGGGCAGCACCGTAGTTGGTTCATTAGACGCCCAAGACAGCATATCGACGGTGTACGGCCCTGGCCACGTCATTGCCGACGATGTCTCGATTGCATCTGAATCCTTCGACGCGGATGGACCCGAGAATTATTACCAAGAAGCCAGGTATTTGGTCCCGGCAGACCACCAGGATACCGGCCGAGCAGTAGATATGATGGTCGAATCTCTACACTCAGACGCAGACACGGCGTCGGTTGTGACGGATAGCGCGGCAACTGTCAGCAATAATGATAGCAGCGGCGATGAGGGTGTAATGAATATCGATGATCCGGTGACGCAGGTGATTGCCCAGAGCGATGAGAGTGATGATAATGAGAGCAATGCTAGCACGCTGGAAGCGTGGGAAGACATCATATAATGTTGAGAATGGAGGGTCAAGGCGAGATATTGTGACAGGTTTCTTTTTCCTTTTTCCTTCTTTTTCCTTCTTTTTCCTTTTTCTTCTTCTTTCTCCTTTATCTATTGTGTGGTTTTGTGAGATGCTCACAAATTATTCTCAGAACTTGGCTATGTAGTTGGGTCTCTTTTACTTACCTTTTATATACGACTTGATGACTACAGGAATGATACAAGGATATACGCTGGGAACATCAAGATAGTACGACAAACAATTTAGGATATATATACACATCAGGACAAATATCTATAAGAAGCCTCGTAGACATGATTCTTAGCAAGTGTTTTTCATCTTATTCTTTATTCTATATTCAACGCTAAATATTATATATATCCTTTTGTCTATTTTGTTTTTTCGCATTCCATTAGTAAAGCCTACCAATTAACCATCGGCAAATCCGCTCAACAGCCTCAGTAAAATAAAAGAAACATGCGCATAGAATCATCCATTTTGGCAGTATTTAAGAGTCGTCTCAAAACTGCATCTTCTTTCGTCTTCTCCCCCCCCCCCCCCCCCCCCTTTCCATTCTCCTTTAGCCCATATTCAGCGTATTTCCCGATCCTTTCCTGTTATCATCTTTGAAATCATCCCACTGCCTCGCCTTATACGTCTCCATATCCACCGCCTCCATATCATCCTCATCGACTTGTCGCTTCGGAGGCTCCGTCCCGCCACCCTCGATGATGCCGCCCCGCTTACGCTCCTCCTCGAGGTACTCGTCTATCGACATGGTAGGCAAGTTATGGCCTGGGCGGAAGACCCCTCGGGCGAGATCGGCGCGCGAGCCGACAATCGTAAAGGGCTGTAGAGGCTGGCCTTTTGGCCCAAGGATGGGACCGCCGCCGCCCGGGCGCATCCGGCTGAGAGGCTGGTCGAGGCGGAAGGACGTGTCGGTGGGATCGCTGCCCGAGGAAGATTGCGGCGCGGCGGTTGGTGACGGGGCGGACCGGAGCAGCGGCAGTTCTCTGTTGAGCGAGTCGAGAGCCTGGAAGGTGTTGTGGATGGCGAACTCGATGCTGGTGAGGTGCACTTCGCGCACGAGCTCCTCGTCGCCGTGTTCCAGATATCGCGGGTTGCGCTTCAGTATCTGGAGCTTGTCCTTGAGTGCCTTCTCGGCCTTGAAGTTTGCAATCTTGCCTTCTCTCTTGGCGGCCATGTCTGTGCCGGCGACGACCGCAAAGGCATCCTCGTCGTCGCGATACCGTTCCAGGAGCTTGCTGTACGATCCCCTAACCAAGCCATACCCATCCACTAAGCTGAGGAACCTCTCGTATGCGGATCTCGATTGGCCAAGGACTTGGAGACGCTCCTTCGGTGCCAGATGCGGCGTCCGTTGTACCAGCTCGGCGATGTAAAAGTCCACTAGCAGATACGGCAGTGACGTCGTCGCGACATCCTCAATGCCCTCGTTGGTTGAGAAGAGCGACACCGCAGATATTTGGTTGATGGCTTGTGCGTATAGCTTCAGCGCCGCTGCGAGATCTTCTGCATATTTGGGAGAGGTGGCAATCGGGGCGTCGTTGACTTCTTCTCGTTTTGACTCGGCAGCTTCGAAGACGGCTCTGAGGGACTGTGGCTCGTCGGACGAGGCCATGGCGGATGGAGTGGAAGATTGACAGGCGGCGCGTATGTAGATAGAGGAATCTCACGATATTCTTTCCTTGTTCTGTTCTACTTAATCAGAAGCTGTGATGTCGTCGTGCTTGCTATGAGGCTCGGTTGGCAGTATGACGAAAAGAGGTGGGTTTGAGAAAAAGAGCTAGAGTGGAGGGGCTGTTGTGTTGCCCCTCCAAAGGGCAAAGTGCTTAGATATCGATAACAGGCGATGAAGCATTCATTATACCAACTCACGCAATAAAACATGTAATAATAGACTTCATTCTACCCAGAGCCTGCCCACCGAGGCTGATCACTGGTACGTTGACTAACACATTTTATATACAATAGACCAAACATGAAGCAATATTTATCGAGTTAAAGCCAATATAATAGCATACCTTCATGTACCACCACAGTCATCCAGGGCCAACCTGTCTGGGACTAACATGTCAAATAAACCTATGCACCAAAAAATCCAGCCTCCAAAAAGATATCATAAACTCTCCACGATATGTGGCAATCAGTAATTGCTTCAATCGTCATCATCGTCTATCTGGAATGGGTCGTCACTCTCTTCTTCTTCCTCTTCTTCCTCCTCCTCGTCCTGCTCGTCCACACTCATGGATGAATCTTCATCGTCGATGATGACCTTTCTGTTGGCAGCCGCAGCGCGTCCAGGTCTTGCCCGTGCCGCTGGCCTCGGAGCAATTGATTCATCTGCAAATGCTTCTTCCATGTCATCGTCTGAATCATTCAGAGCCTTCTTCTTGGCAGCATATCTTTTTGCGGCTGGAGAAAGTGTTGAGGTTGTAGTTGCAGCCTTGAGTGTCACCTTGTGCTTGCTCACTGCTTTGCCCTCTGCTTTACTATTTGCCCCTGCCGGCCGGCCTCGTTTCTTGGTCTCCGCTGATACTGACGCTTTAACTGCAGGCTTCGATTTGGCAGCGGTCAATTCGTCCTCGTCATCGTCCTCGCCCGATCCTTGGCTCGTAGCCTTCAGTGGCGACGGCTTGGCCAATAATTCGTAATTTGTCTCATCATCAGTATCAAATTCAAATGCCTTGGCTGACTTTATCTTTGGCTTTGACAGTGCCCCGGAGCTTGTATTGCCGTGGCTCGAGTCAGGCCGGCTCATTGCGTGCAGACTAACCCGCGCGCTGGATTCTCCAGGCGGCTTGCTACCAATGCCTTTGACCAGCGCTCCGACATCGCCAAGCATCTTATCGTCGTCCTCATCACTATCGGAGGACGCATCGAACAAAGTTCTGGCTTTGGAGGCTGCTGCTCGTTTGTTGCGGACGGGGACGGGGACCACCTCTGGCTCTTCAGATTGCGAAATCGATCGTGCCTGTGAAATTGATCGCGACTCCGAAACTGATCGCGACTGCAATGGTTTGGCCGCAGCTGGCTTGGACGCAGCTGGTTTAACTGCAGCTGGCTTGGCTGCAGCTGGCTTGGCCACAGCCGGTTTACTCCTGCTTAGGGCAGCAAAATCATCATCAGAGAAGTTATCGGAGAGTTCAACTGCCTCCGGCTGTTCCTCTTTCTTGACCTTGGGTTTAGCACTGAACATCTCAGCAAATCTTTGTGCCGTCTTGGTCTCTACCTTGGGCGCTGCTTTCTTTCGACCCTTCTTTTCTGGCTCATACTCGTCATCATCTCCTTTGGCCTTCCTGCCGCGGCCACCACCACCACCAGCTCCTATCTTCTTGGATACTCGGCGGCCCATGCGGCGAATATTGGTCTGGATTTCTGCATTGAGAGCCAGATGCTTCTCCCACTCGGCCTCGAAAGCAGCCAGATCTTCACACCAAAGATCTTTATCGCTCTTGGCATCGAGTTCATCATATTCAGCCTTCTTCTTCCGGATTGCGTCTTTCAGCTTCTCAAGACGTTCTGCAGTCAAGGACCAAATTGGCATCTGATAAAAACAATACGCGGTTAGGGATTACTCTGGCTGCACGATAGCTGGTTGGATTGACGGAAGATCAAACTTACCGAAAGAAGATAGTCGTAGTCACGAGCGCTTTCCTCACCCTCTTCTTCCTCTTCTTCTTCCTCTTCTGTCGATTTCTTCGTATTGTTGTTCTTGACAGGAGGGAATGCTTCGTATTTACGGTCACGCAGCTCTTTCACAAGGACTGTCTTCTTCTTCTTGCCAACGATCAAGTCGCCGTCGATAATCTCTTGGATAAAGCGCGCCTGGTTCTTCAGTTTCCGGTGATCAGCATCATAGACGCCAAGCCAATGGTCCTACATGCAGGTATTAGTCAATGGTCAGTCAGCTACGAGAGTGAAATAATCTCATACCTTTCGCTTCTGATACATTTCCAGTCGATAAACATAATATTCTTCCAAAATATCTTCTACTTTCTCGTACTTGCGAATCTGGCCACGAGTATTGAAAGCGACCAAGTTTGAAGTTGCAACTTGTTTAGTGAGCTTAAATCGCTCAAGCAGACCTTCTTCCAGAACCTTGGCCATGTGCTTCTCATCTACTTGAATCTCAAAGTGGACTGTCTTGTGGTCGTTGAATTCTTTGTAGTCCTTGATCCACGTAGGGCCATCTACGCCGCTGATAATCTTTTCAAGTCGAGCCTTGAAATCATCAGTCCATACGCGGATTGGAAGCTCAGTGATGACCACTTCATTCGGGTTTTGTTCGTTCTGGTAAGCAATACCGTTGAACTTGTATCGATCAGGGCCAGCAGCCTCTGGCGTGCCTTTCCAGCCCCTGAACCAGGGAGTCATTGTCTCAAACGGCTTCTCTTCAGCATCGTCTTCCTCAAGACGGCCCATTCGTCGTTTCAAATTCTTCACAACTTCCAGCGGATGATAGTTGGGGATGGAGGTGCTCCAACCTGTGCCAATACCATCGGCACCATTGACAAGCACCATGGGGAGGATTGGAGCATACACTTCTGGCTCAATCTGTTTTCCATCCTCAAATTGGTGGTTTAGACTTGGCTCATCAAGAGAGGAGAAAATTGACCGAGCAAACGGAGACAGTCGTGTAAATGTATAACGAGGACTAGCAGAATCTGAACCACCAGCAAGTCGAGAACCAAAGTTACCACTGGGCTCGAGGACGTTGATATTGTTTGAGCCCACAAAATCTTGAGCCAAGCCAATGATCGTCTGCTGCAGTGAAACTTCACCGTGGTGGTAGGCAGTCAGACCGGAGACGTAACCAGCCAGCTCCACAACCTTCTCATCTTTGACCACGTTCCTCTTGAAACAGGCGTATAGCACCTTTCGTTGACCAGGCTTCAATCCATCAATCATCGACGGGATGGATCTTATGTTATCCGCCATACTGAACAGAATGAGCTCCTTGTTCACAAAGTCACTGTAGGTGATAAGCTTCGAAGAATGGTCCAGGTATGTACCCGGGACAAAGCCGCCTAGCCACTCCTTTCTGGCGTCAGCCTTTTTCTTGGAAAAGGCCAGGTCAAATAAATCCGCTTCCTCTGGCTTCATGACACTGAATTCTTTCAAATGCTCGTCCAGGTTTGTGAAATATACTTGGGCATCTTCATTGCTGCTACTGCCCAGACCCTTCAAGTACTTGTAATGCCATCGGCTAATTTCACTACCACGTTCTTGCTTCCATTCCTCATACTGTGGCTGTGTAAAAAACGACTTCAATCTTTGGGGCTTCTTGGGGTTGGGACCTTGCCAGACTTTGACGATAGGTGTGATGAATTCTCGGAAGAAGTCTGGGATTTGGAGCAGTGAGGGGAATTGCACCTGGAGGAAGTTGATGAGAAGACCCTTGATGTGACTACCGTCGTGATCCTGATCGGCCATGATCATGAGGTGACCATAACGCAAGCTCTTCGTATCAGTGTACGTCTGCTTGTGCTTGAGACCGAGGAATTGCTTGATGTTCTGAATCTCTTGATTTTTGGTGATTTGGTCAATAGAAGCGTCTCGTACATTTAGCAGTTTACCACGAAGTGGGAAAACACCGATACGATCAGGGTCAAGAATGGCTCGTCCAGAAACGGCTAGACCTTTGGCAGAGTCACCTTCAGTCAAGATCAGCGTGCACTCATGACCACGCTTAGTTCCTGCCAAGTTGGCCTCCACAAGCTTAGCATTGCTCACTCGAGAGCGCTTGTTACCATCGCTCTTGGCCATCATCTTGTCTGCCTTCTTTTCGGCAAAGGCCATGATGTTTTGAATTGCGTCGGACTTGGCAACCTTCTTCAAGAAGTCATCTCCCAGAACACACCTGCTGCCGAATTGAGAAGTCTTGGTGGTCATCTGCTCCTTGGTCTGTGAAGTAAATGCAGGGTTATCAACCAAACAGTTGACAAAGATGAAGATATGGTTTCGGAGATGCGCCTGCTTCAAGCCGTGCCCCTTTCTCAGCTTTGTCACGGCCTTGAGGAGGTATGCTGTGATCTGGTCGGCGATATAGTTGACATGGGTACCTCCTGAAGTTGTTGCGATCGAGTTGACGAATGAAACTTGCTGGAATGTGCCATCTGATACAGTGAAGCCAACTTCCCATCGGGGATGGCCCTTGTCTTTGTCGATTTCAACGGTGCAAGTCGGATTGCCACCTTCTTCCTGACTCCTCTCGCCAGCAATGGACTTTGCGTAGAGATCGCAGTATGTTTTGAAGTTATTGATCTTGATAAGTTCGCCATTGAGCTGAACTTTGACCCCTCGCATTGTGCCGGCCATATCGTAGACTCTTCGGTAGAGCAGAGCTTCAAGGTCGTCTGTAATGCCTTCCTCCATTCCAAACCGAGCGTAATCAGGCTTGAAAGTGACCCTGACGAAGTCAGAGGATTTGCTGGAAGTAATCTTGGCCTTTTGCATGTTCTGCATATTGTCTGTCCACGTCTGCTTATATCGCTTCGCGTGCTCGCTGTCCTGGCATTCCAACGTGAATTCTGTGCTGAAAACGTTACACAGCTTTGCACCGTAACCGTTTCGTCCACCAACCGTCTTTTTCTCGTTATCATCAAAGTTGGAACCAGCCAACAGGTGACCAAAGATCAGTTCAGGAATATAAACTTTTTCTTTCTCATGCATGACAATGGGAATGCCCTTGCCGTTGTTCTCAACGCTAATCTCGCCGGTAGTTCGATCAATGTTGACTTTCATCATGCTCATGGAGCTATCACGCTGTTTGTTGTCGGCAGCGTTTACCAGAATTTCATCGAAGATCTTATAGAAACCGGGGACGTAGGTGATGTTGCGGTATTCCATCTGCTTTGATTCTTTGTTATAGACCCATATTTGCTGGTCTGTCTTTTCCACAGAGCCAATATATGTATCGGGACGTTTGATGATGTGTTCGAGCTGGGTCAGCTTCTGGTAGGTCTCCGTCGCCGTCTTTTTCTTGGCGGCAGGCTTAGGGTCGTCGTCAATGGCCATGCTGTCATTTTCAACTTCTACCAGAGGCTTGGTGCCCGACTTCTTGGGCGGTGGCGCCGTCTTCTGCTTCTTAGCAGTAGGTGGAGTATTTGAAAAGCCGGACGACGCTTCTACATCGTCGTCTTCATCGCTCTCAAGGTCAATGATCGGCCGTTTCTTCGGCGGTGGTTTAGATTTTAGGGTTGTCTGCACCATCTTTTTGACGGCCGGCTTTGAGGCTGCAGCCTTGGCTTTCTACAATGGTTATGTTAGCCGCCACAGGGTGAACACGTAAAGTTGAGGTGATGGAAATGTGTGTAGGTCGATTCCCATAGTGTTTGATCAGCGCATAGGATACGGGCGTGGTGTGATTGTCGCAATCAAAATACAGAAGAAAGCCAAGTGAATTGCTGCCTAGAGCTAGATGCGCCGGGAATATAATCTCCTTGGACAAAGGAATACAAAGCCGCTTCACAGGAGGGCAGCGCATCGCAGGCGCACTGCCGCTTCGGTGTGGGAACCATGTGATGCGGCCGAGAGTGACTTACGGGCTTGGGGACATATCCGTCGGATTCATCTTCGACTTGGAAGACGGAGTCGTCGTCGGAATCCATCGTATCGATCGGGCGACAGCGGTTTGCCCTGTGGTAAGTCGGAGATGATATTGGGCGCTCGAAAAAAACGGTTGATAAAGTGCCGGGCAGGGGTGCTCCAAATTGGCCTGAGACACACAGCAATGAGGGATGGATTGGCCAAATAGCCCGAAGCGCTCGAGGGCGATGCTGCAAATGGGAGATGAAAGGAGCGACGGCGGCCCGAGATGAAAGGGAAATCGGCCTTTGTCACATCGGCTCGCCAAAGGAAGCAAAAAGAGAGAGAAATCCCGGTTGAGGCGGTGATATTTTTTCCTGTTGTTGAAGCCCCCGCGTAAACAAATAGCGATCCTTTGTTTGACGCGACCTTGCTGTGTTGTCGCAAAATTCCCAATCCGTACTAGCGGTGCGCTGATAGTGGGACGCGTTATTCTTGCCTGAGGCAGAAGTGAGGCAGCTGGCCAATCACGGTACGGGGCAGTGAGCCCAGGGTGACATGCCGGAGAGGTACCGCTAGGCGGACCAGAGACGGGCGGGTACCTGACCGGTAGCCATCCGAAGTACCAGGTACAGGCTGATCGATCTATGGTTGTCCGAATGCTCTGTACTCGTTTCTGCCAATTTGTTCCATACGGCTCCTGAATTTTTAATCTACGGGAGAGAGCAAAGTGATTATCTCGGATTATTCAAACAGCCTACCAGGCATTAGCTAAAACGTCCTTTAGCGATTGGTGCTTGTTCATTTTTTTCGCCCACTACCCGGGGTAAGCCTGAGCATGCGTGACCTCTTACACGCAGCCAAAATATGAATCTCTTTGAACAGAAGTTACAAGTGGCCATGTATTGGACTCCCAGCCTGATATCGCATTGAATATCATGATTCAGCGATCATACTCCAAATCACAACATCATAAATGTACCAAAAGTTTCCGTCGATACCTTTTTAGAATCAGAATTTCGTGGAAGTTATGCTCTTACCCTAAACCTCGTTTGTGGATTTCAACAAACAAGAATATCCGTTTTCATTTAGCAATGCTGCTCCTCGAAGTGAACCTACTGCAGCCATTGCTCTACTTTAATAGTAGTGATATGACCTTGAAATGGAGAAAATTACCCTTTCGTCTGTTGACCAGACCTTGCTAAATAGAAAGATAGGCTTAATTTCCGATAGTCTCTAGGAGTGGAATCACCCTTCGGTAGCCTGCATGACCCCAAGCCGCAGCTGCGAATGACTCTTTCCTCCGAATACGGAATCTATTTTGAAATGGCGTGCGAATTTGGAATTGGGGCCTCACGGTCCAAATACAGAGGCGGTGCAATGCGGAGCACGGAGCGTTTACATTCTAAAGGATGCAAACATCCGCCACTGCTTCATTTCTCTGCAGACAAATGTTGCCTTTGATATCCCGTGTGCGACCTGAATACTGTGCCATAATCTGAAACTTTCCACCGGAAGCCACTCTTAGAGGGTAGAAACGCTACTGGTGCCATGATGGTCACATTCTCCTGTGAGCATTCTCTATTTGCCCCTTTCCCACTGTTGTTTAACATGCTGTAGACGCTAAAAGTGAATATTTCTGCAAGAAAAATAAAAGGATGAAGTGATGAACAAAAGCATGCAGAAGAAGGTGAAATTCAGCCACAGAAGTGCTTCCTACTGTTTAAGCAGGGGGATCTGGGATCATCACAGCTGTGCTATCCCCAACGTTCTCTCTCGTTTGCCATATTATCCTTACCTCGCTGATCCCTTGTCTTTACCGAAGCATGGCACTCCCGCCAGCCTTTCCGTCTCCCACGTTGCATTTCGTGATGACACATGGGCAAATATTCAGTACGAGCAACTACCGGTAGCTTGCCAATGCCGAGCTATCGGGCCGTGACAATCAACCTGCTCAGTGACATAATAACTGACGTTGACAAGTGCGATTGGTCTACCACAATTGACTCGATAATCATTGATTATGCTGCTTCCGACCAAGAATTGGGCTGAAGGTATACTTGAACTCTCTGTTTCATCTGCTTGATGCCTGGACATTGTGCAACAAACACAACCTACAGCTCGATGGTTTGACGCGAACCGCACTTTAAAGAAGAGTTTGATACAGTTTAAGAACGTGAATATTGGCTTTTATTGGTATCATTACTCCGCGGAAGAGCAGTTAAGTCGACAGTTTCCCCTTTCGTACTGCTCTAACCGTCTGTCGCCATAAACTTAGAGATGACTGAACCTGTGCAGCATCGGAGAATTTCCCCAAGTCTGTACGCATATGCTTCTATCTCTATGCTAAGTTGGTGGCATGGAACATATTTTTAATTTTGCGTTTGTTGAACTGAGCCCGTTATAAATAAGGAAAGAATACTGATTCGTTACCTACTAGGTACTAGATGGATGAACTAGACTACTGAATCTTTACGCTACCGACTCGCCAATTATGAAAGATTCATACTCTCATCATGAATAACTTACTAGATGAGAGAATAAGGTTATAGATAAGACTTCCTGACACAAATTGCACATCCGACATCATAAGCCAGAGCCATATGATGTCGCGTTCTCGGCACGTGGCTATATCGAAGGTATCCTGTCATACTTTGGAAAATACGTCAACGGATACATGGAACACAATCCCCGAACCTTTTGTTCTTTCCCGTCCTCCATGATGGCCGCAGCGGACTGGAAGGATATTTGACCAAAAAATGCCGTCAATGCGACCACCCGTAGCGATAGCCGCTTCTGTCAACGGATAAGAGATGGCGTTCAAACAGATGGCTGCCATGTTCTGCGTCTGGCACCCGGTATTTGCGTTTGTCGAACCCATTTGTTCTACTAAGCGACTTTCCGGAATGCTTCACCTAGAGTAACGTCGTCTTCCATTCAAAATCGACGGATGTCTGCAGTAGCAGTGGTATCATGCATGCAAATGAGATAGTAACTAGTGGATAATGCCCTCGAGCGCATGTCTTGGTCAAGGCATATTCAAGTTTCACTACTAGATGGGTTTGGTGTACGAAGCCAATGAATTTTCTGCTATATCCATGATCGGAAGTGCGTAACGTATTTTCATTCATCTGCGGAGATGATAGATGAGACCCATACGATCTGAGCTAGGACCCATGAGACCAAATTTCTTTCCCGTCCATAATTCTAACATAGCTGCTCATCAGCAGCAAACAGGTGCATGATACTTGCTGCACGGGATCAGCATCTGAAGTAACTGGGCCTATTTGGACCTGCATACAACGCTGGAGAACGATTGACCTCATTAACCTCTCTCTACATTGCAGCGTGATAGCTGGAGAAGAATTTATATCCGAAGGCTTGCCTACCAAATTAACACCCTAATCTTTATTGCGGAGTTCTTCGGATATTCTAACCGCTGTGGAGACTCACAAACGCAGCAGCAAGAGGCCCATGCATGCTTGAGGCTTGAATCTGAGAACTAGCATCCGGAAATCTCATTCCGGAAGCTTGGGAAGCAAACCTCATCGAAGACGCACATGATCGGCGGCTGTATTGCTGATAGTTCAACGTATCGATTCCTGCGGCCATTCTGTGCCCCGGATCTGTGACCCCTTATTCAAGAAACAAGCACCCCGAGATCCCCTGTCCGGACAGACGATACTTTAAAAACATTTCTCTTCTCGTTTTGTTTGCCTATTCTGGGAGCCTAGGATGCGAGAAATCTTAGTGCTGCGTTTGGTTGCCCTTCGTGCCGTTGGTGAATTCTCGTGAAAACTATATGAAAGACTTGCATCCTCTTTTTCAGTCACAAAGCCAAGACTACGCTTGCTTTTTTCGCCTTTATCTTATGTGCATAGCCCATAGAACACATGATAGGGTTCTTCCTGCGTGCCGACTAGATTGCATGATGCCTACAGATACTGGGAAGAGAATGCTATCTCTGCAAGCTCTCTTGAACCCTGCCTCACCTGGCCATTTTGTTACAAGCTTTCGGCAATCTGATTTAGTATTGACGACGTCTTCTGCGTTACTACCAACAGAAGTTTTACAAACCACCGATGTATCGCCTTCCCCGAAGGACAAGTCAATGGAAAGCGTCAGCATGACCAGGTCGAAACCCCGGGGATCGATCAACTTTGCACCTTTCGAAGAAATCGACCAATTATCATATCAAGAAATATGCCGGTTTCGCGTTAATCCTTTTGGAAAGATATGGCAGAGCTGCCAACATATTCCCTACAACAGTTCAAAAAAGGACTTTTTCGAGAAGACTGGAAGAGAAAGCATTGAAGGTAAGAGGGCCGCTCCGAGGAGATGGAAGATTAGCTGTACTTAGAATGAGACTGAAGTTAAATTGGCACAGTTTTCAAATACGAATTCCGTTTACCGGGCAAGGAAAAGTACTATACTGTCATGTGGGATTACAACGTTGGTCTTGTTCACATGACTCCATTCTTCAAATGCTTGGAGTATACAAAGGCAAGGCCCTGAATTGCGGTGTTGATCGCCGTTTGAGCCAATATCCTAGATGCTTTTCTAATTATAAGCAGACCATGCCGGCACAAATGTTGAGTCAAAATCCAGGCTTGAGAGAAATATCGCCTAGCATTACTGGCGGCGCCGTTTCAGCCCAAGGTGAGCCCTTGAGCATTCCATATCGCAATTTTTTTTTTTTTTTTTTTTTTTTTGCTTACTGACGTTTCTGTAGGATATTGGATGCCTTACCGGTGTGCTAGAGCGATATGTGCGACTTTCTGCCATAGTATCGCAGGCGCACTGATTCCCCTCTTTGGCCCTTCGTTTCCCTCCGAATGTGCTCCAGCTCCCCCTAACGCTACTCACTGCAAAACCATGGTGATCAGTCAGCAAATTATACTCAAAGCAACTGAAGAGGTTGAGAAATATCGTCAGGGGAAAGATGGTGGGCTTATAAAGGCTGTCGGTGAAATAAGCAGCTCTCATCGGCGGGCCGTCGAAAGCTATACATTGCGTCGCAAACGGGAGAGCCAAACTACACTTGTGCCCATATTACCGTCGCAACCCCGTTCTGCCTGGACTCCAGTCAATGGATCAGCCACCAAAGGCCGCATGATGGAAGCTCCAGCCCCGAATATAGTGTGTGACAACCGCGGATCCAACAAGGTCTTGCTAGGAACAAGCCGCAGCGCTCTTCCAAATCAATCTGCCCCGAGCCAGAATCTTTGCCAGAAGGAGAAGGCCAGCATATCCAGCCCATCACGAACAGAAGCGGACGTTTCCGAGGGTAATTGGAGATTCAAACGGCGTAAAAGAGCCTTTGACGAATCGAGCACGACGCACCCGGCCGTTTTGCACATGGAAGCACGTCGAGGAGAGAAGTCACAGCAAGAGCTGGAGCACTTGGGGGTAGCTGCGGTGCTACTGAGCCTGGCCACAGATGTTCGAGACACGGCATCTCCTTCTTCACCGGCTGTAGAAATGCCAGACGACGACTGTCCCGAGCGACATCACCAAAGGAAGCGACCAAAAGCTCTTTCATTTTAACAGCTGGATGGTATCGGATTGCTTAAAGTGAAACAGGAGGAGGAGTAGGCGCCACAGGAGTTAAATATTGTTTTCTACCCCTATTCTCTCTCATTTTTCTTCTCTATCTTCGATCTGTTTGTCTGCGTAATAATCGCTAATTTCTTTTTGAGATACCCCATTGGGCTGGCATCTGCAAATCAGACTGTGATTTTTTTTGGGGGGTCATCTTTTGCAGAGATGCTGGTACTTCTGCTCATCTTTCCTTTTGGATATTTGGATTCTGGGAATTCACCAAGACTGCCGAATATGGTTCTCTTTGTTCGGAAATACTGTGTAATTGTTAAAACTCTCGTTCTTTCGAAGTGGCAAAGCTATGCTATTGTTGTATTTTGGGCTCGTTGATTTGGATTTTGCACCGATTAACGCAATTTTTGGCTTCTTTGTGATTGACCAATCGTGTATGATAGTTATTTAGGCCGCTTTGCTTTATTTCCTGATAGGTCATGTCGAGGTCTTCACCTCTTCTAGATGCATCTAATTTATTTCATTTCTCTCTTCTTTCTCCTTGAATACAGAATTTTGCTTTTCCTTCCAAATCGAGTGTCTATGTCGTAATTTTTCTTTTTTTCAACTCCTCTCTCCCTTCTCCGCCGCTCTCTTCTCCTTAAACTCCTTTACCCATCCATCCGCCTTCGAAGTCGGCACAACAAATATCCTCACCACCTCATCCACAACCTCTACTTTCCCTCCGGCCAACACCTTCAACAAAGGCACCCTCTTGCCCATCTTGATCAAGCCACCCTCCTTTGTCTCCACGTAACACGTCACCCCAGCGAGCGTATACGCCCCCTCTTTATCCCACGGCAGGGGAAGAATATATCCGAGATGGTCCTCCAGCGTATGCGTCTCCTGAAAGGCCTTGATGAAATCAGATTCCAGATGTAGGGGATAGAGCAGAACCGTTGGAAAGGCCAACTCGGACGAAGGATCATCCTCATCCGGCAACAGAGTTATCTTTGCATCTTCCATCTCAGGCGGCTGTTCCGTCTTCCGCGTCTTGATACCCCTCGCCACGAGGGCCGTCTTCAAGAGCAGTGCCCGTCGCTGCTTCTTCGCCTCCCTTTCCGCGGCCTTGCGCTTCAGCTCGTCCAGCGTCTTCGCGCGCTTAATGATGCCGTCGGCGACAGTCCTCAGGGCTTTGTTCTCCGGCTCTATTGCCAGACCTCTGGCACACACGTCGTCGGCCTCCTCTATGCGATCCACCGCCAGCAGCGCCTTTCCGCTGCGATAATACGCCTTGACGTTCCGCGGGTTGAGCCGCAGCGCCGCCGCACAGTCCGTCCAGCAGCTGCGGTAGTTTTGCATCTCCAGATGGCACGCCGCACGGTTCATGTACATGGCCTCGAGCGTCTCCTTCTGCTGCTTGATCTCCTCCTCAGAGTCCGGCTCTCCAGTCTCAGGATTCTTGGTGACCTCTCCCTTTGCCCTTTTTCTCTCCTCGACGAATAGAATGGAAATTCCCTTTCCGTAAAACTGCTCTGCGTCTCTATAGCCCCTCGCTTTGAAGCACTCGTTTCCACGCTCCTTGAAGTCCGTCGCATTCTCCAGCGGCGTGCCTTCATATGCCAGTGCTTGCAACGCAGCGATATCGTCATTATCCTCCATCTCCGTCATAAATAGCGGCGACTTGTTCAGATCTGCCAGGATCTCGTCCACAGATTTGTTCTTGGCGATGGCCAGCGCCGGCGGAAGGCTTGGTGCAGTCGCATCAGATGGATTTTCCTGGGCAAGGCTCATGGCCTGCTCAACCTGGTCTGCGAGCTGGTCTATACTCATCGCTTTTGGAGACGGTGGCACACGGATATGCGCCGCTCTTGGATTACAGTTGGATATACTGCGTGTGTAATAAGAAAGTAGAATACAGGTATATTTCTTGTCTCTGATTTTCTGCGCTGTTGCTGTAAGAGCCACACAGCCCGAAGAGCTTTATTTAGAGTGGGGCAATCTTGAATATGACGAAGACAAAATTTTGTCCGTCTTGGACGCTTGATCTTCTTAGTACCTGATACTAGCGGCCTGGCACTTCAACTACCTCCAGAAAGACTTGAGATGTGCACGGGTAACAGACCAGAAAAATCTTCCATATTGTTTGCAAGAGCAAACACATTTGGAACTATTTTCAAAGGTCATCATCCGACCTCCTTTTTTGAAAGTTCACATCTCATTTTATTTCCATTTTCTTTCCGCCACCATTTTTTTTGGCAGCAATCTCCGATCCCATAGGCCCAAGCGGCATCTGTGCTACCAACAAGCCGAAATCACTTCAATGAGCAAACAGTTTTACTTTGCAACCAGTACTATTATTGCTATCTTTTTCTAGTCTCTAAAACTATCTAGTCCCCTTAATTTTTTGAGGATAGAAGAGAGAAATAAGTATGGTATAAAAATACACTTTTCCGTGCCACTCCCAAAACGCCAACAAATGCAACCCTTTTCAGATGTAGATACAAATATGGACATGTGCGCTTTCTTGGATGATATCGTCTGTATGTACGTTCTCCCAAAGTGTCGCACTCAAATCCACCACCAGCTAATATTAAACATGCGCGATTGGGTATATAGCCACCATTGCCTCGTCCCCGTAAAAAGAGCGCCGTTTAATTCGTGCGTAAAACCTGTTAATCAAAATCAACTTATTCACCACTGCGACTTGCAGATGGCGTTTCATCAGAAATGCAACGGCTCCTACCACGAGGATGCCGTTTGTAGAGACTTTTTGTTTGTTCTTCTTTCTGTTCTTTTGTTCTTTACTTATAAATCATTTTATGATTGTTAATCACTCCACGTCCTCGGCTGAAACTTCAGCGGGCGCGGCGGGGAGATTTTGTTGCTCAGCATCCTCCTTTGATCGCGGGCAATCGCGATCGCGGGGAACGGTGAAGCAGTGAATAGCGCCGACAATGGCGACCAGAGAACTGGCGTACCATGACAACGCAGTGCAGTCGATTTGGCTGCCCAACGTGTAGAGATAGCCTGCGATTGGTGGCGCAATCATGCGGCAAGCAGCGCCAGCGCTGGCGGCTAAGCCGTTGACTTTGCCCAAGGCACTCGCAGAAGGGGTAGCTCCTTTGATCAGTATAAGGAGGAGTGGGTAGAGTGTGATGGAGAGGACGTTGCGTACAGCAAGGCATAGGTAGATGGCGGGGAAGAGTAAGGATTCGGGGACAAAGAGCAGCATTGGGACAATGGCATAAATGATGGGGTGTAGAACCGTGACGACAAGGAAAAGTCGGAATACACCGAACCTTTCGGCTGCCAAAGGGAAGATGACGGCCTGGACAAAAAGAGCGATGACTCCATTGACGGCCATGATCATACCCACATCACGAAGGGAAAGGCCCAAGCCACCAGGAGAGTAGAAGGGTGAAGAAGCACCAAGTTTGGAGAGAGTATTTACCGAAACACGCTCATCTTCAAAGAAGATCGGCATGAGGTGGTCGTAGGTCATTGAGTGGTAGGTGAAGATGCACAGAGACAGGATGAAGCCGACGATGCGCTTGTTCCAAATATTGGCGGGCTTCGTCTTTTCCGTAGACATCTCGTTCGAGCTACGCTCCGGGCACTCATCGCTGCTGCTGCTGCTGCTGTTGTCTCGAATAGTTCCATAGGTCTCCGCGCGAAGGTCCACCGCTGGTCGCTTTATAGCGTCTGAAGTCTCCAGCAGCGGGGTCTCTTCTGAGACGTAGGTATCTGCGGGAAGTAGAATTCGAGGTTGCATGTCAGGGTGAGTTTCTTCAAGGAGGAAGAATCCCATGACGATACTGATGAACAAGAGAGCAGCGCAGACGAGGTTGGGCAGGAGGTAGGGGTATCGCTCGAACAAAGAGCCTTTGGGGAAAGCATTGGGCCAGGAGTCGTGGGGGTCAGCAAAGGTTCCGCCGATACAAGGGCCCACGATGGTTCCAATACTCCACACAAAAGGCATAACGGAGAAAGCGCGCGCTGGTAACAAACGTTAGCATGCATTGTTCAATAGCGTTAACACAAATAGGTATTTGGAACAGAGTACTTACGCTCATGCTCAGGTTTTGTGACAAGCTCACCGACCATGGTCTGGATGACGCCAATGTTGCCGTTGAGGAGACCTCCTATTGCGCGGCCGGCCAAGGCGATCCAAATGTTGGAGGCGAATCCCACCATGATCATGCTGAACATGGTTCCCACACAGCCGAGAATTAGGACGGGCTTGCGGCCGATGCGATCAGACAAGCCGCCCCAATACATGCCCATCAGGGCCTCGGCGAGAGAGAAGGATGAGATAAGGAGGCCCGAGTAGAAGGAGGCATCTTGCTCGTTTCCAATCTTGAATCTCTTGACAAGAGCCCAGGCATAAGGAAAGATGGAAGTGAGAGCGATTGGCTCGGCAAGGCGAACAATAGCTGCGCAGGCATTAGCTTCAATGTTTCCTATCCTTCTTCTTTAGAGGACGAAATAGACTTACCGAGGAGGAAGAGTTGAAGGGTCGGGAAATCGTCTGGGTTGCGAAGACGTGCCTGCTTTGTTAGGTTCATGTCTTCTCTGTTTGGTATGAGCTTACGACAACAGACACAGGCACAGATTTGGAAAAGTGCGTGTGTTGGTGTGCGTATAGAGAGGCTCGAGTTTCTCTCTCAAGAGGCGGTTGGTTGCGCGAGTCGTGAAGGACAGAGGAGTTGCGAGTTGAGTTGAGCGCAGAGGCGAAAGGAGAGATACAGTATAAGTAGGCGCGGTGGGTGAGGCTTATGCTGATGCGTTCAAAGTATGGTGTTGCTAAGCCCCGCACACAAGGTGGCAAGAACGAAGCAACAAGATTCTAAGAGACGGACAACCTGAGCTGATGGAAGATGTTGTTGAAAAAGATTTCGCAGAAGGCGAGAGAAATCTGGTGGGAGCAGGCCTATTTCAAGGAGTGGCGTCTGCGAAGGTGGGAGCGCACAGTAAGATACAGTGCTCAAGACGGTGGCAGCTGGTGGATCTGAATGCATCGGTAAGAGAGACATGCATGTAAAGCGTGTGGCTGCGTGTGGCATGTGGGGGTTGAGACAAGGACTGCATGCAGAGCCGCGGCAGTATGCAGCAAGCGAGGCCGCACGAGCCACACGCTAGGCACCTCGAGTATTTTAGCCTCTGGCAGCAGCCGCAAGCGTCGCACCCCGGGGGTCTTGCTATTGGCGGTTTTTGTGTTCGCGATATGTCTCGCGCTGCTTCAACTGTCTTGCATTGTTGTGTTTGCAACGGCGGCTGCTTTCAATGGCAAAATCTGGTTCTAGCAGCATCAAAGACGCCGCGCAGCCATGCACATCTGCTATGTTGCCATCCATTGTTCCCGGGAAGACGCCACATCCGGGGAAGACGAAAGACGCTCGTCCGCACGCTCCGTGATGTTGATTGCAAATAGTCGGTTTCTGCTCTCTGTCCGTCTCCCAATCCCCGAACCGCGAACCAGTACCGGTTGGTACCACCCACGCGAGAAGAGAGAAAAAAAACTATTCGACGGGGGGGCAGAGTTAGGGAAGAGCCGATCAACTCCCAGACTAGCAACTCTAGCAACTCTAGCGCACCTGGTGGGTGGTCTCTCCTCTTGCGATAGAGGCGCTTGTTAGTCTCGTGTTGCGCTCGGATCCAGACATCACATGCCCTGCCATTGGCTTATCGCTGCCTGGCAGTTGTCAACCTCGTTTCCCACTCCGAACCAGGAGTTTGATGTGGGGTGCAGGCTCGGTGGCCACTACACAGTATATGCATCTATCGCAAACGAGCGGCCAATTGGGCTTGGCAATTGGCAGGTAGAATTTTCCCTGCTTCGCGGCGCTCCACCCAAGGCGGCAAAGCCTAGACAACCTTTGCATGCGCTGCACGATTGTCTGCGACGCCGACGAGCCGACGCCTTCACCCGCGATTTCAAGCGCTGGGAATATCCATCATGGTTTCATATGTTGTGCGTGATTATGCTGACGGTGTTGCTGCTTCAGCCGTCGAGATGGAAGGAAGATTGTATTTTACCTCGACTGCGGCGACTCTTTCGCCGTCATGACTTCGCGATGAGATACAAATGATCGCATGACAATGCAATGACGATAGGCACTATGACCGGGATTCTGACATGGTGACGGACACCATCGTCAGAAATAAGTCAAGCCATGCCATTCGCATGCTTGTACGAATGAGCCTCGCCCTCGAAATGCTACGCTGCCTTTTTGACATCTTCATGTGGCTCGCGCCCAAAGGGCCAGGAGGGAGCGATGAGTCGCCTCGGATGCATGCCGGTCAAGCCTCCCATGCGACGTAAGATTGACAGCAGCCGAACGAAGATGGGGGATCAATTGCATGCTCGTACTAGCATGCATATGGATTCTACTAGAACCTAGGCAGCTCGGTTCGGTTCCCTAGGGTATCCTCATATAGGTGCGGACGGCGTGAGTTGTCATTACTTAATATCACAACCTGCGAGATAGGTAGGTCTTGAGCCGTGGTGCCAGTATTTGCACGGTCACGCTACACACTTTTACTCCCACCAGCCTCCAACTCCAATTTAATCAGCTTATGCGGCTTTCCCGCACTAACCTTGGATCTGCAGCTGTTCGACCGGTCCTAAAGGCAAATTTGAACCGACATGGAATGACGGCTGTGGCTGCCGGTGGTATAACCGTCACTGGGCGAAGTCGAGTGAGCTGTAGAGCATCGAATCTAGTAGAAATGACAAGAAGAGATGCAAGACCCGGCAAGAAACAGGCACCGGCTTTGGCCCATGAGCATCCGGATCTGCGCCAACAAATCGCCGGAGCATGTCCCCCGCCTCGTGCCCCTCCTCAATCTCTCTTCTGTTCTCCCTTCCCTCTTCCCCGCTGCTCACCTTGGGGGGGGGGGGCTGGAATGTGTCTCGAATCGCAGCGTGAGGAGCAAACTGGCGGTCTGGTCGAGTTCTACCCCGGAAACAGCCAATGGATAGCCTGTGTCTAATTGTGCTGAGATTCATCTAGTCTGGCAGCCTCATGACCAGCTTCCCGTGAGGCACTTGCCAAGGTCGTTTCTAGCGGGTGTCGCATAGCCGACGAGCAGACAGACCGTCAAACGCCCGACCCGGGACGCTCCTCCGACGACCCTGATCTTGGCGTGTGAACACCCACGCGCTGGCGCAGTGCCGGACCCTCAGGGCCTCACACCCCCTCCACTCTATTTATCTTCTGGTGGCCTGAGCGCCAAACAAGGAAAAAGAATCTTTGAAGGTGGAGAACGACTGCATGTTGTATGCAGCTATCCAGGAAGCGCTAGACAAAGAATTCCTCTAGTTCCCGAGGACTGGGCCACACTGGGTGGAGCATCTTTAGCCAACACGATAGACTGAAAATCGAACCGAAACTGATAATGAGCAGCCAGTCCCTCATTGGCGAAGAGTGGCTGCATTTCTGACACAATAGATATTAATGACGCGCGGCCGCTAGGCTTCTGATGCTTGCTTGAATCAATGGCGACCATGAGCAACTCGTCTTTTTATATAACTCACGATCTACAATTTTGATGTTTTCTCTCTTCGGTTGTGAGCGGACTCGGGTGCCGACTATTGCCTCGCCGGTCTCGGGGCGCGAATCAACTTCGGCTATTCCGACTGCGATACGAATGGTGATCTTGCAACTCTGTGTTGCATTCAGCATAATTTGGCTACAACGGGAGTTTCAATTGTAACAGCACACAGCCGCCATTTAGCACTCTTGCTTGTCCAATCGCAGATAGCCTTTTTAAACCGTATTACATGATAGGAATCTATCCAGGGACTTGTATTGTCCTAAAAAGAATGCGCGGCCCCGAGCGAGCAAGGCATAACAGTTCTCAGCTAATACTGAAGAAGATAACGATTCATCTCCAATGAGATTGGCTAAGTCCTATGCTCTTCATTGATATACTGATACTGTCGTAGCACGACTCTCCGGACAATTATGCTCTTATTACACATCTGACACAACTCATCGCTGTTTATTAACATGTCTCTCTATCAGCTTCACTGAATAGCTACCTATACTACTACTATAGCTTTGCCGCCCATGCAGATGGAACATGTAGTTTCACAAAACCTCCTTGTCAAACATCTCCTCACAGTCGCTCACCTGCCTTAGCGCTGCCTACACCCATTTCTCCCAGCACAGCCTTATACTTCTCCGCCTCTTCCACCATCTGCTCCATCGTCCGCATGTTGCGCTCCGCGTCCTCAATGCTAGGCATCCTCCCCGCCGGCTGTGGCCTCCCATGTTCACGATCCCAGAAGGCCCCTCCTACATTCGCCTCCTCGCTGGACAACTTCACGTAGATCTCATCGGCAGTCTCGCCCATGTCGCCCTTCATGCGAGGGATGATGTGGACGTGCACGTGCGGGATCGTCTGTCCCGCGTCAATGCCGTCCTGAAGCGCGACAGTGAAGCTGCCGGATGTGAGGTCCGAGGGGTTGGGGAAGTAGAGCTTTGCGAGGAGCTTCTGCGCGAGCTGCACGGTGGTGAAAAGATCTGTTGTTTCGGCGGGAGAGAGATCCAGGAGGCGGCGGTGCGGCTTGAGGGGGCAGATGAGGATGTGGCCCGGGAGGAGGGGCTTGAGGTTGACCAGGCCGTAAGAATGGGGAGTTGTGAGAAAGACCTAGAGTATTAAAAAAAAAATGAGCTGTGCTCACAATCAAATTGCGCTTTTCCTTTCTGCTATTGAAAATGACGTATATGTCGTTCAAGGCTGGATTGTTCTCATACCTGCTTGGTGACCTCAAATGGCCCAAACTTGATATCCATGCCGTCGGTGTTGGTTGAAGTCATGATGCCTCTCGCAAAAGACGGCCTTTCAAAACTACCTAGTTTAGGAGTTGTAACAGAATGATCTGACCAACGCTGCTTAACAAGTTGGCTCGTCCGGAACAATAACAATCTATTCGAAGCTGTAACTGTCCGAGTTGTGTAAATTTCTCACTAGTCAGCAAACGTTGAGTGAGAAAATGGGGGGCAACGTATGCATTATTTCCTCGGCATTTAAACTAACCCGATCGATGAGCTAGATTTTGGAAAACTAGACTCATGAGTAAGAAAAGAGAATCAAGCCAAGGTACATATAATTAATGGCTTCGGTTTTTTTTTCATGTAAGAGTGAGATGTGAGCGTGAGATTGTGAGATTTAAGATTGTTTTGTTTGGCAGAGCGGGGCCGTGTCGTCGATGCGCCTCTCAGATTGATTAGCCTCTTGTGGTGTGGAGCAGGTCTCGGCTCGCTGGGATCGAACGCTCAATGGCTGATGAGAGAGGCTTCGTTTCCCCAGCTTGTGAAAGCAGCTATAAACTAGTTTAGTGACTCCGTAAATGTCTTATAAATGAGCTTTGCCTGTAGTTTATAAGACTCAAATGAAATACAGCTACATCGTACAATTTATTTGGTATCTTCTATCGGATATTCTAACATTACATATCGTATCACAAATCTCTCCTCTCAAGACTGCAGCAACCGCTCGTTATTACTCTTACCGTTGAGAACAAAACTTCATCAATATGTCTAATCGCTTTTGGATTATTCTTCTCATCGTTCTTGCCACTTGTCGAAAGAAATCATCTCCACATATCACTACGCCGCAAACCGCTAAAGAACAAACGCTCAAAGACAAACCGCTCTCCAAAAGTGCACCGCCAGGCTCCTCTGCATCTAAATAAAATTCGAGTCTTCGTTTGCTGAAAGAAGGGCGGCGCCGGCGTCAAGACGCGCCGAGGAGCGGTTTGGTGGCTGCTCAAACTGTTCCTCTCCAACATCTTCCCAGTGGACTTTAACACTTTTGTTAGCATATAAAAGGCCGCAAACGTTAATTTGGAGATACATACTATGAGGTCTCAAGATAAAAGCACATGTCAGACCGATGCTGAAGAGTCCACCAAGGAGCACAAAGATGGCTTGTGGGAACACGCCTACTGTCATCGCATATAAGCCGTTGAATAAAACGGGCCCAATGACTCGTGAGAGCGCCTGCATGAAACCAACAGCGCCAAGGACCTGCCCAATACGCGACGCGGGGACATGCTTAGTGACGGCTGCTTGAACAGTGGCGCTTCCAAGGCCCCCAAGGGCGGTGACCATTCCGCTGGCGAAAAAGAGGTGTTGATTTCGAGCGAAGATGTATCCAATGCATCCCAGCAAATCCGAAGTCAAAGCGAATCTGAGCACCCAAACGTCTAGATTGTCCGCTCCAGAGTTTGCTTCTATGTGAGGTTGCCCAGACTCTCGTCGCCGCCGGGCTGCTGGTCGGATGCGGAAGACGTAGTTGATAATGGGGAAGATGACCATCAGCACAAAGACACGAATCATGGACAAGGAGGAAATGAAACGAGACGTCTCAAAATTGCCCCAGTTGAACATGTATTCGCTGTAGAGCATCAGTACGTTACCCACAGCCATCATGGATCCCATGATGATGGTGTCGGCGATGGCCAGTGCGACCAAGTTGATTCGGAGCCTTGAAGAAGTTCCAGGGCCAGTTGGCCACAGAATCTTGAAAGTCGCAAAGGGGTTGTGAAGGAGGCGAGATGAGGAGCCCTCGCTACCATCTTGCTCAGCTTCAGATCTGGCCAATTTCTCGCGAGCTAGCATCTGCCTTCGCTTTGAAAGAGACTCTGGCAAGATAAAGCGGACGAAGAGGATGAAGAATGTGTGGCAGCCAAGAGCAACATAGAAGATTGAAATGAGCGTTCCGGTCCACTTGACGAAATAGCCGGCCATAAGAGGACCCAGAGCAAGGCCGGTGAAGAGGCAAGCATGGATATAACCAATGGACACGGCCCTCTTGGACGGAGGAGTGCAGTCGCTCGTGTATGACTGACTGAGGATGCTGCCGGCGGTGAAAGAGCCTGTAATGCCATCGAAGACAGCACCGAGAATCATCCACCGGTAGTTGAACGTCTGAGGGTATTTGGCGCAGAGGATAGTGACAATCTCACTCAAAACACCACCGCAGGATGCAAGAGCCATCAATTTTCGTCGGCCATATCGATCAGAGAGATGGCCCAGTTTTGGAGCGACGATGGCACTCAGGCCGCCGATGACGAGGTTCAAGGTCAGCATGAATTCAGCGACGTTTCGTTGAACGGCTGGAATGTTGCATTGTGGGTTGTCGGACCCCAGTACAATGGGCTTGTAGGTGAAATGGGGGTCAGCAAGCTGTTCATCAGCAAAGTATTGCTTGCAGACGAGATCTAGAATTCTGCATCATCGGCCAAGAATTATTAGCGATCTGCAAGCAGTTGACAGCATGACTCGACTATTGCTTACAGATTGAGCTTGGGAACGATGATGCCTCCAAAAGCAAGGGTGAAGACGGCGTAAGGACCGAGAAGCCAGAATACCTGCAAATGCTTGTTAGAACTTGTGTTGCGAATCGCACATCGAAACCGAGGGAAAGCATACAGACGGCCTGCGCCACCAGGGCAAATGTTGAAAGTCGAGATCGTTGTCCCAGCTGTCTTTTCTTGCTCCAGATCCATTTGAGCCAAGTAATTGAGACGTCTCTGTAAAGTCCGAGTTGCGGTCGTCGATTTCGCGAACTGTCGGACTTGGACTCCGTCCGTCGCCTCTCCGCTTCGGCCCAGCCATTTTGTGTTTTCGATGCGTGTTCTGGGGCTAATAATTGCGATAAAATGTCGACTGAGTTGATGCGATTCAAGGCAGCTTGGTCCGAGGACAGAAAAACAACACGGGGGTTGCTGATGGCAGACGCGCTCGGCTCAAGTTGGGAAAGCTATAGAGTAGCTTTCGGGGTTGTGATAGCGGCGCAAAGCTCGACTCAGTCTCATTTCTCACCGGGACGAATCTACTCGGTACTTTCCGTGACAGAGGGAACGAGCATAAATATCACAGAGATATGTATACAAGACGACGAGAGGGAGGTAGACAAGGTTCGGGGAGAGAGGAAGCGAGATGAGCGAGCCCGACACAGTGATTCGTCTGGAGCAAGAGCTTACATACATGCCGAGTCCCAGCAAACTGGGGCATGGGCTTCGAGCAGTGATAAGGTATCGCTGGCAAGTGGAGAGCGCTCACAGAAGCCCAAAAAGCAAAAGCAAGCCGCCAAGTCTAATCTCAAGCTGCCGTCAAGGTGCGGGCTAATCGCGTGGACGCCCTCGAGTGGATTCGGAACCAAAATCCGGGGCCCAGGGGGGAAGGTCGACCAGGATTCTTTCAATAGATGGATGGCGCACTACCAAAAGTCCTGTCTGACGCTATTATTAAGTGTGCCGACCCCGTGTTGACGGAGTTAGGCGGCTGGCACAGATGACGCCGTCATATATCTGCTTCACCTCTGCTTGTGCGACGCAATGCGAGCTGCAAAGTGTGTCAGCGCGGCCTGGCCTGATTGCTTCGAAATGCGATTCATTCCCCAGATGCCCGCAGGCCACCGCGTCGTCGACGGAGCTGTCGCTGCTGCTAGTTGCCCAGCGCAGCCAATCTGCAGGTGTCGGCCAACCAATCTATGACGCCTGGCCGCTGCGAATGCCGTGCCTGACGGAGCTCTTTTGATAACGAGCCAGCCACACCAACGCACGGAAGCGCAGAGATGGTGCCCGGCCTCCAGCCTATCTCAGCCTCTCCAGCCTATCCGGGTACTGTATCCCACGGAAAATGGCGGGGGCCAGCGATACGCTTGTGGACGAACTGGCAGACTTTGCGACCGCGTCCGTTTAGCCGCGTCTGGGCTGGAATCTGGCGGTGCCTGGGCCTGTTTTGATGATGCTTGACAGACGTAACTGGCCGGTTGTGTGCTTGGTAATTCGGACTTTTTGCTGGCCGGAGTCCGAACTCCGCCTCCGCAAGCTAACTGCTGTTTAGGTTTCAGTGGACTTTTGAACTATTGCTATTGGGCTCTTTAACGTAGAGTAGACTTTTCCAGCTGCAGATCGAAAGAGCTGGGCAGAGCTGTGGCCGTTGCGTAGATTGGGCCGGATAAATAGTGAGACTGGGACATGATTTTTTATTTGTTTCAACTTATCCCATGGTCCAATCATTTGACAACTGCAGGTGGTTTGCCGATGATAACTGCGGTTAGGCTCAGTGTAGGTGGAATGTACTCCATAATTTTCTCACTGATAGGAAACCAGAGGCTCTACGTGGCACTCTATGCAAGTTGTATTTGTAAATGTAGAGTAAGAAATCGCCAATTAGGCGAAACAACGACATCCATTGATGCCTCATGCGTATGGACCTGACAGAGTGCATGATCGGGGAACCCTTCCAATGCATCCTCTTTAAGCTCAGACATGCAGCCATACGCCTGTGTTGCCAAATCCGGCATAAGGTGAAGCTCCCGGTGGCCGCTGCCGCTGCCCCCGGTGAGCCGCCAATTAAAAGCTGCGCCATGATGACTCAGCAATCTCCAAACGCAACGCGATATGGCTGCAAGGCTCTGGCATATTTTCTGGAGCAAGCCAGCGAGTCGACACGCATCAACCATCACCAATTCCATCGCCGCCGCCACAATGCCGGTCGTCAAGGGAGGTGTCTGGACCAACATCGAGGACGAGATCCTCAAGGCGTCCGTCTCCAAGTATGGCCTCAATCAGTGGGCACGCGTGTCCTCGCTGCTGGCGCGCAAGACGCCCAAGCAGTGCAAGGCCAGATGGAACGAATGGCTGGACCCGAGCATCAAGAAGATTGAGTGGAGCAAGGAGGAGGATGAGAAGCTGCTGCATCTCGCCAAGATTATGCCCACCCAATGGCGTACCATTGCCCCCATAGTCGGTCGAACTGCGAACCAATGTCTCGAGCGATATCAGAAGCTGCTTGACGAGGCTGAGGCGCGTGAATCATCTGGCCTTGGCCTTACCGGACCAGAGGGGGGCGAGACACAGGCACCAAGCGCCGACGATGTCAGGAGACTGCGGCCGGGTGAGCTTGACCCGGATCCAGAGACGAAGCCCGCTCGACCGGATACCATCGATCTCGACGAGGACGAAAAGGAGATGCTTAGCGAAGCTCGTGCTCGTCTGGCCAACACGCAGGGTAAAAAGGCGAAGAGAAAGGCCCGAGAACGCCAGCAGGAAGAGTCTCGTCGCCTTGCGACTCTGCAAAAGCGGCGAGAGCTCAAAACGGCCGGCATCAATATCAAGGTTACCACGCGAAAACAGGGTGAAATGGACTACAATGCAGACATCCCATTCGAAAGGAAGGCTGCCCCTGGATTCTACGACACCTCGGAGGAGAAAGTGCGAAATGATTTGCAGCGTGCGGCATTCGACCCGAGAAAACAGCAGCTTGCCAGTAAGCGCAAAGGCGAGGGCGACGAGGATAACGATCGCAAGAGGAGGAAGAACGACAAGGAAGGCATTTCAGAATCACAAAAGGCTGCTATCAAGGCGGGCCAGATGCAGAGGATTCGAGAGGCCGAACAGAGCAGCAAGCGCCGTCCGCTGAACTTGCCTGCACCGCAAGTGGGAGATGGCGAGCTGGAGGAGATTGTAAAGATGGGCAAAATGGGTGAAGCCGCCAACTCACTAGCTAGAGAAAGCGATAACGATGCGACGCGAGGATTCGTGAACTCGTATTCGACCCTCAATACAAATGCGCCGATCCGAACACCCAGAGCACCTGCACAGGAGGACCATATCGCCAACGAAATCCGGAACATTCGGGCTCTCAATGATACCCAATCTGCTCTGCTGGGTGGCGAGAACACCCCTCTTCACCAGGGAGCTGGCTCAACTGGATTTGAGGGCATTGCTCCCCGGAAACACGTCATGGCGACCCCCAATCCTCTAGCCACGCCTTTGAGAAATGGCGTGCCGAACGGCACTGTGCCTGGCCAAACACCAATGCGGACTCCACGAGATACATTTGCTCTCAACCAAGAAGATGGAATGTCAATGACAGGCGCAACCCCTCGAGATATTAGAAACAGGGAGATGGCCATGCGGAATCAGCTGCGTGCCGGACTGGCTGCGCTGCCCAAGCCGAAAGACACTGAGTGGGAGTTTGAAATACCAGAAGACCAAAGGGAGACTGTGGCTACTGATGATGCCATGGAAGAGGATGCTGCTCTCCGGGATCGACGAGAGCGTGAAAAGCGAGAGGCTGAAGAGGCGCTTGAACGGCGACGGCGGACTCAGGTAATGCAGCGAGGGCTTCCACGACCCGTAGTTGTCGACTTGACAGAGCTGCTGAAGAGGGCGAAGGCGATCGATGATCCAGCTGCGGCACTCATTGCGGCAGAAGCGGCTGCTCTGATGGCCAATGATGCTATTAAATTCCCCCTGAGCGGCTCTCAAGTCAAGGGCAAACCCTCGCCTTTGGCACAGATAGACGACAGCTCCCTCGCTGACGCTCGACTTCGAATTCTCTCAGAGACTAAACCGCTACCGAGTTTTGAAGATATACAAGCAGCCTTTGAAAGCAGGGCCAACGGAGACTCTTTGCTTCTGGGCCTAGGATGCTATAACGATGATGATGATGAGCAAGATGCCGCTATGCGAGCTGCTTTTGACGTAAGTTTTTATCTTAGCCCTCAACTGAATCTACATCGGTACTAACCAACCAAACAGACTGTTCAAGATTCCATCATGACTTCAGCAGAGGAGGACGCAAAGCTCGAGAAGAAGCTCACACTACATCTGGGCGGATACCAGAAGCGGCAAAAGATGCTTAAAGACAAGGTATCGGATGCGGCAGATGCTTTGGATAAGGCAAAGGTAGCTCTCAGCGGGTTTAAGACACTGGCCATCAACGAAGATACAGCGATCAACCGTCGACTGGCGTCACTGAGAGACGAAGTTAATTTCATTAGTCGAAGAGAGAGAGAGGCACAGGAGGAATACCAAAAGGCCAAAGAAGAGCTAGAAGCTCTACGAGCGGGGAACGTCAACGGGTACCATTAATCAGGGGACAAAGCATTGAATTTACTACCATGGGGTAATCGAATGGCTGGGCATCAAATGAGGGGGTTGTTGTATAAAAGGAAATCATCAAGTTACTGCGTTTTTTATTCGACATATGCGTTCTGACGTTATCATGCAAGAGTACCTAGGATATCTATCTGTCTACTCTTCTCTTTCCAGTCTTCCTATATATCTCTATCATATGTATCATTTCTCACTATCGAACTTTTCACGACTTGCGCTTTACTGGTGCTAAACGCGGCGTCTTAATGGGCAGAATAATAAATACAGAAACAGCAGCCAGCAAGGTGCAGAGGATAAAGGTCAGTCTTAGCGACGCCTCATAGCTACGAATCACTTGTTCCCTGTACGGCTCTTCTAGCTCGGCGACGGCCTCGACGGACGCTCTGACACGCCTGATGATTTCCAGCTTGTCCTCGCCGCGTACGAATTCATTGAGGTAGTAAACCAACCCATTCTGGATGACGAGGCTGCTCAGGGCAATGCCGAGCACCAGACCCAAGCACCGCCAGAGAATAAGCGTGCTCGAGACGACGGCCTGCTCGGCCTGCTCGCCGCACGCAAGGATGGCTATGAAGGTGCCCGGAAACTGGAATCCCTGTCCGATAGCCTGAGGGATGAGGGCGAGGAGGTAGACGATTTCCGGCATGCCGCGGCGGAGGAAGCAGAGGGTGAGGTTGCCAATGACATACCAGACGGTGCCGGCAAGGACGGGCCACTTGAGGCGTCGGGTCCAGGTTATGGAGAAGCCGGTGAAGGCGCCGATGATGGACGCGACGACGGAGGGGATGACGAGGCGGAGGCCGGAGGAGGTGGCGCTAGAGAGGAGGACGGCTTGGAAGTATAAGGGGCTAGAGATGAAGAGTAAGCGTGTGTCTTCAATCTGAGAAGAAGAAGAATGGGGATAAGGGTGTTTCACTTACATGTTGAAGCTAATGGCGTTGGCGAGCACAGCTGCGATGAAGTTTGCAAAAATGAGGTTCGCCCGAGGAGATTTTTGGATGAGATGGACGGGCATGATGGGCTTGGGGACGCGAGTTTCAAACCAGAGGAAGGATGGGAAGGCAACGGCCGCGACGGATAAAGCAGTGATGACAACAGGATGAGTCCCTATGAGATGAGTTAGATGAGAGCATTCAAAAAGAGGCAAATGTTTGGAAAAAAGGGGGGTGAGATGCATACATGGATAGATGTTGCCGCCGAAGCTCTGAACAGTGAGTGAGTGGATTTCAATTAGCCCGTCTGCATTCACAATGCTTTCAAGAGCAAGAAGAATCGAAACTTACCAATCCCAGGATTGCAGTCGTCGTCGACACCGTCAACAATGCAGAACCCTTGAAATCAAACTGGCGCATCGCATCAAAGATGCCTCGCCGCGGGCCCTGCAGCCCGATATTATCTGGGATCACGACCGCGGACATGGCCATGCACAGGAGCAGCGGCGGAACCTGGACGCCAAACTCCCATCGCCAGCCGAGCGCCTCGGCCATGGCGCCGCCGAGGGCAGCTCCGAGGGCAGAGCCGGCGCCGAAATTGATGGTGACATAGGATTGGTAGGTGCCTCGGCGTCTGATGGAGAGTCAGCTTTCACGGATTTTCTGCAAGTGTCGCAACATCAACAAAAGAGAAAATACAAAAGAAAGAGAGACATACTCTATCGGCACCAGGTCGCTCGTAATGATACTCCCCAGCGCGGCCACCCCTCCAGCGCCAAGTCCGCAAAGCGCTCTCGCTGCTATGAAACTCTCGATACTTCCCGCCAAGGCGCACCCAATCGTCGCAACAGTAAAGACGCCCAGGCTGGCTATGAATAAGGGTTTCCTGCCCATGGCGTCAGACAACCTGCCCAGCAGCGGCTGGAACGCCGTCGACGTGAGCAAGAAGGCGGTGGATAGCCAGGACGCCGAGTTGGCGGCCCCGAAGTGCGACGTGATGACCGGGTGGGATGAGGCCATGAGGGTGCCGTCAAAGCTGGCCATGAACTGGGAGACGAGGATCTGGGCGAAGATGAGCCAGAAGCGAGTTGGGGAGGATTCGCCCAGGAAGATGAAGGACTTTGCGGCGGTGGAAGAGGTGGCTGAAGCTGAGCTGTTGCGCCGAGGGAGGAGGGGAGAGCGCTCGGTGAAGGGCTGGTTTGTGTCGTTGTCATTGTATTTTATGTGGCTGTGGTTGTTGCTGCTGTTGAGGTTGTTTCGAGTTGGGAGAATGCCTTCTTCTTCATCTTCTATATGGCTTATACTTGTGTGTGTCTCCGAGTCCGGACCCAGCCCGGCTTGGGGCCCCTCTCGAGCCATTTGGAGACGGGCTGTTGTGCTAATGAAGATTGTATAAAATTTTCGTTTCTTTCTAAACTTGTTTTAAACAAGAAAGCAAGCGAAGAATATGCAAAAGGTCTTTTTCTCTTGGGTACTTTAAGTCACTTAAGAAAAAAGGTGTTGAGAACATGCGCTGAGAAGGGGAGAATGAACGCTCAGTTAGTGGGAAACTTGCTAGCCGCCGTCCTGAAAGAACAAACCCCATATACCGGAGGGGAAAAAGGTAATACAAGACAAACAGCTGCAAGGGCGTAGAGTCGCATCCGACTAGTATTTGTCTCCTCTAATGTAGCTGCGTGTAAGTGTGGGCGGGAATCTCGTAGCCGACAAGGATGGCAGTACCCGCCTGCAGGCAGTAGCATGCAAGTAGAAAAAGACAAACAAACTTCTCAGCAGGACGAAATCTATATTGGATATATATACAAAAAGGGAATTTATAAAGCCGCGTTTCCCCCCACGGCTGTAATGCTCAACGCCGCACTCGCAGCTGAGAAAACAACAAGGCCCTTTGTCGGTGTGTAAGCCCGCCGCCGCCATCGCAAGACATCAGCGGGCTTGTAGCTGAATAAGTCGAGGTCAGATGCACCCGTCCCGCCGCTAATGCTTCTTCAACCCCCCTGTCCATGAAGACACACCCGGGGAACTGGGGAAGCGCCAAAAAAAAAAAAAATATGGAGTTCCAGATGTCTGAACGCAAGAGTGACTACGCCTGCATTTGGCTGGGGATAGCAAGCGGTCAAGTGCCCTATGACGAACTGATATAAGCTAAAAGAGACTTATACTCAAGGCTGCGGTGCCCGCTAATCCTGGTAGAGGATCCTTACTCAGACTGCAGCGATCTCGCAGTGTTTTTATTGGGGCGATTCACTGAGGGGGCGGATGTCTTGGAGATCTAGCTAGGCCTATATTCTTACTCATTGGGGGCAATGGCCGCTTGCTGGGAGGCGAAGAGGCGAAAAAGGGGAGAGTTGCAGAGATTCAAGAAACAGTGATTGTGTGTGCCGTGTATGACAGATTGCGTGAGAGGCGTCCAATTGCGCCAAAAGGTATTCGGCTGTGTCATCTCTTTGGCTGTGCTTCGTTACCTACTAGCACTACGCCGCATTCCAGCGCAGTGTACATCAAGAACAGTTTGTTCAGCCATCTGGATATATAAGATACATGTATATATATACAGGGTATATGAGTATGTAGATAGATAGGTAACACTTGTATGTAGACTACCTTCTTCCTAGTATCCCCGCATCGTCCTCTCTCATATCCCTGGATTCGCTCCACATGCTATTCTATCTCATCATGACAAGATTCGTATCTCTAGCGCTCAGTAATCCACGCTGTGCTTTGCAAGAAAGAGAAGGGGCAAAGTAAATAAATAAATAAACCGCAACCAGAGAAAAAAAAAGCCATTCTTTCGCTCACAGCTCTGACTTCTTACTAGATGACGCCTCTGCAACCACCAGGATACCCGCTCCTGTAACACCGCCATCGTGGCAAGGCCTCAGCACTACCCGCAGCCGAGCTTCGCCCCCAAATCTGCGGGACAGTAGCTGATTGAGAAATTGCTGGCAGTCTGCAAGATAGTCTTGAAAGTGCACGATGCAACCGCCGGTGTAACCCACGCCAAGCTCGCGAATTGGAGAGCTCGAATCTGCCATCGCTACCCCATCTTCGGGTAGATCATCCGCCAGTGTAAGCAGGGCGATAATGGCGGCGGCGATTATGCCCGAAGCTCGGACCTCGATGGCTTTTGCAATGTGATACAAGGCCGTAGCCAGGTCTTCCGTCCACGTAAAAGAGGAGTCTGCGTCTTCGGGGATCTGCCGTCTAAGCTTCTCTAGCAGGGCAGATGGTGGCTCTAACGGCTTGAAATGGCTTAGAAACGTCGTCGTCAAGCTCTCCTTCTCTAAGAGCTTCCGCGGCAACGCCTCAGTAGCCACGTTCAACTTATTAACCAAGTAATCGACCAAGATGATTCGAGCCAGCTCGCCCAGGTACCGCCCCGCGGTCATGTACTCTAACGGCTGAAATCCTGGCCTCTCATTCTGGGAAGACAAGGCGTCGTCCCATTTGGTGACTAGATTCATTTCCTTCATCGGTGGCAGCGAGCCGTTGATGCTCCACTCTGTGTTGACTGCAATCTTGGCATCCGCTACACTCTCGCCTGGAAGGACACTCACTGTCTGAGGGCGTTTACTGGGATGCAAAAGGTCTAGCTTCATGGGTATCGTGGCGTTGGTTCCCGTTCCCAAAATTATAGCCATGGCGGCTCGTCGATGCTCTGTGCCGCCGTAGCTGAAGAGGCACGATACAAGCGTGGAGACTGTGTCATTGGCGATGGCGGTGACTCTGACAGGTGGCAGCTCAGACGTTCGACAACTTTCGTAGCCTTGTTCGATGTGAGCGCCTAGATCAATACCAGGTGGTAGAGCAAATCCTTTGCCCATGTCCTTTAACAGGGCGTGAGAGACAGACCGCTGCTCCATGGGGAAGCTGAATGTGACACCTAGAGCCAGGGGTTCATCCTTGGATATGTTAAAGACTCTGCATCCCTCCTCTACAACTTCGGCGATGCATCTTCCAACCCATGAGAAGAGGCTATCTGCGTTATCGTTCTTGAGATGATGGTCTATGGGCCATGATTTCTCCAGTGGCCGCTGGATACGTGATGAAGGATCTTGGGCATCACCATGCAGCTCGACGAAGCCGACTCTGAGATTAGTCCCTCCACTGAATGGGTTCATGTTAGTATAGGTACCGACCAAACAAGTAAATGTTTCATTTTGTTGATAATTTGATAATGGCTGTCTTACATGTCTATTGCCAGATGCCTATTAGAGATTCACTTGTCAGCCTCATGTTCTTGCCAAGGTCACCACCAACGCTGCAGGCCTCAGCTTGCAGTTCTGTTAATAAAGTCTCATTCTAGGCCGTAGCACCACTTACTGTCCGGCCCCTTGGTCAGTGAGGTGCCTCAAAATAGACTCAGATATCGGCGTGGGCAGCCATTGGTCTCTCGAATTCGCAGCCAGATGCCTGAAATTGGCCAGAAACTTGCGCGATAGCTCGTACGACCTGTCGACATCGATGCTCAGCGGCTCCAAGAACCGGTGAATGTCCGCTGTAGTGGCCATGGCTTTAACTTTGCGAGAGCCAAGTGAAAACGTAGAAAAGACGCTATGACAGAGGTATCATGATAACTGTGGCAGAAGAGCGAGGAAAAAGAAAAGGCACCGGTTGCTTTATAAGTTCGCAAAAAAACAGTTACAGCCGGAGACGCAGCCGAGGGCACTCAATCCGAGGCGGGATGACAGCTGCTCACCTCCCGTTATAGGATGGCAGATAACGAAGTAGCAACGAAGTGGTGTTTGAAGTAAATGTGGCAGTGGTGAAGGGTTTCCCCCCTTTGGGAAGAAGCTGGCCGGGTTTTTAGTGGACGCTCTGCCTTATTGGTGCCATTTGGCGGGATGGGGCAGCTTGGCGGACCGAATAGCCTTCGGGACAGGCTTTTTCTAGAAGGGCGTTCAGGCCACCGGTTTGCAGCTAAACACCCAGGGAGGGGCTCGGTATACATGTACCTACCTGCATATACGTGGCAGGGTCTTTTCAAGATGAAGCACTTTAACCTCAAGTCACTTACAAGAGAATGTCTCAATTCAAATGACGATACAGCTCGGAACTCGCAGTATTAATTGATAAACATATATCCGATGTTACGTCGCATACTTACCAACGAGCCCTAGCAGCTGCCCACTTGGTAGGCTCTAGTGCCCCATTCTATATATAGTGCTGATATAATAGCATCCATGGATCGATGCATGTAGACAGCCTTACCTGTAGTAGGCAAAAGACAAGCTAAGAGAATGAATGACTTTTCCTCTGGTGGCATCAGGTCTGAGGAGGCAGTAGTTGTCTTGTTTGAGCACCTTGTATTATTTCCGCATATCACACTCATCTTATATACAACGAAAACGGCGTCTCGTTTGATAGCTTTGAGCAGGTATATGATTAGAGTGCCAACCACCATATCCGTATACGTATTAGATAATGATGTGTAATATGTTTCCTTGTTGCTGCGACTTCAAGTCACGAATTGCTGCAACATCTCTAGCCCCAGATCTCAAGTAATGATCAGGTGTGCTGCTGTTGGGCTGAAGGCGCTTTGTACCTCAAGGGACTAAAGTAGGGACACAAAATAGAAGTACGTATGCGGTTGAAAAGAGCAATGAAAATATAACAATCTGATTCATTTGGGGTACTTATGCCTTTTCCTGTTTGCGTATATGTACCATGGGGAATAAGCAGCAGCAGTGATACTGTATATTACAGTGAAACAGCGCCTAAGAGCCTTCTTGTGTACAGCTCTTCAATGTTTCCATCTTAGAAATAATCCGATAAATATGTGGAACAAGATAGTCCTCAGCTGTATTATTCACTCTACAACAAATATGAAGACTCTTGTATTACTGTGTATATGATGGTGCCTCGGTAGATCCCCTGGTACCTTATCAGACACGCGACCCCAAAAAGCCCCTGCTGAGCCGCTCTACTAGGACTAGCGCAATCACCAACCACGCAACCGCTCCTCACCATGACGCTATGCCGTCTGACCAATCTCGTCGCTGCAGCTTCGCGCGTGAAGCTGTACTGCTGCTGAGCTTTCAGCTCTCCAAACCACAAGCATTGCCATCATCAGCGTGCATCGTTTTGGATTTTTATTGCTCTTGGGAACGAACATCACGACTTTAGGATACCCGCATCTTTAATCAGCTACGCTTTTGACGACTTGCTCCTCGGCCGTTTATCTCCCTTCACCACCGCCATCCCTGGCTTCGTTATGGACGAAAAGCATCAGTATCAACCGCAGCCCATGAATCCTCCTCGGCGTGTGTCGTGGATTTTTTCCAAGGGCCGCCAGCTGCTCCTTATTGCGGTCGTCCTAATCGCAAGCTTCCACTTGATCGCTGTGCCTTTTATGCCGAAGCATTTCTTCCAGTGCAACCACGTTAGCACGACCAAGGCCCTCGTCCCGTTCGAAGCGCATATCATTAGCAAATGCCCCGATACCAGGGTACGCAGCAACTGTTTGCAAAGATATATTTTCTTTTTTTGGTGGCTGACTCCTCTCTTAGCATGCCCTTCGTAACCTGATCCTGCCCGTGATGCAAAAGGTCCACGACAAAGTCGACTTTCAGCTCTCATACATTGGCAAGTATGTTAAACCAAACTCTCTATCCACTCATAATCCGCCATCACTAACATTCATCATTCAGGCCCACTGCTAACGGCGGCGTCGAATGCAAACACGGTCCCTCCGAGTGCATCGGCAACATCATCGAACTCTGTGCTCACGAGCTCTATCCCGACCCCAAGATCCATCTCGGTTTCGTCATGTGCCTGACCAAGGACTACGACCTTATCCCCGATCGCGCGCTCATCGAAGACTGCGCTCTCGAGCATGCCATCGACTTCAACAAGCTCAACGACTGTGCCGCCCGAGATGAAACCGCCCACGGCATTGAGCTGCTGCGAAACAGCGTCCAGCGATCTGCTGATGTATGTCTTTTCCGAACTTCTATACGAAAGGAAAACTCCCGTCCGAGTAATAATCTAACAAAACAACTTTATAGGCCAACATAACCATCAGCTGCACCATTCGTCTCAACCACGAAGTCTACTGCATCCGCGATGACGACGAGTGGAAGGACTGCCCCAACGGCCCTGGCGTCAACGACCTCGTTCTCGCTATTGAGAAGCTGTACCGCGGTTCGTCGTAAGCGGTTCGAAGATTCCCGTCCATAGCTCGCTCGCCTCGCCCAACGTGTAGCTCATCGATAGTGCATCCATACCCGCCTCATCGTCTCCCCCCATGACCTTCAATGTCTCTATAATGCTGTCAAGGCCGACAGCCTTGCCCGTGGCTTGTGTGGCTCCGGCCTCTAGGGCAACATGAACAATATGTATATGGAAGTGGTAGTAGGTCGGTTGATAGTGAACATAGAGCTTCAGCTGGTTCTCCTCGATGCTCGGGTACGTTTTCGTCGTAGCATCGATGACCTTGGCTTTCATGTGCTGTAACCACGGAATGTGCTTCTTCTTCAAGTCCCGAAGCGACCAGATGTCCCGCCGCTCCACCAGCGCCAGCAGGTGCAGACCTTCGAGCGTCTTGCGGTCCCAGTTGAGGTCCGGTGTTAGGAGGAAGCCCTCGTCGCCAGCCTCGCCGAGCTTAGTTCTGTATATAACGTCTTCCACCTCGCTCCTACCCTCGATAATGTTGAATACCCAATTGAGTCTTCCTTGCTCTCTTTTAAGCTGCATGAATGGTCGAATGTGATTCTTGTAAATCTCTGGCGTCTCCGTGACGAATCGAACAGCTTGCTTGCTGTACTTTTTAATATGTGCTTCGGTGCACGGATATATCAAGTTGATTTTCAGGTCCGCAAAGAAATCGACGCCGTTGTCATGGCCGTTGTCTGCCTCGGGCTTGATCTCCTCGTCCACGGAGCCCGTCCTCGCCATGCTCCACGAGTAAATGTCGTTGGCGCCCAGATTTCGCAGCCGCGCGAGGGACGACGGCAAACCGGCAAGATACACCTCTGACGTGGGGAACGTCGCCCGCTCGACGACCATGACGGCGGGCTCATTGTCGATTGTGCCGTAGAGAGAGACGCGACGGCCAGCTTGGTCTGCGTGGGAGATTCTATTGTTAGCGGCTGGGATAAGAATTTGGCAAGGTTCATAGTCTAAGCATGAGATCGCCTTGATAGGTTGCTATTTTGCTAGTATCAAAGAGCTGCGTAGTCCATTGTCACAAAAATTAAAGTAAAAACTTGCCTTGGTTGAGCACCTTTTCAAGCTTGAATTTGGGCAGCGCTGCCTCAGCCCGAGCCTTGAGATCAGCCATTGTGCGACAATGAATTGGAAATGTTTTGGAGATTCAACAAAAGAATTGGATGTAAATCACAAGGCTTTTGAATGCCTCAGCTTTAATCCCAAAGACTAGATTAAAGGCTGCAAACAGCCCCGGGAAGAAAGTCAAGTGTTGGTGAATGAATGAATGATGGCTGCTATACAAAGCTTTGGAGAAGCTTGCGAACCCCTCCTCAGCCTTCCGCCACTAACAAAGCCCCACGACAAACGCACTAAACACACTTGACAGTCACTAGCCAAGCACTATTCAACTAACACACGCATGTTGCAAACATCATAGCGAGCATCACCACTAATAAATACGATTAGCCTTCAATTGTTATTGCTGTCACTATTTACTTGGCTCAATCTGGACTAAAATGTCGATGGTAATGGAGACTAATCTCTCACAATAGCTGCTTATAGGAGCTGCCTTATCATCCTTATGGCTCACTGCGTTGGAAAAGTGTCCAGGCCGCTACTGATAAAAAGAGAAATGAGCTGACAACGGAGATAAGCATGACTTCACCACTAGAAATACTCTTCAACGAGCTCCCAAGCGAATTCACTACGTACATCCGCTACACTCGGTCTAAGATTCGAGAACTGGCCTAATCACTCGTGGCTTTTCCGTCAGCTGTGTTGATATATTTCCAAGGCTTCAAATAACGATGGCGTATTCGATTGAACTAAAACGCTATTCCACGAGGTGCATGGCCACACCAATGAATCGAGATCTGCCACGCCGATGGTTAAAAGCTATGCTGTAGAGGAAGGTGTCTGACACGTATTACAAGACTTTGGCCTCTCAGAAGAGACTACGTCTGCTCCATGAGACATATTTGATCCGTTATGTGTTTCTCGGCATCTGTCTGCTGCAAGCCAGTAAAGGGACTTCGTCATTCATATTCACCAACCTAGTGTAGATCACGCCTTACTAAATACTGAAAAGACGGGAGAAAAAGAACAGAATGGAATTGAAAGTACGTGTGGCAAATATAGGCCCTCTGTTCATCATATTTAATCGTTTACATACACTTTCAAAGGGGAAAAGAGGATAAACGAATATAATACGACTATTAATTAATATGCTGGACTTATTTTGTCTTTGCAATCTTGTGGCGTATATGTATAGAAGACTCAGAGTCAGAGTCAAATTGTGTCCGTCTCGATGGTGCATCATAAAACTTCCGGGGGTCCTTTTGTCCCGGCTGTAGTATTTGAACAATGTCGTATCTGTTACTGGCCACCGCCCAGCCCAAGATATCTTGTGCATCAACGTCTCGCGCCTCTATATTCGCGCCGTTGTCAAGAAGCAATCTGATAATTGTGTGATGCCCAATGATCACTGCATGCCAAAGAGGTGTACGGCCAAGTTCATCTGTTGTCTCCAGATCAGCGCCGTCTCCTATCAGCTTTCTAATACTGGGTATATCCCTGGTCTCAATCGCTCGGAAGTAGGTACCATTTCTCCAACGCGTGAGACCCTTCCCTTCCGCTATAGTTTTCGGGTATTGAGAGCTATTGCGGAGTCGTTGATCTGCTGGCGTTGAAGCACCAATATTTCCAATAGCGTGATCATCGCCTTCGTTCGTGTTCGCATATTCCCAGCGACCAGTATGAGGTGCATTTAGCCACTTAGATGTATTATCTGAGTCATCGATACTCTGATTTTCAATCTTATCGAGCTCTTTTAGTGCCATCCCGAAATTGAGACCGGGATTGGAGCCCAGGGTGTCATCTTTTGCAACATCACCGTCTAGATTCGTAGAGCTTTCCCTGTTGCCCTGTCCACCTAGGTCTTCCATAGAGACATTTGCCCAGGAGCTAATACTAGATAATCTTCCTAGATCGGTGTCTTTTGAGGCGTCGCTATTTCCCTCGTCGATGTCAACAGAATTACTTTTGATGTCATCATCCAAATCCTCGCCACCAGACTCCAGAGTTGCGAAGCGCAGTGTCAAAAGCATTAACTCTCGTAAATGTCCTGCTATGTGTCGTGCTATTGTGTTCGAAGAATCTCTTCTTTGCCTTTTTTGCCAATGAGAATCCTCGTTGTCAGAATTAGAAGAGGTATTCAATGAATCAACATCTAGGCTAGGATGAGGGCTAGCCATTGTGAGATTCATCCTGAGACTTTTGATAGCCTCTTGATTCTCTTGATTGATCGCATTTTGATTCTGTTTATTGATAGGCTCTTGATTCTGTTGATCGTTTTGTTGTTTGGAGATAACCGACCGATCTTTGCCTTTTTCCTCTTCAATTGTGAAACAGCACAAAAGACAGTCATTCCAAGCTCTCGGTTGCTCCATTTTGCTCTGTCGTGAAATGGCTTCGAGTTGTGTATCCTTGAAATTTTTTCTATGATATTTAGTTAGGTGCGAGTATAGAGCTTGTGGGCTCATGTAAGCGTCATCGACGAGTCCACAGAGGGGACACACCCAGCTAGATGTTAAATAAACTTTTTGATGCCATTGCCAATCGTGAAGTTCCATATGTGTATACCATTCATCAAACGTTGGAAAAGCCGAGTGCCCATCTAAACACTCTTCAGCTAGGCAAATGTAGGGTTTGAGATCTCGATCTATATGTTGACTAAGAAAAATTCAGCAAATTCATATCTATTGTTGATGTATATTCCAGCGCCCTAAAAGTATACGAGCATTGCCCTAGTGAAATACATATAGATGCTACATGGGGACTTCTGTCAAAGCGTAAGGAAAATCTCACAGACTGGATGTGAAGTTAATCAGAAATGGCACGTACCGCCAGCTTGTTTTCGAAAGCTTTTTCTTATCCAATGGCTCTCCACACCACTCGCAAGGGATGATATTGTTGCCTCCTTCTATATGAGGCAACAGCGGATAGTTGCCCCGCGTTACTAGAATCGACGACGTCTTATAATGTTTTGTCGATGCTTCCTTGTGCTGTTTACTGCCATTCGTGATCTGTTGAGTGTCGAGACTAGACAAGCCAGACACAGAGTGGGTATGAGGCACTGCCAGAAGATGAAATACAACTGGATTTGTAAGTGTTTTCGCTAGCAGATATATAAGATAATTAGTCTGTGTCTCTTTGCTAGGTTCTTCCTCAATTGTTGGAAGATCTCCTCGGCGTGTCTCGAGATGAGCGCGGGGAGAACTGAGGAATAGAATTTGTGCATATCTGGTAGTCATCGACTTGCCGAGATACTCTTTGAGCGACTGGTGGGCACCTGGATACAGAGCTTGGACAGCGTTCGCACATAAACGTGCGAATGACTCGAAATTTTGACCTGCAGCGAACTTCTTAACTCTCGTATTGATTTTGCTATTGCTTGATTGTAGAATGGTGGTTCCTAGGCGAGTTAATCGAGTGATAGTATCGTCTATCGTCTGCAAAGCTGCCAGCTGTGTTTGAGAAGTACCAGAGAGACACTCAGTGTCGCATATCAAAACCAGCTCTTGCTCTCTTTGGCTGGCTATTTCGGCCAAACAGTGGTGCAAGCTACGGCGTAAGATATCCAATAATCGTGCAACAAGATCTTGAAGGTCTGGGAGATTTCGGAGCCTTGTATCTAAGCACTGGCTCTTTCGAGCAAAGACTTCGAGATGCGCCGTCCATATAGCAAAGCGTTGTTGGTATTCGGAACATAATTCGACCATCTTATCCTTCGGTTCTGTCTTCTGTAAAGCTTTTAATAGGTTATTGAATTGACCTTCGCACTCATAGGCTAAATTATAGAGGAGATCTTCTTTGTTAAAACCAAGTGCCATGATAAGTATTGTATAACAGTAGTCTTGGTGCTAGACATTTAAAATAATACATGGATTTTGATCGGAACGAACTTGGATATTAAGGATACATGTAATCCTGAAGCGGGGAAGTTACATAAATTGTCGCGTTGCGGCCTAAATCAGCCCAATGAAGCCATGGTACAATCACAAGTACAGATAATTTACAATTGTAATTGGTAGAATCTCTGATACATTTGATATCTCTAGTGGTACAGACTAACAATTTATATCCCCGCACGGTATCTTATCGCTCAGTCCCAACTCTGCCGCATACTATTCAATTAATATCTGTCGTTACCAGTAGAGAACCTTGTGAGATGCCTAACCTCACTGATTCACACGAATGGTTCTTGCTTCGAGAGTTAGCAGAATGGCTGAGCCAAAGGAAAGCACAATACCATGCGCTACCTATCAATGAACACAGAGAAATTCATTTTGACGCTGAACTCCTCGAGTTCGAGCTTCGTCATACATTCTTCACGATTCAGAAGTTTCCCCAGAGCTTGAGTCTGGAGAAGTTCATATCCTGCCAAGGACTTTTAAAACAACTTTGTTCGTTGTTAAACCGCCTTGCAGCGCGTCGAAGAGCCCACGATGGCTCCCAAAGCCAAGACTATCCCCATTTAGAAGCATTGATAGGGCTCCTAAATCCGACATGTGAAACAATAGACCTGGTGAATGGTCTTAAACAAAGACTTTTTGAGGTTCCCGGTGATACTATTGATCTTCGTGATTACCTGACCGCCGTCACAAAATGCAATGATGATCTCAACCGGTTACTTCCACCTCCCCCCCTGGAATCAGTCATACAGCCATCACGAAAGGAACGGAAGAAAACGCCATGGAAGAAGGGTAAAACACGGGACCAGGCCTTATGCGTCCTTGAAACTTTGTTCAAGCACTTCAAGTGTGGAATACCACATGAAGTATTACTTAAGCTCATTGAGAATACAAATGAAGATTTGGTGGTATCGAATTTACAGTTGATGCTTCCATCATGTCCGGAGTTAAAGTCGTGGCAAGAGGTGCAATACGCCAATGCTAATCTGTAAGTCTGAGCTTCCCAAACTCCTACCTCCTTTCTTATCTACTTACATGGTTTGCAGAGACGACGCTTCAATTTCACTTATCCATAATATTTGTACAGACGTTCAACAATATAAAGGAATGGCATTAATGCTACATATTAAGGGGCATAAACTATACAGTGCTAGGGCGAATCCTGGTTCCTCCAGAGCAGGCCCATCTTCGAAAGAGTCTCTTGACCAACTTATCAAGAATGGTGCATTTAAGAGTATTAATGCCGGGGACTTCAACACCACACGATCATCATTAAGATTCAGCATTAGAGACAAGCGAAAACTTGCCGTAAAATTCGGATACTACCTAATGGATTTCTTCGATGCCGACTTCGCTTCGAATAGGATTCATTTCTTTGACTCTTCAAAACCAAGCCGCATGGAAATTCCATACCTAGCATTCAGTTCAAAATTTCCGATCACAGGTCACTCATACAGCTTCAAACTAGGACATCCTACATTTTTATCTTTTGCAAAGTTGTTGATAGAACTAGAACTAGGCGGAATTATCGAGCTAGAGGTCAGTCCGGATAGTGAAAAGAATTTTTGGGCCTGGGCTGAGCTTATGAGATTTATGGATGATCTCGAAAAAGAGAGAAAGGACTCGTATCGAGAAGCTATTACGAATTGCCTGCTGTTTCATAAAATGATAGACGCAAGCGATTTCGACGACAAAGATGCAGACTCGAACATACGACGACTCATTTATGAACAGATTGTTTACAAGCTCGAACTTGGACTCGATGAATCTAGTCCTAGATCACCTCATAAGCGGCAACGGTCGGAGTCTCCTCCTGCGTCTGATCTCCAGGGTACGGCCCAAACCGCGCACTCTTGGAATATGACAATATTGTCAATGGCGCCTCAGCCCGCGTCACATAGAAACAAGAGACATCGTGGCTCCGAGCTCCTACAGCAGCAATCTCAAACCAGTTTTGAATCACCTCCTGACGGCTTCGAGATCGCCTTGCTCTGTGCATTACAGATAGAATCCGATGCCGTTGAAGCTCTCTTTGATGAATATTATGAAGACAACTTCTCGTATGAAAAAGCAGCGGGAGATCCAAATGCCTATACCATTGGAAAAATGGCCGGACACAATGTGGTGTTGGCGTTTATGTCGGGTATGGGCAAAGTGAATTCGGCGAACGCAGCGGCTGGTGTTTGCGCGAGCTTTCCCAACATAAAACTTGGCATAGTTGTGGGTGTCTGTGGAGGTGTGCCAGATGGAGCAGGTTGCGAAAAGGAAGTGCTGCTTGGTGATGTTATCATCAGCAACGCAGTTATACAATATGACTTTGGTCGACAAAATGATAACCGATCTGTAAGAAGAGATACGCTACAGCACAACCTTGGACGACCAAATCCAGAAATCCGCGCGTTTCTAAAAAAGCTTGACGGATTAAGAGGTAGACGAATGTTGAAAGAAAAGACATCTTCTTACCTGGAGGATCTCTGTGCGAGAGATGATTTTAAAGAATCTTCATATCCAGGTGCAGAAAACGATATACTTCATCACCCCACCTACCGCCATAAACACCGCAACCCAGATGTTTGCAGTGTCTGTGCCAGCTGTGAGGGACTATATGACGATGTTTGTGACGAAGCGCTAGAGTCTTCATGTGCAGATCTGGGTTGTCAAGACAGTATGGCAATATCTCGTGCCCGTGTTGAGAAGGCAAAGGGTGCGACTACTAGTAGAGGTACACCTACAGATGAGGAGCTTCGAGAGGCACAGAAGCCCTTCATCCACTTCGGCACGGTTGTATCTGGAGATTTAGTCATGAAATCTGGACACCATCGTGATGAAATCGCAAAGCGCGAGGGAGCAATCGCATTCGAAATGGAAGGTGCTGGCGTATGGGATAGTTTCCCCACCGTTGTCATAAAGAGTGTGTGTGACTATGCGGATAGCCATAAGAATAAGATGTGGCAGAAATATGCTGCTGCGTCTGCGGCTGCTTGTACGAAAGCGTTTCTCGGGGAGTGGAGAAAGACTTGTTGATGAAGCTTATGTGGAAGGGATGTTTGGTTATGTACTATGATGGCAACATCTAGCGGAATTTGCATGCAATTTTATTTCATCTACCTACAGAGTGAAAAGTTGCTATTAGGGTAAGTGACTCCAGAAACGCATTAAACTGCCACTTCTGTCAAGACAGCACTTGCATCTTATAATAGAGTGTAGGCTCGGTATCTAAGTAGTCCGAGACAGACTTCCGATAGATATATCTTTCTTTTCTGAAGGGAGTAATTGCTCAGCAACCCGGCAGCCCTACTCTTGATATCTCTATTTGTCTATTGCATGTATACTTGCTTTGAGTGTTCACATATGATATTATTTACCATCTTATAGTTATCAAGCTTGTCTTATTTTTAGAAGTTTGTTTGTGATTAGAGGTTTCGCAGCCGCTTACTGTTTCATTTTACGGCGTTTAGAGGACATGGTGCATATACTTGTATGCGAATAGCACTGGAACCTGCAACCTTTTTATATGACATCTCCCGCATCGTCGTAGAGAGCTTTGAGGATCTCTATCAAGTTAAGAATAAGATTTCCGGCATTGGACTCTTAATACGTGATGGCCATGAAACCCACAAATAGCAAACACCTTAAGTGGCTGGGGTCGCGATTCAAGGGAGGGTGGATCTTTAGATTGTGGCTACTCCGCCGACCCACGTGGAGATGGATGTAGCTCAGTGTTGGGACGATGAGGCCGATAAATTACGCAGGGCATGCTTGTCTAACTATCCGCACAGCACCTGGTTATGATGCATGGAGTTGGAGTTGTAGAGAGAGAGCTGTGAGGGCTGTGAGCTGGAGCAAGTCCAGCGTCAAGCTGGCTATAGAGAAGTCATGCACTCTCGGTGTGTCATATAGCAGCAGTTGCTAAAAAGGGGCAAAATACCTACCACATCAATAACATCACATTTACTTCGCACAACCAAAAGCACATGCATACTACACAAGTACCTACATGTACATGTATTCACGACAAATTGTTGTCCTTCCCTGCCCTGCCCTGCCAGCAACAAACTTGAAAGCTGAACTGAGCTGTCTCTTCTATAAGCAATTGGCCCTTGCAGAACTCAAGTGCCGTACTGTACAAGCACAGCTCTGCATGTACTCCATAGTTCTCGGAGCAGAGACCAAAACATGCGGGCCTCGCACCCCCTGGCGGCGCCATCCGCAGCATCCCTGCCGGCCAATTTTGCAATGGAGATTTTTCTGCGTGCTAGCAAGAGCGAAATTGGGCTCTGCTGATCGTCTGCTGAAAAGAAAAGAAGAAAAAAAAAATTAAATAAAAATAATAATCGAGGGATTCTATCGCATTTTTTTCATGGTACATATGAACGAGCACTCTCTCTACATGTATGCCGGCATCGAACTAAGCGCCGCATAAGGCATCAATTCCGTAACTGGCCTCATACGAGCAACAGCAATGCATCGATGCCGGGGATCTCGGTGGAGCTCTAATCTAACACGAGAGGGTACCTGGACGAAGCGCCATGCAGACCACGCCGTGCCACGCACCCTCAATGCATCATCGCCCTTTGTCCGCAAGGTGTCTCAGCCAGCTTTAGTGACTGGGCCGCTGAAGATGCACTGCAGATGCCAGCGGCCCCATCTGTGGCACCTCGCTTGGTGCATGCGCTGGCTTTACGTGTCTGTGCTGCTGCGCTTTATTAGTGATTGTATTCCATGCTATTATACCGGATTGAACACGAAGGTTGCCCAGAGCTACGCTGCAGTAGAGGCACAAGCTCTGGCGTTGCAACGCCAAAGAGATGGACCCCTTTCGTTTCTTCCGAATAGAGCGGCCAATGGCGACGCGGTTCCTGCGCCTAACAATATGTAGCACAGTACAATACGGCACAGCTAACTGCGACCTGCCCGGCTTAGCTTGCGGTTAGCACGCTATCGAGCTGCTGGCGCTAGGGGCACAGGGCAGCAGGTGCCTAGACTTGGCGGCATTGGGCCTAGACAGGCACCCAAAGGGCGCTAGCAGCCAGTTGCTGCCAACGAACATCTGGAGTCTCGGTCTCGTCCCCATGACAGCAGCCTGGTCAGTGAAAAGAAAAAAACAATTGAGGGCACTGGCCGTCGGAACAAAACACCATCACCGCAACTCTCCAGCCATTCTTTTCTGCAAGCCTTGGCCGTGCATGCAGGATCCACCCTCCTTGATCTCCCCTTTGCCCTTGCAGCTTTGTCTTTCTTTTCTTTTCTTCCCTTGCTTTGCTTTGTTTTGCCTTTTTGTCTTCCCTTCTGTGTATCAGCCTTTGATAATACTGCGCCAACCAGCCATTCACTGCTGCTTCAACACCCTCACTGCTGCATTCTGCGCTAGGCCGGGGCGTCTTGTCTCGCATCCTCGCCTGCAGCTCCACCTGCTGGCCAACCACCCCTACTAATATCCCACGCTCTAGTGCTTTCGACGTCGCTTCGCTTCGCAGTTTCGTGTTTCCCCAAAAAGCCGTTAGCTCGCCGTGTTCCCTCTGCATCCGCAAGCCTCGCCTACGAGGCCCTCGATCCTGCCATCTCTGCTCTCTGCTCCCTCTCTCCTCGTCCACCGACCAGGCCGCCTGTCCGTGCATCTCTCGCCAAAGTCGGCCACGGGGTCGCGTTTCCCAGCATCGAATCTGCCTTGGCACGATTCCAAAGGACAGACAAGGCAACGCGGTCGCAGCTGGAGAAGCACCACAGAGCGACCAGCCGCAGATCCTGTCAAAATCGCTGCTCCTGGTCGGCCGTCTGGCATCCCTTCCTGGGCGCCAAAAGTTTATCCATTTGGGCCATTCTTTCTTTCTCTGTTGCTTCATTGTTCACCACTTACCATTCATTCATTTTCGGACCTTGAGCCGGCTGCTGCTTCCATTCCCGGATCGGTGTTCGGTTCATGAGTCTTATTTCCATTCGTTTCTTGCATCCTGGCGCTTGCTCTTCTCCACGACTTCAGCTGAAATCGCGTTAATCCAATTTTGCTCAACAATACACACTCGCCTCTGCCGACATTCATTCAATTGCGCCGCTTAGAAATTTAGGAGCGTTACTTGTTTTGGGGTTTTTTTTGGTTACCGCTCGTTTTTTCTTTCTTTTCATATGCGTCTATAGCATCAAAGTCCAGTAACAGCACTTCACAAGACTCGTCACCGCTAGTTCTCTTCCGTTAAAATGGCCTCCGAAACATCAGGCCCGGCAAGGGCTCGTGGCCGAAATCGAGACACACCGAGACACAGACAATGGACGCTCAGGAATGCATCAATAGCCGCGTTAGCAGCGCTCGTGGGTTCCGCTTCAGCTCAAAATTCGGAAAGCTGCATTTCTCTCAAGGGCTCGACAACATGCCCAGCCTTCCAAGCTGCTTCTATATCCACAGACCAGTCACTAATCGATACATTGTGAGCTGCCTGCTATTCTTCATGCCCGGTGTGGACAGATTGCTAATTCTGATGTTACAGCTCATTCTTGAAGTATGTCTCCGATTTGGAGACGTTCGACACCCAGTTGTCCAGCTTCGTCAAGACTACATATCTCCAAGACAAGTAGGCAGCTTTCCGCCTGGTGTAACCCTGGTCCAATTTTCTCACGTCATGTGCTTTTTAGATTCCAGTTAACATTTGGCTGCCACAACATTAATTATACGAACCCTAGCGACATGTACGCGCGCTACACGACTACAGTCCTTTGCAGCTCCATTGTTCAAGCATCCGCGGCGGGCTGCGGCGTCTCTGAGAAAAACTCGCAGCCTATTTGCGCCGAAACCTGTGCCGAGTATGCGCAAAGCGAAGCTTACATCACCGCCGACACAGCTCTCTGTGGCAACCCTAACAGCGACCTCAACAAACTGATTCGTGCCGACTTTACTGTCTGTTCCAACCCGGAACAGGCGCTCTCTAGCAGCTGCGTCGTTGGCTCAGACAATGAGCCGGATAACTGTGGGTTTGGTAACAGCACCGTCGGTCTCTGCTCATACTGCGGTGCCGGAGGCATCAATTCCACAGATACCTGCTGCTACAGCTCCAATGCCGAAAAGCTATGCAAAGGGGTTAAGCTTCCTGATATTACCGTGACCTTTACAGCACCCGTGCCTACTGCTACAGCGACGAGTTCTTCAGTCCCGGTTTCTGGCGGTGGTAGCCATCTTAGTGGCGGTGCTATTGCAGGCATTGTTATCGGCTCTCTTGCAGGAGTTATAATTCTTGCCGCCCTTCTATTCTTCTGTATTAGAATGATGAGGCGCAGACGCGGCAGCAACAGCCAGACCGGCAGCATTTTCAACCAGCCCCAGCCTGCCCGTAAAGGACCACCCATGAGCCAGGGCAGCGCAGCGCCTCCACGAGGATACGAAATTCTTCCCGGTGGCCGCATTGCGCGCATGTCTGCCTTGGAAGGACATTCCGGCGATTCGCCCTCCCGCCACGGTAGCTCTCCTTCTGCTCGTGCTGTTCCTTACGCCGCCAAGTCTTCGGATCGGATGTCTTCATCTGATTTTGGTGATACTCCCGAGCCCGAAACCCCATATAGAGGACTTCGTGGGCCCCCCGCTACTTCGAGACGACAAGGCTCTTTATCCAGCAACTCAATGCTTGGGAGCGACGTGCCCGGCAGCCCCATTGGTTTCTCATCTCCGAATGCCTTGGCAAGTCAGCAGTCCGAGCAGCTGCCTTTCTTCAAAGATTATTACTCGCAAGACGACATTCACCCCCACGACAAAGTTGCGGTTCTGTGGGCTTACCAGCCAAGGGCCCCTGATGAATTTGCCCTGGAGCGCGGAGATATGCTCAAAGTTGTGGGTATTTGGGATGACGGTTGGGCGACGGGCCTCATGGTCGATGAACGAGCGGAGGAATGGGAAGCGCGAAGGCAGGCGCAGAGAGATAGCGGCGTATCGAGCACATCCGGCCCTAGAGACAGCTCGCCACAGGGCCACGGCGAGCTAAAGGCATTCCCTCTAGTATGCGTCTGCCTCCCAGAACACTGGAGGAAGACTATTGAAGGAGACGGCTCAACAGACACAGGAGCAAGTGGTCATCTCAGCGCCTCACGTGTTTGATATCCTCAGCTATCCTCTGATGACATGATATATCCTTACACATCCGCCTTACTCTGTTTCCTCTTAACTTTTGGACAACAGCACAAACATCCCATTCGACAGATGCTGAGTCGCGACATAGATAGTTCAACCTTTTAGCTGAACTCCTGGCGCCAGCATTCCTCTTGATGAAGTACATGAGATGCAATTTCATAATACCCTAACCGATGGGCGGAAACTTGCGCTGCGTTTTGATACAATTTCAGACGTTTTTATTTTTTATTTTTTTAAATACCCCACATGAAGAGCGACGATGTTGATACGAGATGGATGTTGAAGGAGAAGAAAAAAGAGCAAGCAACTGGTTTTAATATATGCCTACCTAGCTTAGGTAACAAAAATGCTCATTCACTTTTTTTTAAATCTTTATCTAAAAATGTGTGTGAAGATTGATGAACAATGTGAAAGTTTTCCGTAAGGCACAATATACTTTGGAGTGCTCATGAGACCAAAAAGGTGACACAAATGAGAATTGTTGGATTGCTGCATAGTAGAATTCACGAGTATAAATACACGGATTCCATAACTCATTGCCTTCTTATGATATATCTCCAAGGAATATCCATCAATACTACTTATTAACAGACCACGCGTTACACATACCCTACCTATTTCTTCAAATTGTGATGCTTGAGTTCATGCTTCTTCTCAGGAGGATTTTTTACTGCAATGAAATAATTCTGGCCCGTCTCAGAAACAGCATGGACAGCGATATCTTCGCCAAAAGGCCATTCTCCAATAAATTGCGAGTCGCCTCGGCGATCATATTCTGCATACTGTGTCGGGTCGAGGCACTTGTATGCAGCCGTCCAAGCATCTGCTCGATGGACGTAAACTCCTAGGATTTCTGTAGTCTGGAGGCTGCCGCTGCGATCGGCGTTATAGTCCACAGAAATCTGCAGAACATAATGCAAGAACTTGGCGCCCTCTGGCAGTACAAGGTCTCCATCCGGGTTCGCGGCTACACCTTCATTGTTTGGTGTGGTATCGATCCCAACGAGGAACTCTTGTCCATCGAAAGCGCGGGCAAAGAGCAAGACGCCGTCGCCGTGGGACCAGCTTTCGGATGGGGCTCTGTCGCCACGAATTTGATATTGTTGGAAGTCGCTGGACGTGAAGTTGATGGACTCTAGTGAATGAACGGCAAATTTCTTTGCGGCTTCTAAGGTGCCGTGTGTTTTGAGAACAAATGTTGTACGATTGGCGCCGGATGCATCGTGAGAATAATCGATTACTTGAAGGACAGTGTGGAATAATTGCTCTGGGACGAAATTAGATGATGCGCCGTTGACGGAAGCCATTGTGTGAATGTTGCTGCTTTGTTGGGTGTACTGTTACCGCGAGTATGAAATATACAGTTAGCAAAGCGAGAGTTGAGAGCTACACTCTCGTCCTTTATAGAGTGATCAATTGCCACCGCACAAGAAATGATGTTGCAATTATCATGCCACTGTCCTTTTGTGGCTGCAGACATCACCACCACCTGACGGAAGTACTCGTAACTAGTTCATCATGGCGAGAGTTACTTGTTTAAAAGAGACTCAGCAGACATTTCATCACCTCTGCTGTCGCTTTAAGATTTAGTAGGCGGCCATGCAGTGGGCTGTGGTAACCAAACCCAGACTCAGTTCGCATATCTGAACGAACGCGACACCTCATGAAACGGCACAGATCGACGTTTAGCTTTTACTTTGCTCCGCCTATCGGCTAAAAAAGCATACTTGATTGGGTCGGAAAGCTGCATCGCCGGTCCCCAGACCGGTGGTAGTATAAACCACGCCACTCGAAACTCTAACGCAGATGCTTCGCAATGTGCCGGTGAAACTCGAATGATCATCGTACGACTCGAACTATTACCTAAATCCACCATGGAGCTGAACAGTGGCATTTCTCTGGAGAGCACCCGATATTGCTATTGATTGTTAGGGGGTGTTGTTTTAGGATGCAAGACGGGCACTGAAACAGTCCTCACTTTATTCGAACTCTGGCACTTCCGTTGCATCTGCACAACTGCTTTATTTTCTCAACATATTGAGGATACGAAATAGAAACACAAATTTAGTAGCCAGTACAGCGCATTGCTTCAGCGTACAGCTGATGTTGCATCTACAAAGCCTTTACTGGTCCAAAGTCGCTTCGGTCATACTTTTTCTCCTAGGAATTCAAATGACACTCTGCAACTCGTCTGTAACTAAGTTTTTCTAACTACCTTACTAATCATCACCTTCATGAAAAAAGTTGTATGGTGACTATAATTAGGCTGCTTCCGTTTCTTCAGCTTAGGTACTGACTGATAGTTTAAATTACTTCAGCTCCATAATAGCTCTTAGATAGCTTGAGTAAGACAAATTCCTGCTTCGGTACCGGTAGTTAACTTACATCAGCTCCTACGTAGATTAGCTCCTAGATAGCTTGAGTAAGACAAATTCCTCTTGCCATTAGTCATCTGCTTGCTTTCCAGAAAAGACCATTTTCAGGCATATAAACGGCCAGGCATATAACCGGGGCGTCCGTTCGGGTCCTCCTGAGACTGGACTCGTCCGAGGTGGGGCGCCGTCGCCTCGGCAAGCCACAGCCAAAGCGTACGAATCAAATGGCGACTTATACCGCCTCTGCATGAGCACAACACTAGGTCTAGAAAAAGATGACTGGCATAACAAATGAAAACAGCATTTTCAGTTAATCCCACTTCGTCCTAGTCACTAGCTGTAGCTCTCCAGTAGATGCGGAGTATATCTAAGCCACTTGTTTGCAAATTGTTTCTTTTACCGTACTTGTATATATCTCAAACGCCAAAACAAGTAACTGCACCATCATTGGGAATCGTTCTCGCACCATGGACGAGAGTCATAAAACAGGTAAGTGAACATATAAATTAGTCATATTAATCTTCAATAAAAGAAGCTAAATTTCAATAGGAAATAATTTCCAGTTTATATCGATATCGAGTCCTGATGAGGCGAAAGACCGCGATAAACGACGCCAGGCACGCTCGCATGCCGCCAAACAAGGGAGACAGCGGTCTCAGTATGTGTCTCCGAGAGACGACGCGGGTGCGTCAGGCCAAACATTGATTCCTTGGTCCATATTTGCCCCGGTCTCGGCCTACGGCCCCTTTGAGACTCTAATTGGAGATTCTCCCAAATTGAGAGCTTTACTTAGCCATGGTAAGCTGCGTGGCGATACAATATGAATAGCTTCAACATCTGAAACTCGCCTCAATGTCATAGATGCTGCTAGGCAAGCTGCAGAACCTATATTCAGCGTTGCAGATCCTGTCGTCTTCCAGGACTTTGCTTCCGTCTTCCGCACCGATCTTGACGACCCGGCTCTTTTAAATGCTGTTAAGCTCACTTTTGCATTTGCTGTGACTGGGGGAAATATCGATCAGGAATGTCTTGATTATCAAAATCAAGCCATGAGCACGATCCGTGAAAGGATGGATTCGCTAGAGTCGGCTTTGTCATTACCGACTCTGGGGGCTATCTTGCTCCTTGCTGGCGTGGAGGTAACACACCACCAAAACCCTGGCTATTGTGAAATTTTCAAACGCTAACCTAATATTACTGTCTCAGGCACGTCTTGGTATGCGATGGCAAGTTCAGCTACATATGGGTGCCATCCAACAGCTTCTAGAACTGGGCCAGACAAAAACCATCTACCTAACAGACGGGATCAAACGTGCCATCTTCTGGTAAGTCATGATTATTGCGGGCGAGATATTACTAATATAGTTGCGACTAACGGAAACTTTTAATATTCGTTGGAATAGGCAAGACCTGAATTCATCTGTCATGACGGGGTCTAATCGTATAGTGGACCACACTACTTTTGCCGAGCTTCAGTGGAAGCGCGATCCTTTTGCCTCTACTTATTTTTCCCTAGCGCCCGGGTTTCAAAGAAAATCTCACTTGTTCGACGAAAATTTCCTTGAAGTTCTGAGAGATATTCACGCGCTGCAGTGCGTTCAAGATTTGCCCCGCTACTCGTGCCAGAATCCAGTGGAAATGCTCCGCATTGATAATCAGCAGGCATCCATCGGATCGAGGCTGGTGGATCTACCGAAACTCTCCAATACGATGGAAGCTTGCTATTTTGCAGCATATCTCAGTGCTTGTATGCTTTGCTGCAAAGTGTGGCGCCATTCCGTGATGCCTGTAAGTGAGAAGACAAAGACGATTGTGAAGAAGGGTTTGCAAGTTCGAAAACACTGATTTAGGATGAACAGTCTCATGTATCTTTACGACTACTACGCAAGCTTCAAGAATCTAACGAGGACCCATTTTGGAATGACAATCTGGATCTGTTAATCTGGATGCTGTATATGGGCGGCTCGTTTTCTCCCAAGGGAGCTGTGCATTCAGAATACAAGGCCCTTTTAAAAACATATCATGATTCCAAGTTTAGAGGAATGTATGTCTCGCTGGAGGATTTGATGGAAATTTTACATGATTTTATTTGGTCAGAGAAAGCGTATCGTATGCAGGTTGAAGAATTTTGGAAGGAGATTCAACCAGAGCTTGCATATAATTAATAAAGATGTGCCGATTGCACTTATAGACATCGCCGCACGTTCAACCCTTTTCTTAATAAAAGCATTATTGTATATACCTCGAGTGAGATAATCACCAAGCAGCTACTTCTTGACGTTCCTGACTTACCGTTGCGTTGTTTATTTGGTATTTGCCATGTCCGTCGTATTGGCTGCATATGTAAAGGTTGTCCAGCATCGAATACACGCCGTATTTGGTAATCATCTTTCCAGCTTGCTTGACTTGTTCCATAACTCTATCTGAAATGAACAAAGAAAGATATTTCTAGGCCATTCTGTCCTCACAAGCGGTGATTAGAGAAAACGAGCCTAGGCAGTTCTAACACAAAACAAGAATTATATGCAACACATCACTGTTAATCAGCCCTTTCGAAAATAGTGCTCACACTACCCACAGCTTGCCAAGCTCTAAATCTCTTCGAACCTCCGTCCACTAGTCATTAATCAGCGAATGATAAAGTAAGCGTTTCGGCCGAGATCGTCCGCTCAAAGCCCAATTATTCAGGGCTAGTAGTGAGCGCGCTAAATGATTGCTAGCTGCTTTGGGAAGTGTCTTGTCGTCCCAAAAGGGTAGTTGGTCATTTGTCATCTGCACATAGCAACCTGTTGACAGGAAGAGTGTAGTTGAACTAAGCGTTTGGAACAAACTCAAATGCATAGAGTGAAAATGGCCTGCCATTGTAATAGTATTATTAAAATAAAATAAAAATAAAAAGGAAAAAAGACATAAAGTATAAATAAATCTCGGCCGTGGTGCTCGTTTTGTCGAAAGAAATCTGATATTCTTCAGCAAAGCATTCAATCATCTGACCTACAAAACGTTGTCTGTAAAAGCAATTTTACTCACTCTTTCACTTTTACCAACTAATTCTACTTGAAATTCAACAAAACAACCGTCTATAATGGCCGAGTCACGCCTCTGGAAACCCCTGAAAATAGCGGGAGTGGAAGTCAAACACCGCATCGGCATGCCTGGACTATCTCGCTTCCGAGGCACAGACGACCATGTCGCAACTCCTATGATGAAAGAGTACTACAGCCAACGATCCCGAGTTCCTGGCACCTTAATCATCACCGAGGCTGGCATTATCTCTCCAGGGGCCGGCGGTTACCCCAATGCACCAGGCATCTGGCGCGAAGATCAAGTTGCTGCTTGGAAAACCATTACTGATGAAGTCCACCGGAACGGCTCCTTCATCATTTGCCAAATGTTTCATGTAGGCCGGGCAGCAGTTCCCGAAATTGCTGAAAAGGAAGGAATTGAGATTGTGTCCCCCAGCGCTATTCCTATGGGACAGGATGCGACCGTACCAAGAGAACTGTCCGTTGGCGAGATTAAGCAAATCGTGAAGGATTTCCAATTTGCTGCAAAGAATGCCATTCGCGCAGGCTTTGACGGCGTCGAGCTCCACGCCGCAAATGGTTACCTCCTTGACAGCTTCATTCAAGACGTCAGCAACACTCGTACAGACGAGTACGGAGGCAGTATCGAGAACCGATCCCGCTTTGCATATGAAGTCATGAAAGCTGTCGGCGATGCCATCGGACCTCAGCGCGTGGGGATGCGCTTCAGCCCCTGGAGTACGTTTCAGGGCATGCGAATGGACGATCCCATTCCTCAATTTTCAGACGTCATTAGCAAGGCGAAGGAGTTGGGCCTTGCCTATATCCATCTAATTGAGCCCCGAGTTGCCAACTCTGACGATCTGGAGCATCCAATTGCTGAAAGCTTGGACTTTGCAATCAACTTGTGGGATGGACCAATCCTTCTAGCAGGTGGATACCGGCCGGATAACGTCCATAAGACGATTGATGAGATGTATCCTGGTAAAGACATTATGGTTATGTTTGGTCGATACTTTGTGGCAAACCCGGATCTGGTCTTCAGGATTAAGCATAGACTGGAGCTGAACCAGTATGACCGCAGCACCTTTTATGCGGTTAAGAATCCCAAGGGATATCTTGATTACCCCTTCAGCCCTGAATTTGAAGCAAACGTTCAAGCATAGTATAAGATTTGGCATTAATAGCAGCTAAAATAGATGGTTATCCAACTCTGTTCCGTTTCTTATAAAGCTTTTCGACTAGCATGAAATAGACTATTTATTACATGAAAACTTCTTCTCCTACCCGTCCACACACCGCCGAGTTCAGCGTCCACCGTAAGTCTCCCATTTATTTGTTGAATATTACCGTGTAACGAAATAGTCGTGATGATATTCGAGAAAAGTTAGTATAAAAAAGGGCTCCCGCCCACGTACCCCCGGCTTTCTTTAACGCCGCTCCGGCCGCACGGCACCCTAAACGCAGTTATCGCTGAAGCTGGGATGAAATAATGATAGTAATCGCTGTACCCAGCAGGGAGCCCTATCTATCTATCTATCGCTGTACTCACTATGGCTGGGAGAGGGGGGAAGAGAGAAGAAGATGTCTGGGGTGGAGGAACGAGAAACGGTAACGACAGTGGGGGGCTCGGTAATGACTGTGGGATCTTCGGTAGTGACTGTGGGTGTTTCGGTAAAGACTGTGTGAGGAGGCGAAGGCGGAGCGGGAGCGAGGATGAAGACAGGAAGCATAATAATAATAATGGGGGGGTCGGGAACAGCCGCAGGAGCAGGAGGGGAGGCGGTAGAGACAGTGGGGTGTGTGTTGATATTATCTAGGCGTACTGTTAATTGGGAAATGGACCTACGCACCTCTTCTAACTCGCCCCCCTGACCCATCTCAGTATCTCCGCTTCCTGTCGTTGGCGTGGCGGAGCGTTGACGGACCCATCGTCGGACTGGTTCCTCTCCGAGGAGACAAAGAACGTTGACGGCGAGGTTGCAGAGGTTGATGAGGACGGAGGTCCAATCCACTGCTGTGGAAGACATATTCGATAGTAACTAGTATGGAAAAATATGTGATTAATCCGGATGCTTCAGAAAGGAGGAAGAAACTAAACAAATCAGCGCACATAGAAGAAAAAATACCAATAGTTCAACGTAAATAACACCTTCCCATGTTTGTGTGTAACCCTTTCCATATGCTTTCCAAATATATACAGAGAGGGCAATCAGAATTTCTCAGAATGATAACAAATTTAACCAAGGCAGGCGCCCTTCTGTAAGTGGCAGCTGATCCGTGTCGTGATAATATTCATCAAGAGCACTTGTGGTACAGCTATCGATGTAGTTGGCTGTAAATAGCGGGTGATTATGGTCGACATAACGACAAGAGGATATAAAATACAACTGGTGTTTTAAGACCTATGTCTCAATGGTCAAGGCTGTTAATCACGATTCATACAAGATCAAATACTGAGGCGGACAATTTTGAGAAACTCAAGTCGGCTCAATATAGTACTCGAGCTACATGTACTCAAAAACAAGAAGTATCTTCTTCCATCGTAAAGTACATTCAATAATACTCCCCAATTTCCTTGCTGCGGCATATAGATCACTTAATCCCTTAGCTAATGAGTAAGTTTCCATTCTAGAGCATAAAACTTTGTATCAAGCTAGCGGGGTTTCGCTTTTTCTTTTCTTTTCTGGCTTGGTTTTCTTTTTCACCTTTTTTGTTAAACTTTTTGATTGTTGTTTGTGTATAAGCCACATCCAACCCAGCAACAGCCATAGGCACGGTAATCAGCTTTATTGCAATCGTCCGTCGCGGGTCTCCTTGTTGTTCGCTAGGCAGCCAGTCTAGTCAGGCAGTCTTAAACTTGGCAAGTACAGAAGATACAGTTAGAAAGATGCGTCGTAGGTCTAAATGTTTGCCAAAAAAAAAAAAAAAAAAAAAAAAAAAAAAAGTTGCTCTGGAAATTAGGGGAAATTTTTCGTTTCTTCTTTCTTAAGGCTTATGCGCTGACGCTCTGTAAGGTTCTATGATCAATACGGTATCGAAGTCAGCTGAGTGTTGCGATCGGATTGCTGTCGCGCACAACATAATTGATTTCGAAATGGAGGCTGCCGTGGCATGTGGTAAACTCACTTGCATCGGTACCAAGAAGATATGTGATTATGCAGATGGTCATAAGCATGAAAGCTGGTAGGACTTTTCGGAAGCCACAACAGCCTCTGTGATGGAGGCACTACGAGAGCTAGAAGGATGTATATTCAGTAATAGGCGCACTTTCATAATTTGTATATATCGCAGATTATACTATATATTATCTAATAGATCTCACCATCATGCTCATGTGGACCATATAGTTTTCGAATGCTTCCAGGTTCGTGATAGACAAGCGTATCATTACACGCCATTGCTCTCCATTCAGGATCATATGTCGTTCCTTCTGGTCCAAAGTCTTGCCATACGCATATAGTAAAGCGCTCTGGCGAAGCTTGTATTGAGTAATCCGTTCCACATAAACCACAAGAGAAAAAATTCTGAGTAGACTCTGCTGATAAAGCTATATCAAAAGCTTCATCGATATTTCTCCTCATTCCGTACGTTATATTGCACGTTTCTAATTGAGATACATGCGAACATATTTCTATATGTAGTATAGACTGTCGAGATACCTTGGTCTGAGCTTCAAGGTAAGTCATAATGGATAAAGTTAAATATCTTCCGTTAACAACCTTGGGGTAAACTGAGATTCGCGCTGAGATGCCTTTAGCTACTTCAAAAAATCCTCTAACTTGGCCATGATGCGGTGTGAGGAGTCTTTGAAGATATTTTTGGTGCCTCCTTTTTTTGTCTTCCATGCGTGTGTACTTGAGCGTAAGTTCGACGTGTCTATGCATTGGATAATATTGAGGCGAGCCAAGCTTGGATACCCTATATCGTTCTGTGGTATCTAATCCATCTTGACACCTAAGATAATCGGATATGTAATGTAACGGTGTATCCCATTCATCAATTTGATGAAGCTTGCAACATTTGGCACAAACCCATCGATCAAGCAGAGACCGGGCTAGATGAGTGAGGTACAGCAATTTCTCTTCTACTGTGGTTATGGCCGTAATATCTCCCCTCCCAGCTAGGAAATATTCATGAGTGATCGCTCGTAGGGGACGGCAGGTCTGGCTGACGAGGAGCTGAGAATAGAGTGGAAGAAAATTCAGTATTTTCACAAGTATCTCGACCGGTAACTGGAGGATATAACTAGGAGTCTGAGGCTCGCTCAATGAGAGGCGGGTAAGGAATTGAATAATGTTCATGACGGAGACTGCTTTTATTGTAGGATGTTCCGAAGTATGTCTGTCTGGTAAAAGGGGATAGGATTTCTTCGGGGTTTATGAGCTACTTATAAGATTTGCGATTGGCTTAGTATTTTGCCCAAGATCTGGCACTTATATACAGTTTACTATATAGTTTGTCTATGCCAAGGTAAACAAGCGCCAATTCAATATAAGATTCATTCGATGTTCTTAGCTGGAACCTTTCTTAGTACAGTACTTCCCGTCATTTGTACAGGATTGATGGCATCAACATGGAAATATAGAATTTGAGGCTTCTTAGGTATATTTATAGAAGTGGAGAGAGAGAGAATATAAGCTTCTGAGAGCATCAATAAGGTTCCACAGGTCATTGTTGGGGGAGCAAGTAAATGTTCAATATTCCACAGCCAATAGATCTGAGAAGATGGATGTAAGGACAAAATTCGACGTATCTCAAGTCTAAGAGAATGACTGCTGTGTTTTTACATGGTTGAGCTAAATAGGATGTTCAGGGGGAATACACCTGCATCGACTAATCAGTCAACAAAGAAAAACAAAAATTCTAGATATGGATGGTCGGTATACTGCATGCTATTCAATCTAATCTAATAGCCTAGAAACTTTCTCATATTTTCATCTCTAAAGATTTTCTCAAAGATAGAATGAACTGATTCCGGGTGGATATTCGGGAAAAGATTATTGTTGAATGGCTCTGGCAAAAGAGTTCCACCCCTGCCTTGAATCAACTGATGGCTAGCCTCTAGTTCCAGGTCGACATCGCCGACGGCCTTTGCGCGAGCCTCCTTCTCCACAGCTGATTCAACATCATGGTAGGTGACCGAATATCGATGGCCAGTAATTGCCTCTAGCTCGTCAAAGATTTCTTTCCAGGTAGGCGAGGCACCGTGGAAACGGTAAGGGCGTCGATGGCCATTGTCAGCAACTGAGAATGGATGTCGGAGAGTTTCAATTGTGTATGCGATGGCGTCCGCGGTCGAAAGCAATGACTGTCTTCCCTCTGGCGTTCCATAGATGTCAGCAGTATGGTTTGCATTATCGATTCCAAAATGTTTGATGATGCTCCATTCTGCTAGACGTCCGAGTTGTATGTATGTCCAGCCGAGATCTGGTGTATCTTCATCACGACCACGCTTCTCCAGATGCTCTCTAGTAAGAACCTTGTCTCGGTAGTATCGTTGAGTCCGGTTTGATCCTGCCGTCAGATCGGCTCCCCATTCGCTAGGATAAAAGTGCCGTACCCCGGCCTTGATTCCAGTATCAATGATGGTGGGTTGGAATTTGATTGCGTGGTTTCCCAACGGCATCAAGACACAGTCAAACCCAGTAAATGCTTCAGTGTCTGTGTATAAGCCAGAGACTTGTTCCATCCCACCATTACGAAAGGTGGCGAAAAGTTGTCGCTTTTCTTCTGTCTCTGGCCTGGATGTGTCATTGAAGAAAGCAATGCGTTTGAACTCGGACTTTCTGGAGATGAGTGCTTGGCAGAGGACCTTGCCAACCATGCCGGAAGGGCCAACTACCAATATAGCGTCAAGAGTCTTTTGAAGAGCCATGATAAGAAAGACGTATGTGTGAGAAATTTGGGCAATCGATAAAGAAGAGCAAGAAGTAGACGACGGCTGAAACGTCGCCTGCAGAAGTTGTAAGAGTCCAGATTTAAGGGGGCGGTTACTGGGTATTTATATACTTGTGAAGATTGAGATAAAGATAGCAATATATCCCAGACTTACAAATACATCTGCCTTTGGACAGTCTATAGAGCCTACGTTAACATGGGCCATATTCTTCTACTTCCCAGTAGGGAAATGAGATTGGTAAGCGGTGCTCAGGAGTGTCTGACAGCCCAATTGGGGCGTTTCGAATGCAGTTGTCAGCTTGCCTATCTGGGCACTGATTACTTGTCTGCCGAGTGGTTATTGGCAACTAAAACCAATTATGATCCCATCTTCTTGAGCGAAACACATACTAACGTTTGCTAGCAGGGGAAAGTTGCCTTGCGTGATACGCTAAAACACATGTCTTATATCACCGAAGCGGCAATACCACGTATGCCTCGGTAAATGGTACGAAGATAATTAATCATTTATTATCGCCTGATATCGTCTAACATCATCTAGTATATACATATTTATATACGCATGCTGGCATAGACATATAGCAAGATAGAGCCTGGGAACATCTGCATTACATAATTAGCCATTGTTTAGATCTGCTAGATCGTTGCAGTCATTTAGAAGCCGTATCCCCATAGCCATGTAATACATGCAATTTGCACAGTACTACATTCTAACGTGGTGATAGCAAATAATCATACGTGTGTTTATGTGATGCGTGTATTGCACCTATCGGAAGAATACATGTAATTCATGTAATTCAACATTTGCTGACATCGGCCGGAATCGAGAGAGAAGCAGCCGGTACAGTGTTATTCCACCTTATCGTGCACTCCAGATTGAGTCAGCACGTTATCGTGATGCCCCGCCAAAATTTTGCATCGCGGGGCACCGGCGTCCAGCAGCAAACCTTCCATTTCTAAGGCGCCGCGTGCTGGATGAAATTCTCGTGCGCAGTCACTCTGACAACGCGCAAGTGACGCTGCCATCAAGATGGACGCGGGTTCTCGTCTCCAATTGGGGACAGCGGCTGCTGGTGAGTTCGTTGTGCTGATTTCTCCGTGTCGCGTGCTGACAAGACTGCACCAGACCTGGTGGAAGTTTGGCACGCTTATCGCACGTCCATAATTCTGTGCGCTCTTGTTCTCCTTGTCGGTCTGCGCACACTTCTTCATTCGACTGAAGAAAGGGAGCCCTTGGCTGTGCTTCCCCAGATTTATAACCAGGAAAAGCCCGAGGCGAAGGAAAAGATCGCCCTGGAAGCGCAACCTGTCGCTGCGGCCGAGAAAAAGTCTACCGGACCTAGGCGGATAAAGGGTGGTGTGGCCAGAAAGCCCTCGCAAGAGAAAAAGACAACGGCAATCGATTACACGGACAGGCCTGCCAAAATACTTGTCTTCTTCTCCTCTGTCACCACCAAGACAGAGAAGATTGCCCATGAGTATATCAAGACACTCGAGGCCTTCCTGGATCAGAAAGCGGGCGAGACAGAGAGCAAGTTCTTGAAGCCCGAGCTGCTCGACTTGACCGAAATCGATTTTGAGGATTATTTTGTCAGCCCTCCCAAGTCTGTTGAAAACGCCGCCTACGTCTACCTTTTCCTCCTTCCGAGCTACAACATCGATTCCATCAACGATACTTTTCTGCAGCATCTCCAGGAAACCCATCATGACTTTAGGATCGATACTGCCCCTCTGTCTCCGTTGATTGGATACTCGGTATTTGGCTTTGGAGACAAGGAGGGATGGCCAAACGAGGATGAGGGATTCTGCTTCCAGGCCAAGGAGCTAGACAAATGGATGTCCAAGCTGACCGGCCGGAAGCGAGCCTACCCCGTCGGAATGGGCGACATGAAGAGCGATCACGTGGAACGATTCACAGAGTGGGCTACCGGGGTACAAGACGTGATCTCTCAGGCTGTCCAGGCTGGATTCCTTGGCGAAGGAGTGCCCGGCAGTGGTGATGCGGTGGAGAGCGACGAAGAGGACGCTGAAGCCGATGACGGTGAAGTCGTATTCGACGACGACGAGGAGTCGGGCGACGGCAAATCGTCTGATGGCTCCAGGCCATTAGACGACGTCGAGGACCTGGGGAAAATGATTCGTCCTAACAAGAATGGAAACGAAACCACTCGGAAAGCGCCCCTGGCTGTTGACTTTACGACATATCCCTCCTCCGGCAAGAAGAAAGCTCAAGCGCCTATTGTCAAGGAAATGGTGGCCAAGAATTCTCCAACATATACCGCTCTCACCAAGCAAGGATACTCCATTGTCGGCTCCCACTCTGGTGTCAAGATCTGCCGCTGGACCAAATCTGCTCTACGCGGACGCGGCAGCTGCTACAAGTATTCTTTGTATGGTATCAACTCTCATCAGTGCATGGAAACCACTCCTTCGCTCTCATGCTCCAACAAGTGTGTTTTCTGCTGGCGTCACGGAACGAACCCTGTCGGTACAACATGGCGATGGGTGGTTGATCCTCCTGACATGATCTTCGATGGTGTCAAGGAGAACCACTACAAGAAAATCAAGATGATGCGCGGTGTGCCTGGCGTTAGAGCGGAGCGATATGCTGAAGCCCTTAGGATCCGACACTGTGCCCTATCCTTGGTGGGAGAGCCCATCTTCTATCCCTATATCAATGAATTTCTCGCTCTCTTGCACAATGAGCGAATCTCTTCTTTCTTAGTCTGCAACGCACAACATCCCGATCAGCTCGCGGCTCTCAAGGCTGTGACTCAGCTGTACGTGTCCATCGACGCCTCCAACAGAGACTCGCTGCGAAAGATTGACAGACCTCTCCACCGAGATTTCTGGGAACGATTCCTGAGATGCCTGGACATTCTTCGAGAAAAGCGTTTCCGCCACCGCACGGTCTATCGCTTGACCCTTGTCAAGGGCTTCAACGTGGAAGACGAAGTTGAAGGCTACGCTCAACTCATTGAGCGCGGACTGCCATGCTTCGTCGAAGTCAAGGGTGTAACTTACTGCGGCACGGCAACATCCTCCAACGCCGGCCTGAGCATGTCCAACGTGCCGTTCTACTGGGAGGTCTGCGAGTTTGTCAAGGCGCTGGACAAGCGCCTCCAGGAAAAGGGCCTCGACTATGGAATTGCCGCCGAGCATGCCCACAGCTGCTGCGTCTTGCTGGCTAGCAAACGCTTCAATGTCAATGGGAAGTGGCATACGCATATTGACTATCAAAGGTTTTTTGAACTGCTTGAAGAGAGAGGACCGGATGGCGATTGGACGCCCGAAGACTATATGGGACCACCGACCCCCGAGTGGGCTCTGTGGGGGAATGGAGGATTTGATCCCCGGGATGAAAGGGTGGATAGGAAGGGCCGCAAAATGGAGGCCATTGTGACGCGCGAAGCACCCGAGTAAGATTGCTCAATGGTATTACATATTAGTATCATGTATAACAGGATAAAAGTATAATATTACTAGTGTTCACCAAAAGGCCGATTAGGGAGACATTACTAGTACCACGTAGACCCAATGCAAGCCATTGGAATTTCATATTGGATTATGGAAACGCTACCCGCACCGGCCCTTCCCAAAAACCTCCCATGGCTATATCATTTCACTGCACAACTGTTTACACACGACTCCCAGAGGATCGATCTCGGAGCGAGAAAATGAAAAGAAACTATTAGAAAAAAAAGAGTTTCAGGAATTTATCGTACACCAAAGCGGTTTTTGCGTTTCCCCCCTCAACGGTTCTAGGAGAGATATATGTAACAAAGAGAGGAGGGGATCCGGCGCTTCGAATCAGGGTTTTTTTTTTCTTTTTGTCAGTTTTTTTGTGCCCCCCTTTCCGTCAAAGGTTGTTGTTTACTTTTGGCTAGAGGGGGAAAAAATGATGGATTTTTTTTTCCCCTCTCATCATGATATTTTTGATATAAGCTGAGTGAAGCGGGGGAGGAACACTCGGCTGGATTTGTTGTATGTTGAGTTGGCTTAGTCGAGGCCAACATTAGGGATATCGCCCAGGTTGATGCCGGCGGAAGAGGGACGAGTGCGAATGCTAATGTCACCGTCGTATGCGATCATGTCGGCCAAGATATCTAATATGGGCTGTTGGGGATCGATTGTCAGCATAAAGTCTAATCGGTGCATTGGTATAGCATAATGGTGGAGGAGGGGCATCTGCATCTACCTTGGGAACGGTGCTGTCGTAGATCTTGATGAGGTCGCCGGGAGCAGGGTAAACCTTCAATCCCTTGTAGAAAGCGAGCGCAGAGTCAAGCATCTTGGAAGCTAAATTGAGCGAAGAGTGCAATGTCAGCGTGTTATTCCTTATCGCGCTTCAAAAGAAAAAAAAAATAGTGTCATGGAGGGGAGGGTCTTTCATACGATCTTGGCTCAACATCTCGCCCGTCATGACCTGCTCATTGAAGAAGGCCTCTCGCTCCTCCACGCCGGTAGGGAAACCCTCCTCCTTAGCCTCGTCGACCTTGGCCTTGATGGTGCCGCGCAGTCGCTGTGTGGAGGCCTCGGCTTCTTCCTTCTCGGCGCGGACCTGCTTGCGCTCGTTTCTTCTCAGGTTACGACGAAATTCGGCGTTTCTGCGTCGCTGGAAATCAAAGTATGCGGCATATGCTGCGGACAAAAAGGAAATCACAGTCGTTAGCAAAAACCAAGCACCTTTCGAGCAAATCTCGCGCAGGCCATTGGGGGCAGAGACGAACCCAAGAGGCCTGTCGCAACGGTTGCGACTGATGCCGTCACTACGGTGCTTGTCTGAACCATTTTTGACGAATGGAGGGGAGCTCTCGGGTCAAGGGTTTCCAAGCTGTAGCTGCAAGTGAGAAAATAAAAGGATGGCGGGCTCCGGGGAAATCGGCCTTTGCGGCGGCTGCTCAGAAATAGCCCTGTTATGCGACAGCAGAGAAATTGAGCGTCAGCTGGAGAAGATGCCGCCGCCGGGATTTTTTTTTCTCTTTGGAAAAAAGATATCACAAGGAATATGGAGTCACTGCGATACCTGCTAGCTCGGAATATCGATTGAGCGACGCTGAAGGCAATCGGCACATTGTCGGGTAAACGAGAGTTGCCTTGGGACTTGCGCAGCCACCGATTAATGCTGGCGACAGCTGAGTTCCACTAGCACACTGTACATGCCATACCTCCATCCGAGCATCGACTTCCTAACTGCCAACGCAGCAGCCAATCCTGTCACAGCTCAGCTATAGAGCTCTGTGCACCAACTTCCAGAAAGTAGACGCGACCTGGAAGTTCAAAGCTGCCTGTGCATACATACCTGTAACCGTTATTTCTACCATAGAAGCTGCTCTTCTCCGCCTTCCCCTGTGTCATCCATCCAATCAGCCCTCACCTCAATGAGCAGCAGCCGGCATGTCTGAGGAACGCAGCAAGATAACTCTGTCTCTTCGAAGCGGCAAGCGACGAAAGGCCCGCCCCGTCATTAGTGCACCGCGACAAATCTCTGCACCAATTCCGCAAGATGGCTCGACTGGAGGCACAACTGCTGGCCCCGGTGGACTGGTTCCGCTGCCCGAGGCGCCTCGGCCGCGACCTGTAGCTGCTGGTGGAAAGGTGAGATCTCACGATACTGCTGCCAGGGGAGATTTGTTTGGCTCTGGCGACTAATCTTGGCTTTGTAGACCTCTGATCTAGTGAAGAAACGATTCTCTTCACGATTCAACAACTTACCCCCCGAATTCGACGCGGCCGCCCCTCCAGTGCCGAGTCTCCCCCCTCTTGAACGGTACAACACCGACTATCAACCCCCTCCGTCACGAGCAGGGCCGGGAGCTGCTCCCACCGTCGATCTAAAGGCATTGCGAGACCCGAACCTTACTCCCGACCAATATGTATCCTCAGTACTGAGTGAGGCGAGCGAGGATCAGATCCAAGAGTATGCCGAATCGCTGCAGGGCATCAAGACACGCGCTGCTGCGGACCTTCAGCAGAACCTATTGCAGAATCGGACGCAGTTCATTAAAATCAGCAAGGAAGCAGAGAAGCTAAAGGGAGAGATGCGAGCACTTCGCAATCTAATGTCTGAGCTCAAAGCGAACACGACTGCCCTTAGACAAGCTTCCGGTAGGGGAGAAATGGATACATCTATAGGGGGGGGCGCCACAATGAGCAAACGAGACAAACGCAGCTCCATTGTAGATCGAAGTGCTCTCTGGACCACGCAGATGCAAACTCTCTACAAGACAGTAGAAGGCTCTCAAAAGTTCCTGCCAAACGCGATAGGACGGCATGTGGTTCTTAATGCTGGTCCTTGGATCGAATTGGACAATGCAACCTACAAGAGCAGAAGAGCCATGCAAATCTTCTTACTCAACGACCATCTTCTCATCGCCTCCCGGAAGAAACGCAAGGTCGACGCGCCCAACTCGGATAGCCGTGGACCGATGGTGAAGCTGGTAGCTGACCGCTGCTGGCCCTTGCTCGATATTGAAGTCATTGAAATGCCTGGAACAGGAGATTCTATGGGCGGCCGTAATAAGTTGGCTGATGCCATTATGGTGCGAGGCGGTGGTCAGGAGACATTCATCTATCGGACAGAAAAGCCAGAAGCAACTGAGAAGAAAGCGCTGATGATGAATGTTCGCAAAGCAGTGGAAGAGCTACGCAAAGGGTTGCAGTCTGAGATGGAGGCCAATAACAAGGCAAGAGAGACGATTAACTACTTTGCTTCCAGAGACCCAGGTCTGCTCCAAAAGACGGAGCTGCTAGAGACGCTATCTGATATCAAGGACATGTTGATTGAGGTGGACGGCAAACAGCAGAATCTGCGCTGGGTCGAAGGCCAAATGGATGAGCTTGATATTGATATTGCTCTTCAGGGATTCGAACCGGCAGTGGCGCGCGTAGAAAAGATGAAGGGGTTGGCAAGGGGCCTCAAGGGCAACACTGTGGCACAAGACTTTATCAACTTTGAAGTTGAGGAGAGGTGCGGTAAGCTTGCGGGCATCATTATTCAGCAGCTGGAGACGACACACAACCAGCAGAGCAAGACGAAGCGAAACTTGAGCTGGTTGGCCAGACTGGGATATGAAGACAGAGCCAGAGAGGCGTATCTTGCGGCCCGTGGCGACACGATTCACAAAAGAGCAAGGTTCGTCTTTTTTTTTATCTCTCTTTCATATACCACTACATTACATGAACTAACAGGACGCGAATAGACAATGCATCTTCCAGGGCGATTTGCATTTATACATTTGGCAGCTATCATTTGTATACTTTACCCTTATCCACAACACGGTCCTGTGCTTCCAGAGCTGCTTCCCTCCCCCTATGATGAGCACGTGTGTCAAGTGGGCAAAGGAGCAAGTCGAAGCTTTCAATGTGATTCTTGCCAGGCAGTTGAGCAGCACAGAACGCGGCGGACAAGTCTGGACGCAGTGCATGGATCAGGCCAGAGAACATGCCAAGAAGCTGTCCGATGTGGGCCTTGATTTTTCAAGCTTGGTTGGTAAAGGTGTGGATGGGCCTCCAGCTAGTTCGTCGGTTGAAAGCCAGGGTCTTGTTGGGCTGGGCCTGGCTTGAAGAATGCGTTGATAGTAGAGAGCTGTCGAGAGCTGTCGAGACAGGAGATGGAAACTTGGTTTTAGATTATCTTGAAGATGTTTGTTCTTAGACAAGACAAAATGGAACGCGGCAAGAGGAGGTGACATGGTTATACATTTTTATTCTCTATTATGCATCATATGCTATAATAATTACGGCTATCATTTATAGCTACTTTTTTAACTGTCGTTTGCATATTGAGTCGTGGATACTATGTTATCCGCCTACCATAGTGTCGTCGAGAGATCGTGATGCGGTATCTTTCGATTGCCCTTAATAGTAGACAGAGCCTGCAATGAGATATACGCTGAGGCAGTGGATTGAGAATCTTATAACTGTTATATAGGATCACAGCTAACAAGGGTGGTTTTAAGTTTCTCATTGACATTTTCCTATCAATTGCTTGCTATCCATCAACCTTTCTCTTTACCGAGATGGTACTTGAAAGTCGACTACTTTAAGTGCGCTACCCTGAACTGCAAGATTATAATTTTTCTAAGAAATTATAATTAATATATATATAATAGATATTTCCTCAGTTATTACTAAAATGGGTAGCCATTTCCGATCGACTGAGCACTTCTTCTCAAACTTTGTGCTCAATTCGAATCTGCCGCAACGAAACTGACCGAATTGCTAGTTTTGAAACCTTCAAATGATAGATTGCATCTCCATGACATTGACAGCATTGGCATCTAGCAATTCTTTGGCAATGACGGATCCATTACCATGATACTTGTGCGCGACGGCTTCCCAAACCTAGATTACAGGAGGCTGCAGGACGAAATACCATGTTCCTCTCAAGCTTACCATAGCAGATTGTTCATCTCCCTCTGGCTGATATTTGAAGAGTGCAGCTAGCCCTTGCCGCCCATTCCATATCTCCATGGCCTTAAGATTTGGCATTTTCATAGCTGGCTAGAGGCGAGAGTTTTAAAAAGCAATTGGAAATCTGTGTAACAAAACGGATATTGGTTAGTTGTCAACGGCCACCAAGGTAGTATAGTAGTGGGCTTCTATATGGCAAGGGAAAAAAAAAAGAGACGAAGCAACACTCACAGTGATCTGTATCCGCCTGCAAACAACTTCCCCACACCCTCCAAGGCTTACAATGAACTTCCTAGAGTCTAGTAAAACGGGAAAACACCAGCGACAGCGCCTTGGGATTCTATCGCCGTCGAGTCTGTTGGCGTAGAAGCACTGCTGTCACTGCGGGGACCAGAGGCCCAGTTGTAGCCACCAATGGGTTTCATGCTCCCGGGTTTAGAGCGGCCCTTCGCTCATGATTTCATCGAAAAAGTTTAAAGATTACCTGACCGGCCGAACTGAACTCGTCGAAATCTTTGGCAGCGCAAATGTGCTGGTGACGGTCGATTTTAGCCAGCATAGATTGCCTCTGCGGGTTGACCGTAACTGCACTTGCCAGAAGAAATATTAGGCTCGAAAGTAAGATGTTTGAACCAGTGTTCCGAGTCGCTAGGGGAGTGAACGCTGATGTCGAACTTCAAGTTTCCGTTCGGCTCCCATGTGCTAAGAGTTGTGAACAGATGCTGAAAATGCTGAAAACGCTGTGATGATAATGTTATTAACCGTATCGCTAATCCCCGAGACACGGTGACAAAGCCCGCCAAGTTACAGCCATCCTGTAGTAACGTCTGCAGAATTAGAACCGGAATCTCAGCGGGTAGGTAATGCCATGATGCCGTACCGGCCGTCATTTGCGATGTTGACGCCATCTTTAAGAACAGCGGCAGGAGAAGGGTATTTTTTAGTTTCAGTAGCAGCAGGTCTTTGGCAGCGGCGAAATGAGGTTACTGCCGAAGCAGCTGGTCTCTAGAGATACTATTTTGAAGCTCGTTTTCTTTTCTTTTTTTTTTTTTTGCTTTCTTCTCTCTCCTTCTAACCCTCTTTCCTTCCCAGGCAGCTAATATGCAATGAAAACTATTTTCTTTGCTTTTATCTTTGCCCGTCCTTGTCTACGATTCTACCTTCAATCAATAACAAGTATTAATTCGTACAGTTTTGCAAATGGCACCGGCCTCGAAAAAAAAAAAACCTTCTTCGGGTGAAGCCGCAACAAGATCCGTGGAGAAAAGGCAGCTCAGAGTAGACGCAGGTGTCCCACCTTGGCAGCCATTGATGACGGCTTTGATGCGTGTGTTTGTCGTTTTTATGTTTTACTCTTATCTAGGCGAGGCACCTTTATGGTCTGCTCCAAAAACAAGATGGAACTGATTTTGATCCACTTTGGCAATGTTGTGGCGTTGTATATAAACCTACTCTTATCATCTTATCATCGGGCTGTTGGGGATGTTGCTATCTACTAGTAGAAAGGAATGTCGCAAATGTAAGACCACCTCTCGGGGTTCAATTTGATCAATTTGAAGTTTAATGTTAGCTACATGTACTTCCTTACTTAAGATACTTACTTGTAGGTATCTAATGTCATGGCATCAAGGTACTACTAGGTAGGTAGGCACCTTCGTATGATGACCTGATAGTGTCTCATGGTACTTGACCCTCCTACTTAGCAGGTAGTTTATATTGCCGACGTCCATCAAATGTTTCACATCAATATTTCACACTGTCCCTGTGTTGCGACAATATCAGGTACGAGCGAAGCTAGTAGTGAGAATGTACATGTTCGTGTGTAGCTGGCTCAATGCCAATGGGTGCCTGCTCTTTGGGAGCAAAGATGCGGAACTATAGAGCATGTATGCTTGTAGTTGTCTTGCTGGTTGCTGCATATAAACTTGCCACTATATGAGTAGTATACCGAATTCTGTCGAATGATGGGAAGAGATATTGCTTAGAGAATTATACAAGTAGCTTTGTAGATATAGTAGTGCTAAATAGTGCTGTTGTATAGCTACTAATATTTTTCACCGCATCATTTATTCAGTTTCCAGAGGGATGGAACATCTGAAAATTTTCATGCTGTTCCTACACATAGATTTTTCACATGTGTTCACATTTCTCTTTCTCAACATTCGAGTACCTGTATAGATCACAGCTACGACCAACATGTGAAATTCCGAATTTATTGTCTTGTTGATTTCCCATTCATCAGTTGATAGGCTATTCGCACTTCCCCACATCTATCATCATCATCGACTTTTACCCATTTGATGATACGTACTGTAGATGACTTTAACTGTTGAACGCAGAGAGCAACCGAGGCACCTACTCGATGCAACGATCTTTTTTCCCTTTTAAGAAACACTACACGTAAGCTCTGCTCCTTTACATCCTACCTAGGTGCCTCCGTGGTAGAAACGGCATGTGAATGAATTCAAGGGTACGTACGGTACAGCAATCAACATGAAGTTGTAGCATGACGTTTCATTGCCGGGCCTCTCATTCGCCCATTTCGACAACCTTGCAGCCCTCCAAACACACACACGAAACCCAGAGCCACTAACACAGCTTGGCCACTGCGGGGGGTGCCTCGGCTGCGGGGACTGCGAAAAGAAAAAAAAAAAAAAAGTTGTTGGGGAAAGGACGGAGAAAAAAAAAAGGTTGAGCGTCTCTGCCGCTGGACCGTGATTGGCTCAACCTGCACGAAGCGAACTGCGCTAGAGCAGCGAAAGAAAAAGGGTACTGCGTTAGCCACTTACGGCAGACCAGCTTCAAGGTACTGCTCCGGGAGGGGGTGTGGGAAGCTGCGAGGGATGGGAACAATAGAGATGCGATGGAGAGCGTTTGGATGGGCGCTGTCAGGCGATATGAGGCTGCATCTGCTGATACCGACAGCTGGGCAAGATGCGAATGCTGCAATGTTGGGGAAGCAGCAGAAAAAGAGAACAATCTCGGTGTTTATCAGCTGATTCGCAGCTCCCAACTGTTATTGCCTCGAATCGTCGTCGCTCACTTACACGCCCTCGTGTCTCGCCGCCTGCCCCAGCGATCCAACAAAACCAGCCAGCAGGTACCGCGTAAGGTACTCTCGCCGGCCCAGGTACCCTGATCTTGCGCCATGAGCCCCCGTCCGCCGCGTACCACCCACCGCATAGCTACCGCTATGCTACATCTCTAGCGGATCCACGGAAGCATTTCCAGCCCATCTCGTTTTGCTGTTTTCAACCATCTCCACAAAGGCAAAGTTCCAGTGGCAGTGACAGTGACAACGGCCATGACCGACGCCGCCAGCCTGACAGGTGTATCTTTTTGTTGCAATTTCTTACACATTTTTCGCCTTCTTATCCGCTGGTCCGCCTATTCGGGAGAATCCAGCGTCCTATCCCGGGCCTGGCCTGATCTCAGGCCCTGTTGATCAAACGCCCCCCTCCTCGGGATCTTGACATAAAGAAGACGTGCCTTTTATCACACACACCCTCCACAACACACACAAAAAAACAAAAAAATAGAAGAGTTCCTCACTCTTTCACTTCTCTCACCCCTCCATCTCTCATCCCTCCCGGTCCCTCCCTCCCCGCCGGGACTTGGTTCTCTTATAACGCCTTTTTCGCTCTTCCTCTGGACATCTCTCTTCTTCCTTTTCCTCTGTGTCCAGCCTTGATAGAGTCTTCTTCGTTATCAAAGCAACAACCAACATGTCAGAATCATCTGCCGCGGCCTCAAAGGCCCAGGCGTCAGCCTTCCCTGATGGCACAACCGACTATGTGCCTCTGCGCTCCGGCGGCAAATACGACCTCAAGAAGGTTCACATCTCAGAGACGCCCATTACCTGGGGCAACTGGTACAAGCACGTCAACTGGCTCAACACCACCTTCATCATCTTCATCCCCATCCTGGGCTTCATCTCCGCCTACTGGGTGCCTCTCAAGCTGGCCACTGCCATCTTCTCCGTCATCTACTACTTCAACACCGGTCTAGGAATCACAGCTGGTGAGTCAACGCCCCTCAAAGGAATATCAATCAGCCATTGCATTTCATTTACTTACTGAATCTCAAGGTTACCACCGTCTCTGGGCTCACTCCTCATACAAGGCCACTCTCCCCCTCAGAATCTACCTTGCCGCTGTCGGTGCTGGCGCCGTCGAAGGCTCCATCCGCTGGTGGTCAAGAGGCCACCGCTCTCACCACCGATACACCGACACCGAGAAGGACCCTTACTCCGTCCGCAAGGGTCTCCTGTACTCCCACATCGGCTGGATGGTCATGAAGCAGAACCCCAAGCGAATTGGCCGCACTGACATCACCGATCTCAACGAGGACAGCATCGTCGTCTGGCAGCACCGCAACTACCTCAAGTGCGTCATCTTCATGGGTCTCATCTTCCCCACCCTCTTCTGCGGTCTCATGTTCAACGACTTCCTCGGCGGCTTCGTCTACGCCGGTATCCTCCGCATCTGCTTCGTCCAGCAGGCCACCTTCTGCGTCAACTCCCTCGCCCACTGGCTCGGTGACCAGCCCTTCGATGACCGCAACTCACCCCGTGACCACGTCATCACTGCCCTCGTCACTCTCGGTGAGGGTTACCACAACTTCCACCACGAGTTCCCCTCGGACTACCGAAACGCCATTGAGTGGTGGCAGTACGACCCCACCAAGTGGATGATTGCTCTGTGGAAGTTCACCGGCCTCGCCTACGACCTGAAGCAGTTCCGCTCCAACGAAATCGAAAAGGGCCGTGTCCAGCAGCTCCAGAAGAAGCTCGACCAGAAGCGCGCCACCCTCGACTGGGGTACTCCCCTCGAGCAGCTCCCCGTCATCGACTGGGACGACTTCGTCTCTCAATCCAAGAACGGCAAGGCCCTCGTTGCCATCGCCGGTGTTATCCACGACGTTACCGACTTCATCAAGGACCACCCCGGTGGCAAGGCCCTCATCTCCTCCGCCATCGGCAAGGACGCCACTGCCATCTTCAACGGCGGTGTCTACCTCCACTCCAACGCCGCCCACAACCTGCTCTCCACTATGCGCGTCGGCGTCCTCCGCGGCGGCTGCGAGGTCGAGATCTGGAAGCGCGCCCAGTTCGAGAACAAGGACGTTACCTACGTCAACGACTCTGCTGGCCAGCGCATCGTGCGTGCTGGTTCCCAGGTCACCAAGGTTGTCCAGCCCGTGGCCAGCGCCGACGCTGCTTAAATCAGTCGTAACATGTCAATTGTATGAAAACCACCGTTAGGGTGTGTATGGGGTGAAGAGAAAATATGCAAACAGAGTTGGAAAAAAGGATTGGGCTTAAAAAGTCCAATCTAAAGTTGCGAAGTAGTGTGGGGTAAGAAAAAAAAATCACTTGCGAGCTTCATACTGCGGTTGAGTTTTTTTACTTCCCAACAACATTCACTTCACTGCCAACTCTAAAAAAAAATTTATCATGAAATGGCGTTTGAAAGGGAATAAATATTTCAAGGGGTCCGGGAGACAATGAGGCCGGACAATTGGGGCGTTTTTATTTAAACAGACAGAGAGACCAGAGTAAACACTGCAGAAGTGAAAAAGAGAAAACTCTCAAATCATAAAATATACTATATATTTTGATACAAACACTAGACCATTTTGAACTTTGTGAAGACTCGTAGTTGGTGGTATTAACTTGGGCAATCAATCTATTTCCATTTGCCATGCCCCGCTATCCTCAAAAGGAAAAAGGACATCATTATCAAAACAGGATGTGCGGCTCCCAAATCATAATTATACTAGGCCTAGTAGGTATGTGTACCTTATAGTATTTCGATAAAAAACATTAGCCTCTCCAATCCATCTTCATCTTGTAAGAACTCGTCAGTGGTATTAAAATAACTCTATTTCCATTTGCCAAAACTCCAACCCCCCTTCAAACGTGGAAAAAAAAAAAAAAAAAGAGGAAAAACATGAAAAAGGAACAGCCATTACCAAAACACCACCTCAAGGCGTCGCCATCCTCGTCTTCATCATCACCAACTCACTGCTCTTCGCCCACAGCCCATCCGGCGTCTGCCGATAACACAGCAACCGCCCATCATCCCCCGTGCTGCCCAAAATCTGCCCATCATCATCAAAGCCCACGCGCCACACCGGCGTCCGGTGGCTGTCCAGCCGCGAGACTTCCTGTGCCACGTGCGGGATCTGCCCCGGCTGGCCCGTCCACAGGCGCTCGCCGACGTTGCTCGACTTGGCGAGGCTCGCGCTGAGAGTCGATGACGGCTGGTGATGGTGATGAGGCACGCTGTTGCCGTTGTTATTGTTATTGTTGTTGTTGTTAAGATTCGAGCTGGATCCCGGCGTATTACTCTCCTTCTCCTCCTTCGTAGCAGTAGGCGACGACTCCTTGTGCGCACGCCCATCCGGCTTGAGCAGATGCGACGCAGACCACGACTGGCCATCGTTATCCGAGTACGGCGTGTCGATGCGGAAAACCCTAGCATACCCGTCCTGGCACGCCGTGGCAATCATGTCGTAGCCCCTGATGTTGCCCGGCGCCCACGCCACGTCCCTGACCAGCCCCCTATGGCCCATAATCTCGACGGCTAGATAGAATTCCTTTTGCAGCGTGTTGGCGCCGAAGCTTGCCGATGCAATCTCCCTCGTGCGGTACACCTTGACCGAGTTCATACCCGCCACCACCAGTCCCAGCGCGTCGGACGGCACGCCTGCTCTCAGCGCCGTGTAGCACGGCTCTGGGTTTGGGTCGAAGCGCACCTTGAAAGACACCTCTTCACCGCGGCTCGGCTTGGGGCAGATTGTGAATTCGTCAATGGACGTGTACTCGGCCAGGTTCTCGGGCTGGTCGTTCTCGTACACCGTCAGCCGCCCATCGGTTGCTAGTAGAGCTAGGTACGTCTGCCTCGTCTCCTCATTGTGCTTCATCGAAAAGGACCGGTACGGGGATCGCGCCGACCGTGTGTCAAACGCTGGCCGGCCATTTACCGACCGTGCAGCGCAGAAGCGCCGTCCGGGCGCAGCAGAAGGGTTTTCAGCCCAGAGGCGGAACCAGCCCTCGATGCCGAGTGAAGCTATGAGGTTGGGATATATCGTGGACGGCAACCATTGTAGCTATATATATATATAGTAATAACACGCTCGCAGTCAGCACTTCAATTTCTCCTTTTCGTCATCACAGAGATCCCGAGTCCAGCAAACAAGCAGACATACCTCAATGACTTCTCCTCCATGCGCGCTCCACGTATCGCACAGCCTCCACGTCGCATCCTTGTGCCGGTTGAAGACCCGAATCTTGCCATCCACCGACCCCGTCGCGCATCGGTCGCCGTACGCGTTGAACGCAATCGCCTGCACCAGGTCCTTGTGCCCGTGCTGGAGGTTCAGGTCGAAGGACTTGTTGTCGTCGTCGGTGGGGGATTGCGGGATGGAGGTGGTCATGTTCTTTTGGAGAGTGAGGCCCAATTAACAAAACAAAGGAAAAGATGTTCGTTGCGCTGTATATACTACTTTGAGAGATTGAGCAAGATGTGTCGCCAAGAAATACCACATGCACTTGATCTGTTTGTGGAATTGGTGGGTTATAAAACTTGCTGAAGCATGGCATGTGAATCTGGATGCAATTGGAAAGTCTGATTGAGCCTCAGCTCACCTCACCAGAGACCCAACTGAAGCTCGAGGTCACTTGGCGGGGCTTTAGTGTGGCTTTAGTGTGGCTTTAGTGTGCCGTAAGGTACGTACCCTCGAGTGCCCGCCACGAGGAGGCCCAGCCCACTTTAACCACCAAAAGTTCAAAGTCTTCAATTCGTGCTCCAGACCCCCAACAATCACAAGTTATCCACAACTTCTACATGGTTTCGTGGTCTAACGGTCATGACTGCGGATTCTGATTCCGCCAGCGAGGGTTCGACTCCCTCCGAGACCTTTTTTTGTTGCTTTTTTCTAATTTTTCTAATTCTTTTTCTGATTCTATCACTTTTTTCTCACCAATCCAGCAAAGGCATGTCTTCGCCCAGAGTAAGTAATAAGTATGTGTATATTCGTCAAAATGTATGTACAGAATTTGAATCCCAGGGCGATTTACCCTGCTGCTGTTTAGATATCTCCCCAAGATGCAGAAAATGAAGAGGAGAAAGGCCGCAAGTTACGTGCCCAAACTAAGGCACTGTTATCCGTCATTGTGATACGCATCAACCGGTATCAATCTCTCCCATGTATTCCAAGTGAATATACAAAACGTCTCCCCTCATCAACGTCTGCAGTGGCCAATTTCAAATGAAATTCCAATTTTCAGTAATTAGAAGAAGAGGAAGAGAAGTGAGGGGAAAATATGGGAATAGGAGGCAAAGCGCTGCTCATGTCTAAAAATTCATAGCACCTAACTCGTTCGCAGCGATAAGAGTTCTTGCTTTCCAGCCGTTTGCCGATTGCGCCATAATGCTAACTTTCGATTCCAAAGTGTCCGTTTCAGTAAAAAAAAAGTCAATCAAGAATAGAGAGAGAATGAGGAGGAGCAAGTGAGGGAAGAGCGTGAGAGTGTGAGAAAGAATAAAGGGTATATGAGGTGCATCGATTAATCATCGGACGGCGGCGTCGTTGACACTGCTGCTCGGGATGGAGGCCGATGCGCTAGTTTGATGAGATGTGGCGTCGTCGGAACTGGTGTTTCTGAGTCGGGCGTCGTTGCCGTTGGGACTTCGACAATTGGTTTCCTAAGGTCATAGAGCTGCCGTCTTAACTCTGGACCGTCCCACAAGTCCTCTCGCCAGGGCCAGTTTATCATCATTTGAAACAACTTTTCGCTCATGGAGACGGTATAGCAATTTGACGCCGCAATGTAAAGCGTTGTAACAACGCCAAAGTCCACGTTGAACCACGGCGAGGATCCAGACGCTTCAGACGCCAGAGATACCCGTAACGCTTGATTGATTGTCTCTGCGATACTGGCAACTTCCAGAAATTTGTCTTCCTCTTCATCGGGGGGCGTAAACGCCATTTGGGGCAATGGCGTAAAATCAAGGGCAATCGACGCGCCGCGGTGCCGAAGCAGACAGCCCATGAATTTCAAAAAGTCTCGTGGATTCGAGGCATCCTCCATGTTTCCGTAAAGTTTCTTTGCCTTTTTGAGGAGCTCTCGGATATGGTAGCATCTCTGGTGTAGGATATCGAACTGGAATCGGGCAGCCGCGTGATCCCAAGTACCGTCGTCCCCGTTGTACTGTCTGCACATCCAACTGAAAGCATTGATATCCTGGAATAAATCGTCAACGTGCTCTTGTAGCTTCTCCAACGATGTAAACTCTTTGACCCCCCCGACGTTGCTTTTCCTAGTCTCGTATGCCTGGAGAGATAGCGATGGTGGTGAATTTATCCTCATAAAGGCTGCAGAGCCTTCCCACCGGCGAAGAAGCTTGGTCATGTAGGTTGCCCTAGCGTGAGAATTGTCACGATCGTGGCTGAATATCTCGGGATGTCGAAAGATGTCCTGAACTGCGTCTGGTAGATTTGTCATCAAGCGAATGCCGTTGGCGAGATGCATCATGGCGGTTGGCCAGTTCCTTCGCAAAATCTCTATATAGAAAAAGGAGACGCAGCATATCATGATGATTCCATAACGTTTCCTCATCGGCAACCCATTCAATTCCTCGGCCATTCGGTTTAGTGAGAGGTTATACTGTCTGATAATGTAACGCTCGGTGTTAGATGGTGGGCCAAAAATGGTGAGGTTGGATCCCGCAAGCTTAAAATCGTGATATGCAGAAGAGAGAGCGACCATAGCATGCCTTACTGCTTTTGATGTAAAGCAGTATTCCGGTACGACATGCCCCCAGAAGAAGGTATTGTGAATATGTGTGATTCCCACCAAATCCTCCGCCAGAGGCAAAAACTGCTGGATATACTGGCTCTCTACCATGTCGCCGCTGAAATTGGTCACCAGAGGTCGTAACAGTGTTAGTGATGATGAAGATGAGTTGACTGATGAGGACGATGAAAGCTGTTGAGAAAAGCCCGGTTTCCTGGTCGCTTTTGGTTTGGTAAGAGGCTTGTAGCCGTCACATGTTCGGCCTGTTGAGATGCATCTTTGGCACGCCGGTTTCTGCTCGTCGCATTTGATTCTTCTAATTCTGTAGTAACAATCTTTAGTTAGTAGTCGCAAAGGTGGGATGAAAAGATAGTTGATGGTAGAAGATTTCTTCTCATTTTCTGCTTCGGTGGAGGGCGGGTAGCTTACTTGCTATTTACCTGCTGTCAGTCCAGAGAATTTCGAGTCACCATGAAGAAACATAAGGGACATGGGGCATCTGAGTGAGATCAAGCAAGCTAAGGTTACAAAACATACCAAGTTACACAGCCCGTCCGAACCTTGGGCTTTCCGGCCCGCCTTCGCTTTTCCTTGACGGGAGGGCCTTCGGACTCGTACGGCGGCGTTATAGGGGGGACGACGCCAGAAGGAATGGGAGAAGATTTTGGGGGCGTCATGATCGACACATTGGCGAGGAATACGCGATATTGGGGCGGCTTAGATTGGAAGGTCACGCAACAGCAAATCTGAGGAAAAAGAATATGAAAAAGAATATGAAAAAAGCCGCCGGCATCAGCGCGAACACCGACACAGGGTAAAGGGGATGCGTCGGAATTGATTGACAAAGAGTACGAAAGAACAGCAATAGGTTCTGTTGCGACAGCAAGATTGAATGAACCCTTCGCAAGGCGGAGAAACTCTCGATGTCGATGTCGAGCCGAACCAGCCAGAGTCCTACGGTGTCCTGTGACTGGTTCCCCTTTCGCAAGAGCCGCCCTGCGCAGACAGCGGATAATTGTCGCCAGATCAGATTGGCGGGGGATTGCAAGAAAATGGTCAGGACCAGCAAAGTATTAAATGCTGACAGCAGATATAATTGAAGTGGGCTGTTGACGGCTATCAAGGCTTCCCAGCCCACTCGTGCCGCCCGCTCGCCAAGTCGCTATGGTCTCGCGTTCAAGTCCCAAGTTACCAAGGGAGAGATGATGGCCCCCGGACCGGAATGCGGAGCCGCCTGGCCACATTAAGCAAGCAAGCAGAGGCTGGATGAGATGGGCCAAGAGATGAGGAGCGAGTGTCCGAGATGCTGGCTTTTCACGATTAGGAAACTTGGTTTCTCTTGTCTCCAGCTGCTCAACTCCGGTTCGTTACGGAGGCAGATTGCCACTCTAGCAGGCCCGGAGCGAATAAGAGGATTCGTGCCGTGCGATCTCTTGAGGCTTTGGCCATTCTGGCTAATAGCCAGTAGCGTTGCTGGGGGCTGATCTAGCAAAGAACTAGGTTATCGAGCGCATGGAGAGGAGGGTGCTTAGGTTGCTAAGCCTGGGCATTAGCCTAGGTACCTCCTGGGGAGTTTGTGGATTGTGGCCCATCCCATCGGCTGTCGCTGGGCTGAGCTTCTGCGCGAACAGACATTAGCTTGGACTTGGACCGTCTTGTAGCCCTTTGTAGCAGCACACGTGTATGCACGAGTTTGGACTCGCAGGCACAAACGGGCCAGCAGATCAGCTATGGCACGATGCCAGCGACTTGTTCTGCTGTGATTCCCTGCAGGCCGCGGTGTGATCTGACGCCGTAGCGCTCTAGCACGAAGGCATTGGCACTACTGGCGCTGGCTCCATGTGATTAGCCAGCGTGATTACTACTACTACTGGTAGGTATTACCACGCTATATCGTATCCTCGCTTCGGTAAGGGGGTTCGTAGCCAGGGATGGCTGTGACGGCTGGAGGCGACTGATGGCGTTTTGGGCGATATGGAAGCCGGAGAGTGGAGAAGGGGGAAGAAGCTGGCACATGAAAGAAAAAAGCAAAAGCAAAATGCGTAGCAGCAGACAGAGCAGGGAGTGGTCTTGGAGGGACTTGCTTTGTTGCTGCAGCGCCTTCTTTACAGCGGCTTGTAGCGGTACGGAGTAATACTGGATTCGTACTCCATACTCGCCTCTACTGGGCTGCTGCACTTGCGGGTTGCCGCGCGGTACCCCCGCTATAGGTATTGTCTGTCTACTCGCAGGAACAAATGGTACCTGTAAAAATTGGCCTGTGGATGTACATAAATTGCAAGTGGACGTATCTCTACCAAACCGAGTTTCCGGGACGCCTCAATAACCAGAAAGTGGGCTGGTTCCTTTGACATTGACGCGAGGATAGAAAAAGGAAAAACGACGCTGATCAGACCTGGCCTGATTTTAAGAGCCATTATCCAAGTCCGGATTTCCGTAGATGGATTTAACTCGCTTCTATTGCATTAGTCTGGCCTCTACATTTAAAATTGTGGTTTTGCAATGCCTCTTTCAAAGAAGTAGGTACTGCTGTTATAAGTGGGTACTAGATCGGGCACGGAGTATTATACTCCGATCTCAGCCTGGAATAGAGAGATTTTAAATTTTGAATCATTGATTTGTAAAAGCCGGGAATAAAAAGAGGACACTGAAAGAAAAAGGAAAGCTTAGATTGCCGAAGCACGCACAAGAAGGCAGAGTATGGAGCCCACAAGTTGGCCGGATCCGCGTATCCGGACTGCCGTTGGTGCGAGCCCCAGACCTGGTCCCCAGAAGCAGCTCAGCCATGACTCAAGTCGCCCGATGATGGGACAGCAAGACCACAACTATTTGCTTGTATTGTGATTTATTTCTGTTTCCGTAGCTCCTCATTGTGGGGGTCGTCAAGAGAGGGTCGTACATCCGGCCTAAGGGATGCATGTCCTGCACCGAAGCAGATGTAAGCCAATCCGTAAATCCATGTCCATATCCATGTCTAGGTATATCCATATCCAAGGAGCTCCCCCCTTCCTTTATCTATTTGCGTCGTATAGGCGAATACGCCAACAGTAGGGTTTCTGGTGATGCATTGGCCATGTAGTCAGCAAATACACCAGTAGTCTATTCAAGGAACTATCTTTCTGTCATGGATCTGCCCAGTGGCGAGGTGCCCGGAGTAATGCGCTTTAGTAAGGATTAGAGTAGCATCGGGTAGAATCCTACGGCAATGCGCTGTGTCTCCTTGCATATGTACAGCTCGATTCAGAATTCCCCGCAGCTCGCATCCCTCCTGACTTATTAGTTGAGCGTAGTGGTAGTATTTTGTAGTAATTGTATGTACCTAGTAGAGACCAGCTATGAGATCACTCCTCCCCAGCATATCACGAAGCTAACCAATTACAGCGTGTTGTGAGTGTCCTGCTACCACTACCACCCCAAAAGAGCCATGCCGTCACCACATGACATCCGGCCTTGTAAGGCTGAACGGCCGCGCCTTGCCCTTAAACTAGCAGCAAGTAAAAGATTCGGAGTAGCCACACGCCTCTAAGACGGCGATGTCAAGCTTCGGGCTAATAGTCTAGTGCTTAGGCGCCGCTATTTGTTAGGTTCTTTTGCTTTGAAGGCCAGAGCCCAATGAGAAACGTCCCGCGGCATTTAGTCCTCTCAAAGAACTCGAGGCTTTCTTTATCAATTGCGGACTTTGTTAGCCAAGGTTTTCCGTCTTAGAAATGGCCTATGGCTGACTTTCGGGGTGGTGTAAACCCGACGGCTAGGCCATAGGAGAAAAATGAAGAGAGATAGGCAAGATATCGCTACTTACCTCTGAGCTATAATTCAATAGTAGGATTTGGATGCACATTGTATCACCACTGGGCAAAAGTAATATTTTAGAAATGCGATTGGTAAGGCTTCTTGCACGCCTGTCAGCTACTTTGCCCAGACTGCTCAGATTACTCATCAGCCGCCTCAAGCTAGCTTGAGCCGCCTTGAAACGTGATGAAGAGCTTCTTCTGAAGTGAATATACTCTTCATGGAATGATAGATTACTAACCCTCATGTCATCTCAGTCTACATAGGCCTATCCTCTAATCTCCAATTGGTAGAATGATTTGCGCTGGTAAGGGACTAGGAATGACAAGACCTATACTGTAGACCTACAGGCCTTGTCAAGCGTGTAAGCTCATACACGAGCTTCCAACAGCACAGAGCTATTCTTTTTCAGAATTTATGGGAAATCTGTAATCCAGATGCCTTATAATAGCACCAATGCCAACTTCTATCTCCTTCAAGTCGTCAAAGTGAAGATCGAAGACCGCAGGCATTTGCGATGTATCCCGCATCCATGTACCTATGTAGAGCGTCGGTGTGATCGCACTAAATCCGGAGCAGCTCTGGTGGGTCGCCGGACTTCAACTCAAAAGTTTCGTGCCTCGCCGAATTCATTAATCTAATCTTTCCATCAGCTCGCGTCTCGTCGCGTCAGACGGCCTCCCACTTCGGTCGTATAACGGGGTTAACGGCGAGAAGATCGCCACAGCCTTAGCAGCAATGAGCCATTTCGCGAATCCGCTGGCGACGCCTTCACAGCTCTACCAGCGCGCATCCGCCTCATCGCTGCCGCAAGATCTCCATGAGGCCATCTTCGTTGCGACACAATGCCTGACCCAAGCGGCCGGCCGGCTCTTGCAGCTGCCCCAGTCGGTAACGGCGCAGGCCAATGTCCTGTTGGCGCGGTATTGGGTGGTAGACTCGCCTATGGCTCATGAATTCAGCGTGGGTGACAGTTCCATTAGTTAGACGACGGCTACAGCCCATTCTTGCTAACTGCGGTCTCGTATTAGGACGTATCCGCTGCTACGATATACCTCGTCTCAAAGCTGGGGCCCATTCCTCGTTCCCCACGGGATGTCTCCAATGTCTACGCGTATCTAGCATCTTCCAATTCAGCACTTTTTTCTACAGACGAGCCACCAAAGAACGATCCACGGGCATATTACCAATCAGAAGCTGATTATTATGCCTTCCAGCAGCGCATGCTGAGCTTGGAAGCTCGTATTCTTCAATCGCTATCGTTTGATACTCACGTCGCTCTTCCACACCCGCTGGCTATCACCTACCTTCAGACTCTGGACTTCCTGTCACAGCCACGAACAACCGTCTCTCTGCGCGTGATTCAATACCTCAATACATCTCTGCTATCGCCACAGATGCTCTACGTCACTCACCAGCCGCACGCTTTGGCCACGGCGGCGATATACAACGCGGCCCGCGATTTGGGTGCCAAGATGCCGGAGCATGAGTGGTGGGAGGTATTTGATGTTGACCGAGAAGAGCTGGGCTTTTTGGTAGTTGCTATGCGAAGCGTGGAAGGGTGGATGCAGAAGCTCAAAGATGAAATTCCAACCTTTGGAAGCGAGATGCTAAAGAGGGGCATGATTGAAGACGAGTTGAAGAAGAGAGGTCTACCTGTCGACGGCGGAGACAAGGCAGCCGTGGATGAGGAAGATGAAGTCATGCGAATGATGGACAGTCGATGAGGCGACAGGCAACCCTATCACAGAACTTCAGGGCAACACTCATACGAGTTATGAAATGGATGCCTCTGCTTAACTAGAGGTGCGGCCTGACTTTCCGGGTTCACCCGCCTCGATGAAACTCGAAAAATCTACACCAACTGGGCTAAAGGCAAGCACGATGCAGAATAGGAAGATTCTTGCAGCTAAAAGGCCTCTAGAGTTCACACTCTGCTGTTTTATCGGCCGGTTACACGACACGAACACTGTCATAACAGGGCTGCGAGGGATTCTTTTTCCGGACCCCACGAGGCGTCTGTCGATTGCCCAAAGGCGGGTTTGAGTGATATCACGAGTGAACTAAACCAGGTCTCGACCCAGAATGTTTAGGCTGTGCGCTGCTGCATCTTTCACTAGCCTCTTGAGATGCCTGTTTGCACAAAACGGCACTGACAAGCAAACCATCGCACAAAATCCGCGTCCGAGACCGCTAGTTTCTCCTAGCTTGAGGCATGCAGAACATGACTGGACACTATCTGCTCTTGAGGGCAAAGCAGCAGTACGGTCCGTAGACAAACTCTAAGATTGCCTCGGGACTGAGCAGAATTTGCAGCGGTGAAGAGTAAAAGGCACGCCAATTAGCTACTCTGGCCAATCAGGCGATTTTAGTCAAAACAGTTGAGCACCTTTTTTTTTTCTCTCTCCGCTCAAAATCCTGCTCGTCATCGCGGGGTCCTAAGTGTGGGGGTAGGAAAGTGAAGACGATGGAACGAGACTTGAAAAAAGGTCTTACAGAAGCTGAGAGGTTGTTGAATTCGACTAGTGATATTTTTTCTATAGCGCCATCCGTGTTACCTAAATTAGAATATTTGAGGCTGCTTATAAGGAGGCGTCTCTCCAATCAATGTATTGACTTTGACAGATGACTTGTTAGACGACTGATTATTTGAATGAATTGAAGCTCATGCAGTAGCCAAGGCGGTGTATCTAGTCCTCGTCCTCTAAATATTGGTGGCGGTGATTTGATTCAGATGCCTATTCGCCTATTCCGTTGGCACTTTTGGGGGCCAAATGTGCAAGAAGAAAGAGGAAGACAAAAATTAGAACAAACTACATGCAGAAAAGACACACTAATGCATAGAATCGAAAGAAGGACTTTTCCCCAATCGCAAAACGTAACCGCCAAGACCAGTGGACTCGCGAATGTGGCGAAGGAAGAGGGACTTTTTTAACTGAAATGCTGCCTACGTGCAGGCTTGGCAGCTTCTAGAAGTCTTCGCTGCACATATGCCAAGAAGAGCGTACGTAGAGCATCAACAATTTGGGGCCCTGCTGCTGATTGACTACGGCCTCTCTTTTTTTTTCTTCCTTCTCCCCAACAATAGGTCGAATCTTTTGAATACATACCGGCAACAGGTGGGTCAATGGCATTGCATTGCTGTTCTCAATCCACACCATCTAGACTAACTTTTCATATATCAATTGATGCTTCGTCTGTCAGTTTTCCGGCGGCGGTAAAGGATTCCCGGGCCAACTCCACTGCCCGCTTTTGCCGACCGAGAAATGTTTTTGGCCCTGCCTCTTCCAGAACTCGGTGAAGCTTCTGCATATGCTCGCTCCATGCAACGCTAGTAAATGGATGCTGTGAAATGATACATGTACACTAAATAAGAGAAACCACCTGATTATTCTACTAGTTTTGTGTTTGTGATGCCGTGGGGTTGTTCTGCAACAAGGGCAATGTCTAGAGTAACAATAACACATGCCTTTGGCTTTCATTTGATTAGGCCAAGTGAGAATTAGGCGCAAGAGCTTGTTCCTCGTAAATTTTTCATCTTGACGATTGAAGATTAAAAAGGAAGCATGAGACAATGTGTAATTCTTTTTACGGAGCCGCCCCCATTATCAGCGCGGCTCACACAGACACTTACATGGCTCCAGCCATTCCCCAGAACGGATGCTATGAAATTAAATAGCTCACCTACCTTATCCAGAGCCCTGGGGAACCCCCAAAATTTCTGGATCTTAGATTGCGGGCCGTAGCTTTAATTGGAAACCAATCTTATGGTTAATCCGTAGACTCCTCCTATTCTCTCTTGACTAGGTATTGTTTCCTTTGCTTTTTGCCTTCAATGTTGGAGGGCCTTATATTGACCGCCGTAGCAGACAAATATGTGTATAGCAAGGAATAACGTGGAATATTTTCTCACAGAGGGTTATCTGAAAAAAACAAACAGTAAAAGAGACTTCCCATTTGTCTTTGTGAAGAGCTGCAGGATTCTGAGGTAGCGCCGTTGCTACCGTTGATGCCTTTCACCGGACCGAGCTGATCGCTGGATCTCGGTTCCCGCATTTTCTCATATATAAACTGGGGATCTATAAAGCTCCCCCTGTCCGCCCATGCATAGTCCTTTGCTTCCCTTCTTTCTTTACGTTTTCTCAATACCTCATTCTCCTTGCCACAGCCTCTTCTAATTCTTCAATCGCAAAGCAACACAAAACTCCCCGGAACAACAACCAATTCCCCCACCTAAAAATGCCTTCCACTTCCTCTGCCCCTCCTGCTGCCGCTGCGGCCTCCTCAGCTGCTCCCGCCAGCCTTGGTAACAACAAGGGCATCAAGTTCCAGATCAAGACTGGTGGTGCTCGCTGGGAATGTACGCTTCAGGATCGCTCTCAATAGTATGTCCAAAGCCAATGTGCTGCTCTTCATGAATGCGAATTGCTAACACGCGACACAGCGAGCGCATGAAGGCTCTACGCAGCGACTCCACCGATTCTACGGATTCTAATGATTCCAGCAACTCTTCTACCGCCGAGTCAAAGTAAAAATAAAACAAAAGAAAAGAATAAAAATATGCGACGAGAGATGGAAAGGGCTTTTGTTGCACGGGAGACACTCTTTTCTGTGTTGAAAAAGAGGCTGGCTCATCAAGGCGTATAGAAAACGCTCCCACATCCCTGAGTCGCTCAACGTACTCAACTTTGGCCTCTTGAAAGGAGCGGATATAATATCGTAGGGCTTTTGTTTTATTTTTGGACACCTTGTTTGAGGTGGTAGGGAGTTAAATAAGCGTGGGTGCTTTAGCGATTGGAAATAGTTTGTCTTGGGATTGGCGTCCCAAGCTGTTGTTACAAATTCATTTATCTCAGCCCGTATTCGGAAGATCGTGTGATGGATTGCCGAGTTGCGCGTGACTTGATGAGTATCGGTAGCTTCTTCTCGGTGTAGTGCTTGAGCTTTGCGCGATACTCTTATCTCTTAATGTTTGGTATACATACTGCCGCTTGAATTGTTCGTTATCCAAGGTGGAATACAGTACTCCGTAATACGCGTGGCATGCTATAAAGTGTTGGTATTGGCCCACAATGCCCAGCGTTGGTGCTCTCCAGCGGCAGTGCCGCGTACTGGCATTCTCCAATGTCTTTCATTGTTCCTCAATGACTGAGCCCAGAGTGACCAATAACAGCCCTTGTCAGTTTGCCGAATACAGGAGCGTTAATGTGACGATATAAATGCTGTTACATTGCATTTAGACAGCCCTAGCCGATAATCGGTTAGCTGCCACCGTCTGTATTTGTACGGGCTGTCTCTAAGAAACCTGTGCTATGAGCTTGGTATAGCTTCATTACCTAAGGTACCAAGGTAAGCATTAATCAATCAGGCACATGTAGCACCTGCATAAGAAAGGCTCACAGAATGAGCTCTCTCTCGCTTTCTTCCAAGGCTCGCTGCAGCATACTGTGACGCCTACGCTTAGCAGTAAAGCTAAGCTGTTTCTCGTTCGTGCATTACTGTCGCTGCCACGGTGAGAGGGCATCTCCTCTCTTAGACAAGCCGCCCCATCATCGTACATGACGCCTACGGCTATTAGTGCGGCCCTGCTGGCACTAGCCATGTCGACCTTGCATATTGCTGCCAGATGGCATCTCTTTGCGCTTGACACATCACGGATGACATCTGGCGCTCAACACGTCGCGTATGCCTTGCGCATTGTTGGGTTTGGTGTGGAATCAGCCAAGGTGCTTGCATCCAGCGATGAACGGGTGCGTTGTCACGACAGGTCAGCGGTCATGTGACGCCGCGCAGGTATCGAGTACATGCACGTAGGCGCCGAGCAGGCCGCGCATGGCGTTACGAATACGCCTCACCAATATCGAGGAATGGTGGCAAAGCTTGCGGCCAGGACTACGCAATCGTGGTGTGGCGTCGTCAACCCGAGGCTGGGCTTGTTGAGGACCTCCCTGTGGCTCTGCCATCCTTTCGTCACTCTTTTCTCTTTTCTCTCCTCTCCTCTCAACCTTTGTTTTCTCTCTGCCAGAGAATTCAAAGGGATAGAGAAAAAGAATCCCGTCGTTTCGTTCATTTGCCTCCCTTGCGACCACCTGCAGCGAATCTATAGAGTTGCAGCGGCTGGCTGGTTGACCGGCATTTCAGTCCCAAGTCAGCAGCTCCCTTCAGGCTCTGTTTCTGTTGCCTGAGCCTGAGCCGCCCGTTTGCTGGGCTGCCCCTCTCGCCTTACTGGCATTCCAAACCTGCCTCTTACACCCATAAAAACCCGCCCTGCAACCGCCATCATGCCCGTGGCGCACCACATGGTCCTCGCCTCAGGCGCCGTCGTCGCAGTGTCAGTGGCCGTGGCTACCTTTATCGCGATTTACGAGTCGCCAGAGCTGCGCCAGTACGCAGACGACGTTCGACGCCGCATCGCCATGGCCTTCTACTCGATGGGCGACGGCATCACTCCGCCGGCCAGGCAGCCCCGCTTCAACAGACCCGAGGACGCCGAGGGATTCTTCGAGTCCCGGCGTGGCCAAGGAGCTGAGCCCGGCGTCGATGCTGACGACGAAACCCGCCGCAGGCAGAGAGAAGAGCTCCTCTATTGGAACTCGATGCGGCTACAGCAGCAGGAGACCGAGAAAGAGAATCAGCAGCAAAACTCGTCTGACCCGCCGCCTCGGCCAGGTAAACTTCATCGTGGTTCTACCTTTGACGACTTCCTCAAGCCTGACACGACTGCCGAGCATGGTGCATACGTTTTCAATTCCGGTGCTGATCTTAGAGACTTTGGTGGTCTTCGCCGTCGTGGAGAAGGCGCCCGAGGATTCATGTCGCCAGCCTACTCCAATCCCTTCGCTGATGAGCACCACATTGATACCGATGAGATTCAAGAGGCCCAATTAGCCCGCCAACTTGCTCCGGAACAAAGCGAGATTATGTCAGACATTTACAGCGCAACTACTCGTGATGACCATGAAGAGCCTCGTTCCGTCACATTGGAAGCCGTCTCACCCGCGCCGTTGATTGATGTTGCTCAGCTGCCTGCCCCATCACAATCACCGCTGCCCCCCACCCTCGAGCGAGAGCTTGCAGAGAATGAGTTCATGTCCGCCGGCCAGGAAGATCGTCACGATGTTCATGCAACCATCCAGGCCTGGGCCCAGGAATCGAGCCGTGACTTTTACTCTCCCCTTCCCGTGACCCCTGTAGCACCAATGTCCGAGCCGGATATCATCTCCGAGGGAGAGCTTACTCCTACCGACTCCGTCTCCCTTGCTGGATCTGGTGAAGATATTGCCAATGATGCGCACTTTTCTGACCACGATGGAAGCGGGCGGTACATGGATGTGATGAGTGAGAGCGAGGGCATGGCCACTCCAGCTAGCTGGTCCGAGGTGGGTAGCGTCATCAGCGAGAACGACGGCCCAATGCACGCATAAGCGTAAAGTATAGCCTGGCCAATGCATTGTTGGGACTTGCCTACATATATAGAGGAGCCCAACCTTGGAGCTTTTACTTCCCTTGATGTTTATTATGATTTTTTGGGTATACATGGAATGGCGTTGAGAATTATGGGCGCTCAGGCAACATGATTAACAAAGACGTGACACTACTGCAGGTAGCCCCTCTATCGTTTTACGGGTGTGTACTCCATACATTCATCCCTTTACTGCTTTTGTATTTCAAGAAATATTTACCTGCCATGGCACCTAATGGCCGATATTTATACACATATATATATACAAATATTTTGGTGTATTATTGCGCTCTTTATTTACAAATGAAATACCATTTCATTCTCAGACAGTTCAAAGTAAAACCAAATCTATGAGTCTTTATACGCTCGTCGTATCTCTGTCATCTATATGATGCACATATTATTCTGTAATGAGCCCACCACCATATGGCTATAGTCGCTATTGTAATGATTGCGTGTACTCTGCAAACAGTTCTTCCACCTCTTGACCAAGAAGCTCCATCCAGAAATCGTGCGCGTGATACTTGTTTCCTCTCAACTTTTCGTTTATCCGGCAAACAGTACCGTGTCCAAAGCGCTGTTCCAGATACTCCAAGAAGTAAGCCGTGTGCTGATATCCAGCATCCCAGGTCTCTGTAATCTCTTGCTTCCAATGCGGAGGAGAAAGATTGCAGTGGAGGCGCACCCAGTCTGCGATGCCCTCAATGAGACCCCCTGGCGCAGCGCCGTGGCCGTTGTACTGGAAACAGTGGACGAGCTCGTGGGTTATCACACCGTCGATTTCTTCAGCAATGCGAGAGGGATTAATCTGGGCAATGTATGGTAGTGAGAAGTGAATCTCCTTGATGTTGTTGTCTGCACCAGAGCCGACGGTGTAGGCCACGCCAGGCATGTTCTCGAGTATGAGCGTCACTGAGCTGGTCGGTGGGACTGTCGTCTCTGGGTCAGAGGGCTTGTGATATAGGAGCTTGAGGAGATTCAGGGTGCCAGTAGTCAGGCTGTCGGTCGCGTTGACAGCGTTGAGGAAGCGCGTTGCTCCGGGATGTTTGAGATCCTGGATTTGGAGCTGGAGAGCTGGTACCAAGAATCTCTCTTTGCTGACATCTTGGTCTTCCTCTAGATGGTTGCTTGTGCCGTTTATATGGACGTTGGGAGGGACTGGCGTAGGCTCTGGAAGTCGAACCATGGTGAATTATCTGTCGTCCAGGTCTGATCTGATATGACTGCTAATAGTCTATGAATTATTGAGGGGATGGATCAATGCCGGTGAATGAACGGCGACAGAAGAGATGGGCTAAGGACTGGCTAAATGCGGGTAAAGTTACAAATAACAGCGAAAAAAAAAAGCAGCAGTTCAGTGCTTCCAGCACCCAATCGAATGTCTTCTATAACATGAAATAAACAGCAATATCGTGTACCAGCCCAGCTGATCCTCTCTTTATCACGGCCAAGTTAATCCTGGGAGCTGAGCTCGCGGGGCAGGCAGCACAGCACCCAGTGGCCGCTTCGACGATGATGGCGGGGTAGGGGACCCTAGTCCTAGTCCTAAGGGTCTAAGGGTGCTAAGCCACGGCGCGACAGCCTTCTCCGTATCGACCACTTTGCTGTTCTCAGGGGCATAGCGCTACTGCATCCACTGTAACTTCCTAGTAAGTCCACTAAAAATCCCATGTGCAATGCCCAATTCCGACGCACAGACCTCTTGAGAATCCAAGCTCCCAGACCATCCAAGCCACACGTGGCGCACTTGCGACCGGGGCAACAGGCATTGGTCACGTCACGCCGCAATAAATCATCCACTCCTGATTATTTTCCTTTCTTTTGTTTTGGGCTGGGCTGGAAATGAAAACACAACACAAACTCCACACACACTATCTTGCCCCCCCCTCGCACCGGCGACAACATCAACACACGCGCCGCGCCTGCAAAATCGAGGACGATAAGAGCAGAAGCCGATAGAAAAAATAAGAAAGAGGAAGGGGAAGAAGAAAAGGGGAGGAAAGAAAAAAAAACTGAATTATTAATTCATTTGCTGCCCCTCCAAATGCAATATCGATTCTAAGCAAACCCGCGCATGCACTGTCTGAGACCTTGATATTTACGGAACGAGAGAAAAGAAAATAAACGCAGCGACGAAAAAAGGAAAAAGGAGGGAGACGATATAAGATTGGACGAAAGCCTAAAAATTAACCATCATTGCTGTGAGTAATAGAGCTCCCTACTCCGTTGTGCGCATGCCTGGTGCGCTGCTTTGCGACGAGTCTATTTGGCTGCATCGCACGGCGTTGGGTTGCTGTGAGCGCTTCTTTAGCCCACAGCTCTCACGACAGGCTTCCACACTTTGCGCAGCAGGAAGAGTTCTAACACAAGTGCGCCTCGTACAGCAGGAGATTCGCTCTCCCACCGAGCACCATGGCCGAAAAGCTTACCGACGACCAGGTCGCAAACCTGATGACCATCTTGCGAAGCGACAACATCCACTTCGACACCAAAGTCCAGTATGTCAATACAATCAAATCCGGCATCAAGCAGCACAACGTCCCCGAGACCTGTATCCCCCAGCTTTTCGAAGGCCTCCGGAGCGCCTCCGCCTCGCAGCATGTCGCGCTGGCTACCGCTGGCTTCACAGCACTCAATCACCTCTTTACGCGCATGTCGCGCCAGGAGCCCAAACATCTGGCTAAAGAGGCGGCGCGAACGCTCCCTCTTGTCGTGGAGAAGCTGGGGGATTCAAAGGATAAGCCTCGCGCATTGGCGATGCTGAGTCTCAACACGCTGTATACCGTTGCCCCCGCCGACGTAGAGCGCTCGATTCGAAATACAGCCATGGTGGGCAAAAATCCGAGAGCCAAGGAGGCGTCTATGCAGTGGCTTTTGGAGGTAGGCTTAGGTGCTGGGACTTGTTTTATGACTCAAATGGTGGACTAACTGCTCTCTAGACTCACCAGCAACACGGACTGCCGTTTCGAGGATATGTTCCAATACTGATGGATCTTCTGGAAGATGCGGACGGAATGGTCCGAGATACTGCTAAAAGCACCGTTATCGAACTCTTCAAGTAATATCTTGACCTCTCTTCCATCTTCTACCCCTCAATCCATGAATCGGGCTAACCCAGATGTCTAGGAATGCTCCTGGAGCTGCGAAAACCGATTTGAAAAAACAACTGAAGAACTTCAAGGTTCGACCTGCCATCGAGCAAGCCATCGTGAAAGCTCTTGTACCCACCGGTGCCCGCTCAGACGCCGTGCCAGATGTTGCGGCTCGACCTACACTATCAGCTCCTTCATCCTTTGCCGCGAGTGAGCGACCCACTACGCCCATGGTTGATCCTCTGGCCGAATCCGTTGAACCGCAATACGTTAATACCCATCGCGAATTGGACGACCTCTTTAGGGATATGGCTCCTTATTTTGAAGGAAAAGAATCTGAGCAGAATTGGATGAAGAGAGAGCAGAGCACTGTGACATTACGGAGGCTGGTGGCTGGCAATGCCCCGGCTGACTTTTTGGACACATTTGCCGCTGGTTTGAAGGTATTGCTAGACGGCATCATAAAGGCTGCTACCTCACTGCGTACAAGCTTGTCCAAAGAAGCCTGCAGTTTAGTCCAGGAAATTGCCAACACGTTCGGGCCCGCTATGGACCCTCTGGTCGAGCTTCTCATGCAAACGTTTATGAAATTGTCTGCCAATACCAAGAAGATTACCTCTCAGATGGCCAATTCTGTTATAGACGCCATCTTAAGCAAGGCCACATACACTCCTCGTCTCATGCAGCACATTTGGGGTGCAGTTCAAGACAAGAATGTTCAGCCTCGAACATACGCCGCTGGATGGTTAATAACAATAATAAGGAAGGAAGCTCATCACAAAAATCACATTGAACATTCTGGCGGTGTCGATTTGATAGAAAAGTGTATCAAGAAGTCTCTAAGTGATGCTAATCCTAGCGTCAGGGAAAAGATGAGAGCGACCTATTGGACATACTGGGGCGTATGGCCAGGAAGAGCAGACGCGTAAGTATTCCTTTCTCTTATTCCGGGTCCAAGAAGTTCATACTAACACGCAAATAGATTCATGGCAGACTTGGAACCGACTGCCCAAAAGCTGCTTCTCAGGGATCCAAATAATCCAAACGCTGGAAAGAAAGTAGAAGCACCGGCTGCTACATCCAGGTTGGGATCAGGATTCTCGAGGAGCGCCAATGCGGCCAGCAGCAAACCAAGTCTACGGGAGACTATGATGGCTCAAAAGAAGGCCGCGCTGAGCGCAAGGAGCATACCAAGCCGACCTGGCTCTGCTATGTCCACATTCTCTGCTGCCTCTTCTAATAACTCGAGTAGCCAACTTAGCACGGCGACCGCGTCGAAACGGCACCGAGCCGAGCCTGGTACAATTTCAGTCAACGCAGGTGGCATGTCCGTGGCGCCTATGCGGCCAGCCAAGAGGCGGCCAGAGGTAGCTCGCCCTGCAACGGCTGGTCCTTACTCTGTTCGAGACCAGCCGTCGTCCGTAGAGGCCCATAGCCCAGAGGGGCCCAAGTCCAAATTTGCATCCTCATCGTCATCAACATCATCGACCAGGCCCGAGAGGATCAGAGAGACTACGCCCCAAAGGCCATCATCACGGGCCCATCATGGGTCTCATGCAAGCGAGTCGAGTATTACATCCCCAACAACCATGCGGCCGACTGGAATACCATCGCCACGCGCTAGCCCAGCCAGACTTCGGCATTCTCAAACGATAATTCATACACTGAGCCCAACCAGAGCAACTGATGATCTCACATTGGTAGTGCCCACACTTTCTAGCATGCAGTCGGCTTCAGCAAGGTTAGAGTCGCCACCACAGCCATTGTTTGCCCGTGCCTCACCAACCCCTGTCCTCCCCGCTGAAATCCCTTTATCTCCTCGCACTGAGCTACCTACTCGGACATTGAGGGTATACGAAGACCCTTTTACCGACGACGAGCCAACTCCAAGACAGTCTCTTCCTTCTGCTCCTGTTTTGGAGGAGAGGACAATCAACGAAGATGCTGCCAACATTCAGAGGTCGACATTGCCACCTCTATCAGATGAGGTAGAGTTTCAGGAGAAGAACGGACAGAACGCCCGTCTCTTGGACAGCGGCATAAACAAAATTAGAGCCAAGACTCTGGAAGTCCACGGGTTCCGAAAGCTGCAATCTCTGATCCGAGATAGTAAAACTGTCTTCACTGATCAAAGATTCGAAGCCCTTCTGGTTGGCTTGTTCCAGTACTTGGAGGACCCTCTGGCTGATCTCCCCGCAGGCAAATCCCAGGATGTGAAGGCTCAAATTCTCACGACTATCAAGCTCTTGTTGAAAAAGGAGCGAAGGAACTTCCAGCCCCATGTTTCGCGAGGTCTCGAGTCCCTCCTCCAGACTCGCGGCTGCTACGATACCCGAGCCCATGTGGTGAGCGGCCTAGAGCTGTTGGCAGATGAGCTTGTTACCCTCAGTGACGGCTCCGAGACTGTCGTCGTGCTCACAAAGCGCCTGCAGTCCTGCAGTGACGCCACGACTGAAGGTTGCCGCACTCTTAGCATGGGCCTTCACGTCCTGAAAGAGATGCTAGCAAAGCGACCCGAGTACATCCCTACTCATAAGGAGCTCTTGCAGCTCACCAACCTGGCAGGCCGGTGTCTTGAGTCAGCCGATTCAGGCGTTCGCATGGACGCTGTCAAATTCTGCGTTGCTCTACATACTCGTGTTAGGGAGGCGGCTTTCTGGGAGGCCATGGCTGGAATCAAGGACGATCCTAAGAGCCTGATAACGTATTACATTGTCAAGAAGCAGCGTGAAGACGGGATGCATTCATGATTTTCTGATATTCGCCATTTTTCAGCCCTCCCTCCTCTTTTTTCTTCGCATTGCTTCTAAGAAAAAGAAAAGTTTTTGCAGTCGGATATTTTTTTTTTTTCCTTTTTGGAGACATGAAAGCGAATAGCGGAATACAAGACGACTTTTTCTCTGTTTTCCTGGTGAAGTTCTTTTCTTTTTCCCTGGAAGAAAAGCGACGTCTACGATATATTGATTGACTGGGCCTGACTTTTTTTTGGCGTGAATGAAATTCTCGGCGGCATGTTCTTCGTGCGTGTAGGCAGGAAACAAAAAAGGGGGGGGAGTAGTGAAAGGATGGACCTTTTTTTTTTTTTTTTCTTTTTCTTCTTCTTTTTCATTTCGTCTTATTCTATTTTATTGTGAACCAAAAATTCTTTTTCTCTTCTTTTTTTGATTATTCGAGACAAAACGTGTAACTTTTTTTTTTCGCTAATTCTGTTTTTCTCTTCTCTTCACTTTTTTTTTTAATGTTCTTTCCTGTGAAAAAGGCCCTTTTTGAACGGCCCTGGCGGTTTCGTATACATGTAGTTAGTCGATATTGTTACACATTTAGTAGGCAGGCACTTTTTTGATTTAGAAATTTCTTTGTAATGGAAGTATATACGTATTGCATACCTATCTTGTATCTCACCATCCATGATGTCTGTCTTAAGACAGCGAAGTTTATCTACTTCAAAATTATGAGCAAGTCACTAAAGTCAAGCAGGCATCTTGATCGCACAAAAGTCATCATAAATTTCATATTTTACTTCTTCTAATTGTTCTTCATCATGCTCGCCGACTCAAGCCAACCATCGCCCTCAACCATTTCAACTATATCATGCCCGCCCGCCTGCTGCTCAGTTCCAAATATATATATAAAAAAAAACGTAGCTATATAATATGATGGATGGAGAAAACGAAATAGAAGAGAGAGAACAAAAGCCATTCATAGCCATCTTCTTTATCTTCCAACGTTCAACTCCTCTCAATGATGTGGACAACAACAACAACACGGCCCAAAAAGGGCAAGGGACTTCAAAAAATCGTGAGCTCAAGCAGAAAAACCAAAGATCAACCTGTGATCAAGCCATACCAAGCCAGCTCAAATAAACAGTGAGATACATCGACTTCATGCCGCCCAAAAAAAAAAAAAAAAAAAGGGGGGGAAAATGAAAAAAAAAAAGCCCCTATGAGCATCTTAAAAAAGAAGCTCCGAGTTCTAAGAAAAGAGAGACAAGACTGTTCAAACACTGTCATCCAGCTTTGCCTCCAGGAAAGAAAAAAGTAAAAAGTAAAAAACCTCGTCCTTGATCAAGCCAGTAGAAAAGGAATTGACATTACTTTTTGGCCAAGCACAAAACGCCGTGGATTTTGTCTCGCTAAAACAGACAAAATTGAAAGCAAGGGGGACCGAATCATGACGACGAACCGCCAGTGTAACCGTGAGCGCATAATAACATAAACATCTAGCCAATGAGGGCTTGACAGCCCATGTCGTAGCCAAATAAATGCAAAGGATGCTTATTCCTCTTGGAAGATCTGGTTAGTATTTTCAATGACAAATTGCACCGCGAGGTTCTTTGCATGCATATCAGTCATTTCACGCTCAATGCTCAGATCTCGCATAATGGTTGGCGCAAACACGACAGCCAAGTTTTTAGGCGACATCTGTCACAATTGTTAGAATTAGCGGTTATTAAGAGAAAGATGAAAAGGCAAATAGACTAACCAAGTTTTCAGGCTCTCTAATTGCCACACGGTGAAGGTGGAACATGAGGAACTCTAGACAGTCTCGGTGGGCTGGAGGCATCGAAGTAAAGACTTTGTGTAAGTGGGAGCAGCGTTCAGCTTCGTCGGTAATGGCTAAATAAGAGTTAGAAAACATCCAAAACCACTATATCACGAAGATGAAGGGGAGCTTACCATTAGACTCTAGCACTCGCTCATAGACATCGAATGTGAGTAGCGGGTTCGGCAGCTTTCGGAAATACTGCTTCAAGACGCTCGTGACAGCGGTAATATCCAGGTCAGGGTCAGAAATGTCGTAGTTCTCGCTCTTGTCAAAACCCTCTTTGATCATATTGATTTGAGAATTGCCACCCGTCTTTCGGTAGATACCCTCCTGGTCCATGCCTCTCAGCTCAACCTCCTCGATGCATCGAGTCACCACGCTAGGAATTTGACGATGCTCAAACTCGCATCGATCTGTAAGCTCAGATCCGAATAGGGTTGATGCTGGTTCTGGGGCTGCTTGTGCGACTACAATATTGGACGGGGTTGCCAATCCAGTCTTCGCATTTGCATTCTTCTTACCAAAGAAGCCAAATTGTTGCTGGTGCTGCTTTCCGGCCTGAGCGTTGGGCGTCGACGAGTTGGAAGAGTCTCCTTGAGCGACAGTCATGTTGTACGGAAGTCCAATGCCATCAGCTGCCAGGCCTTGCTGCTGCATCCTCTCGCGATCGTTCTGGAAAGCAACAACGGCACGTCCCACGCCCTTGGTGATGTTTTGTGCCATGGTCTTGGATCCCTTCTTCCAGTTGAATTTCTTGACTTGGCCCTTCCTGACTTGGACTACGGTAGGTCCGTGCTCAACAATGAGAGCCGGGTCCTCATCGCCAATAAGAGTCGTACCGGTTGCGACGCTTGCTGAGTCAAGATTGATGGATGAAGTGCCCTTGTGTTGGCCATAGATGCCCAAGCCGTTGGACTTGCCATCCGAACTAATCTGAGATTTGAAGCGTTCTTGGATCTGGTGTGTGAGATCGTTGTTCATGTCCGCAAGCTGAGCGTTCTTCGACGACAGTTGCTCAAATTCCATAAGAGCGCGGTCTCTGTCGGCCACGGCTTGGCTCTTCTCTTCAACGAGCTGATCGCGTTCTTCATGCAGGCGCTCAATCTCTTCAGTAAAGGTTCTCTTAACCTGCTCAAGTTTCTGGACAAATTCCTTAATGGCAGATTCCTCTAGCTCCCGGGGATCAATAGGGGTCTGTGTGTCTTTTGCGCGCTCCACATAACCTGCCAGGACCTCAAGCTGTCGAATCATAATCTCAGTCTGAGTATCCAATACGGAAACAGTCTTTCTCTTCTCAATAAGCTTCTGATTGAGATTAAGAAGATCTTTCTCGGCACCGACGTGCTTCTCCAATTCAGCGACTCGCTGTTCAGAGGATCGAAGTTGCTGCTTGAGGACCAAGGCAGCGGTATCTGCAGCCGAAACCGAAATTGAAACAGGGCTTCCTGACTCTTGTGCCTGGCCATTCAGATCGTCTTGCGTCTTGGGCCAGCGAGGCGAAATAGCCCCACGAGCTGTCTCGCTGATGCTCCTCGTGTGAGTGCCTCGGGTTGGTGGGGTTTGAGTAGATTCAGCGCTGCTTGTGCGTCCGTGTCGAACGGCGTTAGAGACACGCCTGAGGATAGAAGACGCTCCCTCGTCGGCACCGAGTATCCTAGCCATGTCCTCATCCATGGTGAAATCTGCGCCGCCGCTCCACCTAGGAAGTTTCGGCGAAACGGGCTCACCTTGAGAGCTCTTAGATGCTGCTTCTTTGGGTGGAGTTGGGGCCGCGGTGGTTGGAGGAAGAGGGGCTGCTCGGGGCTGCATGTAAGTATCAGTCAATCCTTTGTCGGTTGCACCAGATCTAGAGGGTGGGCTCTGGCGGGGAGTTGCCGTAGCAGGAGTGACATCTTCAGAGGCGAAAGATTTGCCCTGGGTCGTAATTGGACTTCCATTGGCTAAAACATGATTTTGTTAGCAAAAGGGAACGTGAATTCATCGCGTTGGGTGCATAAAAGGAGGGGAATACCAGGACGGGTAGATGCCGCTGGGACCTCTTTTCGCGGAATGCTCTTGACACTGTCAGAGCGGGGTCCAATCTTGACATTCGAATCACCATCATCTTGTGCCTTGGAATCGTAAGATGATCGCGACCCGGGAGTGTTGTCCACTGCTTTGCGTGGTTCAGCCTGCGATGTGCTGTCTTTGCGCGGGGTGCTAGTACCTGTCCGATTAGCAGTACCGTCCTGCTGCTGGGGGACGGACTGCGAACTGTCGCTCCGCGACTCAGTAGGCCTTCTTTTCTTCGTGGCCTCGTCAGATGCTTTGGTCTGGCTCTGTTCTGATTTCGGGGAAGAACGGGAAGACTTTGCCTGTGAGGTTTCGTGGTCTGACTGCTGACGAGATGAGGCAGCAGAGGAAGAAGCGGCAGCAGCAGCAGCAGCAGCACCCATGAAAGCGATGTGAGTAGCAGAAGAATGTGAATCGACCCGCTTGTCGGACATGGTCGGCCGGCGGTCCTTCTTCGCAGCCTCACCAGTACTCTCGGAGGATGGCTTTTGTGCTCCATTTGGTGATGAACCCGTATCGAGAGCCACGGATATCATGAAGCCGTCACCGCCATCGCCGTTGCTAGACGTAATAGTCGAGTTACGATTTCGTCGATATGTGGTTGAAGGGAGGCCAAGCCCGTCTTTGGCAGCATCAGCCTCGCGCTCCGCTTTGCCTCGGGCTGACGACTCATTGTGCCTGTGGCCAGTACGCGGCCGTGGTGATAGCTCCGTGGGCCCATCGGGATCGACGCGGTCGTTTGAGAAGGCACCGTTAGGAATGACGCCGGGTGGGAGGGCTGGAAGAGACTTTTCTGGCACCACGGGCGGCTGTTCTTTCTCCCTAGCTTTAGCTGCCGCCGCGGCTTTGGATTTCTTTCTTCTCCTAGCCATCAATGTCTCATAGCAGTCCATGCAAAAAATGCCCTGGGACGTTCTGGCATAGCGCAGGTTTTCGATCTTGCGCTTGCAGTTTCGGCAGCGAAAGCAGGTTGAGCAAAATGCCTGGTCTCCTGTTAAGATAGCTAGGTCCTCGATTTTGTTGCCACAGGCGGTACAGCTGTATGTGCAGTTGTTGCAGATGAGGGAGCCGTCACCGAGCAAGAGAAGGTTGGCGTCGGAGTCGAGGAGGGATCCGCAAGAGGTGCATCGAAAACAATCGAGATGCCACCGGTTGCCAGCTGGCAAGACATGATGTTAGCCCATATGCATGTTAAGCGAAATAAATAGTTTAGTGTTGCGTGCTGAGCTCTGTGTGGCGGTCAGGAGTAATGATGAAGGTCTCGTCGGGATTCAACAGAGCGGTATTGCGCTCAGGCAAATCAATGCACTTACCCAGTTCGAAAGCTTTCCCTTCTTCGAGGATCTAAAGGGCAAACACCGTTAGTCGAAGCCACAGGCCAGGAGATGTTCCGCAGTGCGGGTGGTATTACAAACCTCACCACAGCCCTTACAGGGGAAGGCATCGTCGGCCTCCATAGGGGTCTCCAGATACTCGTCCACTATTGTTGAAGACATGGTGGGCTAGAGATGAAGAGAGGAATTCGAAAAGGGTGAGATATGGTGCAGGATAAGATATGTCGAGGCGTCGATATATATGTATTTATATCTATACGCATATGCATGTATATAGCTTTGCAGCCGGTGCGGTGTCCGATATCTCGTCAGCAAGCCCTGGGGAGCTGGTTCGTTGGATGAGGCGGGCAGGGTTGAGCTATGGCCTGTGTAGGGCAGTCATGGACGGCGATGCAGAGCAAGCAAGCCGTTCGAGTCGTTATGCTCAGTCTCGAGGCAGCCGCAGAGCAGCGAGAGTCTGGCGCAGGTGCTCGCGCAGCAAAGGAGGCTTCTGGCGAAGTCGGGCCAAGTTGCGGACGGCTGGGGCCGGTGCTACACAAAGCAATGCAGCGGTCGTTGCTCCAAGACAAGGGGGCCACGAGTCGAGTCGAGTCGGGTCGAGCGCAAGGCACCACGGCGGGAGCAGCGAAGCGTCTGATGTCGAGTCGACGGCGCAACAAGAGGATCGATCGAGAGGAGAAAATGGCGGAGGAGAAAATGGCAACGAGCTGGAGATGGGGAGTGGGAGAGAAGGCGGCCAAAATGCCTGTAGAAGCAGGTACCAGGGACTGGCCACGCCAAAGGAGCCCCCCCATGGTCCCCTAAAACAGGCACGGCGAGCACGCTGACAGGGAGCTGCCGGTACAAGTTTGCGCCGCTGCGTGTTAGGCTGCGAGGTACCTAAATTTAGCTGGTGCAGATTCAAGACCAAAGGGCTCTTTAGCACGCTGTTAGCGTCAAGCCGGATGATGCACTTTGCTAGGCGGCTTGAAGAAGACTGTAGATTTGTGGTGATGCTGCGAGGCGAAAAAAAGAGCGGTATTACGCGAGAAGTTTGTTTTCGTGTTCTTTGTTTTTGAGGTTTGCTTATTCATGGTGGGATTGGGCAAGGTCGTTCTGTTCGCTGTGTCTTATATTTTTTTTTTCTTTCCTTTTTTTTCGCTATAAAAATTGACGGGCTGCTTGGAATGGAATAATATACAAGTAAAGCTTGATGTAGATGCCAGAGACGCATCTCCAGCCGTGGCAGGTACCTCTGCAAGCCACCCCCTCAAGTACCGATTTGAGCTGAGATGGCAAAAGGTACATGGCTTGATATCCAGATTCTGCAACGTCCAGTACCCATCCAAACTCGACCGCCTGATGCCAGCGTACATGCAGCCGCCAAAGCTGCCTACAGCGAGGCAGGTAGCTCTACTCCATACTTGGCATCAACTAGCTAAAAGCAATCCTGGACGCAGTATTAGGGAGCTGGTCGCACTACGGGGTGCTTGGTGCACGTTAGTAGGTACCTTATATGTGCTGGCGCCTGCACACGAACCACTGTGGGACTCTTTCATCCAGGGGACGTGGCGCAGTTGTCCAACTACAGAAGTCGAAGAAGGTCAGGGGCTGTTCTCCAGAACCACTGCGAAAAAAATATCCGCAAGGAGAGGCGGGCTGCTCCCTTTTTTTCCCTTTTCCTTGTTTCTCCAAAGCACGCAGAACAAACCGGGATCCGGCTGAAACACGAAACTTTAGATGTACAGGTACATGGACTGCTAGTGTTTGTGGCACGTTTTCCAGCCCTTCAACCTGGGCTTCCGCCTACTTGTAATTCAAGGCGCCTGCTCTTCCGTATATCAACTCCTCACAGCTCGAGCACCACTTAGTACCATCCATTGTCTTGATTGCTCGTAAATACAGATGATATGAGCTTCGCCCTTTAGTCATCGTCTACGGGTTTGAAATGAAGGGGAGCCACTGGTCCCTCTTCTAAGCCCTCTCGTCTTTGGCTTTGGGAGCCGCTTAGCCGCGTCTAAACATCTACTGGCGGCGCCAAGAAGGCCAGCGCTGGCTTCTACTGTAAGCTCCAGCGGGTGTACGTCTGAGGGGATCGACCGCGTGTCGAATGTTGCCCTCACATGATTGTCAGAACGCAGCCAAACTGGAGGTGCTTCCGCGGGCTCCGTAACGGAGAGATCTGTAGATGCTGAAACCAAGTTGATGCAGTTCAATACCCTGCACAGTGCTTGCACAGTATCCGTGCCACGCCGCAGAAATCTAGAATCAGGATTCAGCACTCCGCCATGTGTTACAGCATGATTTCCATGTTGTTCACCTTATTCAGCTGACTACCTCGCATATGTATAACACAGAGTGTGAAGTAGCAGGTACATATATATAGCATGGAGGCAGATGGTTATACTATCAGACTATAAGTACTCTCTACCGATCACAAATTCCCACAATCTGCAGCGGAGCAAGCCATCAATAGACGGTCTGCAAGTCGTATGCAGGCAACGTAGGACGAAGACTTTTTGGAGAGAAATCGCCACCGATGGAGCACAATGTATGGTGAGATTCGATGTACATACACTATCAAGGACCGCAAATAACGCCCGTGGTCTTATAAATTGCCCTGGAGCCGCGAACTGGCCTCTTTGCTAGCTTATAACCAGCACGTAGTCCATGGTAATAGAGAGCAAGAGTGTGCGAACTAGACAGTGCGGCGTGCTATCAGCTGATACTATGGACGGCAACAAACAGGGGTAATCCCACCGCCAAAACACCTCGTGGGGATATGGATTCGACTGATTCCACACACGCCTTGACTCGGGTGCCGTCTTCTACGTAGCCGCCTGTATATCGGCGTTTTCCCGTTTCATCTATTGCGTCTCAACACTTTATTCCCATAATTATCTTCGATCAAGTCTTTGCGCGTCGCCACACGCTATAATACTCATGTATGTATTAGATGACATTCCAGAATAAAATTGCCCAAAACTCGCAGGCGTTAGTCAGCTCTGTTTCACAGCATGACTTTGACCCCCTCTCCACTTGGGCCGCTGTTTCACCTTGATTGAGCCCTTTACAGCTCTAGTACGAAACAGGATGTGACAGCCTGTGAGTTTCGAGACGGGATTGGCTCTTTGGACTTTAATGAGGGTGAGTTGTTGGTTCCGAGTGCAAAGTACGCCGAAATGAACACCAGGCCTTACTCCTCCGCATCGTCCATCAACAAATGACATTGAGTTATCTCTATTGCACTAAAATCTGCTTATGACTCCGTGGATGGCTGCTTTCCTTCATCTTGCTAGTCCGGATTGCTTCGCATGAGAGAGACTCAAGCATCAATCAATTTTCTGTAATTATCCCTCCCTCCCTTTAATTCGCCTGGTCCATCATTCAACACTACATGTACCTATATCAGTATGCCTCACGCTCACCAAACATGGCAGTCTGCTCCGTTGGATGAACCGAGCTGCACATCGCCCAACACGCACTTGATGCATCATGTAAATGGCTGAGCCCCATCAGCTTCCCGATTCGTATCACGTCGCAACCCAGTTTATCATAACCTAGTTCAGTCTACGGCCAACAATTTGCGAGCCGCTATTGCGAGCTCAATCCTGCTTTCATATTACCATTTATCCATGATGCGTGCTACTTCATACTCGTGCGTACAAGAATATTCAAATTCTTTCACTTCTTCTTTTTCAATATAATTTCACAGACTACTGCTACCACAATCTCAACCCGCACAGCAGCTGCGACTTTACCCATGGCATCTGATCACCCAACCCCGGTCCAGCCGTCGATCTGCCGCAAAAGCCCTGTTGCTAGTCGAGCTGCTGTTATGAAGTACTACCCCCAATAGGCAGCTGGCGCCTTTATTGCTCTACTCAATGTTTCAATTGTGCGGATAAGAATTGGTCTTCATTATGCCGTACTCGTAGCACAAGATTCATTGTTTCTTCACATCAGCCTTTGGCTGAATTCAGCTGAGATTTCCCCGTGTCACTGAATTCGCTCCTTGTGTAATTTCCTCAGCCCTTTGTATCTCGCGATTATCTGCCATGCGTTCTATATGAGTTTGGCCGAACCTACATTCTCCTCAGGTTAGGTTCAACCTAAGCTCCTAGAGCCTGTCTGGCCAAAAACAAATCGGACAAGTCTGTTTCAACTTAACCTAAATATCACATGGTATTCAATCTTTATGGTTATCAAATTCTTCATTGCAATATGCTCCATTATTAGGCACTATACCATGAGGCCGGTCCATGTAGATACGCCTCGAAACCGCAAAGCCCAACATGCCAAGGTATCGTAACAAAAGTATAAATATGCAAAAAAAAACCAAGGCTCTGCAGCCTATTTTTCACCAACAAGCTTCTTAACCTTTTCCAATAACAATGAACTCTCTCTTCCCAGCTTCTTCTTGCCATCCTTATCCCTGGTCTTCGCCATGGCCTTCTTAAACCTCTCTCGCTCAGCCCGCTTCTGCGCGCGCTCCTCCATTCGTTCTTCAAACTCTCTCCTCTTCATCTCTGCCTCTTCGCGGCGCTCTGCAGCTTTCTTCAGCTGCTTGTCGTAGTATCCAGGGCGCCGAGTTCTCCGCCGCTGACCATCACTAAAGCCAGCCTTCTTCTCGGGATCGGCTCCGACCTGTGCCATTTCTTCATCCTTCAGCATGAGCTGTCTGGTGGGATGAATCTGTTCTCCCTCTTCTCCCTCCTCGCCCTTGGCATCTCCTTGAGACGGCTTCACCTCATCTTCACCATCATGACCCTCACTGTCGCCATGGCTCGGACGGGCCTTGGCTTCGGCAGCCTTCTGGTCAGCAGCCTTAATCTTTGCATACTCCTTTTTGACTTTGGCTCTGTGAATTAAATCACGCTTTAATTTATCGACTGCAGGTAAGATATTGTAAGTTTCGTTGCTTAAGTTTTAGGCACATGATTCATGTGAGGCGCAGGGAAAATTTTCTGACAAGGGGTGAAAAAATAAAAATGTTACCTTTGCGACGCCATGGCCCGTCTGGCAAATTCTCAGGCCCAACTCTGAAGCCGTGCTTCTTCTTTGTGACCTCAGATGAGGTATCTGCGCCTTCCGGCGTCTTTTTGGAGCCCATTTAGACCGGCCAAGATGAGTCGAGGATATCTTGATATTTTTTCAGCACTCTCAGAGAGCAAAAGTGAGATGGCCGGTGAGGCGTGAGGTGAGCGAAAGCAGCCTAGCCCCTTTAGTGTTGGTCAGTGGGGTGAGTGCAAGGTCAGCGGTTATGGCCCCTCACAGGTGAGCACTGAAAGACACGCCGGCACAGCGCCTTGCCCAGCACTTTCAGCGGCATTGCCGCGTGAGTGGGGTTCTGAAGCCCGCTGGCAGGCGGTTCCACGGATGCACAATCCGGGCTACTGCTGGCCGATATTAATGGATTACTGCAGTGGCGGGCGCCAGCTGAAGGCGAGCTGTCAAGGTGAGAGGTAATCAATGATAGGTAAACGAGTATTGGTAGTGCTATGAGCACATTTGATATCGGGTAAAAGGGAAAGGCCTGTAATATGAGCTCTTTTTTTTAAAAGAAAGAGTAATGCCATATTTAGTTTCTAAAGCACGCGGTGGACATCATTCAATGATACGTGACTGCATGCATCTACATGCTGCCTTTATCAGTGCCCCTTTGGGTGCTAATGCGGCACACCTACAGCGCTCACATGCATCCCCGACCCGCCTATGGCGCTGGCGCACACTCCACTGCGCGCGCTATCCGACTCCCCGTGAATAGCGTGATGTGCGCTATCGGCATGGCACGGGTGGTTATCGCACTGATCTTTGGGCACCGACGTAATGTTTGCGTGATTCACCGCCCAGCGCCACCCCGGCAGTAACAGCCCATACGCCTGTGCATTCAGCTGGGCTGGCTTCTACTCCATACTTGTATTGTTCTAATGTTATTATTGTTCCAACGCCATTCCCGTAAAGCAACGTTGTTTCTACCCTTGTCCCTCAGTGCTCTTCTCCTTGTACTCCTGCAGCCGCGCTTGCAACCGACGTGCAGAAGCGAAACAGACGCCTCCCCGTAAGGTGGCTCTACAAACCAGGACAGCGTCCCGCTTGGATGAACCGCCTGGCCCATTTATCTGCAAACAGATCGGCTCCGATGGTGACGATTTCGGCGGCGGCTGTTCATCACCTTGGTGGCTGAACATTTTTACGAGCCTTCTTTTTCCATGATCCGGTTCTTTTGCGCTGCGTCAGAACATCTCGCCTTAAAATCGTTCTCAAATGCCCATCTTTCAGGACGATATCGACAATGTGCCGCCAGCCTCCAGCCCATCCGGGTCCATAAGTATCGGGCCAGCAGGGTCGAGGAGTCGTCGCTTTTCCGAGGAAAGTCTGCGGCTCGAGCTATGTGAAGGGCCAGTTCCCGATAGCCCTGAGGCTCGTCCGTCGATACCTAAGAGCGATGAGGAGACCAGGATATCGGATAGAGCCGAGCTGATACAGAGGTTGAAACGGGGAGAGAGCCCGACTTGGGTTCCTAACAGACATGTAGGCCCAAGCTACTTCCTCTCTGGACATTTTCTTCTATTTTTTTCATCGTCTTTACTAACCTAGGCACCTAGCTCGAAACAATCCTCCAACAAAGTAAATCAAACGGTCAAGAAGATCAGGCCCAGCCGTCTCCCGAATCTCCGAGTCTCCTACCACCAGCACCAATTACACCAGAGAAGAATAAGTCGTCAGAGTCATTCGACGAGAGATTACGAGATGGACTTAGTATTGAACGGCCGAGATCAGCCTTACATAGCGGCGATTTCACAAGCGACGGTTCAGCATCCGAGAGCGGACAGCTCAGTGACTCGGGAAGGGAGAACGGCGAGGAACGGGTACCACCTGAGCGTGCCTGGTTTCCAACATCGCCGCCGAGAGGCTTTACACCGTTTTCATATGGTGGCAGAGCCCAGCTGATAGAAAATAATACCATCGATGGCTTCAAATCTGATTCATCTTTACTGTCGACATCGCTGTCTAGCTTCGTATATCAGCCGCCGACTAGTCCTCTCGCACAGTCTGAGACGAATGAAGACATTGATTTATCCGTGCCGTCTGAATTTCCATCCACCACCTTTAACTCTGCAAGGCGACATACTCTCACCTCTAGCCATTCTACACCATTCTTTTCGCCTTCTCCTTCAAGGTCCCGGCTGCAGTCTCGCCTTTCGTCACGACAAGGCGCCTTACCATATCAAGCTCACCAGCCTCGCCGCTCCTTAACATCTGCTCCCACTTTTTCCCACGGTCATCACCACTTCCTCACTCCTCAGACACCAGCATTTCTACGGTCGCGACGACAGTCTTTTGGCTCAGATGCCGCTTCGCCAATCCAACATGCTTCCATGGTCGGGTCCTACGAAGAAAGCATTCTTCGTGGCCGTATGTCGACAACACCATCGCAGCCATTCGAATTCCTGGCCCAGATTGGCGTATTGGGAAAAGGTAACTGCAAGCCGAGTCTTCGATGCCCACGACATGTGACACTCCCTTTCCCGGCTGTGTACTATAGATACAGTAGCACTCCGCAGGGAGGGTCGCCTCTTGAAGACGGCCCAAGCCCGTATGTTGGCCTGATTGATTTGGAGAATGGCCTTTCTAACCCTGAGGAGGAGTCAAGGTCGCGGAAGAAGGCCCAAAGTCGGTATAGTGACCGAAAGCAGCAGGCCAGCAACGAAACCACCAGGTTGGATGGAGAAGGCGTTGAAGTAGATCGGGAACGATCCAAGGCGACCGGGCCCAGGCGCCCGTCTGGGTCTGCGAGAGCACCTCCGGGAGGAAGCTATAGAATCCCTGAAACTGGCCAGATCCAGATCATTATCAAGAATCAAAACAAAACAGCTGTCAAACTCTTTCTTGTGCCTTATGACTTGACTGGCATGACGCCAGGGACGAAAACATTCATCCGCCAGCGCAGTTATTCTGCTGGCCCTATAATCGATAATGTGCCCAACATGCCCAAAGCGGACATGGACCGCCCCATTCTCAGATATCTCATTCATCTGCATATTTGCTCTCCTAGCAAGGGACGCTTCTACTTGTACAAAAGCATTCGCATCGTTTTTGCAAACCGGGTGCCTGATGGGAAAGAAAAGCTACGCAACGAAACTACGCTGCCTGAACCGCGGTTCTCTCCGTATAAGCCCATCAGGGCGATGAACCATGCGTTTTCGAGTCACGGCGGCGGCGCCGGAGCCAGGCTGATCAACGAGAAGGCTCTGCGGCGGCGCAGCATGGGCATATTCATGACCAGCAAGACACCAACATTTGACAGCATGGACGGCATTGCGTCGTCGCCTGACCACATGACCATGATAGCTCCGTCGCACAGCTTTAGTCGCGGCAGTGTCACTCCCGTAGATTGGGTGCCACAGCTCCATCCACAGTCAGACACCACAGATAGCGGCGACAATAATGATGGATCCATTGGTACCCCAATGGGACTCGGCCCACTAGGCGCTCTGTCTTCACAGGCCAAGAGCTGCCTGACTTCTCAAGATTCAGATGGTTCCGGCATTTGGGGCCCAGCACAATACGAGAAGCTAGACAAAGACGATGCTCGTTATGGCGGGAAAACTTTTTATCGTACAGCGGTCGGTAGCTCCTCCGGGAACGCTCCTGAAAGCTTGCTCTCTCAGCGCTTGCGTAGCCTGGGTGTCAAGCCTCAACAGAAGACTGAGCCAGCTGAGTGATGAGAATACATATATTATTCTATTACACATATGTTTATGAGCGCTATTTTCACATGCACGTTTCTCTTTTTCATTCTCTTTTCGTCTTTGACTTCATTATTACCACTACATACCCACGTCTCGTTCTGGCGTTTTTGGATATTGGAAACATAGAACACAGTGTTTAAATACTATTCAAAACTCTTTTCAATTACATTTCTCTATCTATCTCTTTTTAACATATATCACAAAATCCGGATCACCATCATTCGTCTTTTCGATTTCCTCTTCCAATAATTGACGAAATCACTTCTAGGTAAACACTTTTAAAAGTATTACGCACGCCCAGAATGCAGTGCATCTAACTTATAAGACACAATGATGTGCCTCGCCATTCGATGCGCAAAGATTACAAGCTTGTCAAGATCACAGCTGGGGAAAAAAAGTGAGAAACTGGAGAAATGAACGGGAAAAAAAAAAAGAATAAAAATTGTGACATGTATTTAGCCTCGTGAATAGCTAAGTGAAGATGGGTTATATCAAATATCCATCTTTTATAAACCGCCTCACTCTCATCTCTAACTCTCAGCACACCACCAACCTCAAGTAAACCATCAGCCTTCGTTCAAGTAATCACATATGTCTCCTTTCCAAACCTTCACAATGTAGTGAAATTGAAACCATATAAAAAAAAATCAAAAACTCCTGATGGCCCAAAACAAAGAGGGAGGCCTCAATCCTCCCACACAGCCATCTTCGCCTTGTCTGCCTCCGTCTTTCTCCTCTCCTCCTCCGCCTTGGCTTCCTCCCTCCTCTTCTTCTCCTGCTCCCTCACAGACCGCTGATACGCCCTCTGCTCTTCCGTCTGCCTGGGCGCCTTCATGCCCAGGCCCGCCGCGATCAGGCGCCTCGCCACCGCGTCCGTCTTCTCGGGCCTCCTTGCGGGAGGCGTGCCGCTGCCGCTGCCTGTGCCGGATGCCGACGTCGCCAATGGGCTCTGGCTCTGGCTGGTTAGGGATGCCCACTCGTGGGGGGATTCATAGCCCAGCGGCGAGGCGGGTGTTGGGGGAGGGACCGCTGGCGTTGCCAGCGATGATGGCGTTGACGTTCCTGCGTCCACTTCTTCTTCTTCTTCTATCTCTTCCCCCTTTGCTGCTGCTTCTTCATCGGATACATCTTCGTCCTCCCATGAGTCTGCGACGGGCTCTTTGGCCTTTTTGGATGCTGTTGGTTTTTTGCCGGAGCTGATGCTGAGTTTTGAAATGGTGGAGGCGATGTCGTCTTTTCCTTTTTGTGATGATGATGCCATGGTGAGTGAATGAGTGGGCTGAGCTGAGCTGAGCTGAGCTGAGCTGAACAGTATGTAGTAACGTTGGGGACAATATTGAGATACGGGATCTGAGGTGATTACTATGACAGGTAAAATCGAGCCGGGCTATATCCCATAAGCTGTCCTTTTATAGATCGTTCAGGTCGTTGATTGAAGTTTTTGTTATTTTGTTTATTTACATATGACAATGTGAGTGGCGTTTACTGGATGAATTTGGAAGTGACGAGGTTTGAAAGCCATGAAGCTACACAAGCTTCACTTAGCTTATTGGAGAGCTGGGTGGGATGTTCCACCAGCTGATGGTGTCACGTGCCCCACTCTATAATAGTCTCTATACAGGTTCACGCCTTAACCTAAAGTAACGTCAATTGCTACAAGAGGGGCTTGCATTGCTCGAAGCTGATGCAAAGTTGTTTGAATCGAGTTGGATTTAAATAGCCAAGTATAAGTGATAGGGTTTAAGTGTTCAATGTATCTTATAAGTGCTGGCTTATTTGATATACACAATTTTCAGCTATCAGGCAGACCAGCCATTGATACTAACGTATATACTCCCCCTCTTCCAACATCGCCATGCTATAAATGTGAAATTATGTTCCAAACCTCTTAAACCACGCTCCATACAGCAGTAGGTAGTAGCGTATGGCCACTCAGCTCAGCTGATGCTGGCAAAGGGATATCCCCCCCCCCCAATCGAATCCCATCCCTTTCAAAGAGCATCACTCATCTAGCCATCGGATATCAGCATAAAGCAGTACAGTCTATCTCATATCGCCATTGACCCTGAACTCGCTGCTTCTCAAATCCCACAAGATTGTAAGCTGAAGCCATCATATCAGGCGACATCATAGAATGATGGCTCTCTCTCAGGTGAGCCATCATCTCATATCCATCCATCCATCCACATCTCACCCAATAATCGGCAGCGGCCGTCCATTCTTCATCAGAACAACCTCATCTTCCTCCCCCCCACCAGCGCTCCTCTTCAACGCAACATCAATCCCCTCCAGCCCTTCCTCCTCCGCCCTCTGATTCCACTGCATCTGCTTCATCCGTCCATCCCCAGTACAGCAAAAGTACGCCATCGGAGAACGGCTCCGGGTAAGGGCATCTCTCACGCCCCCTGTCGTCTGCCTCTCCGCCACCAACAGCCCCAGCACCCCCGATCCTCGCCATCCGGGCGGCGCGCCGACAAACGTCCCTTCCAGCTCTCTGACGAAATTCGGGCCTATCCTAGATCCCGCCTTGCATTGCACCAGAACCCTGAGCGTCTTTGATGTCGACGGGATGGTCCACTCTCCTAAAAGGTCGATGCCAAAGTCTGATGCGCCGCCGACTCTCTTCAGGGAGAAGCCATAGCGGGCGAGACGCTCGGCCACGAGATATTCGTAGCGGGTGCCGGTGAATGTGGTGGATGTTTCGTCCAGGCCAGTGCGTTTCGCGTAGGCTAGGAATGAAGCGAGATCTGAGTGCTGTGCTGCGTCGAGGGCTTTTGCTGATGTCGACTTGCGGCGTGGACTTGCACTTGCAAACTCGCGGGCAGTGATGCGGAGTGTATCGGCTATAGGACGGTTCCAGTTACTGTGTGTGGTGCCGAGCTTGATGCTCCAGCGTAGCATTGTCTAGCTGAATAATAAAGAGATATTGACAGTTATACAATGATTGCGTCAAAATACCGGCTCTATCGTATGGGAGTCTGTGATATGGGCCATGTGTGAAAGACTGTATTCATATTCACTAAGCGGGGCACATCCCACTAATACCGTGTACCGAAATATTGTTGGAATCCCCTCAGCCATCGACTTCAATATGTAGAGCAGTGCAATGCAAATCCAAGAGAAGCATTGAGCCTGTCAATTACGATGATGTACTGTGTCAATATCAAAATACACATCCCCATAGCATTATTAATAATCGAGGGTTTATGAGGATATATACAGTGCAGCCAAACATCACCAGACGAAATCCTCGGCGTCCACCAACACCAATCACAAAATTCAACGAAAAAAAGCAGTAGTATTATCAACATCCACGTAATTACATACACCTTCAACGTTCGTACGTTTTCAAATCTCTCACTAATATTTTCTCATTCATCTCCCTCCTCTCTCCTTTATGCGCATGCATCAATCGCCATTTTCTTCCTCTCTCCTCCCCCCAACAACTGCCAAAAAAGGGTATTAATTGCTTGTCAGTGACTCATACAGTTTCATGTCCATCTATTTCCCATTTTCAGTAAAAACACCTCGTCTTTTATACTTTCAGAAAGAAAAAAAAAAAAAATTCCCAGCATGCCTCATAAACTTCATAAAGTAGATCAAACGAAAGAACAAAATATAACATCTCTATATAGCTTTTCTTTTTTTGCACCTCATCCAGAAGAAAAAAAGACAGAAAATTGAAGGGGCTCATCAAATAGGGTCGCCTTCTCCAGGCACGTTGGTCAAATATAATTTGCTGGTAATCTTAGGGGTTGGCTGGGGTGGCGCTTTGTCTCGCTGCTGACGCTCCCGAGATCTGCTCGTAAGACGCAGGTAGTTTGGCTGTGGAACGTCTTGTCTTTGATCTCGCAAGGTGCTATCCAGCGAAAACGACGACGACCCGTCGTCCATACTCCCCAAGTCGATTCTATCGTCGTCTGCGTCCGAGAAGCCGCCCACCACCAGTTCGTCATCTGACGCAAAATCTTGCGGATAATATGAAACAGGCGCAGAAGGCGAAGTGATTGATCGAGCGTGATGGCCAGCGCGAGGGGCCAAGCTGCTACCCATGGTAAACGCCCCAGGGTTCATAGTGTTGGAAGCATGTTCCCTTGAAAAGACTGTAGGTCGTTCGACGAATCCATTTTGAAACGACGTGTTGTTGGATGCTTCGTGCAAGATGGGCAAGATCTGTTCGTCGTATAGCTCTGTCCCTGTTTCATATGACTCAGGCGTGAATTCAGTGATTGTAAGAGAAGATCGCCCGTCATCGTCCGTATGAGGACTTGGAGGCTCATCGAAGAAGTCATCGAGACTATCCAGTTTCGTAACAAGATCGCCCGGGTGAACCTCGACACGAGCCTCATCCGACAGCATAGTCTCCGACCGCTCCAGAGAGTCAAAATAGCCATAAGGAAAGTCTTCAGAGTGAAATTCCACATCTGCTGTAGGTGTAGCCTCTGTCGAAGAGCCCTCAGTGCTTTGGCACATGTAAAAGGCGGCATGGATATTGGCCCTCGTAGCCTCTGTCTTCCGAGCAGGGATCGGGATAGCCCAACCAGACAACTCTGGAATGCCAAAGAGGCTTTGAGCACGCTCATACTCTTTTCGCACGGCTTTTGATGTTAAGCGAGCCATACTCATCCTCAGATGCTGCTTGTCCATGTGGCTTCCCGACATGGTCATTATATTGTCAAGCACCTCGAGTGCTCCCATGCAAAACTCAGACTGCAAAAGGCGCAGCAGAGGAGATATAAGATCAGAGCCATGAATTGCAATCTCGGGGTTGCGCATATCAATATCCGGAATAACAATGCAGAGAATGCGCATAGTCTGGACCTTGACCCAGGAGAGTGAGTTGGTCAGTAAGCCCATCAAAAACGTAATCATCCTAAACTCCATGTGTGGCAGGTAAAATTCGCGAAGTGCCACAAAAAGCTGATTCATAAAATCCTCGGAGCTTAGGAAACGGTCTGATATCAAACCATCCAGGACGAGCCCAATGCCTTCAAGACCTTGCCGATCAGACTCGGAGAGGAGTATCTTGGCCGTGTTTATTGCCTCTGGAGATAGACCGCCCCGTTCCAATTCATCCAGAAAACGTGGGAAATTCGCTAGCAGAGCAAAGAACAGTCGGTTATCGTCTCCAATGAGGCCATCTCCAGGAAGCTTGACAAGCTTATCTATGATGTCAAGGGTTGGCTGCCAGCAAAGGGATGACCTCAGGCCCTTATGAAGCAAAGGTTGAAGCCCCTCAAAAGGGCCTTCCCATTTACTCGGTTGGCCATCCGCGATCAGTCTTCTCACATTTGCGGCTCTAAAGTCAACCTTGCCAATCAATTCGTTTAGCATTTCCAACGCTTCGAGAAACTCGCGCTCATTGATCGATTCCAAGCAGGCACAAGTTGTCCAGAACAACTGTGGAAAAGTGATGAGCTTCTCAGAATCTAGTTTGACAATGAGCGTCTTGAGAGTTGTCAAGATCTCCATGGAGAATGCTTGGATTTCCGGGTCTTCATCTGCAATCGTGTTTGAAAGACGAGCAAGCATATCTCCAAGCATGTACTGGTCCAAGGATGTAAGAACGCAGCGGAATATCTGAAATGAGCGGCATGCCAAGTGTCTAACTGGGCACGAGGTAGCCCACGTCAAAGATAGTCTACCCCATTGCTCTTTGATTCCGGGGAACGCCACTTCAAAGGTTTTCACAACCTCGTTAGTAAGATATTCCATGCTTTGAGGCACTTTATTTTCATGATCGTAGACCTTTCCATTGCTGTCTTCGTAGCTCCACACGACAGAACGATCATGCTGACGAACCAAATCTATCAGTTCCTCAATGGATTCCTTCCGGTCCAGGTCCGTCTGTTCATCAATGCGTGACATAACCAGCTCATGAATGAGATGCACCAACATCTCGCGAGCTTGTTCTTGGACTAACGGAGTATAGTGGTCCCAAAGCACGGTAACAGTATGCAGCAACAGGGGGGCGCACTCTGGGGTCAGCTGCACTGGAGACACCATGAGATCTACGAGCAAGATCAGAGAGAGTTGGCCGAGAGAGAATCCGGCTTGCTTGGTGCCCACAGGCAAGGCTTCCGCCAGATCGGCGCAGTACGGTAGACTGCTGGTATCTGGCGGCGGTTGAGGCAGCTCTCTCTTCTCAATAGGAACCATTGCTTTAGGGTTGATCTGTGTAAGCAAAAACTCAACAACTTTAACACCAGGTGCACTATTTGATGTGGAGAGAAAAACGACGATTTGTTTTGCGTACTCGACAAAGTTTTGTTCGCGTCGCTCCAGGCAAAGCTGCATGATAAAATCAAGCACCAGACGTACGTTTCCAAGATGCGGCCCTGTGGCCAGGGCCTGCCAAAGGGCCTGAACCTCGTTATGCAGCGCCCCGCCGGATTTGATTGTGATTTCCAGCAGATTCGCCAGAAGAACGTAGGACTGCGCCGTGGGGCCTCCATTGGGATCCAAGGTCAATTCAATCGCCTGTATCCAGGGTAACACAATGGCAACAACATTTCGCTGTGCTGCTGGTTGAAGGTCCTTGAAATACAGAGTGAATTCGGAGATGACATGGAAGGCAAGCTCAGTATACTGGTTGGCAAGTCTTTTGGAGATCTCAAATTGAGCCAGCTTGTACACGGCCTGAGTTTTGTCCGAGACACTAATGTCAAAATCTTGAATCTTGGAGTTTCTTTGCTGGCGGGCCTCCAACACTCGCAATACAGTTGAAGATTTCGACCTGACTTCACTCTGATCATCCCCCAACATGAAGAGGCACAGGGCAAGGAGTTTCCAAAAGGGGCAAGGGTAGTCCCCGTGCTCCTGTAGCACGTCAACAGTGACCAAGAAATAACTTTCAAGGACCTTGGAGTTATCAGCCAGATAACAACGCGCGATGCAATGCTCCAGCAGATAGGGGTACTCTTTGTTGTGAACCACCAGGTTTTTCAGGGCTCTCCTGCCGATGACGTTCATCTTGTCGCTGCCCGAGTTGAAAATGGCCTCGATCCACGAAAGCATTCGGCGTATGTCAAACTGCAGTGTGACTCCACTCTCTGTCGTAATATTGATTGGTCCGCCACACAGCGATGCCATGGCGCTCAAGGCGGCGGTTCTAAGGTTACGTTTTTCAATTTCCATTGCTGCGGTGGCAGTGCCTCGTTCACCTAAAGATTGCTGATTCATCAAATTCTGCCGCATATTGTCTTCTCTAGCCCGAACCTCTGTCTGATTTGGCGAGAATCCACACCAATCTTCCATCAAAGAAAAGGCTGACTTCCGAGATTCAAATGTCATCCATCGAGAGGGATCTTTCGTACGATTGATTCCTTCAAACAGCGATTCCATGAGCCCACAGTAGTATCTTCGTAGCTTTTGGAACTCCCAGTCCATCTGCACTTCTCCATCCATCAAAAATAATTTCAGATCTTTGGCGTACATAGTCAAAGTACTAAGAAAATATTCGGACTCGTAAACGATCGGATCCTTGAGGAAGTGCGACGTCAGTTTGAAGACATGAGTGATTTCTGTTCTGAGCAAATCCATTTTGCGATTTCTACGCGGGCTGCTGTTTGCTCGCTGATGGATTCTCGCACGAGCTTCATCATTACACCGGGATACTTGGCCCTGGAGTTCTTCTAGCAAGGTCTGGTATATGTGAATATTGATTGATCCCATAGCAACGACTACAGCATCTCGAACAGATGCTGATGTAGCAGATAAGAGCGGGATCAGGTATTTGAAAAGGGTCCTTGCCGTAACAGCTTTCTCCGCCGGTGCAGGCCTGGAGGACTTGCGAGTGTGCTGAATAGAATCCAAAGGAACGCTCTGTGGCGCGCTTCCTGGGTCTGCCAGGGTAGTGCATGCAAAAATGAGATACAGCTTCCACTGCTCTACTATCGATTCCGGCTGAGCCGTCGGCGATCGGGGAATGGGGCGATTATTGTGAATTCCTTCTCCTGTGTGGAAAGGGCCTCTTGTAGGTTCGGACAAAAAGACAATGGGCTTGTACATCTGAAGGACGCGGTTGCAGATCAGATCTCGACATATGGTAACCGCAAATGGGCATTTCTCAAAGGCAATCCGCATCAAGTTGGGGAATATTTTGAACCAAAGCGTCGTATCATAGGTGACTTCGCTAGTGCATAGCTCAATGAGGGCGCCTTTGCCGTTGCCATTTTGTAAGCCTCGCTGCAGCCTACTGCGCTCAGCGACAGACAGGTGTTCGTCGTCAAAATTCATGACTTGGGATGAGTCGTTCTCGAGAACGTTGATTAGTCTCAAAGAGTCCTTTTCCTCGGACAAATCTTTTCCTAGTGCCTTGTCGAACTCGGTAATGAGGCGAAGGACAGTAATGGCAAAATACCGAACACGTCTTGACTGTGAGCATAGGAAGAATAGGCCATGCGCCTCAGCTTGATCAACCTCAGCCCAGACGCTAGATAAATCCAGCTTCAGAGCTCGGTTATCAGAATTATTTCCTTCAGACTCGCCTGCTGCAGCATCTCGCGACTTCTGTCTAATCTCCTCAATCCATATTTTCAATAGTTCGACATAGAGCCGCAGCGTATTTTCGATATGGTTAGCCCCGAGCATTCCACCATCAGACATGGTCGAGTATCTGTCATCAAAATTAAAGATGAAACGTGCAAATCCCATGGTGACTTGCTGCGCATGAGACTGACGAGCAATAGCCTTGAGTGAGTTGGAAGATGATTCTGCAATATTATACTGCACATGAGCAGTGCCCGTGCATAAAAGATTAATTAGAGAATTAAAGGGTATATCAACAGAAAGGCAGCGGGGAAGCGCCTGGACCGCAACGTGTAACAGCTCGTAGAATGCCTGCTTCTGATCCGCCGCAGTTTGATGTTCATCGCGTCGAGAGAAGGTAAATGATTCGGAGATTGGTGTCTTTGGCCCAGGGCTACCAAATTTTTCATCCAAGGCAGCTTGACCACCAAAAGTATTGTCGCAAACAATTGTGATCTTTCCGAGAATTTCACAGAATTTGAGATAGTATTCTCGAACACCATCCGTCAGGACGTTAGTGAGAACAGGTCGTGAAACGTGGCTTTCCCTCATCGATGACGAGCTTGATAGGGATGCAGGGCTACTCCGAGGAGGCGCCAGCATTGGTGACGCAGGAAACCTCTCCGCACTTGTTGGCCCCGAGTCGTAAATCTGAGGAAATGGCGGTCGGCCTTGCTCTCCCTTTTCTAAATCCGACATGATACTCAAGAAAGCCCTAATGCCGACAACAATCCTGTCAGGATCCAGCTGCTCAACTCTGAGCTCTTTATTAGCAGTGAAGAGCTCGGCATTGATGAGAGGGAAGATGACGGTGCGGAAGCAAAATTCGGGATATTTGAAACCGATGATACGGATTATCTGAATCAGAGGTTCTGTGATGGTGGCATCAGATGCAACTATACTCCGTCTCGACGGCGGAAGGACCAATTTTATAACGTCGTCTAATTTTCGCGCCACGCTTTGGAAGGTGTCGTTGGTACGATACAAGTATGTCCAGACCAGGCGGGATATCACTTGTAGGCATAAAGGTTTGGTCAGTCGATCTTTTACCTTTGTCTGCAGAGGCAGAACCAGTTGCAGCCACTGCGCTCCAAAGTTGTCCGGCGAAGAGACACAAAGCATTGTGGCCGTGAGTGGGAATGCGACGGTCCAGTGTCGTGGCTTTGTAAACATTTGGGCCAGCCGTGGTCCAATAGCCGCCACGACTTCCATCCACTTGGGATGCATTAGGTGGCTATTGCTCGCCTTGGATGCGATTCCGAGCAGAAGCAGGTCGATGATCTGGCAAAAGGCAGTCTTAACTCTTGGCCCGTGAGATCTGTTGAAAAGACGGCCCAGCGAAACCAGGAAGTCGCACGACTGTTCCCAAGCATCCTCGGGCGAAATCTTGATGCGAAGATGCTTCATACCCCCAAGAACAAGATCCATCTTTCCATCGTTAATATCGCGGCTTGTCAAAGAAGTTGGACTCTTGGTCACACGCTCAGTCAGGGAGCTATCCAGATCTTCGATAAATCGCTTCGTGACGCCAGCAAAGTTGATATCGCTCATATGGCCGAGGAGAAGTGTAAAAAGATTCCAATTAGCCATCTTCAAGGGCGAGGCGAGCAGCTGCTCACTGTCTGCAATCTTGAGCTGGCCAAATATTATGCTCTCCAGTTTGTCCTCGACCTCCGGGGTGATGGATGCCAAACTGCTCTGGCATATGACCTCGAGCAAAACGCGACAGAGTATGTAGATTGAAACGGTGGAGCGGCGCTCCTGCTGGGCTACATACTCTTGCTTCGAAGCCAGCATTCCACCTCCGGAGAGACCACTATCAGAGCCATTGGATACAATCGGTCCAATTGGCACGGGTTCAGTATTTCTGCGCAATAGCGGTGTCATCGGTTGAGCCACTCGTAACTGTTGCAGCTGGGTCCTCGCTTCGTTGGCAGCATCGCTTTTGCTCTTCCTCCAAAGCATCATTGAATCTATCAAATTCTTGGGCTTGGGACTCGCGATATGGCCCAGAGCAACGATGAGCTGGTCAAAAGCCGGGTCCACGCCAGGGCCGCATATCTTGTCAATCTGGGGCTCGGGGTCGAAGGGGGTGGTTATACATTCATTCAGCTTTTCTTCAGCTTGCGCAATAAACTGTGTGAAATGCATTAGCAAGATCGGAATATAAAATACGCTCCGCTCTAGAGGAGAGGGAGAGTTCAGCTCACAGAAGTAAATAGCACGTGCAAGGCATATTCGCCCACTGTTTTCTGTTCATCCCGATGCTGGCGGGACGACCGTGATGGATGATCACGCCTTGACTTGCTGTGCATCCTTTCAGCTCTACGCGACGGAGCTGAACCTGGGGGGGTAACGCCGTTGCCAGAGGGCGATCGCTTCATCGTATAGGTTCCATCGCCCGGGCTTGTCGCTTGCCCAGCCAGCATAGCGGCAGCAGTGGCCCTAGGTTGCCCAGCATCTCCCTCTAAGCGTGCTATGGCCGCCTGTATGTCCATCCGATCAAGCCCCAGGCCAGCAGCTGCAATCATCTGAGGACTGAGCGGGTTGGATGAAGAGCTCGCGCCGCTGCCATTTCTCGAGTGTTGGATCCCGTGGACGATGGACGTCTGGCGGTGGTGTCCATAGGTGGACTTTGCAGAGTTGAGAGGCGGTTCGACTACCCCGCCGGTGTTGGATCGCGACAGAGGGCCAAGAGTTCGTGGCGATGCCAGAGGTAGCGGTAGCGGGATCGTCTTTTCAGAGGAGGGTTCGGCAAGATTTTGCGTGGGGTGGCGCAACGAAGCCGAGTCGAAGGCGGGAGGGCGAACTGTCTGATCCCATTCGGGGTCCTCATCGAGCCTCGCTGAAGATCTCGACGGGAACTTGGCGGATTCCTGGGGATTGTCCGGCGCCGATTGCGATGGCACTGCGCGCGTTCACATCGTCAGCAGCTATCCGTTGGAAACGAGGCTTTTGGTGCGCCCGCATGTCATGTAACCTCATGTATACATGCGGGTTCGACTGCATCGATTACATGAGAAAGCCAATAATGCAAGACGCAGCTACTCGTACTCACCCATCTCGAAGCGGACCACAGCCCAATCCCATCATATGCCTATGGAGCATGCGCTGCCGAGCAAGCGTCTCCGGCTCCAAAATCCACGGCTACCTGAAATCCTGGAGCTTCTCGATTTGGTGGGCAGCTATCAGCCAGTTACGATGACACGGCTGCAGCCGGGAAGCACAAAGCTGGGAAGCACAGCAGGATGCTATGCTAGTCGTTACTTTAGGTGGCTTGGCTCCCCGTTACGCTGCTCGAGCGAGACTAATTCCTTATAGGGCCCAGCTTGGGCGCTTTTTGCTTTTCTTCCCCAGCCGCCTGGGCTTAGAAACTGTCTTGCGAGAGCGCTGCAAGGGCCGTTGGCTGGTCCTATCAGATGTGACGACGTGACGAAGGGAGGGGCAGTTGGAGGCTGGGGGTTGGTCGCGGATTAAGGGTCCTCCGGGCTGCGGAGCTAAGTCGAATCCTGGATAGCATCAACCTGGCAAGTTGGTGTTGGCTCTCGCTGTGCTGTTATCTGAGTCCCCTAAGCTCATAACTTTTTTGTGGGGAGGACGCTTTGGCCGTTGCTTGTCTTGCTTGGACATGTAAGGGGGAGAGATACAAGCACAAGAGAGTAGAAAGTTGCTTCAGTATTTCTAGGGTAGACGCTTTGGCCAGTCGTCGCCGCCTCCAAGCAGCGCATCTCAAGCGTCTCTATTACCATGATGATTTGCACACATTCAGCTCTATCTAATCAATGAGAAGGCATGGGGTGGGAAGGATCAAGTGATTTTTTTTTTTTTTTTTCAGGCTGTAACGAGTTGATGCAGCCCAGTCATAACTGTGCTCGCAGATGCTAGTCTTGATGTCGCCGTCGAGCCCTCTTAGACGACATTGACGTGCGACATGCCATCGCAGGTGATGATGAGTGGTGCATCCTCAAGCAAGGAGTAAGTGACAGAGGCGGCAACAAGTTTATTTCTGGTGGGAATCGGAATCGGTTATTCTTGGTGTACGCAAACTTCGGAAGAGGGCGGGTAGATCTCCATTCATCTGTAAATGTCTCTCCATCTGGGGTAGTTGAATCACAGGCGTCTCTTTTGCTCGGTGGCTCGCCTAGCCTTTTCCCCCGCGGACTTCCCGAATCCGGACGTAGCACCGCCCACGACAGTCGCCCGGGAAGAGATCGCGGCAAACTAGTAGTACCTACTACCATCTACTATCTATGAGGAAATCTTCACTCGTAGCGAGTCTATTACGCCTAGGATGCTTGTAGCAACAGTGGCCGGCAGCAGTGGCGGCATGTGCGTTGCAGAGAGTCAACCCCGAGAGCCTTGTCCTATTATTTTCCCAGCCTTTCTCTCGGTATCCATCGTGAAGACGGCAAATGAGCTACCTGCCTGCACGAACAAGCTTACTACATGCTTTCGTACTTGTACGAGTAATAACACTAAGTACTAGGTAGTAAGCCAGATAGACAGGCAAGCAGCAGAAGTAATAGTAAGCTTAGGATCTTACCTTCAAGTTATTTATTACCTGGCGGAACCCATCTTGGCATGGCATTCCCTCTGCGCTTTCATTGCATCTGAGGCAGTCTCCCCCTTTCCTCCTATGCCGCGGCATATTACTTCATATGTCGCACTCTGATTGAGAGCGTGCCTACGCAAAATATCCACAGCGCACATGCCGATTCCATGAGGTAAACGGGGTGCTGGATCAATCCTGCACTCCGACAGTCATCCCAAGTGCCGTGTGTTGACCCGACGGCGCCGACACCGCGGCCACGGCCACTACTCCATACCCCATTCCCGCCATCCGTGCCGGGGATTTGCACGCCTAGGAGCCACTAATGATGCTTCATCTACATCGTCGCTTTGGCAGCCTCATGCTACTCACCCCGCAAAGAGTGCACCGGGTGTGAATTACAAGGCCATCAATGCGGTCGTGTGCCGGTAACCGGGGCGGAAAAAATGTCTCATGGGCAGCTGATATCTGGATCTCTCTCTGGCTCTGCATGGCCAACAACAGGGACTGGCATATACAGACAGGTATAGGTAAGGTAGGAAGTACAGTACTAGGTAATATCTGCGTAGATACAAAGTCCAACGTGGCTTCAACCATTCACCTCTATTGTGTATGCGCTAGAATCTCGATGATGGCGTCAGTGAGCACATGCACAGACCGGGGCAGCCTTGCCACGCGCGTACCTACAGCGCACACTGGCGATGCGCCCAATTGCTCACCGCGCCCCGGAATTGTAGTAACAGCCGGATTCGAGCCGCGTCGCCACAAAGGCTGTTTGGCACCGCCTAGCACCTCGTACCATTGCACCGTAAGCTGCGGTTGGAATGATATCCAAGTGCATGTGCTTATTAGTAGACCAGACTAGAGGATCAGATGAAAAGGCACCACCGCCCCTCCCTCTCGGACGGGCAATGGCCATTCAACTATTTCTCTCTTCCTTTCCCTTCTTCTTCATCATCCGCCTTTTTCCATTTCTTCTCCTCTCTCTTCCATCTCTACACCTCCCTCGTCTCTCTCGCCTCAACCCCCGCGACAGGTAGCTTTCCGGACAGTGCGGCCTCATATTCAAGCGCGCGTATAAATGCGCCATAAGCCCGTGGCTTTGAACCCGTGGCTTTGAACCCGTGGCTGCGTATTCGGACTACGCCTGCGACTAGGTACTTAATCGTACATTAGCGGCCAGCAACCAGGAGCCCGCGCTCTTATCGATCAGTCGATTCCTTTTTTTTCTATTCCACGCCACGACCCACCGTCAAATCTCTCTGGCCTCAAGCCCCTCCCCCGTTCTGTTGCTCGGGCCTGGACTAGACCGCAACTCGCCGATAGGCAACTCGCCGACGCTGCCCGCAAAAACCGCTGCGCTGATCTCAGCCTTAAACCGACCAAGGCCAGGCGAGGACACGCTTTTTTTTTTCTTGTTCTCTCCGCTGCAAGGGGGTTTGGTAGCGAGTCACTATTCGAGCATCTGGCTTCTTTACATTGACTGCGCTGAATACTGCCTGAACTTTAGTGATTCGGGACTGTCTGGCCGAACGAGAACCCAAGCGCCGTCTGTTGCTGCTGCAACCCCGCTGCCGCCATGGCGGAATTGGACACGTTGGACATCGTCGTCCTCGGAGTCATCCTTTTGGGGAGCATCGTCTACTTCACAAAGGGCTCGCTCTGGGGCAAACAGAAGGATCCCTATGCTACCTCAACTAACCTCAATGGCATGGCCGCCAGGCCTGTCAGGACCAGAAACTTCGTCGAGAAGATGGAGGAGTCTGGCAAGAACTGCATCATCTTCTTTGGCTCGCAGACCGGTACCGCTGAGGACTATGCTTCTCGTCTCGCAAAGGAGGGCAAGAGTCGCTTCGGTCTTGAGACCATGATCGCCGACCTGGAAGAATACGATTTCGACGCTATGGATACGCTGCCCTCGGACAAAATTGCCATCTTCGTTCTGGCCACCTATGGCGAGGGCGAGCCGACTGACAATGCGGTTGAGTTCTTCGAGTACATCAAGGAAGACGGAGTCAGCTTTTCGCAGGGTAACGATGATGCCCCGCTGGACAACCTCAACTACGTCGCTTTCGGTCTTGGTAACAACACCTACGAACACTACAACACCATGGTCAGAGAGGTCGACAGGCTCTTGACCAAGCTGGGCGCCCACCGTATTGGCGCTGCGGGCGAAGGTGACGATGGCGCTGGTACAATGGAAGAAGACTTTTTGGCTTGGAAAGACCCCATGTGGACTGCTTTGGCGGCGCACATGGGCTTGGAAGAGCGCGAGGCTGTCTACGAACCCATCTTTGCTATTACCGACCGTGAAGGCCTGACTGCCGAATCCGCAGAGGTGTACGTCGGCGAGCCTAACAAGATGCACCTTCAGAACAGCGCCAAGGGTCCCTTCAACGCTCACAACCCGTATATTGCCCCCATTGCCGAGTCCTACGAGCTCTTCAAGGTCAAGGACAGGAACTGCATCCACCTGGAATTCGATATCAGCGGCTCTACTCTTTCGTACACCACCGGTGACCACATTGCCATCTGGCCTACTAATGCTGGCGACGAGGTTGATCGATTCTTGCGCGTTACTGGCCTCACTGAAAAACGTGGGCAAGTCATCTCTGTCAAGGCTCTCGAGCCTACTGCCAAGGTTCCTTTCCCTACTCCGACCACTTTCGACGCCATCATCCGCTATCACCTGGAAATCTGTGCCCCCGTCTCTCGTCAATTCGTCTCTACTCTTGCTGCTTTTGCCCCCAACGAGGCCATCCAGGCCGAGATGAACAGGTTGGGTAACGACAAGGACTACTTCCACGAAAAGACCGGCTCTCAGCTCTTCAACATCGCTCGCCTCCTGGAACATGTCGGCAACGGAGAGACCTGGGATAAGATCCCTTTCTCTGCTTTCATCGAAGGTCTGAACAAGCTGCAGCCCCGTTACTACTCCATCTCGTCTTCCTCCCATGTCCAGCCCAAGAAGATTTCCGTTAC